CGGCAGGTCCAGGCTGTCGATGCGGTTCTTGGGGTTCAGCCAGCTGGTCTGCCAGCCGTCGCCGTCGTCCGCGGGCGGCTCCGGGGCGGCGGCGGACGGCGGCTCGGGCGGCGGGTACAAGGCGGCCGTGGGGAGCACGACTTGCCGGATAACGTCTGGGCTTAGTTCCATGGCGATGGGGGAGCAAGATGGGAGCAGGCTGCGGGTGGCTGGGAGGGAATAGGAACAAGCCATGATGGCGCGCTCTCTTATACATGAAAGGCAGCAATACGAGGAGGAGAGTAAGACTCTATGAGAATTGTAACCATCTACGGTGTTGTTTGTGTCTGATTCAGTACATGACTCTTGGACCAACTGCTGGAAGCAAACTACATGGAGATGGGCGAGCTGAAGTCTGATGTTTGTGGTTTGTATGCCTCTTGCCGTCGGCGGCTGCGTTACGGCTGCGAGGGGCGGTGAAAATCGTCGCGTTCGCCGACGTACATGGCCGGGTGAGAAACGTGGGCACGTGGTTGAAACGGCAGTATATGAGCCTGTCACGAGGGCGTTCGAGGGCGTCGAAAAAAAAAAGGCATTCGAAAACGAAGCGTGTTGGCAGAGATGGGCGCTTGACAAGGCCATGACGGATGGAGGCAATCTCGATGTAGGGAGTCGTTGACCGGATAGTCCCAAGTAGTTCTTCCCGTAGATTGGGGGCTCGGCGGGCAAGCGTCTGCCTCTCTTGTTTTCTTGTTTAGGAAATCCCATGAGAAGTTGTCGACCTTGCATCCTGCGACTACTGCATGTCACGCCCCAGCCTGCATCGCCAGCATGCTTCCCGGCTTCCAACGGCGGTGAAAGCGGCGAAGCTGCCTCACCCCGAGTATAAAGGGCTCTGCGTGTGCATCTCTTCCCCCCCTCCCTCTTCAAGGGCCCGACTTGCTTGGGCTGGCCTTCCCCCCCCGTCCTTCCCAATCGTGGGCGGCTGGAGGCGTGCGACTGACAGCAAAGCGCCTTTGCCTCGTCGCGTGCACAACAACAAACAGGGCGGCACACGCGAGACTTAAGGCGTCGATCATCTCATAACCTCGTGCTCTTTTTTGCATTCAGACAGCTTCTTTGGCTTTGAGGATTTTTTTCAAGAGAAGAGACTTTGCTGCAGCCTTCTCACCGGTTTGGCGCCACCGGATGCTGTGCGACTTGAGGTGAGGGATGAGAAGGGGTTGAAAAAAGGAAAGAAACAGAAAAAAAAGGAAAAGTGCGCCAAGGTTCGCAGGTTGGCTCATGAAATCGAGCCGTATCCTTCGGGTTGCCCAAAAAAGATACAAGGCGGCTTCAGTCGCAGGACCAACTCCGATTTGGCAAGCCTCAAATCTACTACCCGCTCGCATATTTCTTCTTGTTCTTCTCCTCGTCTCGTCTCACAAGACACCAAGCGGAAGACGAGAGAAACGCACAAGACTTGTACCCCCCCCCATGCCGCAGTCGTGGCCAGTATGCCACACACACTGTAGACTGCAGCTGACCCGGGTCCTGTGTGACGAGGCTGCGGCGAACAACGGATGGGGGCTGCTGCGGGAAACCTGCAGATTGATTGAGTTTGATTCGAGCAACAGCTGACGCGCTCAAAAAATTAATAAATAAAAGAAAAAAATAAACGAAAAAAAATCCTTTTCTGTGGCCTCTAAAATGGCTGCCCCGTCCGCATGGCCAAAGCCGGGACAAGCAAGGGAGAGAATCAGAGTCCATCACGGCCCAGCTGTATGGTTCTCACCGGATGCCGCCCTTTTTTTCCCTCTTCCCCTTCTCCTAATCACATCCACCACACTTGACAAGTTGCTCTCTCTTTCCCGCCCGCTTTGCAGGGAGACGGCAGCAGCAGCAAATCCCTTTCCTTGACCACGGATCCCTCTTGGTCTCTGGCATCCTGCAAGCCCCCTCCCTCCCCCAACCCCCAAAGGGGCCCTCCTTTGTTTCTTCTTTGCCCGGATGCAAAGTTTGGCTCCCCGCGGTCTCTTTCTGAATATTCACATTTTGTCTCTGTTGGTATATACTCGTGTCGTATATCCTGCAAGTAGTCTCATTCCCAAGACGGCCACTTTCGAGGTAATCCGCTGCGCCGGCCCCCCTCCCCCTTGACGCCGGCCCCTGTCCCCCTCACTGTCGTCTGCGCGTCCCGTCACTTTTTTTTTTCCCCCTCTAATCCTTGTACAGGTTATCCAGAAAAGAACCGACTTCATTCTTCACCGGGTCCACTCTCCTTCTCTCACCGGGCTGTGCCTTTGTCCTCGGCCCACGGGGGCAGTCTCCACGACTGATCCTAGATCGACCCGCATCTTCCTTGTCTGCTGGCTCTTCGAAAAAGAAGCACGCTCGTTATTTCGTTGTTTTCTCTGGTCCATTTCGGGGTTGACTGCCTGGCAGCCAATCAGACGACGTGTTGGCGTCTAATGATGCTCCCCAACTCCAACATTCAGACCTCTGGCCATAGACGCAGCACCCTCTTGTCCAACCCACCAAGTCTCATACGACCAAAATGGTAAGAAGGGCTCTTTTCGAGTATAAAGCTTGTTGCGTTGCCCCTTCTCATCATGCTCATGCCCGGCCCGTCTTGGTATACCCTCATCTTTTCTTCATTTACTTGCACCCGTCTCCCATTCCCCATGCCCTATTCCCCATTCCATCTTTGTCAGTCCCCTGCCTGCTTTCGTATACAAATACCCTGGCTCGTTTGAATCCGTACATCCCGTCCTCTTCCCGTGTTGATGCCTCTTTAGGATCCGCCAATCTCGTACATCTGGTTCTCCGGTACCGACCGGGAACCCGACTGCTTCGCCCCAGTCCCAGTCCCAGTCCAACAGATCGCCCCTCCCCCTCCCGGTGCTGTCGAGGATAGTTTGCCCCAGTTGACATTCAACTTCCCGTCCTGGTACGCTTTGCCGCCTAGTGATCTCTCGGAAATTGAACCACGATCAAAGCGACCAAGATTCTATCCACCCTCCCCCCCTGCCTCGTCGTCTTCCCAGATCGAGTCGTACAGTCACGACGTATCGCAGCTAGTCTCGGAGATATCCGCGCCAACCTGTCCCGTTCACGGACACCATGACTGGCTTTTCCAACCAATGAACCTTGTCAACGTACCCATGGAGACCCATTTACATCCTCTTTCGAGACGCGTCGCAGAGTTTGGAAGACTAATTTGCTCGTGTGCGACACTGGATCCCCACGACCCCGACGGTATGTTGATATCAGACTGGCGGCGCTCCCATAGTGACAGGAAAAGGCTACTTCTAACATTATTTTAGGTTATGAGCGTCTTCTTGACGGCCAGGCTGGCTCTAACGCAGATCAACAGTATGTGGCCGAAAAATCGTCTCTGGCGCTTGCAACTGATGTCCGTTGGTTTCCCACGTATCATGCGTGGGAGACTGCTGCTGGCAGATATTCCAATCAGAATGTCTTAAGACCACATGAATTCAACGGACAACAGCCGTTTGGACCGGAGCCTCTTATGAACGCGTCATGCTCGCCCCCGGAGCAGTACCCGTTTACTTTGGAGCCTGCCAACCCAACTATTCCCATTTCTGCCTTTACCATTGCTCGAGCGCAAACCCAGCCTGAAGCCTCGGACGCGCAATGGGCCGGGCCACGTCCAGGGAAGCGCGGACCTTTTCGAGATCCATGTCTTCGTCAAGAAACCGCCTACACGAGGAAGATTGGGTGCTGTATACGATGCAGAATGCAGCGAATACGTGTACGTGTTCCCCCCACGCTGACCGAAAGCGCTGTCGTCTGACATGTTGTAGTGTGATAAAAACCCTGACGACCCAGATGGCACCTGTCTCACCTGTAAAAAGGTGGCTTTTGCAAAAACGGGCCAGCTTCCCTGTCTGAGGTATAAAATTGCTGATATAGCATTGTACAAGTCCGGCCAGGTGCCAGGGTTTGAGTGGACCAGACGTTGGTCGAATGAACTCTCGGACCCGATTGATACCTGGGCCTCTACGGAAATCAGGACCATTCGCATCTCGGAAGGGTACTCTGCCAGCGTCGTCGAGTTGCAGGTTCGCCAGTTTGTCCCGTTGGAAGGCGACAAGTTGGACAGGACCTGGGACTACAAGGGAGAGAAGAAGTCTGTCCGCATACCACCGTTTGCCCTCGTCGACACTCAAAAGGCTAGAAAAGCCTTTGCAAAGCACATTGATGCCAGCATCAACGAGACGCTCAAGAAGATTACGAAGTCGATCAAAGGCTCGTCGGTGAGCGTGATGCAGAGGACCTATCTCGAAGCCTTTCGTCTTGCGCAACGGACTGACATTGCACCCGAGGTGTCGAATATTCTGCAGACTACGTTTCGGCTGTGGACATCGACGAGGCTCAACACAATCTCGTGCTTTATTGTCGGAGACGACACACTGGACATGCCGGCTGACATACTCGACGAGACCAGCCCGACGCCGGGCAAAGTTCCCGTCCCCCCCGTCATGGGCGCGCAGCTCAACTTGATCATGATTCACCAGATACAGGCAAAACTGCGAAAGTCGGTACTGGACCAGCTGCAAAAGATTGTGCAAAAGAACAAGCAGAGCACCTGGCTCGTCACGTACTATGTGGATTTTATCCTGCTGCACAATGCATCCATGATTATTGCTCACGATGAAGGGTATGCAAGGAAGCATGGAATCAAGGTATGTGAAGAATGAGCTCTGATACAAAAACACGAGTTCCCTTGTGGTCTCGAGTTCCTCCCTTTGGTGGCTACTGATGGCTCTAGCGACGCTTCGCCCGCGAAGACAAGGTTACCGAGTACCACGTCGGTGAGTGAGGTCGCAAAGAACAGAAAAGTAGACGATCTAATTTTTTGTAGGCGCAAACATTGTTCTCGCATACTTTCACTACTGCAACAAGGGCATGTATCCATTTACAGACGAGTGCAGCGATGTAGAATTGAGAAGCCTGGCCGAGCTGAGCGAGCAAGAAATCGGCATTGTTCGTGGCATGGCGGCATATGCAAAATTGCGAGGTAATTTATTCTGTACCAAAAGCTACAAAAACAGATAAAGCTAATGTTGACAAAGAGGCGGAATGGGAGCGACTGAGAGAGTCTCGCGAATACGACCATCCTGAGTACTACATTTGCCAGATGTTTGAGCAGAACTGGAAACCTCGCACCATGATTGTTTAGTGGAGCAGAGACTGTAATAAAACGTATATTATATATTATAAGCAGGGACTCGGATATAGTGTTTAGAGTAGCTTCCAGAAAATAACAATAGCAAGAATTTTGCTTCAGTTGTGGCGACCAGGCCATGTGCGTAAGCGTGTCATGGCATAGTCGCAGGGTAACAGGGCACATACACAAACAGACTGACAGACCGAATAACCGGGACCGGTGTGATACGGGGAAGAAAAGGGACAAGAAGGGAGAAAAGACGGTAAGTCGTTTTGGGCAAACGCAAACGCTACACCGGTGGCAAGCATGGGCCTTTCCGCCCGGTCTCTTCGGCCCACCCCGAAACGTGGCAACTCGTTGCAAGGCTGTTTATTCCCGATGTTGAGTGTTTAGAGTCGAATCAATGCCTAGTGTTTTGAGTTTATAAAAAAGGAACCATGACAACGGCTGCGTTGTATAGATAGAGTGGTTCCGTGTCCTAAAGTGTCGGGGGCGACTTGGCTGTCTTGAATCCATGTTACACCCGGGGCTGTTGATAGCCGAGCTGCACCTTGTATGAAGAGCATGCATGTGCATGCACGTACGATGGGCGCCTCTTTGGACCCTTCAAGGTGGGTGGACTTTGTTTTCGCCCTTGGCCCGTGAGCGTCGAAGGACCCCAACCCCCGTTGTTCTTTGCTCACGGGCGCGCGACTCCTCCACTTCGTACGCCGTTTTCCGATGGATGTATATAGTCCTGTCGCAGAAAGGGCCGAGATGTAGATTCCATCTGAGGAAAGAATACGAATGGGTTCTAGAAGCTGACCCGGGATATGGGGCCGGCGATTGGAAGGGGGGGGGGGAAACATCGGCGAAGAGCGACGTGCGAGTCAAAAGACTTGTCGGTGTCCCCTTTGTTTTCTCTAAAGCAGATGCGTTTTTACCCAGAGAGAGATATGCTTGGGGATAGAGCGCAATTCTTTGTTCCTGCCATATGTGGAAAGAGGGTCCGGACGTTGCATCTTGACGCAGAGCGGGCGAGCTTCAACTCGGCGTGCCGTCGTGCGTTGCGTTTTGCACACCGTCTTGTGAATCTTCTTTTTCTTCTCACACCGTCAAAAGTTTGCTTTAGGGGTCCGAAGCTCTCGGGATAGGTGTGGGTTGGGAACAGGGAGCATAGTTTCAGAAAAATAGGGCTCAATGGAAAAGGTCATGAGTAGTTGACAAAGTTGGAAGAGGTATAAAGTCATTCGACGACGCCGTTGGAAAGGACACTTTTGGATTATCCTCAGTTTCCAAGTCTCCAAATCACTGCCTTGCTTCAAAAGACTTTTCCAAGAATTTCTACTTTGTACCACACCACTTCCACCGCTTCAACTTCCAACTCACCCCCCCTCCCAAAACATGGCTCCTCTTGAGATGGAACAGGTTGCGACCATCAGCCACTCGGCCCAGACGCAGTGCAACACGCCGGTTGCGTCGGGTCAAACCCTGCCTGCTGGATTCCCCAGCGTCCTTGGCTCGCCCATGAGCTGGCTGGGCAGCCAGTACGCGGATGCTAGTTCGTACGCCGTGCTGCTGAGCTCCGAGGACCTGGCCGAGCTTCAGAATGCGCTGCTGCAGTTCAAGTGTACGTTCTTGACCGCGCAAAAGAAAAAAAACGAAACCCGAGACTGACGACACATATCAAGCTCTCGAGCTGGACGGAGACTTGGTCGACAGGACCAACTTCCCTCTGCCCACGCTCTCCAAGAAGCTCAAGGCCATGCAGCACGAGGTCTACAACGGCCGCGGATTCGCGCTCCTGCGCGGCCTCGACGTCAACCAGTACTCGGTGGACGACTTGACAATCATTTACCTGGGCATCCAGTGCTACATTGGAAACCGGTTTGGTCGCCAGGACAAAAAGGGCAACATGATTGGTACGTGTGAAGCGACGTGAACCTGGCTGCCCGCCCAACCACGACTAACACGGGGAACACAAAAGTACACATTGTTGCGGACAACTCGTCGCCGATCAACGCCAACCACCACCGCCACTCTACCGCGCCCATTGTAAGTCAAACTTCGACAGAAAGGCTGAGAGAAGGAGGCAGTAGCTGACAAGAACAAGACGTTTCACAACGAGGAGTCGGGCGATGTCATCAGTTGGCTCACGCGAAGCACGGCTGCCTCGGGCGGCAAGTGCATCATTGCGTCTGCCCACACCATCTACAACATCCTCGCCGCGACCCGTCCGGACCTGATCCGCGTCCTCGCCCGTTCCGACTGGCCCTTTGCCCTGTAAGGCAGCCCCCTTCCCCCCCCCCCAAGTGTCGCTTCCCCCGGCATCGCTAACCAAGCGTACCAGCCCCAAGTTCCACTGCCGCCCCGTGCTGCAGCACCACGAGGGCAGGATGATGCTCAACTTTGGCCGGGCGGCGCTCCTCGGCAGCGCGAGCCACCCGCGGCCGGCGACGCTCCCCGCGCTGTCGGCGCTGCAGGTCGAGGCCCTCGACGCCATCGAGGCCGTGGCGCGCGCCACGCAGCTCGAGATGACCACGGCCGCCGGCGACGTGCACTTTGTCAACAACTTTGCCGTGCTGCACCGCCGCGAGGGCTTCGTCGACGGGCCCGCCGCGCGCGAGAAGCGACACCTCGTCCGCATGCGCCTGCGCGACGACGACCTCGGCTGGGCCGTCCCCGACGCCCTCCGCGACGAGTGGGCGCAGGCGTTTGGCGACGCCGGCGCCAAGGTCTGGCACGTCGAGCCCATGCCCGAAGGCTTCTTTCCTCTGCGCCTCCAGGCCAACTAATTCTTTTGGGGAGGGGGGTAAGCGCAGGACAAGTTTTGTCTGCTCTGTTTGAACAAGTGGCCCCCGTGCAGGGGCTTCTGTTGAGGAAGTTCCAACGGGTTGTAGAGTACGGTGCTTGGGATGGGCGTTGGGATTTGGCTAACGCGATATAGATCATAGACTTGTTTTTAGTGCAATTTAACTTATTAGAATTATCCTTGTCACAACTTTGTCTACAGAGTAACTACCTGAACCCGCTCGTGTGATGCTAAGCTCTTGCAAGTCAGCACAGTGCGCTTAAACTGAACGCACTGTAGCACCCCTTCCACTATCGCCAGCTCTCAAGGTCGTCTCAGCCAAGGCCGTGCTCCCAGTTTCCGTCTACGCGCGTTGTCAATTCTCTGTGCGACGGCACACAACCTGAATCCATTCATTTCTAACCAGAATCTACAATTTTATGCCTCGCAGTCCGAAACGCGGCCAGACTTGATCCCCTCTACCGCCGCGCCTGCACAATGTCCGCCTCCTCGGGCCAGGCCAAGCAGCACCGTGGCGATTCCTCCACCTACACGCCCGTATACCAAGACGACACGGACGATACTGGCGCCCAGACTGCCCACGATGCCGAGACGCGGACGAAGCAACACCCCATGGCGGCGTTTGCCGCGCCCCCACCACCCGGGGGCCGCTACCGCATGATGGCCATGGCTACCGTCATGGTCCTCCTCGTCGCCGCCAACCTGTACCTCTCGCTGCCGTACGCCTTTGCCGGCAGCCACGGGTACCCCAACGACGACTGCCCGGTGCCGCCCGCGGACGTGCCGCAGTACTTCCGCACGTCGCCCAACCCGTGGCCGGGGCCGACGGCCACCGGCGCGCCGGCGTTCCTGGCCCAGACGCGCGTGCTCGACCCGGCCGCGGGCACGTTTGTGCCCAACGAGCCGCTGCAGACGGCGATGCCGATTGCCGGCATGCAGAGCGGCAACCAGAGCATCTTCCGGATGATGGCGTTTCTGTCGCCGTACTTTCCCTCGCCGGGCTTCGGCGTCGACGAGTACCCGCTGCCCGACGGCGCCGAGATTGTGCAGGTCCAGATGCTGTCGCGCCACGGGGCGCGCTACCCGACGACGGGCTCGGACGTGGTGCGCCTCGGGGCCAAGATGGCGGCGCTAAAGGGCAAGGCCACGTTCCACAGGGCGCTGGGCTTCCTGCAGGACTGGACGTACGAGCTCGGCAGCGACATCCTGGTGCCCAAGGGCCGCCAGGAGCTGTACGATTCGGGCGTGCTGCACAACTACATGTATGGCAAGCTGTACAACCCAAACAGCAAGATTATTGTCCGCACGACGACGCAGGACCGCATGCTCAAGTCGGCGGAGAACTGGCTGGCCGGCTTCTTCGGCCTCGAGTGGCGGAACAATGCCACGATCGAGGTGCTCATCGAAGGCGCAAACTTCAACAACTCGCTGGCGGGCTACTTGAACTGCCCCAATGCTGATAAAAAAACGCCGGGCTATGAGGCCCCGACCACGTGGTATGGTATCTATCTCAAGGACGGTAAGCAACCTCGACTCTGCTATCCACATGTCTTGCTAACAACGCCCAGCCGTGTCTCGCTTCAATGCCATGTCGGACGACTTTGAGTGGACAGCCAAGGATGTCTACGCGGCGCAGACCATGTGTCCATATGAGACTGTCTCGTATGGCTTCAGCAAGTTCTGCGACTTGTTTACGTATGAGGAATGGCAGGGCTTTGGCTACTCCATTGACCTGTCTTTTGCTTCTACCAACGCTTTCCACAGCCCAACAGGCGTATGTACACGTCCACGCCATACGTCGAACCCGGTCGCTAACCCATCCCGCACAGCGCGCCATCGGCCTCGGCTACCAGCAAGAAGTCATGGCCCGTTTGAAGAACCAGACGCTCGGCTACTCGGGCTCCCAAATCAACATCACGCTCGACAACAACCTCTCGACCTTTCCCCTCAACCAGAGCCTCTACTTTGACTTTTCCCACGATACCAACATCATCTCCGTCCTGACCGCCTTTGGCCTGCGCCAGTTTGCCGACGCGCTCCCGGCCACGGCGTACCCCGGCGACCACGCGTTCACCGTGTCGCACATGACGCCCTTTGGCGCCCGCCTCGACATGGAGGTTATCAAGGCGCCGCGGCCCGTCTCCCCGCAGCGCGACGGCTACCTGGACGGTGGCGAGACGCGCTACATTCACTTTGTGCTCAACCAGCGCACCGTGCCGCTGGGCCAGAGCTTCCCCGAGTGTGGCGCGGACCGCAAGGACGGCTGGTGCGAGCTCGAGACGTTTATCAAGATCCAGGACACGATGGCGGACAAGGCGCAGTATGACTTTGCGTGCTTTGGGGACTATGAAGCGGAGCCGTATGGCAAGGTCACGGATGGCGCGCCGAACCGGTCATGAGTTTTCTTTTTCAGCGTCATGCAAGGTCTCATTGTACAATGTCAATTATGTTTAGATTTCCCTATTTTGCCAATTTTGACTTGAATAGACTAGACTGGTGCCTGTAATACCAGGCACTCTACACATTTCTCACTTGACGGGATACATTTCACGAGCAGTGAAAATCAGTATTGAAAATGGTATATTCTGTATCGCTATTTAGATCATGCAAACGTGCCATATACCTGACAAATGCGCTGTGGCCCTCTTCCGCCCAGCCGTCTTCTACTCGGTGGGTAAAAGTAACTATACAGAGAAAGCTGAAATGCCAATGCTCCAAACGCCCGCTCCCGATTTTGTCTGCAAACCACGACAAAAATTCGAAGAAAAAAAAAATGTATAAAGGAAGAAAAATTTTATGCCTTGAGAACGCAGACCGACGCTTACTTCTCCCGCATTGTTGGTAGCGACCCCTCGGGCGCCGCCGCTTCGACAATGACCTCCTCGCGATCGCTCTGATCGCGCAGAGAAGACGGCGACGAGCGCTTGCCCTCGGCCATGGCGAGCGAGGAGCTGGTCGGGCGACACATGCTCGCGTGCTCGACGATGCCGTGCTGGGGCTCGAGCATGGTGCCCTCCTCGGCGGGCTCGCCGCGGTGCGGGCTCCAGGCGAGGAAGTCGCGGCGGACCTCGACGTAGTCGTAGGAGAACTCGCCGTGCTGGTCGTCGTCCATGCCGAGCAGCTCGGCCTCCTCGGAGGCGCGCAGCTTGAGGCCGGGGACAAAGTCGATGATCTTGGCAATGGCGGCGGACATGGCAAAGGCGTAGGCCGAGGCGGCGACAATGGCGGCGATTTGCCAGCCGATGAGGACGAAGCGGTGGTCGAGGAAGCCGCCGATGGCGCCGGCGTTGACGCCGTCGAGGCCGATGACGTGCTTGGTGGCGAAGAAGGCGTTGAAGATGAGGCCGACCATGCCGCCGATGCCGTGCTCGGCAAAGACGTCGAGCGAGTCGTCGATGCCGACGAGGAACTTGATCTTGGTGCCGAAATTGCAGCACACGCCGGCGACGACGCCGAGGATGATGCTCGCCCAGGGGTCGATGAAGCCCGAGGCGGGCGTGGCGGCCACGAGCCCGGAAATGGTGCCCGAGCACCACCCGACCATGGACCACTTGCGCGCGAGGCGGAAGTCGAGCAGGCACCAGGTCATGGCGGCGAACATGGCCGTCAGGCACGAGTTCCAGCAGGCCATGACGGCGCGCAGGTTGGCGCCAAAGGCCGAGCCGCCGTTGAAGCCGAGCCAGCCGAACCAGAGCAGGATGGTGCCGAGCGTGATGAGGGAGATGTTGTGCGGCCGAAAGTTCATCATCATGCGCTCGTTGCGCCGCCCCAGGATCCACGAGTACGCAAACGCCGACACGCCCGAGCCAATCTCGACGGGCACGCCGCCCGCGTAGTCGAGCACCCCGCGCCGCGCGCACCACCCGTCCGGGTTCCACACCCAGTACGCGAGCGGGCAGTACACGAGCGTCGCCCAGAAGAAGGTGAAGACCATGCCGGGCACCACGCGGCCGCGCTCGGCGACGGCGCCGACGGTCAGCGCCGCGGTCACGGCGCAAAACATCATCTGGTAGAAGGAGTACAGCAGGGCCGGGATGAGCGGCGAGCCGAGCGAGGGCGCGGCCCAGACCTTGCGCAGACCAAAGTGGTGCAGGTCGCCGATGAAGCCGGATGAAGACGTGGGCGAGAAGGCGAGCGAGAAGCCCCAAAAGTACCACTGGAAGACGATGACGGAAAAGGACATCATGACCACCCAGAGCATCGACAGAGCCGACTTGCGTCGCGCCAGGCCCGAGTACAGGAACGCGATGCCGGGCACCATGAGCAGCACGAGGCAGGCGCTGACGAGGATGAAGGCCTGGTCGCCGGACTGGTACCACTGGTTGAGGTTCGTTTCGGCTGCGGAGGAGAGCAAGGTTAGCTTTTGGCTTTTTGTTTTTGAAACGTCAAACTCACTCGAATCACCACCTGTCAGCTCATCGGTGCCGTTGAAAGGCACCGGAGCGCCAATGTGTGCATACGACATGATGGATGGTGTCGTGCGGCCGAGTAGCAAAAAGGAAAATTTCGGTAATCGTGGTCTCGCAGACCGATATGTAGTTGACCAGAGGCGGTTGTTGCCAGTACCGAAGCAAAAACAGTCTTGCCCTTTGTATATTGAGTGTACGGAAATGACTTGGGTCGTCAACAGTCTTACAAGCAACTTGGAGGGAAAGTTGGGCAGAGCTGAGCAAGAGGAGGGTGTACAAGGTATTTAAAAGGAACCCTACCAGGGGAAGGTAAGCAAGGCTAAAAAGAGGAGAATACGGAGAAGAGGCACCCAAAAAAAGAGAGCACAAGACTGAATCGTTATCTATTCCTCCCAAAGTTGCAGCCAAGGCCAACCCGCGTGGGCGTGGTTGAAGAGGTGTGCGCCGACCGCCCCAAGTACCGAAAGGGCGTGTGCGCGGGCGGGCGCCGGCTGCGCTGAGAGAGAGAGCCAGCGATAAAAGAGAAAGAAAAAGAAAACTGGGGGAAGATGAGCAATGCAAATCCTCCCAGCCAAGGGGTCCGGCTGGCCGGGTCCAATCAGCGTACGGGTTAACGACTTGGTCGGGGGGGGGGAGGAGAGGGACCATCGCAGGGCCATAGATAAGACGATTGTCTGGGGTTTTTTTTTTCTGGCAGGCGCAGGAGCCAACGAGGTGGCTCCGAAAAGGCTTAATGAGGCACGACCACCCCCTCTTCCTTGACATGTTGTCGGTTACTGTTGGAACTAACTAGTTACATAGTCTTGGTAAGTGCCAATGAGTGAGACACTGGCCATGTCGAGTGAGCCATGTCTCGGATACAAACATGTCAATGACGATTTCTGCTACTCCGTGGTTGTATTAAAAAAACTACAACCGGTCACGGGCGCGATCCCGACTCTTTGGGAAGGGCAGCGAGCGACCGAGGCCGGGGGGCAAGACCCCCCTGCAACTGATAAAGAAGCTGGTGCCGGGGGGGGCATAGATAAGCGCGTCCCCTAGTCTCGGGGACCGACGAAAACGAACAGGACAACACAAAGGGAACTGATAAAGATAACGTGCCAGAGTTGGGGGCACTAAGAACGCGACTGAAGATAAAAAGGTTTGTGGAGGAGGCTGAGAAGTGAAATCAGACCCCCCCCTAGTAACCAAAGTGGGCTTCTCTTGCTGATTGTGCCAACCCCACACCATTGGTCTCTCCGAGGCTGGCAAAGACAAAGAAGGGCCAAAGTTGGAAGGAGGACTGATGTGTGTTGATGTGCGCGATGCTGCGGTTGCTTCGGTCATCAGAAATACCAAGACCATAAAACAGCTCTCGGTACGACAAGAAGCTGCTTCAGAGCCGGCGCGCCTTCCACGAGTGTCTCATCGCGGCATACCGATTGCCGTGCAAGTGTCTGAGAAAGCGGCATCGCGGCGGTGCCACCACTCTCTGCAAAATCTCGCCATCGAGAGCCGACCGGGAAACCTGCTCTCAGCAAACGGGCGGGAGAAGGGGCCCTTTTATAGCTGGATTTTCCCTCTCAGAGAACCGTCCAAGGTACCTTTGACGAGTTTATCAGCAGCTCTGGCGCGATAATGCAACGCCCTCGCCCGTTTATCCGTCCGCGTGCAGAGGAAGCTGCACATGTGTTCCCTGCTATCGTGAGAACATGTACGGATAACGGGCGGTCTTGATAAGAAGACAGCATGACGTACTGAACCAGTTGTTGGCAGTGCTGACAGCCTGTAGGATGCCGCAACGGGGCAGCGTTGTAGTCCAATCTGTATACGACTTCACAGACTGTACAATAATTGACGTGTGCGTCCCAGCGCCGAGACAGATGGACACTGTTATTTCAACTACCCATCTTTTTCACGGCCTTGAGCTCCGGCAATACGGCATTGACTGAGACCTTTGTTCCAAAGCACCCCGTCTCATTCATCTCTCTCAATTTACAACAACAACAACTCGCCGCCAAGAAAATTCATAAAATACAACAAATATACAGAGTTATTACAACGCAGTCAAAATAGCATGGCTGATACTTGCGGTCAACCTGCCCAGCTCCCTTCTTCCTTCCCCCAGATAACTAGTTACAACACAGTCGTGGGGTGCATAGCCTTTCCCCCACCCCCCTCTTCGACTTCGACCGTATCGGGCCAATCAATCTATCAAGATAGGCAAAAGATAGGCTTCGCCCCTGCGCCAATGGGAAGCCCCTCCCTGGCGGTGCAACACCCGAGGTGCCGCGCTGCTGCTGCTGCTGCCATCAAATTCGCACCTTGTCCCCCTCTCATTTCAATGCTTACTTTGTGGCTGGCTACTTTGTATCAGTGGACTGCAGCAGGGCTATAGCTGAATGATACTGGGGGATACATAAACTAGGTCGGCTGGGAACTGGGTTTGGGTGACACGAGCTGTCGCAAATCGTCATTGCATGCGTCCATCTCATCGTCACGCGTCCACTGCCCATCTACGGCATGATTCTTTTTTATCTTATTTTATTCATTTTCTGTTATAGAACAAGAACCCCTATCCAAGACAAATTGTCGACTCTTTGCACTCAGTCCATGTCTGGTCGGTACTCCGTAGTGTCCGCGCAGAGCCTCCTCCGTCACATGCTTGTCAATACAGCCTGTTTAGTTATTGTCCCAACCCGGTCCCTCCCGGTCACGCAGGCACGACAAGGAAAAAGGAGAATAAAACTAAGCGGCTCGCTCTCCCGCCTTGCTCACAGAGATCTTCCCACATGTACATAAGTTTCCGCCTCAGTCCGACTAGTCTCACGCCCACCCCCCCCCCGCGCAGCCTTATCAGTGCTGGCCGCGCAGCCAATCACGACGCTCCAGTTTCCTGGTTTTCGCTACGACCGCCCGGATCCGTCATCGGAGCAAGCCGTTTCGCTCGCTGGCCCAGAAAAGCGACAAGAGCCATCGTCCTCTGGCTTGTCGCGGATACGTTCGACTGGGCAGTCAGTCTGTGATCCTGACAGTCTTTATTAATTGATATACATAGTCGCAGCCACGCGGACCAAATACACATCACCGTCGCTTGCTTAGTCGCCTTGGCAATATTCAGCACGACGCTTGCCATGTCTGAATGGTAAAACGCATTTTCTTATCTTCCAATCACATCGACTAGGCGCTCTCTTTTTTGACATCATTTTCATTCTATCGCCTGGTAGATCCCATTGATCTTGTGTCGCTTGATCAACAACACGCGACTCATCTTCCGTCTCTCGCGGAGCAACAAGTCGGATTACACTCTTGGTAGTTGATGGTGCGTTCTGTTTCCATACTCTCCACCTGACCGCTCAGTGCGTAAATCAAAAGATGCACAACTTTCCCGTCTGTTCCTGTCTCGTAATTTCAAACGTGGCAATATCGTGATTGCGATAATGTAGCATCAATCGATAACGACGGGGGATGGACGCATGCTGCGAACCTGGCCTGCACACACCACATTTGTCCTGGACAGGCCCTACTGCGACGCCATGGAGAGGCCGTCTCTGCGGCCCGCTGGAAATGTCATCCGAGGCGCGAGGCAGCACCCACTCCACGCGAAGCCCGTGGCTCCAGTACCCAGCCGCTGTGCTCTGCCGACTCGGAAGTCGAGTTGGCGTGAGGAGGAGTACTCTGCCTATGGGCGACCCGATAATCAGAAGCGAAAGCTCTGGTACATGGAGGATCAGGCTCATCCGGCTAGCGCCTCGAAAATAGGGCCGCATGTTTCGGTCGTGGAAGCTCCCAAGTGTCAGAGTGTCCGGGCAGTGAATGCCAATTTCCTTTTCCTCCTCAATGTCCTTTATCTCGAGACTTCTCAGCTCAAGATCTTTCTCGTACATGCGCACGAGACGATAGGCCCCTGAAGCAGGATCAGGAACAGCATGTGGAGAGTCACTAACTTCACGTGGTTGCTTGAGAAATCCTACCAACGGAAGTGTACCCTGCGGTAGGGGTACAATCCGACCCAAGTGCGGATAATAGACCAAGTTCTCACCCATTTCTTGCCATTTCAACTTCAAAGTTGGCTGCGATTGTTTAGAGAGAGCACAACCTTGCTGTTACTGACTGAATCACTCACCGGATAGGCGGAAGTTGGTATAGACGGTCTAGTGAAGGACCAGGGGGTGGGGAGGTGCAATGGTTCAAACATCTCTGGTAGAAGAGGCTCGGCTATTGCTGATAGCTCATTCAAGTCATCATCACTGTCCACTTCTTCCGCGGCTTCGGCCTGACCAGTCTCATTTTCGGTGTTGGCTTCGTTGTCATCGTCGCCGTCGTCATCTTCATCATCTTCATCATCTTCATCATCGGCGTCATCTTCGTCATCGCCGTTATCTTCAGCACCAGAGTCCTCAAATTCATCGTCAAATTGCTCATCAGTTGACAACTCTTCATCGCCCGAATCATCTCCAAGATGGACGTTGGCTGCGGCGGTCGCGGTGGCTGTCCCGAGAAAATTGACTATTGCATGAAGAGCATTCTGACCTGGCCAGACCATGTCCAGCGCTCGATCCAAGCCGGCATCGGGCGCGGGACACGGGTTATCGGGTATCGCTCGAACACAAGTCTCAAGATCAGCCATCGGTTGCGGGCATGACTTGTTGACAGGGAGTATTACACGGGGTGTTCCGCCAATGAGGTCCTCCACAGTATCGACTGTCAAGAAGCTGTCGTTGGACAAGGCCAAAATGCCCCAGGCTCTGCAAGCAAACTCATTAGCTCCGACACATGCTGCTCGCAGATATACACCTACCGTGAAGTTTCCGCAAGGTTTTCCTCACTGCGCCGTAAATTTGCAGCCGATGGCCTGATGCACAAGGCCGGCCGGCCGGCCGCCCAGATCTCCGAGATCCAGGTATATCCATCAATGTCGATTGAGCAAACCTTGTCAGCTTCGCCGCGGTCGTCGTCCATGAAGCATATGTTGGGAATATTGTTTGCCTGGTGGCCAAGCGCGAGGATGATTCGCCAGTTTTTGCTGCGTGTTCGTGCAAAGGCTGCCGGCCCATTGCCCGCTGCGTCGTCTTTGTCATTCGGCGGCGGGCTCTGTTTCTTGGAATTTTCCAACGCGAACGCAAACACGGTCACTTCCCGGCGATTAGAACTGACGGCAATCATACGCGATTGCCTGTGTACTGCCAAGCCCCACGCTGAGATTCCTACGTTCTCGCGAAAGAAGTGAACGGGTGGCTTCGCCGACGTTGACTTGCATCTTATTGAACCGCCTGGGTGTGCAAGAGGTGACTTTTTCTGATTCGATATCCATTCGGCGATTTCTCTTGTGTAGTATGCGTAGACTTCACCGTCATCGCAGCAGGCGACAAGAGCCTCTTCGTTTCCTAGAAATCCCGCCACGAGGTTGTTGATAGAATGAGGCACTACTCGATCTATATAGCTTCCGATGTACGGTGCAACACTGCTGGGCTCGCAGCGCAGCCGGTAATCAGGCTGGCGTGGGAGCCGCTGTCTCGCTATGCTTCGCGGCACATAGACGTAGATTTGGCTCTGATAGGCCACAAAGTACAACTGCACAGAATTAGCATGGGCGCAGGGCCTCGGGAGCTGCCGTGACAAACATTGTATGCTTGGGATAGTGCGGTCAAGTTGTTGCGATACAACTGCGGCGCAGGAACAGTGGCATAGATGGAGTGCTCGCTTGGCCTCTCTTGATCGATTGTTTCTGGTGTCCATAGGAATGGGACTTCGTGACCCAGAGCGGGAAGACCGAGGGCGGCTCGCTCGCGATTCCGAATGGCTGCCTTGGCCTCTGGACCAAACTGTTTGCTTGTACATTAGATGCGCACATGAGCAACGCTACATCATCGTTGGCATCTCACTCTATCCGTGGCCGTCTGCCAGTGACAGATGCCGACTGTGGCAGGCACCCATTTTCTTGGCGGCTGAGGCCCGGGCTCTTTGGCCGCCATGTGGTCGTGCAAGGACGCCCTTGAGACGTAGTGTTTCTGCTACGCCGACTACTCCGAGAGAGGTGCAGCGGAAGGGAAATAGTCGCCAAAGAGACTAGACCCGGTATTTGGGATGGATATCGATAAAGGGCTCTGGACAGCGCGAATGCTGGCTTGATAGAAAATGACGTCGTGGTGCTGAAGAACGAGAAGTCGTGAGGCGCAATAAACTGATGTGATGGTGGGTGGGGTGGGTACGGAGTGGTAGCTTATTATACGTACAGTCAAGTCCATCATGGCCTTGCCACTTGATGCGGCCCGCCCAACACGATGACAACCCCAGCGGCCAAGACTAAATATTAGGGTTTTTGTGGCCAAAATAATCATAACAATGCGGTTGGTGGTAAAGAGGTAGCTGTGGTTGGGGCTGTAACCCGAGACATCTATGTACGCGCTCTGTGCTACTGGCATCTGGGAATGACCTCGAACATGTCTACAAGCATCCCTGACGTAGAAATGACAGGCTTACATGTATTCGAAGCAGCCTTGCATCTTGACATCTGACAAATGTACCGCATTACTACCCTCATTTTGGTGGCACACATGATATTGTACTATCCGCGACAAAGTGTAGAAATGCAACGCGAGACCACGCACCGCAACCTCCCAATGTCGTGAGACGTGAGAGGTTTTGCCAACAAGACCCCAGCGAATATAGCCATTTTCTTGAAATCTCTTGATTTTTTACATCTTTTAATTTTTGCATCTCCCGACACCACCGCACGCCAAGCTCATCGCTGCATCAACTCCACCATGTCCTTCATCCGATAGTCCAGCACGGGGGTCTCCCAGTCCGCCTCGAGCAGCGCGTACGTTTCGACCGTGCTCTGGTACGCCTTTGTCGGGTTGACGGCCCAGTATCCGAAATCCGCATCGACGTCCTTGAGCAGGCGCCACAGGTTGCGCCAGTACCGTGCCCCGCCGCGGGACGTGTGCCGGGCGGCGCCGAGCTCGCCGACCCAGACCGGCGCGACGTCCTGTTCGAGCAGCCAGAGCCAGTTGTGGCGCATGGTGCCGACAAAGGATGCGTACCCGCGCTGGGCAAAGCGGCCGCCCCAGCTGCCCCAGCCGGACCAGGCGTAGACGTGCGCCGAGTAGACGAGCTTGTCGGGCGCGCGGCGCAGCACGACCGGACGGCGGCGCGCGCCCGACACGTCGTTGGCCGACTCGGTGCCCTCGACCACGACGAGCCAGTCCGGGTTCATGGCCAGCAGGCGGTCGCCGCAGCGCTCCGCGGCGGCGGCCCACGTCGCCCACGGCATGGTGCCCCAGAGCCCGCGGACCTCGTTGCGCAGGTCGACGGCGATGACGAGCGGGTCGTGGCGGAGGCGTGCCATGACGGTTTCCCAGTTGCGGATCCAGCCCTCCTCCGTCTGGCGCACCGCGCACAGCCCGCCGAGGTGGTCGTTGGCCCAGCCCGCGTCGCACGGGTTGGCGCCGCAGCACCACGTCGCCGTCGTGATGTGGTTGTTGACGATGACGGCCAGCCCCGCGTCCGTCAGCGCCGCCACGACGGCCTCGAGCACGTCGAGCGCCCGCAGGCCCGCCAGGTCCGGGTTGGCCAGCACCAGGTGCGGCGCGATGACGGGGTTGGTCAGCACCAGCTCGTCGGCGTACGGCAGCCGCACGCTGTTGAAGCCCAGTCGCCGGATCGTTTGCGCAATCGCCGTCCGGTGCCGCACCTCGAGCCCGCCCGGCACGAAGAGCTCGTCGCTCGCCCCATACCAGTTGACCGAGTGCAGCTTGAACCGGTCGCCGGCGGCGTCGACAATGTGGCGGCCGCGCGTGCGCAGCGGCAGCTTCCGCTGCAGGATGCTGTGCCGCTCCGAGGGCGGCGGCAGCGGCGCCTGGGCAAAGTCGTTGGTCGCGTCGTCGGGCAGCCACGGGGACTGTAGGTAGGCCTCGCGGCGCCAGATGTAGAGCGTGCCGGCCACGACGGCGGCCAGGAAGAGGAGAAGAAACATGCTGCACCAGGTAAAGCGACGGCGCTTCTTGAGGGTGCTACTGTGCCAGCGTGGCAAGGGTGTGTCGGGATCCCACGCTCCGTCTTCGTCGTCGGATGCCGCGGGTGACGGGATGCTGGTTGCTGGAGGACTGGCAGGAGCTTGCGACTCGTTCGGCCCCAGCAGGCGCAAGGATTCTTCCGCGGCGCTTGATATCGCGGTAGGAGCTGATGGAGTTGATGGAGGTGATGGAGGTGATGGGGCAGCCGTTGGATTATGTAGGGGTGATGAACCGCCCTTGCCAAGTCGCGACTTTTTGGCCATCATTTTCAGTGGTGCCACTTGGCACCAACTGGGCAATGAAGCACGCGACGTGCAGTAAGACACAAAGAAGACGAGAATTGCGAGGAAAATCTGCAGTAGAACCTCTTGCCAAAGATGATGATACTTTTTGCAAACCCAAAGATAGATAGTACGTGATAAATATGACCAGCTCCTGCGTCCAACGTTAGGATGAGGCCGTGAGATGAGGGCGAGTACATACCCTGCGGTCTACCAACTCGCAATGAATCACGTCGCCCAATACCGCGTTGGAAATATCTACCAAAGAGTCTGGTGCTTTGAATTGAAGAAGCAGTGTTCTCTTGTAGATTCCAAGTTGACCGGTCCCGAACGTGCCGCGTCTCGCTGTTGGCTTGCCTCCGGATCGGCCGGGACTGGTTAGATCTCTTTTCCCGCCGACGTTTGACTAACACAGTTTGAGTCTAAACTCTGGGGTTGTCGCGTGTGCGCACATGCGTACATGCCACGCTGAAGTTTGGTGGGTAGAACTGGTTCCAGATCATGGTCAATCGGACAGGGCGAAACGTTAGGAGGGATGAATGAGATGCAGAGTCGCCGTCTTGAGAGTTGCTGAAGACACTTGGTCGAATGGCCAGGCCGAGACGTCATGCGACGCCCTACGAGTCAGAGAAGGGGCTGATACAAGCCAGCAGTAATACAAATTAGTAGAAGATATATTGTGTGCAAGCGGCCGTCCAATAATACTAATTTTAGCTATTGCAGAAAACCACCAACACTGCTCTGAGCAGTACAGCGCCACATTCGGATTCGGCAAACGCGGAAAAATTCAGATATAATCGCATAGATTTTTTGTTATGAAAATGCTCTATATAAAACAGTAAAATGGTATACATCAGGCCAAGTAAACCATTCACATGGTACCGAATTAATTTTTGCTCAAAGAGCAATAGACTCCAACGCCGCGCTATAGTAAAAACGTAATGAACATTGAAATGCCCGGCAGAGTATTTCTCTTGCTCGGGCTTTCAGTAATATGGCAGCGCGCGGCTTGCTTTTTTTTCTCAGTTTCAGAGACACATTTTGCGATTGAAAACTGACTGGGTATAAGCCCTCGTGATCTTGCGGCGGCAGTTTGGCCGGCGCTTTCAAGGAATGAAGTCACAATGAAACAAAACTCCTTTCGCTTTCTTTTTGCATTTGAATCATGTGTTGGGTTAAAGTCGGTTCATGCCGAGCGGGTTCATGCTCCCGTATTTATCGGGTTCTTGTCCGAGTTCGAAGCCAGGTTGCGGCGATCGCGGGGACCGAGACGGCGGTGGTGGCGGCAGCGGCGAGCTAGGCGCGGGAGGAGTGTTGCCCGCAAAGGTCTGCTGCGTGTCCCATGATCGCGGGATAGGCGATCGGGGTGCTGAGAACGACCGCGAAGGCGCGTGGTATCGAGCGGCGTTTTGCTCATAGTACGCCGACGTCTTGCGTTCTGTGGACGGGTATTGTACTGCCGACGCCGGTGTTACCACGGTGCTGTTTTCTCGCGAGAGCATCTCATACGAACGTGTACCAGATTTCGCGTCGAGTCTGGCGTCGACAGACACGAACTCCTTTTTCTTAACATCGCCGCGGCCGATGAGATTCTTGAAGAGGTTGACCCAGCCGGTGAGCATGGATCGCCGGCCTAGTAGGAAGACGAGCCAAACGCCGTTGAGCTATCATCATGTTAGTACTTGATAGTAGGATGGACATTTTCATGGTGTACTCACGCCGAGTAGTAATAGCACGGCAGTCACGGTGGCTTGGTTGACAACAAACTTGCTCGCCTCCTTCAAGCATTTATTCTTGTCGCCCCCGGAGCCGATCAAGCAAAGCACCCAACTCTCTGCGATCTTGGGGTCCCTTGTGACGGATTCGACAACGTTATCCTGAAAGACGAAGATAACGGAAAAGAAGATGACGTCGGCAACAATGATGAGAACAATGGCAATACCGCGCCATTGAAGGGCAATAACGCGCTTGATGCGGCGGTAGGCCTGTCTTGGGGTCATGGTGCGGATGCTATTCGAGTAGGACGGCAGGCCAGATCCCTCAGTCGAAGCGGAGCTGTCCGCCAGAGACGCCAAGTACACCTTGACGCAGTATCCAAACGTAGCAAAAGTCGTAATGACGGTAGTGCCGGCGAAAATGAGCAGGGGAATCCAAAGGTCGGCCAAGCTGTTGTCGTGGTTAATGTGGCAGATGGTTCCGAAGCGGAAAGACACGCCGCTGAAGACCAAGGCCAGAATGATGCCAATGATGGGAATGCCCCATCCTGCGGCATGTGCAAAGTACATGAAGTCGCGGCCGACGGTGACCTGCCAGCAAATCTGAAGATGCAGCGACAGGGAGCGCAAAAACGCCCACATGACGCCAGACCAACCTCCGAGAATGAGGAGGCCGCCGGACGCGCCGCAAACGGTGCTCGTCTGCATGCCGTGGGGGGTGATCTTGTCGTAGCACTGCTCAGGGCGTGCGGCGAGGGGCACGACGAAGCCCATGTTCATGAGAAAGACGCCGGCGGTGAGGCAGATGCTGAGATAGTGACGGTTGGTCTTGTCGACAGGCAGGAAGGCCCACGACAGGAGGAGATACAGGCAGCATATCGCGCTGGCAGTGGCAACCCAGTTGGCGACACTGCCGATGGTGTTGAAGCTGTCGGGATAGACCCAGTCAGTCAGCGGGCAGGGCAAGCAGCATTCGATGCTGTCGGCGATTTTCTGGCAGAGGCGGCCGTCGACGACTGAAGACATGTTAGTGGGAGGCAAGGTGAAGTATCAAGATGCCGGCCAAGAAGCTCTTACATCCTTTACTGTTGGGATAGAGCCTTGCGTCGAAGAACGGCGGCGGGCAGAGATTGGCCATGTTGACTGCTTTGCTGAGAGACATGTTGGGTGGACGGCTGGTTGTGCAGGCGGTGGAATCGGTAGACGAAGGATAGGTAGTTGTTTGGGTGTTGCGACAAAGATTATGGCGGAATAAATGGAAAAAGACGTGGGTGTATTCTTGATAGATGGCCGGGCGGAAAGTCTATCGAGACGTGGTGTATGTGACGAGACAGGGTGGTAGGAGCAAGTGCAGAGACTCGTTTCGACGATCGTGTACGAGAAGTCGGCCAAGATGGGACGGGAATGCAGGGTTGAGTAAAGTCGATAGCAAAGAAAACAAGCACCGTCGGCGAGGTACGTGGCGAGAGAAGCAGAGTAAACTTTTAGGTCAGAGGAAGAGCAGTTCCATGTTGAATACGTGTAGGTTGTTTGTCGTGTAAGTTGAAGAGACAATGCCAGTATTGAATGATGGAATCAAACAGATACGGCAGCAGTGCAACTTCATTCAGACAAGACTTGCCCGAAGCAAGAAGAGGCAAAGAGAGGAAGAGAGAGAGATGGTCGAGGATAGAGTGGTGGGTACATGCGGGGAGGGCAGACGACTTATACAAGATGTGAGTGCGGCTGGGTTTGGGTTGATGATGGGCGTGGAGTGTGGGTAGGAAGCGAGTAAAGTGACAAGGGCTGCATTTTGCACGCCCAAGCAAAAAAGGAAACGCGCCAAGTGGGATGTGTTGAGGAGGGGGGAGGGGATGGATTGGCAGACGAGAAGAAGACGAGTCTGTGAAGTGCAGGATGGATTGATGAAGTGGGATAGGCTATAGGCTATAGCTTGCAGTTGTTGGACGGACGGGGGACATGGATCCTGGTGGAGTGGCTGGTGGATGATGGATGATGGGAGTGTCCGCTGAAGGAGCTTGGCCAGGGGAAGAGGAGGCGTGTGTTCAGAGGGCGAGTACGCTAAAAGGCAGGGCCACCCCTCTCCCCTCTTCCCCTGCAGGCACCGAGGGCCCACCTGACAGTGAAGAGACAGGAAAGTACAGGGGGCTGAGGCGTGGCAATGTGCTCTTCGGTGCACTTACAGCACACTGAGGGCTGGACATTCAGTACCTAAATCCTCCCTTCAGTGACGCTTCCACTAGACCCCATCCCCACCAGCCACCATCCTGCGAACAGCATGATGAAAAGAAATACTCTAGTGCTAAAAATACAGGCGTCCACCACACACTACAGCAACCGTCTGCAGCATGAAGTATATCCCTCCCTTGCCTTTCCAACAGGAGACAAAAAGAAGAAAAACGTCACACAATCCAGACAAGCCATGCCGTTACCCGTACACGCATGACAGACAATACGACCGACCGCTGCGGTGGCTGAAATCGACAGGTCTCCCCTGCGAAGCTGGGGTAGATACGGATAGGGGGGCGCTCAGAGACACCACAAGCGAAGCAAGACTCGACAATGCCACTCGTCATTTTCTGCAGCCCTGCTCGCCACCGTCTCCGTACAGAGTATACCAATGAGCGAGCAGAGACAATGTCCTACACAGCGATGCTTGGCTATACGGCCAATCAGAGACAGCATCGATCGACGACGAATTCTGGCCTCGTCCAATAGAGAGACACAGAACTAACTAAACCGAAAAAAAAAAGAAGAAAAAAAAGGAGAAGAAGAAGAAAACACGCGATGCCCTCTCTGTGTACACCGTCGCACAGCAGCCAGAGAAAAACGAACTTGTTCCAGTTCCAGGGCCGATGGAGATGGCAAGGCCCGCCTCCTCGCAGCATACATAGTGCAAGCGGCGCAACGCGTGGTGGCGGCGCCGGCTGCAGACGGGGGGGTGGAATAACGCCTCGTCTTTCTCAGACTGGTCGGTGGCGTCAAATATTGAAGCCTGAAAGCCCTTCTTTACCACCTATTTTCCTTGCCGTGCTGCGCTAAACAACGGCTCGCAGACTAGACCCGTTGCATCTATGTATTAGTGCCTACGGATACTGGTATGTACAAGACGAATAGCATCCAAATGAGCCCCCAACCTCAGTAGCGTCTTGGAATTCTCAGTTGAAGGCTTGAAGCCCGTCTCCTAATAAACTGCCTAGCGCACCACGCAACGTGCCGACTTGCTCACAAGGCTGGCATCTATCCACCGACCAGAGCCATACTAATCTGTACTTGTTCCACATCTCGGTCGTCCGTACGAGCGCAGAGAGAAACAAGACGAAGGTGTACCAAGTATAGATCAAGTATTGTCTGGTCCGCAAAGCCGTCTTTGCCCGCGAACCAATCCCGCTTCCTGTCCAAGCGGTTGATGCACCAGCGCTTTCGCCACATTCTGATATACGGATATACCAGCAATAAACGATTTTTTGCTCCTCCACCGTAGCTGACGAAAACAGAGCCAAGAATGACCAACGACAGCCCCCTCCGGCTGGGCTCTCATGCGCGCCGTACCAGAAAAGAAACCCAGGGCCTCTGACGGAGCGGACCACGGAATGGAGTCGTCAGCTGGGGCTGGCCTCTCTGCACGAATTAAAGACGCCGCGCCGAAAGGGCCAAGAGCCTTGTTTTGTACGTCCGTACATGCCAGCTACTATGCGCATGCGTAATGCTTCCACATTGCGTGTAGCTGCATATGCATTCTCATATACTGAGCAGTAAGAAACAAGTGCCTTGCAGCTTGCTCCGGGCCATGTCAAATACGACAAGTTTGATGCACTGCAGGTTCAACTACGAGATTTTAGACCAATCAGGCAAAGATATACTGGCGAATAGAATGATTCGACCTCGCTGCATGGCCGATTCATGACTCGTCCAATCACGGACGAGCAACGGACAATCGCCACGCCGCCACGCCACCATCACCAGGGCTCGCTTGTTGCCCTCTCGCCTCGAAATCCCCATTTGCCGCCCGTGGTAGTACTGCAGGATCGGTCAATGCTGAAAACGTGGAAAGAGAGAGAAGAAGCCCCTCGGGTGGTTCAGCATTTGTCATCTCGTACGGAGGGACGAGAAGCAGACCAGAACAGCGGGAGTGGCGTCGGCACAAGTAGAAAAACGCTGCTCGCTCGGTATAGGCCAGATGTAGACGACTGAGAGACAGGCCAAGAACGCCCAAACGCCCGGAAAGAAGCCAGTAACCGGCTCCGAAATCTGACTGGCTTACATCTTTTCTTCTTCGCTCCCCAAACCCGCCCCCGTGGCAAAATAAAGCACCAGCATATGAAAAGCAGAGAGAAATTGTTCCCTCTTCGCCTCCCATTGTAAATGCGACCTTTATTCCGACCTTCCCAGTTGAGCCTCCTTTCCGCTGCATTGTATCAAGCGAAGAAAAAAAAGATCCATCCGCCAGCTGAACTCGATCCTTGCCGTCTGCACGTCTATCCCAATCCGTTCGTCGCCAGGGCGGGTCGCGAAGCTTGGTCCCGTTCCAGAGTTATGGGACGAGATGGAGCCGTCTGCTGCACAGTTCAGACATAGGTACTTACGTTGTAGAAGCCCTTGACAGAATCTGAAGGAAAAAAAAGGTGGACCTTGATATAACCTGTCAATTATATCCTGGCGGTGCGAAGAGGCAACCCGCTAACAACTCCATGGCGAAACTGTCGTGAGGCAAGATGAACTTCCCCCAGCGCAGCATTCTGCTCAACAATGTGCCGTAGTGACCGTGGTATAATCGCGCCTGGCTTGCCTTTGTCCGCTCCGATTTCTCTTGGTGGTGCATTCCCTGGTGCAAAAGCCGCGTCTGCCTTTTCTGTATGGCCGCCCACTTACACAGTACAGCTGGTAATAGCATGAATGATATACCCCGCACACCTAGTCTTTTTTTTTTCTTACCAACGCAAAGGGTCTGCAAGCGGCCACTCGTTGCGAAAAAAGAAAACGTTGTAGAAGATTCTGCATGACAGATCCTCGATGACGAGACGCGAGGGGTTGGAAAAAGCGTCGGCGGCGACGGCACTTCCCGCAGTCGTTCACGCGACCAACATGGGACGCATAAAAAGACGCACTGGTGGACGGCCCCGCGACGACGACATCGTCAGTGCATGATTATAATCATAATACCGTGGTAGTATGAGGCAGGCTGCCCTGCTCGGGCCAGGGCCCTATCTCGCTTGAATATGTATGTGCCCCCCCGGCGACGGGATCGCACAGGGGAACCCACACGGGTCGGCAGCGACCCTGTGCGTGTGGCCTGACACTACGTTACTTATTACATACTGAACGCTGTCGATTGGTGTTTCTGTTGGGAGCTTGAATATTGGCATGAATATTGTCCAAGTGTTGTGATCTGCATACATGTAGTGTTCGATGGCTCAATGCGCCCGTCGGTCGAGCCGGCCGAAACGCATCATGATGGAAACATTCTCCAGAGCCGCGGATACAGAGGTTGGAAACTCGAAAGATGGACCGCGATGGCCCGTAAATGGATACGCCTGGGCCTCGAGTTGTCTCTCTCCTCACGGGTATCGAATCGCGTAAAACGCTCGGCGTCAAACATGTACCAGTTCTACATGCAACTACTGACTAGCAAAGTGTCTTACGGGCAACAGTACGAGTCACTAACATTACCGCAACTGCGAACAGAGGATTGGCGTTCTCTTGGCTGGTGCAAGCACCGCCTACACACCAGTTTCAGCTGACCTCCCCAGGGCAAGCTATCAAGCCCTGTTCCCTTCTATAACCATCATATAACTTCGTTCTTGCTCTGACCCTTTCGGCACCTCGAGAACTCGCCAGCCCTGCCAGTCTTGCGCTGAGAACAAACGCTGATGAATCAGATGGGTCAGGGCCATCTCACTGTTACCCCAGGAAACCCCTTGCGAAGCCAGCCCGCATCGCGTGGCATTCGGCGGTCTGTGCACTAGGATTGATGTGTGGGCGGGTTGTGCGCTGAGACATTTGCGTTGGAGGCGCTTCCAGCCAACCCATCTCCAGACTGGTGGTTTTTTTTCCTGGCCGGTCTGCATCGGATAGGCGTCCGGCAATAAATCATCTCAGTTGAATGGCAGGCTATTTGATGGGGTGCAGCGGCAGGATCTGGCATCCCCTTGTCATCCTGACTCGCTCGGACAGCGCTGAAGCACCATGGCGCTGCCGGCAGTTGTCACGACGCAGCGCCGAGCCATACCAGCCCATTCGTTTCTCTTTGCTCGTATTCTACTCGTCACCGTTATTGAAATGGCATCGCGTCCTGAAGGCACTGTATTTCTACTTTATTAATTTCGTGTTTTGTTTTTTTTTTGCCGCCGGGGGTGATCTAGCGGCCTCGGACAAACGGCGTCCTGGCCGTGTGAGTGGCCGGCCGTCCGCTGCGCATGCAAACCATACAAGCCCCTGCAAACAAAGCGCCGCCCCTGCTTGCACCGAGCCAACGAGATTCCCGTGCACATCGCGACGGGTGACGAGTCGAAGCGCAGTCACATCGTGACAAGACGGCAATGCTTGGAAGCTCCGGGCGCTCTATTAACCGCACACCCTCTTGCCTCGGCATATCATCCGATTGTACAGTCGACGTCGCAGCCGTCACCTTGGCTGGGAAGGGGAGGGGGCACGTCTGTTTGTTGAGCCCATCGAGACTGGCTTCTGCCAATACGGCAGGAAATTCTGATCACCATCATTCTCATCATCTGACCTTGAGGGAAGCATCTTGATACGCAAAACTTGCCGCCAGAGCTGCCGCTAGTGCAAGTGGCTGATCACGCAGACGTCGACTACTGGCCGTGGTCGGTTAGATGGCCCCCGTCCATGGGGTGCATTGCGTGGTAGCGCATCGCCTTATTACAAGATGTCAGTCTCGGCTTCAACTGAAGGTTGCCCGTTCCTTACGCTAACACAATGCTAGAATCCAAGTCATCCCGAATCCTGCTAACTAGCAAACCCCACGGTCGGCAGTTTACTGGCCAGTACGCCACCTCCAATCGCATCGTTTCGACGTCGCATCTATCCATCCATAGGGAGATATTTCTCACGACAATAAAGTCCTAAGATTCCTACTAACACCAACACAAATACTGAGACAATCCTACGTCACCATTCTAGTCCTCTTCTGCCTCTCGTTCCGATGTTTGCGAAACTTACTCTTCGGCGCACCCGAGGTTTCGTCTCTGGTCAGCCCTCGGAGAATCTGAGCCACACCACACGATTTATCAAGTGTGAGCATCAACTCCTTCTCCAATGTGAACGAAAACGCACCTTGCCCTGCTTAGCATTGGGCTGCCATCAGCTGTCCGTGTTGGCCAGCAGCGGCCACAATGCCTTCGTTACGAATACGCACAACATGTGAAATTGATCATCCAACTCGTTGTGCCGCCGACGACGCGGGGATTTGTTCGGGCTCGGCATGGCAAGAATCTACCCTTATAAGCCGAGGCTACGACATGAGTTGACAGCCAACTCGGGTCGCTGTTAAACGATCGCCTACACGAGCAGTACGTCACATCCCAGCAATCTTATCACGATTTATAGATATAATGGATTCTCACGCACCGTTTCTGCTTGTCACGCGACTTGATGTTCCCGCTCCCGCCGCAGCGATGCATTCCCATCGCTCCAAAGTCAATCGAATTGCTTCATGGCTAGTAGACAGCTGCCGCATTCAACCCCACAGCGCCACGCCGACAGCCACCATGCGGCTAGTTGATGCAAGCCAAGGTCAGTCCAGAGACTGCCTCATGTGTCAAAATCTTTTCTCCATGCTGTCCTCGGCCCTGGCCAGTTTTCCTCGGCCAATATCGATCATGGCCAAGGATGGCTCGTGGCGGAACCAGTAATGGTCTGGCCATGACCTCCTCTTGGACCCGTTTACCCCGACAAATCGATGGCTTGCAGTCGGAGTTTGCGTGCGAACCACACGCTCTCCGTGCCCGGCTCAATCATGAGCTCTCTGGCAGCTAGCGTCTGTTCTAGAAGGGGGCTTCGACGCATCCTCGTCAGGGCTGCCTTTGATACTAATAGGGGAGGCTTTGCACGACATCCACAGCCGGCAGCCGTTGTCTTCTACTCGAGAGCGTTCATTCTCGGGGATTCATGACCGACGCACTTGGTGTAAGCTTGGTGTGCATTCATATAGCTATTGAAGCGAAAGCTCCAAGCTTCAACTGCCTATGACGGCTGTGAAATGCATCATTTGGGAATAGCGCGGCTGCAGCCTGCAGCATGCAAGTGTCGCAGAACAGTTCCTTTGCGGTTCCAGGGCTTGCGCTACCATCCCACGTGCATTCCGAGCCTACAGAAAGAGTCCACCTTGTGCAATTACCACGCGATGCAGCGCGCCACGGAATAGAAGTCCAGGTCTCAATATCTACCAGCGCCGGATCGCAAACACATGGGATGGGTTAATTTCCCCGCGCAATAGCTCCCCAGGATCAAACAGATAGATACCCTTACGATATGGATATGGTCCGTTCAAACCCTTCTTTTCAACAACTTTTTGGTGGGACGTTGCGCGGCGCGAACCAACGCCACGGGCCTTGCATCCTAATAATGGGGGCGATGGGCCACACGCCCCTCCTCCTGCTACAGACTTTCCCAATTTCGATACAGGTCCGTGCTATGGAGTCGATGGCGGCCGTGCTAGACAGGGCACAAACGCCATGTGCACGCCATGAACAGAGGCACGACTTGAGACCTTTTGAGTATTCTCCCCTCATGGCGCCGCGAAGGTATCGCCATTGGGTGCTGCGAGTGACCTTTTCCTCGGCGCGCTCCAGAGAGCCGGGTCTGGACTGTGCGCCGCCGCACTAGTCGTCTTGTTCGTCGACATGCATTCAGATCCATGAAGCACAGTTTCCTGACATTGCTGATCGATGTACGAAGTAAAACCGAGGCTGTCTCTGAGAACGTGTCAGTGGGCGTACTGTTGAGTTGTACCAATACTGTGTGTTACGTGTCTCGACATGGCTCTGCCTCGGTTCTAGAAGAGCGAGGTTTGGTTTTCATTGGTCGGTTTAGCTGCGACGATGCCGCCTGTTGAGCAACCTCGGAGCCGTTGCGAGGAAAGGCTTCTCGTATAAGAACATGTCTCGAGGTCAAGTAGGACACTGCGTTGAAGAATGTGTCGGCCAATCCAATGCACATCCGAATCGCTGGGGCATGCATGCGCACCCGCACCCTACAAGACGCAGCCTTGTTTTGCGTGCTGTCTGTACGGAGTACAAATTACGGATACCGAACTACACCAGACAGGGCCCCCTGGTGCGTATTCAACGGTATAAACGGACAGTCGGGTTGGTGGAGTTGTCCCGTCACCCGCGGAGTCCCGTAGGATGTCAGGCAGAGACGGACCAAAGGGCAATGTTGTTGCAGGGTTTATTAGTACTCAATAGAAACAGACGCGAAGACGAAATTACAAATACGGCCCGCAATCGGGATCGCGCTCTTTCGAGTCTGGGGCCCAAGTCGCTGGAGTTGTGCGTTGGGGCTGTCACGCCCTACGGTGATGGCGTCTGTTCGCAGTTCTCAATCGGCGCGGTGGAGAAGAGCACTCCAAGCAGATTGAGAGAATCTCGCAACCAGGTCGTTAACATTATGATGACTGCCCCATACAGGTGACAACGTATTTTAATGCCTGTATCCGTATGAAGAATGAGGTCATGGGTGCTCGATTTGAGAGAGCTAAACGCCATTCTGTGAGACTAGGCTTGGATGCTCCCAATTTAAACTGTTATATTCCAGTTGAAGGGCACAGGCTCCGGCTTTTCCAATTGCAAAACTACCCAGATTTTGGGTTGCATTGCGGTAAACCAAAATTTGACATCATATATATAGAGTTGCACGATGAGCAGAGACTTGAGAACAGGGCGCAAGTCGGGTTGTCAGCACAAGTGAGCATTTGGAAGTAGACTAGTTAGGAAAAAGACCTGCGTAGAAAACAGCTGTGCTGATCCGACTGTTTCTGCTTGCAACTCATGTTTAATGAGGAGGAATGTTTCCAAACATGTTATGTGTGATTCGAACATGATCATAATTGACCATCCCGTAACCTATTTACAGTTTCACTTACCCATTCATCATTCTTGAGCTTCATAGGTCAACACCAATGCCAGATCTATCCCGCCGGGCTCTTTCTGACACCTGTCTCGGTTTGTCTTGGCTCTTGCAGACATCCTGTCCAAGCGCAGCACCTCGATGCGGGGCGCGCACTTCAACAAAAGTGTTGATCTTGGACTCTTCAGTGTATTTCCAAGGTCATCCCGCTCCAATCTGTAAGCAGAACGAGGTGTTTTCACGACTCAGCGTCGGTTCCCTTGCCAGTGGCCGATGCAAATGCCGTGCACGTCAAGTACACCCCTATAACCATGCCGACGGTGAAGCCTACGTGTACGAATATAGATGGTTGGGTCGATGAAACAGTATTCTCAACAGACGCCCTTGCCACGACTCTCTGCGTTATCTGGCGGAGTGGCCGCGTTGTCGACATGTCACCTGCCCGACGACTCACCGAGCCCGGAGTGGCGGGCATAAAAAAGGAAACAAATCGAAAGATCAAAAGGACAATCAAGGAGAATACATAAAACGGCCGTTTTCATTTGCCGAGCCGGGGGTCTGGATGGGGGTCGGCTCCGACTCAAGAAAAAAAAACGTGGAAATTTTTCCCCATCTAGGTAAAACCAGTGCTTACAGCCACGCCCGGTTTTTTTTTTCTTTTTTTATCACACACATGTTTCAGTTGCGGGAGAGTGTCGCTTCTTTTCAATTTCGACCTTTGCGAAAATACGATCCGGCAGGAGACGCTAGAGCGGCAAAGGCCAGTATTTATGACAGGGCTGCCTGCTGGCGCGTACGCCACAGCGAACCGCTCATCAAAATACCCTTGATAAAATGTGGCATCGGGGGGCGGCTGGGAACCTGACAAGCAAACTGATAGTTCTAAATGGGTGGCTTTTGCTTCTATGCCCTGTCGGCCCAGTTCATAAAGTAATAGATGGAAACCCAGAGTCTCGGGTTTCCAGATGGAAACCCCCTTGCCAGCCACGGCGTTGTCACGTACACATTTTGAACACGCGGAAAAGAACAGGTTATAGTAATTACGTGGCGGCACTAGATGAACAAGCATCAGGATTCCATATTGTACATTGCTATAGCTATTTCTATGTATAATGGGTGGCGACTTCAGTTGTGTCTGTCAGGGCCAAAATCGCGCGCATCGAGCGACAGCTTCTTTATCCGCGCGGTTCTTCTCCCCCTTCTCTTCCGAGGCTCTCGAGTACATTCAGTTGCTTTTTCCAGTACAATGTTGATTGACAATGTATGCATGACTGCGTGTAGCTGTAGCCTTCATTTCTTCCTTCTCATCAACAGCGTGCAAACTACTTCGTATCATGATGTCTAATCACACTGCACTTTCATGTGAAAGGAAAGATTTCCTCTGGTATATCAATGCCTCCTACCCCCCTCTTCCTACTCTCCTTGCTCATTGTCCATTCACATATCAACCCAAGCCCATTGCCAACATGGACTCGGCATAATATGGGCACCAACGGAACGCCGCCCTGGTCACCAGCGCCGCCCGAGCGACGAATACTGCTTCAGCGGCTACCGCTTTCGCTTTGGTAGACGCTGTAACATTTTAACACAAAGATAAGGAGCGAGCCAGCGTTTTCATCCACGACCAACGTAGCCATACCCTAAAGAACTTGGTTGGCATACGCCGGCCGGGTGCCAAGCTCGCCGTCGTCCCAGCCCGGCGGGTTCGATGCCGCGCGTCCGGGAGGCTCGGCTGGCCTGTGCTCTCCCTTTTTTCCGCCGAAAATTCTCCTTGGTGTGCCTTGGCTAGCAGCTATTCCAGCTTTGAGACTCACTCCCGTCCTCCGCTCTGCTGGTGGACACCAGCAATGGTCCTGTCGCTGTCTCGCGTCCTCAGTCAAGCCTTTTGCCCAGGTTCTTGTCGCCCCCTGTTTGTCATCGCGCACTTGGCACGATACCGAGCGTCAGGGGTTGGCTCCAGAGTCAATGTGGCTTACATGGAGCGAGAGGGGGGTGCAGAGACGAGTCAGTGGGGATCCGAGGCAGCTGCATTAATGGACAAAATGAAGATGCATCTTGGCATGGCAGCGATTACAAATTCTTATCACTGAAAGTATGAGATTACTCGTGCGTCTTCGATAGTCTTGCTTCGCGATTTCATTTCTTAATTCTACGGGATGTGGGCTTCTGATCTATTTATACGACTTAGAGCGCCACAACTAGTGACCGCTGGCGACGGCTGCAGCCGGGACCACGTTAGATGGGGGAAGAATCTATGCAGCATTCTTCACTACCTCATCGATTCGCCTCTCCTGACCTATCGTCCAAGAGACGCCGTCTTGAATGATGTGTAGCATCGCGCCGTAGCTCACGGGTAAGGCGTCCCGCGCCGCTCGGTCCAAAAACCTTACTTATTTATACTTGGGCACAACAGCACTAGCATGTTTCAAGCGCACATGCCCCCGACCCATGATGATATCTGATCCTCCTCCACTGAGATATTTATGCTCTGTCGAGCACGTCCGGTTATTGAACAAGTACATACGCGTGTTCGTCTGATGCGTTACGGCCGTTGGATCTGAGTGCGCATGTGGCGTAAAAAGTTGGTTGGTCTTCCTGCCAGTAAAGAGGCTTGGATTTGATATGCAGCGATGATCAGTTCAACATGATCAGCTCAACATGACCAGTTAGAGGTCAAAATCTAGTGAAACGAGCAACACTTGCGTCGGAGGAGCTTCAGGACACGCAGTAGTCATGAATTTTCTTGAGCTACGTCAGCAAACCCCTCTCGTAAGCTCATCTGGATGAGACTCGTACAAGTTATGAGCCAGGTTGACCTTCGTGGCGCAGATAGTGGGCGCTCCTTCGCAATATAGGGTAGGCAACATTCACGGCTATCATATCGATGCCTCGAATTTGCGTCCTAGGGGACCTGTAATCTTAGTGGGTTCCTCGTAAGAATTGTCTGAAAAATTGAGGCTGACATTGGTATTTTGCAATTTTTTGCCAATCGCTTAAGCAGCATTGAGGCTGCCATGGCGCCGCATCATCGCGGTTACACACACGATGACGTCGGCCCCGCCTTGATGGGCATATTTCATCCCACTTCAGCCTTGTTGCCAACCGCATCAACTGTCTGAAATTCACATTCATAGCATTCTCCAACTGTTGAGGATTTGGCCGAGACTCATTCCACCGCGATACCTCAGTAAAATACTGGAGTTGTCGTCACAGCGGCATTGGACCACTGCGTCACACAAAGAGCCATATAAAAACTCATCTCTGACATCCCAACATCCATCGCAACCATGGCGACGCCGCTCGTTCCAGCATTCCAAATCGCACGCGATGCCTGCCTCCCGGCACCATCCACCATCAAGGTCAAGAACCTCCGCGCTACGATCCAGGGTCCCCACGACGCCTGGGGCCGGCCCGACCGGCCGCAGCCCATTGCTATCTCCGCCGCCGTCTCCCTCGACGCGCCGTTTGGCGCGTCCTCGTCCACCGATACCGTCGCCGCGGACACGGTCCACTACGGGCTTCTCAGCAAGGGAATCCTGTCCGTCCTCGCCGCCGCCGTGCCCGGGCAGAGCCTGCGGCACCTGCTGGACACGACCTGGGTCGAGATGACGGGCTTCGACTCGCGCGGACAGGATGTGCGTGCAAGCGCGCAGCAGGCGCAGCAGGCGCAGCAGAGAATGCAGCCACCGTTCCTCCACTTTGCGCAGCTGCGGGCGCTGGAGATCTCGCTGCACTTGCCCAAAGCGACGCTGCTTGGGGACGGCGTCACGCTGACCGTCATGGGCGGCTTTGAGGCGGCTGCGGCGGAGAGCGGCGCGCTGGTCAAGTCGGTTATGCGCCAGAGCGCCGTCTCGCTCAAGATTCACCGTCTACGGGTTCCGACCCTGATTGGCGTAAACAGCAATGAGAGGCTGGCCAAGCAGGTCGTGGTTGCAAACGTGGAAATTGACAGACTGGAGGATGATCTGGATGTCTACCCCGAACTGGAGCAGGTCGTGATTCAGGTAAGCCACAGCCACGCAACAACTTGAACATGTCTCTAGGTCTGCTTTCCTAACTCCGCTACTAGGTCATGTCCAATTCTTCATACGAGACTCTCGAGGCCCTGGGAACTCAACTGACAGTGGTCCTCGCGGCGCATCTTCACAGAAAGCACACACCGCCTCGCGATGGCGCCGGGTGGGACATCAACATTTCGCTGGAGAAGCCGATCGCGGTGCCTCTTGCAGACGCGGCGTGTGTGGAGATGAGCACAAACACGGCAAATGTGCCGAACGAAAGCACGACTCTTTAAACGATATGGGTATTGATGTATCTAAAAAAGTTGCTGGTCTCTGGAGACACACTGAATATAAATCTAAAAGAATAGCCTACTAGTAAGCTTCAAGACAAACAGAAAACACCTGAAGCTTGTCCTGAATAGAGAAGAAATAAAAAGCAAAGTCTCGCTGTCTAATGTTTCATGTCACATAAAATACAATCAAATGAAGAAGAAAAACAGCACGCGATCCTACGAGAGAACAACACTCAGTATCCAAAGCCGAATCCTCAAGCTATTCAGTGAACTTGTTGCACTGAGGGATATCGCCGTTGGTCACCTGGTGGATGAAGTCGGGGTCAGGGTCGAAGAGCATGACGTGAAAGTGCTCGACGGCATGGATGGACTTGAGCGCAGCCCAGTTCTTGAACCACATGACCTGCTGGGGTTAGTACACCATACATACACACAACACCAAGGTGCGCAACGGACAACATGCACAAGACTGCGGGTGAGCCCGGGGGTTGGGGGGATTGTTGACAACTTACATGACCCTCGGGCATCTTGGAGCGAAACGTGTCGGTCACGTAGCCTTCAATCTCCGCACGCGCCTTGTCCGTCAAGTCACCCGTCGCCGGGTCGGCAACGAGCTCAAACTTGGTCCAGACGACGAGGTGGATGATGCGCGAGTCGAGCCCGTACGGCCAGTCGTTGTAGAGCACCTTGACGTCGTCGGGGTGCTGAAAGGGCGGGCCGCGGGGCCGCACGGGGGCTTCCCAGCGCAGGCGCTCGTCGAGGATAAAGGCGGCAATGGTGCCGTGGCGCTGCGCGGTGAGGTAGGTGAACTTTTTGTAGCGGCGCAGCTGCGAGGGCACGCGCTGGAAGCGCTCGAGCCGGTTGCTCGTGACGATGCGCGCGACCTCGGCCCACGGCAGGATCTCGTAGGCCGAGTCGGGCGTCGACACGCCGCGCAGGTCCTTGGGGTTCAGCCCGTGCAGGAACGCGGGACACTCGGCGGTGCGGTCGTGGTCGGGGACGTTGACGTGCCAGAAGGGAACGACGTCGAGAGAGCCCATGGTGGTGCGGTAGTGGCGGCGGCGGTGGTGGTGGTTGTAAAATGAAACAAGGTATATTCTTTCGTTACTTGTTGATTTGGGCGAGTCCGAGGAAAAGAAAAAAAAAAGCTCTAATGGTTGATATGTTGTCGATGCGCGAGAGTTTTATGTGAGGGCGTCGCGGCGGAGGCCCCGGCGTGGCGGTACTGCCTTTTTCGTACACTGCGCCAACAGCTTGAGGTGGGTTTTGTCGCAAGGAATGTAGACGACTGAGTCTTGATGTGTAGGAGCGCAAAAAAGAAAAAAAAAAGAGCGTGTAAGACTGGCTCCGTGAATTTTAATATATAGATGAGGAAACAAGAAAAAGAAGAGGCAAAAAACTTGGGCCGAGGGAATGGGAAACAGGTCAATCTTATCCAGTGCTCAGGTCCACGATGCGAGGGCAGAATGCTGACTGGTTGGGCGGAGCCGTAGAGGTTTTACAATGCTAATCAGAGAAAAGTCCAACGGGTGCCATCTATGAGTGGTTGGAATGGTGTAATGCGACCGACGGGTTGAGTCATGGAACCGGCCGGTGTTATCGTAAGGAGGTGAGCGCCTGCAAAGACTAACACTGCGCCGGTGTAGCCCTGTGGTTTCGGAGCCGGGGCGGATGCAACGTTGTGGCCAGCTGGGGAAGCGGATGGACGGATGGATGGTACCTAGGGTGGGGGAGGAAACCAGTTGATAATACTGATAATAGGCCGAGGGGGAGTATTGGCCAGGGCCAGGCATCGGACAATGAACAGCCAGAAACATTTCCACAGACGACGGTGAATGAACCAGACGGGCTTCTCAAGAGAGGCACTGGGAACTCGCTTGTGCGATTCCTGTGCAAGGTTTCAGGAACATGATGACTGTGGACGATTAAGATCATTAGCTTACACCGATATAGCACTCACGAAACTAGCTACGATCTTTAGAAGAAAAGGACGTCGTGTCCCGGGCGAGAGTATTTCTAGACCATCACGGACAAAGAATGGCATGTGCGTACTCGTTGCTTATATATCTCGTGGCTTATATATGACATTGCTAAGAGTCATGTGCTCTCGGAGTCGGTCCGGCGAGGAAACCGGCGTCTCACGGAAGCTCCGTCTGGGTGGCGGCGCCAAAGCTGAATGGTATCTAGTGTCATCGAGCAAGACAAGAATTGTGTGGCCTCGAGTGCCCGGCCTGGGAACCGGCGCAAAGCGTAGAATAGGCATGTACCTAATTTGTAGGTAGTTATGAACTAGCGGCCATACTGTGTCTTGCCTAATGATCCCCCCTAGTTAATAGTACCAGTATTAGTTAGTTACTGCTGGGCCAGTGCCGGCCCCACGTGTGAGGCAGGCAAGGAGCCGACTCGCTGCGTGTTTGGTCTCTGTGAGAAAGACAAAAGGGTGTCTGGCTGATGGTGGAAGTGACGTTGTGTGGTGACCCATGGGCCAGAAGAGACATGACGACTTTGATCCTGGCAGATGAAATTTTGCAATAGGGATGCTGGACAAAGCAGAAGCGGAAGGCGGAACAAGCGAAAACTCAATTCAACTCCCCAACACGGTTCTCAATAGCCGATAGCTGATGCTAACTACTATCGCACACTCTGAGGAGGCCCCGTACGCTAACCTGAGATGCACAAGATCTTGAATAAGCGGATCAGAGAACTGCCATGTTGGGCTCGGCTGATGTTGGGGAGAGTGGCAAATGTTGGAGAGGGACGAGCGGTCAAGTTATCGCAATCGTTCGAGTGATGGAATTTGGTCGCCGGTGGCTGGCTGGTGGCTCACCATGACCAGGTACAGCTGAAAGGCGAGAGTGCAGGCTGCTGGGCAGCAATTTGGGCCGTATTGGCACGAGGGAAGCACATGCTGGTTTATTGGTACCTATTTACTCTGTAATACGGAGCAGTATGATTGATTTATCCGGGTGCGCTGAAGCTGAGCCAAAAATGAGGGCAGTTTGTTTTATTAAGTTTAATGGTAGGTCTAACAGCGCATCTAGCGCACACTATAGCGGGGAAGGCGTAGAGTTTTGGCGCTAACAGCTCTAAAAGCCCGCTGAAGAGCCGCTGCAAAGGCATAAAGAGGAGGAGAGGGGGTTGAGCGCTTTGGCGTGCGGTGTTTTCAAGTTTGGTATGACCTGGTGTAGTATTGATTGTTCAGAAAGATTTTTCATGCCTTGTTTCTGCAAGCCTTGCTGCAAGCCACACATCGCCCTCCAGCTAGTGCTCATTGTTGCCCGTGCTTGATTGGCCGTTGCTTGGGGATAGGTAGGTGGCAGTAGGACAGGGCAAAAAAAAAAAAAAAGACTTCTGTTGGGGCTGATGAGGGAATTGATATTGATCACAACGCCAGACGGGCAGTGCTGGGCCAATGCGCAGATGGAATAGACATGGGATGTAGGTTTGTAATTAGAAATTTTCCAATAATAGTTGAAGTACATTGGCATGGTTGTGGCAGGGGGGAGGAGGGTTACAGTGCAGAAGAGAATCACGGCTACCGATATCTCCAAACCTCCCAAGGTATTAGTTAGGTACTCCAAGGTAGAAACAGGCAGCTTCAAACTGATATATAGATGCAAACAGTCGCCACCACCTGCACCAAACCACACGCCTCTCTTGCCGCCACATCACAACATCGCCCCGTCTCTCTCAATCCCTTCCTTCTTACTATTCTCACAGCCACGTTCCTCTCCCCATTGTCTCTGCCCGCGCCCCAAAACCAAAACCAGGGCCACGCTGCCATCTCATTTGCTGCAAACAGGGGAGAGCTCCAACCCACCCCGCTGCCCTCATCGAACCAGCCCCGCCTTTGGTCGCCCCTTTCACTTCCTTCTTTTCTAGTTATTACAACTCTCCTCCAGTGTCTCTCTTGTCTCTCTTATTTCAACCCGGACCTTGCTGGACATCAACTCCCTTTTCCTTCTCTTACCTCCTCTCCATCGATTGTACTGGACCTCGCTCCTCGACCGAATCGATCCCGCTTGCCACACTGTCGTACTATCAACGCTTCTCCATCATGGCGGAAGCTATCAAGAGTGCTCTTCCCTCTCACCTCCGTCCTACCGCCACTGGCAAGGACGAGGAGAACAATGGTTTCGAGAAGCGTCATCACGGCAAGACGCGCAGCCACATGGTAAGCTCCTAGCCACTCTCTGTCACTGTGATTCAGAGCTCCTCTGCTTCTCGTCACTGCTCTCGCCTCCCGCCCAATCACTGGCTTGCCCGCCACCGTGCTACCCCTCGGCCGAGTCTATGATGACCTCACTGCTGTCAACAGACCACCCTGGCCCCATCCACGTTGAACACGACCGTTGCTGAACACCTGGCGATACCCATTCCTTGCCTCATGGGATTCATCGTCGCGCGGCCTCGCAGATCATGTTTTGGCAGGTGACAGGCAACGGTATTCGTCAGGGTCGCACTTCCATGTCGCTGGAGGCTTGCTCTCCGCCTGCGCAGAGCAAGCTGCGCCACCATGGCCACACGTTTATATTAATACCACCACGTTCCCTCCACTCCCCCCCTCGATACGAGCTTACAATTCTCTACAATCATGGAACCTCAAATAACCAACCTCTCTCACCAGGCCTTTGAGAACACCTCTACCAATGTTGCCGCGGCCCAGATGCGCAATGCCCTCACAAACCTCGCCGAGACGGTCGAGGACCCCAAGCAGAAGAAGGTGAGATTCACTGTTCATCCTAGCAGTTCCGCCTATCCTGACCCGCTTTAGCTCTTCGAAACCGAAATGGACAACTTCTTCGCTCTCTTCCGCCGCTACTTGAACGACAAGGCCAAGGGAAACGTCGTGTAAGCAACACCTCTGTTTCCCATCCTCCTGATATCGAGCTAACATGCGCAGTGACTGGGAACGCATCCGCCCCCCTGCTGCCGGCCAGGTCGTCGACTATGAGGACCTCGCCAACTCCGAGTCAGTTCAGTTTCTCAACAAGCTTGCCGTCCTCAAGCTCAATGGTGGTCTCGGTACCTCCATGGGCTGCGTTGGCCCCAAGTCCGTCATTGAGGTCCGCGACGGCATGTCCTTCCTCGACCTTTCCGTCCGTCAGATCGAGTTCCTCAACCGCACATACGACGTCAATGTCCCTTTCCTCCTCATGAACTCGTTCAACACCAACGACGATACCGCTGCCATCATCAAGAAGTACGAGGGCCACAACGTCGATATCCTCACCTTCAACCAGTCCCGCTACCCCAGAATCTTCAAGGACTCTCAGCTCCCTGTTCCCAGCAACTACAACTCGGCCATTAGCGAGTGGTACCCTCCTGGTCACGGTGACGTCTTCGAGTCTCTCTACAACTCTGGTGTTCTAGACCAGCTCCTCGAGCGCGGCATCGAGATCATCTTCCTCTCCAACGTTGATAACCTGGGTGCCGTAGTTGACCTGCGCATCCTACAGCACATGATGGAGACCAAGGCCGAGTACATTATGGAACTCACCAACAAGACCAAGGCCGACGTTAAGGGTGGTACTATTATCGACTATGATGGCTCCGTCCGCCTGCTCGAAATCGCCCAGGTTCCCAAGGAGCACGTGAATGACTTCAAGTCGATTAAGAAGTTCAAGTACTTCAACACCAACAACATCTGGCTCAACCTCCGTGCTATCAAGCGCGTTGTCGAGAACGACGAGCTTGAGATGGAGATTATTCCCAATGCCAAGACCATCCCTGGCGACAAGAAGGGCGAGTCTGACATTTCCATTATGCAGCTCGAGACTGCTGTCGGCGCCGCTATTCGCCACTTCAAAAATGCCCACGGTGTCAACGTCCCCCGTCGCCGCTTCCTTCCCGTCAAGACATGCTCGGACCTCATGCTGGTCAAGTCCGATCTCTACACTCTCAAGCACGGTCAGCTCCAGATGAGCGCCAACCGCTTCGGTGATGCTCCCCTTATCAAGCTTGGTAGCGACTTCAAGAAGGTCTCCGACTTCCAGAAGCACATTCCTTCTATCCCCAAGGTTCTCGAGCTGGACCACCTGACCATCACCGGTGCTGTGAACCTGGGCCGTGGTGTCACGCTCAAGGGCACTGTTATTATTGTCGCCACCGAGGGAAGCACCATTGATATCCCCCCCGGCTCTATTCTCGAAAACGTCGTCGTTCAGGGCTCGCTACGCCTGCTTGAGCATTAAGCGGGGTTTCATTGTCTTTTACTCAACGCAAGAAAACGGAATATCCCTTGATAGCATAATGTCGGGAACTTGCCCGCTACACACGCGATGCCGAGGTTAGAAATAATTCATTTTCCTGTGGAAGCGTTAGGTGAAGGGGTTGGACCAGGTGCAGGCATGTCATCATCTAGTGATGCTGAGGAGACGGTTCTTTTCTCATAAGCCGGGTTGCTTTTGCGAGTCGAGAGACTCGGGCACAGTACTGTATGTATTTAATATGTCCATAGGATGAAAGGCACGCCATTTTTCGTTGACAAACATGGCACATTTGTGATTTGTCCTGCCACAGGTGGTTGCGCTGAAGGAGAGCCCCGAGACGTAGGCTGGCTGTCGTAGTCTGTTGGACGCGTTGAAAATGGATAAAACATTCTTTCCGGGAAGCGCCAGGACAAACGCGCCCGCTGCACGCCTTTAAGGAATGAGATGCATACACCTGGACAAACAGATAGTCGGCTTGATAATGATACTCGTTTCTTTGTGGCTGGCACAGCCCGAGTTTGGACGTGGGGAAACGACAAAAGCAGGTTCAGCTCACGCCCGCACAGCTGGCGACAACAAAAGATACCTACGAGGAGTCGCGCAATTGGAAAGGTTGACAACCTTTTCGGTGGCCCCTGGCGAGTTGCTGATAACCTCGTATCGAAGCGCGAAAAGCTGACGAGTCCATCATGACGCCACAGACGGGTCCAAAATTAATCACAGTAGGCCAGCGGTGGCGTTGGCGTCTTCGTACAGCAGCACTTGGCATTGAGCGGCCCGTCCGCGCAGCAGGGTCAGGCCTTGTGCTGCAGGGGCCGTGTTGATGCGCTGCGGTTCGTGATAGGCGATGATCTGGCGGGGTGCATTGAGACTTTGCATCAACCTGTTGCAGATTGCGCTTTCTGTTGGTCGATTTCCCCGCGTTGCCTGTATTTTGTATGTATTTGGACCGGCCGGTGGCTTGATGGACTAGTGCTACCGTTTGACCATCTATGGGCTCGCCGTTTGTGCCATTCGGAATGAGATGACGCGTGTAGTAGACTTGGCGTGGGCCCGCAGAAGTGATGCCAAGGGTTGCCGCAGGAGGGAACAACTGATGTCGAGAAATGGTGCAGAGGAATGGCCCTAGTTAGGCCTCGTGTGTGGTCAAGCTTCGTGTGAAGTTGGAGTTGGGACAAGTGTAGACTAACTATAGTTACCTAAGTAGTTACATAGACTGACCCGTTGGAGGAATGCGATGGGTGGCGTTTGTATGGAGTGCATGGACTCGGACGAAGGCTTCGGCAAGGACGGCTTGCAAGTCGACCAACCAGCATCACGGCCCGGCGCCGCGGATTTTTGTCTAGTCAAGGTACTTTTCCCCTTCTTTTATCTTTGTTTCGTAGAGTTGCTTTCCCAGTCTCCAGGGAGGTAGGTGTACGGACCAGCCTCGGCATTGCCCCGCGCCGTTGTTTTGGACTTGCCTCTAGCCAAGAGTCAAGCTCTCTAGGTAACCTCCACTCCCCACGCCGTTGCCAATATTATTTATTACTACTATACCCCAACGACTTCAGATTCCCAGATTCTTTTCCTTTTCCCTCCTCTCCACTCTCGACCTGATTTCCTCTCCCACGTTTTTTCTTTCTTTTGCTATTTAGTACTGCAAACCATTCATACTCCTGTAAGTCATCCTGCATCACCCCGTCCTTCTCTTCAGCAGCCTTGCTTCCTGTCAACTCTGTCAAACGCGAGGCCTACAGTACAAGGCGACACGCACATACACCAGGCTTCGATCTTGAGGTCCAGGCTGCAGCAAGCCCAGGGATTGCTCTCCTGCACCATGTTGGATCAACAGGAGCGTCACGGGATGTTTGGCTCGCGAAGCACTTGTGCTGCCTGGTGATGCTCCCTACCACGCAAACATGTCGACACAAACTCCTCTCTGCCCTGGGCAATCTATTGAAAACATAACGGTTACGAATATATACTTACATCCTCTACCTAGGTTCGAAACGCTCAACACTCGCTTATCCGTCACAATGAAGTTGACAGCTGCTACAATTGCTGCCGCCCTGGCCATTGGCGCCTTGGCCCAACCACGCTTCACCAACACCGTCATCAACCCCTCGGAGGGCAAGCCGTTCACACTCACCTTTGATGGCTGTACCGGCGGCTGCACCATCACTCTCCAGACCGGCCCCAACTCCCTGGCCCTCGCGGATATCCGCACTTTGACCTGTATGTGCTTACGTAGCGAAGCAGTCGAGCAAGCGATGCTCTCAACCTATGTGTATTCTGTTAACATTGGAATACAGCCGATGCTACCGAATCCTTCGACGTCACTCTTGACAACCTTCCGAGTGGCACCTACAATTTCAAGATTACCAACAACAGTGACGGCTCCGAACCCAACTATAGCACCCCCTTCACCTACCAAGGAACTGGACCTACCTCTTCCGACTCCTCTAGCAGTTCGTTGCCTACTTCTAGTGCCTCCAGCGGCTCTTCTACGGATTCGATTTCGACCAGCTCCTCTAGCGAATCGTCCAACACCTCGTCCGCTACGAGCTCGAGCGACTCTTCCTCTAGCACCGATTCGACTACCTCGACAGGCTCTTCTTCTACTGGCTCTTCCACCTCCACACAATCGTCTCGTATGTGTTGCTTAATACTGAGCACACTTGCTCATCTACTAATAGTGACGTTACAGGTCCAAGCAGCACCACCTCCTCTCAGCCTAGCGCCACGTCACCACCCAGTGCTGGTTCCGTTGCGGGCTTCTCTCCTCTCGGCCTCGTCGGTGCCGCCGCTGCCGCCCTTTTCCTGTAAACTGACCTCGGATAGAGATTGATTTGATGGACAAATGTGCTTGGATACGGCGAGGGCTGGAGCACAGCTCTTCTTCACTGTATTAATAATATAGCTTGTCGTAACAGCCTTCTGTGCACCTATCTCCTACAACCTAATAGAGATATTGTCATGCTATGCCTCGCAATCTTCAACCACGCACACAGTAAGCGAAACCTGTAAAAGGTGTATGAATTTGTTGTAACCTTTTATCTAGGTCTGAATGCGCACGTAAAAAAGAGTTCATAGCCAGGGCCGCAAACGCTCGATATCAAACTCCAGTCAAAGTCTACCGTACATGTTTTGTGAGCCTTCCGCTGGCAAGATGCGCTTGAGACTACGTCTCGTTGTTGACCTCTAAGTTTTCGGATTCGTTCGGGAGAGGAAGGGAGGCTTCGACCCAGGCACCGATTCCAATGAAATTAGTTGGGTGGCCCTCTGCTTTCACAGTGGGCGCTGGCTTCCCTCTGCATATTTCGCAGCCCGAGCCAATTATGGTGCCCTCAGCAACGTGTACTGTATATTCTTTTGCTGAACCATGGTTGAACTCGTGAATGGCGGGCTTGTTTCCCTTGTGATTGAGCATGTTGACGTGTGGTTTTTTTGATCTTGTTCGTAGAGAAGAGACTCGAAAAGAGGGTTGGTATTTTGGCTCCGATTTGGCCCTCGAAAGCAAGCGGCATGGGGAGCTTCTTTTATAGCAACGATGCCTCGCAGGCAGCCATGGCGATGTGTTCCATCCATGGAGGCAGCAAGCGGGACTGTGAACATGTGTAAGTGAAGCAGGACAAAACCAAGAGGCAGCAAAAAGACGTGGCGGCCTCGCAGCCTAAAAGTCGCACGATAAATGGACGGCTTGGTCCTGGGGGTTTTTGTTTTACAGCTTTGTGGGTAAGCCAGGCAGGCAGGCACTTTCGCACTTTCATCATATAATTCATAGCTCGAGGGCGGACTGGCGGTTAGGTCTGGTCCCTCACGATGGACTGTTTAAGCCTTGCTGGGATGAACAGACGAAATGTACGGCGGGCTCGTGCTGAGGGCCCAAGGCAAAACTGATATGGGATGTCCGCCTCCGCAACCTCGAGGAACTAAAACTGCTGTTCTATTTTGCCTGCGGATTTTGAACTTGGGAAGAGAGCAACCGTGATATGAGCCCCCATTCGGTGCATTGAGAGAGATTGGGAGAGATGTCCGGGTTCATTCAGAAAAATAAGAAAAAAAATACAGCGGATGTGTCTTGCCTGACACACTTAACACGGCTCCTCATGTGCGATCCCAACCGCGCGCCAAAAAAGGCTGCCGGCGGCACCATCAAACTAAAAGTACGATTCGGGGCTGACCGTGACGTTTGGCTGTGGCCGAATTAAAAAAAAAAAAAACAAAAAAAACCAAGCAGTGCCAAACATATATCTCGTGAATGAGGAATCGTATTTGCAAGAGAGTTGACAGGCACCCACTGCTGCACTCACACCATCACCACGAGGCCAAATTACAACTGGCAGCTTTGCCCAGATTCCAAACGAGAAAAGAGAACGCAGTAGAGCCTAAAATGTATTCCTGTCACCCTTGCTCTGGTGGCCGCTCCAATCAACGCCTGACAACCGCCAACACACCCTCGCCAAGCTCGGTGTGAAAGGAATCGCGCGTTTACTTACTATTTCTACTCATTGCGCAGGAATCATAAGAGGTTTACACATTGGGTCAGCCAGGTAATACATTGTAGTATCTCGAATACAGTCATGTGGCTCATTGATCGGTACATTATAAACGGCACATTGAACGACTCAATAAATATATGGTATTTCATGTACAGTGTGGGTATCACGTATTTGGCCGGCCAGCTTCGCCAGCGGCCGATATGCTTCCTTTCCTCCGCAAGTCGCCCGCCTTGAGCTGCCGCACAACCTGGTACGACCTGTCCAGTTCATTCTCCACCGCACAGCGTATGCGCAGCGCCGCCACAGCAGGCCAGACGCTTCGCTCGCCGCGCCGTATCCAGTAGTTGAGCGCCTCTCTCGTCGGTGTTTCCAAAAGCCGCACGAAATCACCAGCCGTCACCTCGGGGACCAGCGTCATGGCCGCCGCCGGGATCTGCTCGTCCACGAGAAAGCGTCGTATGCTCGCGGGTAGCAGGCGCAGCGTATCGAGCTGGCGCAGGCGGTGCCGGACCTCGAGGCCAAGCATGCGTACCAACGAAGCGGACATTTGCGTCGTTTTGCTGCGGGTCTCGACCATGGACGGGCCGTGCATATCGGACTGCAGAAAGGGTATCAGATACGGCCGAGCTTGGCTGACGATGAAGTGGTTGACGTTGAATAGTTCGGATATGCGGCGAAGAGGCGAGTCGCGATCCGAGTACGACATGTGTGACCAGTGGTGAAAGTCGGTCGTGTTGGCCGGCGCCCAAGGCCCGACGTGGCCATGCGCGTCCTTGCAGAGAATCGTCGCTTTCCGTCGTCCATACAGAGCTGCAGAGGAGGAATTAGATGCCACAGCAGCGGTCCAGATGAGCTGCAGGAAGGAAATGTTAGCAGAGTACAGAGGACGGGCAGTAAGAAGACTTACCACATTGGGAGCGGTGATGTAGTTGAGCAACGTGGGGACGCCACCCTGTCCTTCTGTTGCGACGGTGATATTCAGGATTCGTTTGCTGTAATTATAGGCTTCCTCAAACGTCAAATCTCCGACATTCGCCCGGACACAGTCTTCCAGCACGGACACGTCGAGAAAGTAGCCTTCCCGGGAAAAGCGGCGGAGGCGTCGCATCAGCGTGTTCCATCTTGATCTGAATGTTTGCGGGGACTCGGTGAGTCCATTCGATAGATTGCTGCGCGAGGTAAAGGCGGTCAAGTCGATGCCGTCTCCGTTGAGCACGCCCGGCAGCTCTTCCTCGGTGTGGATCGCGACAAGCGAGGCAATCAAGGCGCCCGTTCCAGTGCCGGTGATGATACGTGGCAATAGGCCACGAAGAAACAACCCCTTGACAACACCGAGATGGCACATGCCAAAGATGGCGCCACCTTGCAGCACCAGGGAGCTTCTTCCAAAGGCTTGTCGGGTGTCGTGGATAAAATCGAGCTTCATCTGGTTCGTCAACGAGCCGCCGGTGGACTGGACCCCTGCATATGCATTGGTAGGCAGGGTGCTGATATCTTCGACTGTCTCTGCAACTTGCGTTATGTATTCTTCAATGAGATATTTCGTCCCAGAAAAGGTGCGGTTATAGAGCTTTGGCACGGTCAAGTTGCCAAGATTTCGTACGAGGCCGGACCGCAAGAGGTTGACCAGCTGTTGAAAGTCATTTTCCTCTCTGGCGATCGCGAGTGAGTTGAGTCGTTCGGTGATGAGTCTCCAGTCGTAGTACTTTGATGTTGGGTTGTTCCGCCTATAGAAAGGAGGCGGTCAGCAGTGTTTCGAGCGGGCCGACATGGGGATATATCTAGGGACGTACCACAGGTCCAGACCCAACAGGTTATCGAGGTGTAGAGCCGCTTCCTCCCAGTCTTCAAAGGCTTCTGCGTGGCGGAGTAGCTCGAGCCACAGGTCGACGGGATTCTTGCGGGTGTACCATCCAAACAGTTTCTGAGCCGGCGTTAGAGCAACCGCCATCATGGTGGGAGGGCTTGTGGCAGGTTTGAGGATGGCGAGAGAATGGTGAGGGAGAGGGCAGACGGGGGAAAGACAGCCTACTTTACGCCAAAAGGATACCACCTCGTAAATCACCCGCCAGACGGCGAGCAATGCGCCAAACATGCCGAGGGAACGTTATCACAAGCAGGGGTGGGTCGAGTGTCAAGGTCGGGAGGAGGGCGAGGCCGCGAAGCCACCTAGGTAGGCGATCGCTCTGGGGAGCGGGTGCGACGCCAGGCTGGAATTGAAGTTGGGCATTGGACCACGCCCAGACGGAACTAAAAGGCGAACGTGCTCGTCTTGCGCCAGGATTACGCTGGGAGAAGGGCCCGCCGCCTCGATGAGGCTACCAAGCATGTGACAGCGGCGAGCTTTGGTGAGGTCAGAGGATGACTCCACCAACGAATACCACCTACCTACGATGTAGCCAACAAATGATCTGTCACTACGCTACACGTCACAGGTTACTGAAAAAAATCTCCATATCCTGGATGTTGAGATGGCTGATGATTAAATATTCAATAAACTCCCCAAAGGCTCCCATTCTTAATATTATACAGCGACAGTTGCTTCGTCATGATGGTGGAATACCCTCATTCGTCATCATCGTCCACCACGTTGCGTCGTCTGGCTCGCCCAGACGTTTCGACCACCTCATCACCAGAAGCGTCCTCGTCCTCTGAACGACGGGTTTTGCGCTTTTTGGACTTGCGGCGCCGACGATCATCCTCGTCGTCCAGCAGCTCTTCGTCGTCGTCAGCCTCACTCTCCACCTCCTCCTCATCGTCGCTGCCGACAAGGAAGCCGTCGTCCATGTCGTAGTCTTCCTGTCTGCTAACGCCCTGCGGCAGATCATCATCAGAATCATATTCTGCATTTCTGCGCTTGGGCTTCGAGCCAGGTTGGCCTCTTTTGCGCCCTGATCCGGCACCCCTGCGGCCACCCTCCAGGTCGCCAATCGAAAGGCCCCCTCCTCTGCTGTACCGTCCGAGGCCATCCATCTTGGCGGCCGCGTTTTCGCGACGTCTTTGTGCCTTGTTGCGTTCCTTTTCTGCCATTTCAGCCTCCTTCTTTTGTAGTTCCGGATCTCTGGTTGTGCGGATAATCATGTCGTCCTCGTTGACAGTCTTGCTGGCCTGCTGCATGCGCTGAGCAAGGAGGGCCAGCGCATCGTCACCACCACCCTTATTCGGCCGCACGTTGAATTGCTCAGTGACATGCCCAACGGTCATGAGCAGATTGCTGCTCAATTCTGCAGCCGCCGCGTAATAGTGCCCGTCCTTGAGTTCGTCGTAAGGCTGTCCAGGACCTGGTGCCAAAGCTTTCGTTTGAACCTCAAAGTGTTCACCTCCGATGCCAATAGTTATAGATCCATCGCTCCACCGGTAGATATTCGCATTGCTGTGAAGTAGGCCTGTGCTATCGTTTCGGCGCACTCTTGCAACATGGGCAGGGTGTTCTTGCTTGGCGTTGGCGGTATCGAATTCGGTAGGTTGAAACTTTTCGGAGACATATTCCTCGGGCATGATTTTTATGAAGTTTGGGACGCGCATAACACGGAGCTTATTATCCAATTAGCTTTCGATGCGGCAACTTTACAGATGGCAGCTGGCTCACAATATTGTCCTTGGGTTTCGGGACTCGATGGCGATACGCTTGCACAGCCATGACAAGCTTTTCTTTGGTTTCATGCTGAACTTGGGTATCGTCTTCGCCATAGTGTCGGCGTTCGTCTGTGTCTTCGGGATCTGAAGCTAGGTCATCATCGTCGAGAACACGAGGCGCGGGTGATCTAGCGTCATCATCATCGCCAAAGAGGTCATCGGCAATTTCGTCAATCTGGTCAAGAGGATCTTCGGAATCAGACATTGTGATGAAAGAGTCGCGATTTCAACGCTATAATTTGTGAAGGGATGCGACAGCGCCGATAGTTGGGCGGCGTCAAGCTGCTGAACAAGGAAATAGCGGCTGGTTCAGATTTCGCGGCGAAGGGAGCTTACACCAGCCCAGCCACAGTTGAGTGGGTCTGTTGCTTGGCGCACGAGCTACCTGTCTGTGTCTGTAGTTACGGATTCACGATGAACCCGCCAAGTAACGGTGAACGATAGTTAAAAACGATGGTCAAGACTTTATACATATATATTTAATATGCGTGTTCTGTTATTAGATGATTCCTAATAATTCACATGATGTTCTTGCCAAGAAGCACAGCATGCCACATTCCCATCATCGTGGTGAACCTGCAACAACCTCTGACAATGACTTGCCTCGCAATTTCCACGGCGTCGGAAGAATATTATTCCGCTGCAGCCACACTGACCGTTCGCAGCCCCATTCAATCTTTCAGCCACTAGCAGGCTGCATAGCAGCTTCCCCCCAGCCACGTCCTTTTCGTTTGGAGAGGTACCTCTTGGCCGCCCCTCGACGCCCGACTTCCAACTTGCTGCTGTCACCATCTTTACCTTGAATTCTCGCTTCGCGCATTTCTTTCCGCGCGTTATTTGCTCTCGTTGCGAGCCGAAATATTCGCCTCCGGCGGCCATATTTCATTGCTTCTTGACTTTCCGCTGCCCAGACTTTTTTTTTTGCGCGTTTTCTACCCGTCAAACACGTTCGCGCTGCTTGTTTACCCACCACTGACGCGGACCACCACGCCTCGTGTTTGCCCCCCCCCCGGGACCGCATTTTGCGCACCTCGACATCCGCCACTATCGCTCCGTTTTTGCTCTCGAATCTCATTGACTTGCTTTCTCACATCCATCATTTCGCCGTCTCTTTAAGGCGCCATGTTTTATTCAGAGACCCTTCTACAGAAATCCGGGCCTTTGGCCCGGGTCTGGCTCTCGGCCAACCTCGAGCGCAAGCTTTCAAAGAATCATATTTTACAATCCAATGTTACAGACAGCGTCGAGGCCATCATCACGCCCAACCAAGCGCCAATGGCTCTCCGTCTTTCTGGTCAACTTTTGCTCGGCGTTGTCAGAATTTACCAGCGCAAGACGCGCTACTTGCTCGATGACTGCAACGAGGCCATGATGAAGATTAAAATGGTGCGTTGGCCCATGCGCTCCTCAAAAGTAACCTCATGCTAACCGATATCCCAGGCTTTCCGCTCCAGTGGCAACAACGATCTGGCGTCAAATTTACAGATCTCCAACCGCGAGTCCCTGCTTCTGCCGGATCGCATCACGCCGTACGACAACCTTGACCTTCCCCCACCTCCAGATGCCTCGTGGCTCCTATCACAAGTCGAGGATGTTACTGCAACTCCTGTCGGTCGCAAAGGTCGGACAAATACTAGAGATATCAATCTTCAAGAAGATTTCGACAACAGTCAATTCCTGAAGGGTCCGGCTGACCTCGACGATGACTTGATGCCTACGATGGACGATCTGGATCTGGACCTTGACTTTGGCGATCTTGAAGGTGGCGTTAGCAACATGGAAATCGGTCGAGATGCGCCTGCTCCCCGGGACCTTGAAGACGACATTTTCAGCGACATGGAAATCGGCGTTGGCAAAGCTGCCGACGGCTCTACTGCACTCGACTTGGGCGCCGACAGTATCCAGATAATTGACGGTGATGGTGACCTACCTATGCTCGATGGCGATGACTTTGGTTTCAATCTCGACGACATGTCCAATGTGCGCGATCTCTCTGCTATGCCACAGTCTCGCGCAAGAATCTCAGAGTCGCCTCTCTCTGACATTGATGAGCTCTTTGCCAGAGAGGTGGCCGAACAATACGCAAATACTACGGACATGTACGAACCTGCCGACGAAACAGAGACTGCAATCGTTCGCCGCCCGGCGCAGCGCTCCAGAAGGCAAAAGGTTATGATGCCTGACGACGAAATTGCCTTGTCCAGCAGTCTCATCAAGCAGCAGCAGACCAACCGCGAAAACATCATCAAGCCGGCACGTTATGTTCCTCGCGATCCTGTAATGCTCGCTCTCATGGATATGCACAAAAACGGCGGTTTCGTATCATCCATCATGATGGATGGGAGGAGCACTGCCTGGGCACCTGAGCTGCGCGGTATGCTCACACTAGACATGCTGCGTGATGACCTGAAGAGGAAGCGCGACAGCGGTATTGCAGATGTCGAGAGTGAGCGTGGCGCTGCCAAGTCTCCTCGCCTAGAGTTTGATGAGGATACTAATCTCGGACTCGGCGACAACTTTGGCGATCACAGTGTTGGCCCTGATGGCACCGTCATTCGGCTCGATGATGACGGTGGCTTTGATATTGGAGGCGACGATGCTGGGTTCCCAGACTTCAACGATACAACTATGCCCATTGTACATCCTGAAGAGAGCGGTCCCGTGTCTATCGGCACTAAGCACGCCGTTCACATCCTACGAGACCTGTTTGGACCCGAAGCTGCTACGAGTGCTGAGAAGCGAACGCAGTCCACCGTTATATTCCAGGATCTCCTACCCGAGAAGCGCACAACCAAGGCGGAAGCCACCAAGATGTTCTTTGAGTGCCTCGTCTTGGCCACCAAGGACGCAATCAAGGTCGACCAGGGGCCCGGGCTCGGGGATAACATCCGCGTGCGTGGCAAGCGCGGCCTTTGGGGCGAGTGGGCTGAGAGAGAGGCCGGCGGAGAAATTGCACACAACGAGAACGAAACGGCACCCTTGGCTGCACAAGTCGTGGCTGTCGGTGCTTAGATGGCGGACAGAAAATTGTTTTGATTTTGAGCATTCTTGTCATTTTCCTCGTGGCGTTGTATTATTGCGAGGGCTGGCTCTCCTCCCCACCGTTGGCTTGTTCTTTTCACTCTTCTCCCACCTCTGTAGGGCTTCTGGATATTGCGCATTTTTGTGTCTCGTTGATTTTGGATTTAGTTGTTGGTTTGAGCACACAAACGCCCACGAAGAGCAGACTGGATACCAGATCCATTGGCGTTGGTGGCGTTGACTTTTCGGTTGGATACCATTTGAGCTTGGAGGCATATCCCTGGCCGGGATTTGGGAAAAATTCGATCAGTTGTGAAGTATCTTGTAGGAAGCATTCATGTTAGATGACTTGCCTTTACGGCTTGGTATTAATTAGGCTTTAAATGATGGCATGTTTAAATAGATTATCTTGTTCTATCTACCTACGTCTGATGTTTTTCGACCAACCTCTTCTAAGACCAACCTCTTCTCCGTTCTGTATGCGCTGTAGTCATGTAAGAGCCATGTCCCAGCCCTGTTTCACTGGAGTTACAGTAGTTGCCAAGTATAAGAGTAGCTTCCCAGTATAACTTTGCAGGATTTGGCGTCAATATGAGTTGCGTGCTCGAAGCTTAAACAGCCGTTGGTCTGCTACCTTGTATCAAACAGTGGATGCGATAGCCAGAATTGTGAGTATATCTTCACTACTACTATTAATGATGAAAGCACAGTCGATTCTTTCAATTCGTAAGCTGTTTCCTATTCCTTCCGACATGGTATGTCCGTGTAGTAGGTACCAAGGCAGCATCCAGCATCGCATCGCGACTTGTGCTGGAATAGGATAGTGGGGGTGTAGCCCACCATTAAGTCCCGCCATTCGATGAACCCCACGTTCAAACCAGCTACCTCGCGCAACTTTGCTCCTTTGATCATTAATTCCATACGAAAGCCTCTATTCCAAAGATCGTCAAAGAATCTCGACAAATACTACCAGAACCTAGATACCCCTTTCCCGCTGCACAACTCGCCCATCATGCCCGCCCCCTCGCCCCTCGCCATCACTACCAGCTCCGTGCAGCGCCTGCTCAAGGAGGAAGCTTCCTACCACAAGGAGGTGACGGACCAAGAAAAGACGGTCAAGGATCTCGAGGCCAAGCTCCAAGCCGGCGGCGCCGACGAGGATGGCAACGAGGCATTCATGGTGAAGCAGAATGTGAGTTTTATTTTCCCTTTTCCTGCGCGCGCCAAAGGAGTTGCGGGAACGGGGGCTAACAGTGGTCCTTTGTAGAAAACCGCCATCGAGCAGACAAAGGCCGTCTTTGAGCCCCTCAAGCAGCGCATCGCTGACTCCGTGGCCAAACTCGAGGACCAGCTCGCGGCTGCTGAGCAAGCTGGTGCGCCCGAGGCTGAGATTACGCAGGCCAAGACGGTGCTCGCCCAGGCCAAGGCGGCCGCCTAAACGAAACGAGGACTCACGAGAAAGTCGCCAGACGGACGACCGGGGTTCGAAGGAAGATGGGGGGAAAAGTACAGTGGCACACAATGATACATAGCGATGCTGGTTAAGCCGGTATCTTGACTATACACCTGCGTATACCCCAAACTCGTCGCTCGCAAAAAGAAAAGGACCATGGTATAAATGATAATGATACAATCGTTCCGACTACTAGTCGTCCACCTCCATCTTTTCGTTTTCGACTTCTGGTGAAGCGCCCGCCTCATTTCCGTCCATGTCCATCTCCTCACCCGATACTTCTCCGTCCTCATCCCCGCCCTCGTCATCTTCGCGGTCGATTTCTTCTTGCTCGACCTTGGGCGTTGCCGCCACACTACCAGCCGCACTAGTATTCCTAGATGGCCGGCCAGACACGGCGGGGACTTGTAAATTATCACCCGCAGGAATGGGCGTAGAGATATCATCTCCCTTGGCGCCCTCATCATCCTCTTTTGGCTGGCCGTCACCATCCGGTCGTGGTGTGGCGCTACCATGCAGCTCTGGCCGCGGCGTCGCGGCCACATCATCCTCAGTGCCTTCGTTCATGCCCTCTCTTCGGTCCACCTCTTCCTTTTCGTCCCGTATCTGCCGTCGGAGCAGCATGCCCTCGTCCATGATTTTATTAAACTGGTCCCGGCGCTCTCTCCACGTCTCTGTATACGTCTCACTCTCGCGCTCGAGCTCGCGGCACTCGTCCTCGAGTTTCGCGAGGTTGGCCAGCTGGTCCTCGCGCGGGCGCAGCAGCCGGTTGGATGTAATCTTCTCCGCTAGGTCGTCAAACTTTTTGCGCTGAAGGAGCGTCGCCCGCGCGCCGTCCAGCTGGTGACGGAGGTCGATGTTCTTGTCGCGGACCGACTGGCACTCGTCCAGGATCCTTTTCTTATCGTCATCGTAGCGTGCCCGCTCGCGCTCGTTGGCGTCGTGGAGAAATTGGAGGCGCGCAATGCTGCTGTCAAAGGCGGCAAAGTCGAGGGTCAGATCTTCTTGGAGTTGCTCTGTCGTGCCTGCCGCCACTTCCCGCTGCTCCTCGTTGTCGGCGTTTTTCGATATTATTGAAGAAACTGTAGCCAGTCGTTTTGTGATTCTCTTGAACGGCTTCTCCTCCACATTAAGGAGACGCGCTTTGTGAAGTTCTGTCTCACTTCGCTCGTCGAGCAGACTCCAGCTCGCCATTTCTGCGTCGGCCCTTACGCCACTCAGCTCGGGGACGTAGCAAATGTGAGATATGAATGGCTTAATAAAATTATTTCCGCCTGGATTGTTCTGGATTAGAAAGATGCTTGTAGTTTGTGTGGTTTTTTTTTAAATCAAATGATGTAAAGACTATTTCCACTCCAGCGGTCCTAGGCGGCACAGTGTAGCGCATGACTAAGCGGTTCCCCAGTGATTTCTCATAGTACCGCCTCCGCCTCTTCCAATGCTTTCCTTCCTTCCACATCAACCTTACTCTAACTACAAGCTCCGGACGTTACGACGCGCAAATCTCATCCAAAATGTCAGAGCAAGACAGAGAACTGCTGGATCGAATCAGCGCGCTTGCTGGTAAGGAGACATGAACTCGAAGATTGCACAGCTAAATGGTACTGACCGGGCAGGACAAATTAACCGCCACAAGAACCAGCGGGCTGGGTTTCAGCCGTCGCAAAGCTCGCGGGACTATCGTCGTATGTCTACTACACTCGTTTCAATTAAACCTTGGTTCTGATATCATTTCACAGATCAAAATATCCATTATCGGGGTAATGCCTACCGCGGTCGAGGCTATCGCGTCGGCCGCCCACCTGCGGTCCATCGCCACCGCACGCTGACCCTTAATGCGCAACCTAGCTCATCAGAGTCAACACCGTCGACTCCTGTCAGCTCTACAGATAACGCGCAGTGGGTCTCCAAGACAGACCGACACAAGCAACTCATCAATGCCAGCATTTATCAGCAACAAGCGCAGTCACGCGCTCAAGCAATGGAAGAAACCCGCCAGCGTAACCTAACGCAGCAGAAGAGCAGCGAAAGAAGCCGCTTCAACAATTTCCTTCAGCACACCTACAATGCTCAAAAGCAAGCGCAGGCCGAAATAAGCATCGGTAACATACGGTTTCTAGTCAGAGACGGGGGCAAGAAGCTAGTGCGAGCGGCTGGTAAGTCAATATTGCATCTCCTTCTCTAGGTTTTCGCTGATTCCTGTATAAGATAACTCTAGCGACGCCCCTCTCACGCCAAAAAGTACGATCGTTGCAGGTGTCCGATTTCACCGTACAAAGACGGGCAACCTTGTCGCCAACCGAGTAATCAAAGAGCACCGGTATGTAGACGCTCTACATCTCGACAAAGATCTAACTCAGGTTATAAGACGCTCCGGAGCCGTCCAGAAAGTTGATGAGCTATGCAAGATCTTTTCTACGACTGGTAATTTCTCATTCAGTGCCGCCGACGGCTCAGACGCTACGAATAAATTTCGGGGGACCTATAGGGGTAAAACTAACTTGTGTCGCAGGATCCTGCCGCAAGGGGCCTTCGTGTCGATACCAGCACGATCCACACAAGGTTGCCATCTGCAAAGACTTTTTGAAAGACGGTCGATGCATCAACGGCGAACATTGCGATCTCTCGCATGAACTCACGCTCGAACGAGTTCCGAACTGCTTACATTTCGCCAAGGGCAACTGCTCCAACGCAAATTGCCAGTATTCGCATTCTGCTGCCCTACCTAGTGCGCCGGTTTGCGAAAATTTTGGGTATCGCGGTTACTGCGACAAAGCCGCGACGTGCACCGAGCGACACGTATTCGAATGCCCTGCTTTCAGCAATACAGGGACCTGTAAGACCAAAGGCTGTAAACTTCTCCATCGCGAAAGGGCAAGCGTCCTTCGCAACCAGGTGCGACAAGAGCAGGACGATACCATGGAAGACATCTCGAGCGAAGAAGAATCTGCTGACTCGGACGATGTGGATTCGGACGATGTCGCGGAGTATCTGGAAGCCGATGAGGGCGATTCTGACTTTGAACACGGCAAGGACTTCATTCCGCTGTAGCTGACCGTGCAAATGTATCAGGCGCTGGTCGCTGCCAGGGCAGCTTTGCTCTTTGGCTGGACCAGTGCACCTCCCACGTACCCTGGCGAAACTTTGCTGACTTGCGACGATTTCCACTTGGCATACTGATTTGAATGGTGAGGAGGGCTCGTTGCATGACTTATTCCCAAGACGCCTGCGGGGCGACGACGCCTGTTTCTCGAAGCGAGAGAAGAAAGCGACGAACGAGAAGAAAATATGATTGATAGGAGACAAGAAAAAGAATAATGATATATGTAACACATTTTCATGGCTTTTTATGCAACTATGCCTTTGAATTCGCACCATAAAGAAGCGGCTACGTGACTGACTTGCGCATCCCGATTATGCTATTAGAAGAAACTGAATCTTAGCATTCATTGAGAAACATGACAACACTAGTAAAGTTCTATCTAGACAGTCAACACCAGCACGTACACTGTACACTGCCAAATTTCGTCTGATGTTGGCGGGCTAACATGTAAGACTGTTTCTTCAGCGAGCGGGGCACAAATAGCGGCGGGCGTTGGTTAGACGACGAAAGGAACAACCCCCGTTATTAGTTACCCCTCATTCATGATGACATTGAGTTCTGCCAAAAAGCCTATCGGATCTCCTCTCATCTGCATTACGCCTGAGGACCCGTTCTGGTGATTATATGCCTTGTCCGCGCAGAGCTGAACGTCCCCCGCAGCATCTTGAGGCTGAGCGCCTACACGGGTAACCCCTCCTTCGTCCGTTGTGCACCGCCCGCCACCCCTGAGCGCCACGACACGAATCAAAACGGCGCACATCCGGGCACACCTGCGATTTCTCTGCAATGAATGGTCTATGAATCCGGCTGGTCCTGTACGCAGCCGTTCATCGCCCCAGAGACGCCAAATATAGACACGCAAAGCAGCCCAGCCGCCTCTGACTGCAGCGACAACGCGGGGGCGAGCCTGTCAGACACGGGCAACGTCATTTCTACCCGTAACAACAGATAACCGCCTGCCAAGCGCCCAGCATAACCCCATGCGTTGCAGGCAACAGAATTCGACACATATATCTTGGACTTTCCACCTTGTTCTCGTTCATTTATCAAACACAGTATACTTAACGAGCATTTGATTTTCAAACTGCATTTCGCTTCAACATGGGCCTCCGAGACAAGCTCAGGCAGAGGGATGGGAGCGTGAGTCCCCCCGAGCCTTCGGACAGGGGCAACATTATCGGACAGAACGGGTACACACCCGAGTTCACCTTTATTCGCTCCGACACGACCTCGATGGAAGTCATCCATCCCAGCGACGCCAGCAGCCATCAACGATCCGCCCCCGCCCCCGCACACCACGACGACGGCAGCCCGCCGGCACAGCTCTCGCCTACCAAGGAGCCCGGCAGCTTGCGCCGCAGCCTCTCCATCTTCCACACGAGCCGTTCGCGCAGCGCCTCCGTCTCCTCCCAAGCGAGCCAGCACTCCGGCAACAAGGAGGGCAGCGGCAGCCGCCGCCGCCGCCTCTCAGAGCGACTCCACCTGCGCCACCACCAGGGCGTCTCGTCGGACAACGTGCCCGACAACCTGCCGGCGATTGTGGTGGCCGGCGACAAGGACGTTGTCGAGTCGCAGTGGGAGCAGCGCGCGACGCTGCTGGCCGGGCAGAATGGGCTGGCGCGCAGCGCGCCCGAGTCGCCGGCGCTCGAGGGCAGCATGAGGAGCTTGAATATCGCGCCGGGCAGCAGCAGCGGGAGTCCACCGGCAGGAGGGCGGAGCAGGTCACGGAGTCACTCGCCGGGGATGATTACGCCGCCGAAAGCGGTGTCGTCGAAGAAGATTGACGATGATATTCAAGAGGCCATCCGGTTGCACGAGGAGGGTGACCTGCAGCGGTCTACGGCCATTTTTGGGCGTCTGGCCGATACACAGGGCGCCAACAATCCGCTGAGCCAGGTGTTGTTTGGACTTGCCTTGAGGTGCGTTTCGTCTTTTCTTTCTGTCCTATTCTTTCCAAAATAGCGTGGCTGATGTGGTTACACCAAACAGGCACGGATGGGGATGCACGCCAGACACAGAACGCGCCGTCACCTACCTGTCGGCCGCGGCGTCCAACGCGGCCGCCGTCGAGGAGATGGCACTCCAGGCGGGCATGAAGCGCGGCGGTGCGGCCAAGGGCGAGTTGATCCTGGCCATCTTCGAGCTCGCCAACTGCTTCCGCCACGGCTGGGGCATCGCCAAGGATCCCGTCGCCGCCAAGCAGGTGAGTGTGCTTGCTCAAGTTGGGCTAGCTATCAAAGAAGGCTAACGGGCTTATTTTGCAGTATTACGAAACGGCCGCCAACCTTGGCGACACTGGTGAGTACCTGCCCCCGCGTCAGAAAAAGCTGTGCGAATGCAGGACGTTGGCTAATGTGGTGCGGGACAGATGCCATGAATGAGGCGGGCTGGTGCTACCTCGAAGGGTTTGGCTGCAAAAAAGACAAGGTGCGTTATTGTAAAGAGCCGTCTGCATCATGCACTGCGGTGACTTGGTTGCCTTATTTCACCATGCCCACCTAGTGCTATGCAGTGCTCGGTTCTATCCCGCCGCCCCTCGTGGGCTATGCGGGAACGCCTCGTCAGTGCTAACATTAGTTCTGTGTACTAGTTTGCCTCAGCCCGGTACTACCGCCTCGCAGAAAACGCGGGAAACAAGACACTTGGCAACTCATGGTGAGTAGAAACCCCCCAAACCCCGGCGCGTTGATGAGACTGCCCGTGCGAGGGGGAGTGTGTGCTGCATTTGGATATTTACTTGACTTATTTCACGTTTGATCAAGGTAGCTAATCCACGTTGCTATTTTCTAGGATCTGGAAGGAAAAGTACAACCCGGACGAAGGCGGCGGCAAGAAGAAAAAGTAAGCCGCACACCAAGCGTGCCTACTACGTTGGCAAAAAGCTACACCGTTTTCCTCCGGATACCAGCTTTCCAAAAGTATTGCTTTGCGTACCACTCATGGAGCAAGTTCTACCCATTCGCCAGGCTGTTTTGCGACACTCGCGCCGATACCCATCGCCTATTCAGCTCAGACCGACTACCCATTACCTCACCTTTGGACGAAGCGCCGGATACACCAACCAGTGCGAGTCGCCTCTGTTTTTTCTTGTCCTCATTTTTTCTTGTTTCGCAACAGGGAGGAAACACTATCTTGGCCTGTATGGATCTTTTCGAAATTTCTTGTCTCCTTGCGCTGCTTCTCGGTTTCGCGCCTCCTCTGTCTCGCCTGACAAAGTATCACTTATAGCAGTATCATTAATGCGTTATTCTAATGTTACATGTTTTAATCTCTTCACGTATGTACTACAGTCATGTGTTGACGGCCCAGTGCTTTCACTCCTTGTGCTTATTTTCCCGGTGGTTTATGTCTCTCAAGGACGGCCACAAGTAGAAATGGCAGTGTGCAGGAGGTGGCAGTATATACGGCAAGGCACCATGGTCGGGGAGCCCAACACATTTGAAAGCAGCAGAAAGCGGGGAAAGGAGTCAGGGCCTCTCTGGATTGGGTTCCTCGTACAGATGGACAGCTCAGAGTATCGATGACGATCGATCCGAGTATCGGGAGCGGGGTCGCAGCACGGGTCGGGGTACATGTTGCTATGCCTCGAGATATCGAAGAAGCGCGATACGAGGGGATGTGGGACTGATTCGCTCTGATTTACCTTGAAATAGACTACATAATTTGTGACCCGTGCTGCTCCAGATACTAGCACTAAAGCGCAGTGACAGATGCGGATGAGATGTCAGCTTGACTACGAGCAAGCCATGCACAGAATCAACAAATGAGAAAGGGTCACACATCCAGGTAGTGATATTTGATATAATGGGTCCTTTATTTCCAAGAATTTCATGACATATATATGCAATATCAAGTTTTCATGTACCATGGCCAATTTGACACTAGAAACAGGCAAAACCAGACAAATCCTGGCATTGTCAAAAACGACTTTGCTGTTGGGGACTGCTTTTTTTTTTTGGCCACATCGCCCAGCTTGTTTTCCCTTTATCGCTTTTTCTCTACCAGCTGCAGTAGGCATTGCCCGCCTGGCCGTGGAAGGGAGGGGGCCTGATGCGGCAGCGGCCGCTCGGGCAGGTGTAGCCGTTGTGCCAGTGGCCGTCGGCGTGGCAGTAGAGGATACTGTTGCCGGCGGCGTCGCAAATGGTCTTTTGCTCGGGGCCCTCGTATTTGCAGGCGGCGCCGACCCAGTAGCCGCCATCCAAGACGACTGGGATTGCGGCGGCGGTGGCGGCGGCGGCGGCGAGAGTAAAGGTGAAGACGGCACGCATGTTGAACTGGGTAACGGAGCTGCGTTGTAAGGATGAAAATGTACTGACGGCTGCAAGAAAAAAAACTTGTTCAACAGGGCGGGGGGCGTCTTCTTTTAAACTCTTGCAGCGGCGGCAGGTTTTTGGTATTCGCCAGCTGCTCCTCCTCCCCGTCGCTAGGAATAGGAAAGGATCTCTCCCATGCAGAATCAGGTTTGAGCCAGTTTTTGACGGAGAGAGCGTGATTCGCCAAGACGAACCTCGGGATTTCTTGAGACTGGTAGGAAAAAGCCACCAGCATGTCGAGAAAATGCAGGCTGCTTCGACGTGCAGCGGAAGAGCTGCAAGACAGCGAGGCCGGCTGGCTCCCAACACAACGGGGCGCTGTGTAGCAACGCTCAAATGGCAAAAGGCCGGACATGGAAATGCCTCCATTGCCTCCACGAGTAGGGAAAAGGTAGTCAAGATGAGTTGGTCAAGTGAGAGCCGGGAGGGTACGTACAGCAGGTTCGCCCGAGGTGGTCTTCTTCCCCGCGTCTCACGCGACGGAGATGTCACCAACACTGACGGATGCTCGCTCATCATGGCGCGCTCAGCAGGTAAAGCAAATTTTCCAGATTTCTATCCATATATTTCTCGAAAGCGAGATGCCGACGTCGTCACATTGGAGCGGCCACGGGAGGTCTGGATTGTTTCGGAGAAAGCTCGCACATTCGTCGGGTGGAAATGCAGCCATGAAACTATTATGAGCGTATAAAAACCCGGTAAAGTGGCGGTTAGGCCCTGGGGACGTTGACTGTGCAGGTGTAAACGGCCCGTGCCAAAACAACAAGTTACAAAGGATATATTTTGCGCTACTAGAAGAGAAAGAAATGAAAAGGAAAAAATCGCTTTGCGACGGAAAGACGAATACGCCAGTCAGTCCTCAGGCCTGCACCCACCCCTCGCCCTCGACAAAGAAACGTCTTCCCTTCGACCTCTTGTCGAGATTCGACAACAAGGCTGCAAGGGTCCGTCCCCATGTTGACGGCCATGCTACTACCCGAGCAAATTGGACGAAACGGGGCAGTGCGCGTGTACTTTTGTTCGGAGCCTTTATTGTTTATGCCGAGATCAACGGTTTCACTGCGTCATGCTAAAAGTAGTCATGTGCTACTCTGCCGTCAGTTCTGTCATTTTCCCTCGCTCACCGCTGCCCAGCCCGACGCACACATGGACCACGACACCTCTCAAGGGACTTGGAGCAAGCAGCACCTTCATAGTGTATCAAGGACTAGTCAACAAGGCCAGAAGTGCAAGTCGATGTTCGAATGCTAAATGTATTATTCGCAAATGGTCGTCGGTACTTCCGCGGAAACCCTAGGTAGATATCCTCCACGCCATCGAGACTCCAGAGGAGCATACAAAGGAAAAGACAAAAGAGTGTGAGGAGTAGATTCGAAGAAAAAGAAAGGCAAGGTCATTATAGTCATATCAGTCCACCTGTCCATCGCTGGCCCATAAATCACTCCGTCGTTGCATTGACTTCCGCCGTAGAAAAAGAAAAGGCGAGCGAGTCATGCTTCTCGGTTACGAGCACAGCAAACATCATGAAGCTGTTGAAACCGGAAATTCCACCGCCTATTCTCGCAAGCGAGATTCAAGAGGTCGGTGGAACCTAATAATATGCGAAACCGAAATGGACATGCTCATATCCCATATTCCTGATCCAAAAGACCACCAGAAAAGGAAAAAAGAAATCGAAAACAAAAAAGAAATGCACGCTTGATTCGCTCGCTAGTAAAGAAAACACAATAAGGAGAAAAAGAACATGGGAAATTCAAGGAAAGAAAAAGTGCCTCCAATACTGTCAAGTATCCGGTGAAAATGGACTCGTGGGAAGCTTTTCGTGCGTGAGCAACAAGTCTGAGAGTATGGGTCGCGCGTGTAAGCGCGGTTGCTCGGCAAAAAGGTAGCCACGGTCAAGAATGAAAAGAAACTTCATTATTGAAAAGAAGTGAAAAGAAGTGAAAGGAGAAAAAGGCGAAATATCCAATAGAGGCCGTAAAAGTGTAGTCGTTATCGTGAGAGTGTCGTCAGTCTTATTCTTAAAAGAGATTTTGTAAACATTTGTCTGTCATCAGGACATGATTTCGTTGCATTGCTGCGGGTCAATCTGTGCGGCGTTGTTGTCCGCAAACATCTTTATAAAGTCTCGCACCACATCTCGCGGGATTTGATCCCAGAGAAGCGTGCGCGTGTACACGTCGGCGGACCCGGATTGCTTGTTGGTGGCGCGAATCTCCGACAGTGCTGCGGCCAGATTCTTACGCCCCTGGCTCTGCTCGGGCACCCTTTCCGGGTGCCCGTTCTGCAAGAAGGTTTGGTCGCTTACACCGTTGTATTGTGCTGCAGACATGGAAAAGGCCTGTTCGTTGGTCTGCTCGCGGCTTGGCTGGATAAAGTCATTGAGATCGCCGAGCATCGGCGCAGTCACACCCCCGGTTAACACGCCAGTCATCGGAGCGCCGGTCGACATATCGCCCCAATTGACCGAGGCGTGTTGAGATTGAAGGGGTTGCACGGCGGTGGATGAGGGCATCCCAGCCTCCTTCAAAACGTTGTCAAGGAGTGCTGCAGAGGCGGAGCGAACATCCTCGGAAACGTGAGGAATGGCAGGTGGGGAAGGACTTGACATGACAAAAGCGCCAACAAGGAAGAGCATGAAGAGAAGGCCGCCTTGAGTGGCTGTCTTTTCTCCTTCTGCAGGGGAGCTGGAGTGAGCCTTCTTGGCCACGGAGGGTTGTATGCTCTGCTTGGGGGCCTCGGGCATCATGCCATACTGATGCAGGAAGTTGGAATTATCCCAACCACCAGGCATGCACATGGCGTCGACCTCCCCGAATGGCCCGTTGATGGTGTTGCCACTGGGCCCAGGAGTAGGCGCCGAGTTGTTTTCGAGGGCAGCAATGTTCTCGGTGAGCACACTAATTTTCTTGCGTAGCTCGCGCGACTCGATGGTGTGATTGCGAATCAACTCATCCTTTTGAAGTGTGAGAGTTTCGCAATACTGCCTGTACAGTTGGGCTTCGTGACGAGACTCCTCCAGCTGATGCCGTATTGTGTTGACCTCCATATCAAGCTCCCCAATGGTTGCCGTATACTGCTTCTTTTCATCCTCCAGCCTCTCCGTATGCTGCTTCTTGCGTTGCCTAGAGTCCAGGGCAGCTTGCCGGTTGCGAAGAAGACGCTTCTGCTGCTTGAGCTCCTTGATTTCCATCTCATTGGAAGATTCGGCAATGAGTTGATCGATATTGTTCAAGTTATGGTCTGGGGGGATTTCAAAGCGCGCATTCCGCTTGCGGACACCGTCACGGCGAAGGTCGCCCGGTGAGGCAAGCTGGTCGCCATCAGCGGCAACTGCAGCAGCAGTAGCAGTCTGATGTATGGGCTGGGAGGTGGCAGGCCACTCGCTCCTGGGGGACGCCTGGTCGTGCTTCTGTTCGGCGGACATGGAGCCAAACATGTTGGGGAAGGGCATGGGGGCATGAGCGGCGTTCTGGTAGATTGAGGCAGGAATCTCGAAACCAGCGGCCACAGCCGGGTCAAATGGGGGGAGAGAAGTCTGAGCGGCCATGCCCCATGAGCTTGTTGAGGGCGCGCTGTAGGGATGGCTGTGTTCGTGGTCCATCCGCAGGTAGCCGGCGGCGTCTTGCGGGTCGACATAAGGGTTGTTGGAGGGGATGGATTGCATATCGACAGACTGCCAGTCCTCGGTCTTGGGAGAGAATAGCGGGGGACCCGTAGCAAATGATTCTCTGCGGCTGTTGGCCATGTGTGGCGAGTATTCTGAACAGGTTTCTAACGAGTTGGGGCCGAAAAAGTTGACGAGCTGCTCATCGACGTTGGAGGCAGTGGCGGCGGAAACCACGGAGGTCTGCGTATGTGCGAAGAGCTGCATAGGAGAACTAGGCAGATGGCACGGTTGGCAGAAGGGAGTCTGACGCGAAGCGAGCCGGTGCGTTCTCTCGGGTTGAGAGGGTTGTCGGCGCGAGGTGACGGATTAGACGGAAGCAAAGAAGCTGCGTCAAGACGTTGGCTGAGACAGGTAAGGCGAAGACGGAGAGCTAGATCTGGTCGCAGGGACAAGGATATTAGCGAGTCGGACAAGCTGGGATGTATATTTCGCGTAGGCGATCAAGATCAAGGCCGTGTCGACGGTGGGACAGGAAGAGGCTGGTAGCGGGCGGGAGGGGAGAAACAAAGGCAGCGGCCGTCTGGCTGCGTGAGGTGGGGGAAAGAGGTGGGAGAAAAAAGAGGCAAGATGTTATGATATCGTAAAAATCGTGAAAGAGCAAAAGAGAAGAGTGCTTTTGTGTACTTTGGCAAAGATGGAAGAAGAATAAGACGGCAGCGAGACGAGAGGCGCATGCATGAAGATGGATGAGGGAGATATGGGATATGGACGGGCGGCAAGAAAGTGGAGAGAGAAGCAGACGAGGCAGGGTTTGTGGCGGGGGGAGGAAGCTTTAATGGGAAGACTGAGAGGGTGAGGGCTGTAGGCTGTCTACCAACCGGCCTAGCGAGGTACAATGGTAGTAAGTAGCAGCGTACCCGAAGTGAGTGAGTTGGTACTTTGGCACCAGTACATGGTCATGTACCTTGGTAGGCGGGGAGGGCAAGAAGACCGCTGAAGACATTTCTGAATGTGTACCAAGGTACGGAGTACTGTGCAGAGCCCTCACAGCGCAACAAACAGCGCTGTGGTACCACTAGAGCGGGTGATGGTGGTGCGGGACGACCGCGGTCTTTGGTCTTTGGTGCAAAGCGTGGGGCGCAACTGTCAAGCAAAACGGCGCGCCGGAGCACGCACTCGACTGGGACCACAGCAGACAGCCGTTCGTTTGTCAGAAGGACGGGTGGAGGGCGGGGGGGGGACTGTCAGGCTACTTTGGACAAGGTAGCACCAAGTGCAAGGGGCGTGTGACGGGTGTGTGTGGGCAAGCTTGGCAAGCTTGTCTTGTTCCTCTTCCTTTCTTCACCAGCCGTCGTACCAACCGCGCGAAGGAAGAACGCGCCGCCGTCACTCACCTTTGCAGATCGGGCGGTCCAGATGATGTGCAGCGGCTGCACCAGCGTCGTCGCTAAAAAGTCGCTGCTGGCGTGTTGAACCGTTGCCGTTGTCGCTGTCGTCCGTTGATAAAAAGAAGAGCCGTCGTCCGAAAAACAGAACGAAGAAAAGATGGTCGACTTCTCAAATCGAAATGCCGAAAGGTCGGATATATACTAGCGACGGAGTGTATATACCTTGTTTGCACACGAGGCTATGCTAGCCCCAGAAACAAAGCACGAAAATAGGTGCCTGCAGACAAGCAGCAATAATATACAACAAAGACGGTGGCAGGCAAGAAATATCAAAAATACCACGGCTCTGCTTTCGAATTTGGTGCGAAGAGTCTTGTTCACAGATATGATGGAGAGGAAAGACTCAGCAAGCCAGAGCGGGCGAGCCTTGGACTATTAATGCCATCAAGCCTGATGTCACCTACGGACTGCTCTTACAGCAAGCCCCTCAAAAATCCCAGAACTGAGCAGCTGAACTCCGTACCTACATAATGGGTGCCAGATCTATGCATGGGTTTGCAACCGCAGAGACGGGCAGACAGGGAGCCGATCACCGTCAACAGTTCGATGCCTGCCCACCTCTACGCCGAGCAGCAATGCGACCACCAGGTACAAGTAACAAGTACATACCGTCGCATGTGCAACCTGCCATTGATCCTAGTACCTAGGTAGGCTCCAACCTCTTGCTCCTCGCTAAGATGCACCCAGGCAGCACCCGGGCATCTAGTTACCCTTACGTTTTTAGCAACACGGGATGACGAGACCTTGTTCCCAAGTCACACTCTGGATCTTGAGCCTCCGATTCGATCCACTCACAGACAAGACCCTCTCCTCCATGCCAGCCAGACCCATGCCTGGAGAGTCTCCTCGGGTGAGCGGCCTTGAGTATACGCGTGTTTCAAGTCTTTGTCCTTTACTGTTCTCAGCAGTTGTGGCTCTTTCATTCGTCCGCTCCTAATACCAGATGTACGCCCGAGGCCCCCAAAACAGGCCGGCTAACTAAACCTCAGGTCATCACGACCAGCTATGCCGTAAGAAGCGAGCATCTCCGGCGCACCGTCGCCCAAGAGACGACTGACCCTAACTAAGCCCTCATCTATAAGCACCATCAGGCACAACCGAGCCGGTAGCGCGCCTCAAGATGGTCCCCTATGGTGGCAGTGTCATTCTGCGCCGTCACACACCAACCTTGGCTTTCAAAGGATCCCGGACACCACTGGGCTCTGTGTGGCGAAACGAGGCAACGAGCGCACAGTTGGGCTTCATCTATTCGTCTGTTGTTATAATACCAAAGCCCACTCGCCGGGAAGGCCCGCCATTCCCGCAGTCACGCCGACCGCCACGCCTTCTTGCTATCGCATTATTCACATTGGACGGCGGTACGGGGGGGCCAAAGGGGCGCAAAAGATATGGCAGCACAGGCGTAACGGGACCTCGTGGTCCATCGTCGGCCAAACGCATTATGCGATTTACAGCGTACGATGTTTTTGCGATGCTGTACTCGGATATGCAAGGACACAGCGCTTACCCCGTAAACTGATGCAGTTTGAAGTCCTGCCGTGCCTTGTCCATCTGCAGCCCTCTTACACCACCTGTAGGCTGTATTCTATTTGACTCGTTGTGAGGAGTTTCGGGCTGTGCCAGATCGCAGCAGACAAGAACACATGATGGATAGAATCAGCAGTGTTGTGGGCGTGGTGGGTGGCACTGCTCGTTTTCTCCAGCCGCAAAACAGGCCATGTACGTACGACTACCAGCGGAGATGGGCGGTGGTCATTCATCGAGCCTCTTGGGCATCAAGAAAAAGAAGAGAATAGCGACAAAGCAGGTACCCGACGGTCGGGACCGAGGAGGGCAGCGAGGGCGGGGGGGTGGCCTATTTTTACCCCAACGTGCATTTGAGGAAAAAAGGTGTGCGAGTCCATGTAGGTGCGTGGATGACCTTGAGGATCGACGAATGAGAAGGCTCGAAAAAGAAAGAGACCTTGTACAATGTTCATGTGAGTTGACAAGCAACGATTTGACAGGTTGAGAGCAGCCTGTGACTCAAAGTTGAGGTAGTCGGCGATGGGAAGGGGGAAGGCGCCTGCAGGTCAACCCTGGTTGTCGGCGCCAAATGATCAGGACAGGTTCAAATCACATCATGAACGAAGGGCAAGAAACAAAGCCGAGGGAGAGATATGCTTGAAGCCTGTGATTTGCAGACAAAAGCGAAGGTGAAATGTGACACCGGACCAAACAAGAAACCCCACGGCCGGCAGCGCATCCCATTTGCGCGAGCACCTTGTCCCGTGGCCTCCAAGAAAAGAGGCGGCAACTAAGACTTTATTTATTTAACGGTCCCTCTAGCTAGGCCCGAGCCTAGTCTTTCCGCGTGGTGTGTGTATGTGTGTGTGGGTGTGGCATTGTACTGTATTTGTATTGCTGTTTAACGGCGGAGCATGCTTGGAGAGGAATAGGGTAAGAGATGCTCCAGCACTAAACAGCAATACAAATACAGTACAATGCCACACACACACACCCCCACGCGCGTGTGGGAACAGAGAGGTTCCATGAACGCCGTTCAAAAGAGAGGGACAATAAAATGGTCTTGGTAAGTCGTATCCGACTCCGCAGAAATGGTCATCACAGGACCGCACCGGGCGCGAGACATTATAGGTACCTAGGTAGCTCGTGGACGTATTGCCGTCCCTCGTCGAATGGGGGTTTGAGATGGATGCATGGCGCTCGTCAGGCGGCAGCCTCCCCCTAACCTGATTGGGCTGAATCTTCCCGCCCGCGGCGACATCTGAGACATGGGCTTTTGTAGTGGGTGGCTTGCATTCGTGAAGCAGATAGGTATCTTTTTGCTGGTATTGTTGTAGATGATCTACCTCAACAAACGTTTAGGTACATACGCACACACACACCTAGGTTAGGGTGTCAGGCGGTGGGTAGCGGAAGTCGTGGGGCAGGTACCGAGGTGGTGTCGTTTTGCGGTGTGAGGTACTTGTCGACGAATCGACTACTCATCGGCCGCTCTTTCCACACAACCACACACTTCGGACAATATCTCGTCACCGCCACCTGACTGACTACCTACAAACACAACACGCACACGCCACCATCGCAGCTCATTCGTGCACTGCCTTTTTTCCTTTTCGTCTTTTCTTTTTTCTTTCTTTTTTTTTTTTGGGTTAATATTTTCTCTGGCGCCGCCTTTCAATCTCAAACCGAGCTAGGATCTAGGTACTCCTCCTTTAAGGGCTTTTGACCAACCGCATCACCAGCCAACCAACCAACCAACCCGCCAGTTATTTCTGTCATAAAAAAGATTGGGTAAGAATTAAGAATATCAACTGGTTTTCTGCCGATATTATCAAGCCCACCGCCGCTGCGACTCACCACCGCTTCCACGCACACACACACACACACACACATTGTTCACGGCCAAAGCTCCACCAGGCCTGTTATGCGGCCATGGTCTGCTTGGAGGCCTGGCCCATCCTTCACTTCCTGGCCTTCTCCTTGGTTGGATATAGCCCATCTCCAGCCCCCTATGCACAAGAGCTGATGATGGCGGCGACCGAAGCGAAGGAGGAAACAAAAAGAGGCTCTCCCGGCTCGAGCCCTGTTTTTAGCAAATCCCGGCGTTCTTTTGTCCCCCTTTGTGTTGGGCGTCTTGTTGATGCCCAACCCAACCCCATTCTCGTCCACCAGCCAGCCCTCGTCTTCTTCGCCGGCTACGCCGTAGACTGAGGGACGCCTCTCCATGACTCCCCACGGGCCAGATCTTTACCACACTTCCTTTGGTTCTTATTCTTTGTTTGTTGATGACCCCCCCTTGTGGGCACAAACGGGCTCCCCTCGTGCTCCCCTCGTGCATCAACCTCCCCAGGACAGAGCCCATGTCTCCGGTCGGTCGGTCCGTACCGCATCAACCATTCTGTCGTTTGCCGTGAACACTCCCAGACCAACTTGTTCCCCCTCCCCTTCCCCACCCGAACGAATCACTTGAGTGGTATTATTGGTGCCAAGGGCTGGCCCACGAGCTTCAGCGCCGCACAATACACAATATCTTGTCTCGCCGTGCACGTCTCGTCGAGTTGCCTCTACCTGGGTACGAAACGCAGTATCACCCCGTTTTGGAATACAACCTACCGTCGATTTTCTTTTTCCTTCTCAGCTTCGTAGCATGCAGACGTTGCAACATGGCCAAACACTGTCTTGTCTTTCATGACTTTGCGGCGCGGCCCGCTGCAACCCGTTATATAGTAGCCTACCATCCAACCACACGTTGGAAAAGACATGTCTCGCACTGTCGAATCGACACTTGATGTTGTTTTATTTTTGAGCAAAGTCAGCCGGACCTTTTTGAAAGGGCGGCGTAGTTTCTTTTAACCCCGTGCTAGCACCCCCTCTGAAAAATTCCTACCCGTCAACGTACTTCCCACGAGGACGCAACATGCCCATCCCCCCCCTTCGACAACCTTGGCAGAGTCAGTACGAGCCTCGCGCCCCAAACGCCGCGACATCACGCTGTGCCATTCTTCCGATGTTTCGAGGGAAGGAAGAAACTGGCGGTCAGGACTCTCGGAGTGACGTTCGTTTCTCCCCCTCCCCCTCCCCCTCCGTCGTGTCAGGGCAGTGTGCTGGGCTGTGCGGTGTTCGCCTTGCCCAGTGAAGGAGCAACACCGACTTGCAACAGAGCACGACGGGACGAGTCACGACCGCAGCTGGCAACGACAACCTCTGAGAAGCGGAGGTTTTCGCCGCCGTGCAGCGTGCATGTCACAGCTTTTTGGGGGGGGGAGAGAAAACAGGCAAGTGTCGCGGGCCTGTCTCTGATGGCCCCAATAGCCCGGCCACCGAGGGCCATCCCCTCCGCAAAAGAAGAGAGACATGCAGATTGGTATACAAGAGCACGCACAGTTCAACAGCTATTAACGCACACTAAAAAGATAGGGCAGTGCAAAAAAAAGCAAACATTTGCCTTATTATTCAAGCCACGGGGTTTTGCCTTTCTGCTCCCTCTCAGTCACCGCCAAACGCCATGGACCCCCTCTCGCATTGTATGTAAGCCCTTCATCGATAGTGCCCTCATGCTATACCTACCGCATCTGAGACACTTTCTGCAGGTGTCGCTTCGTCCGGGCATGCAGCTCATCGGCGTGCCTCTCCTTCCCTATGCTCTGCAAGGCCATCCTCATGTCTGAAACAGCGACGACCTGCAGCTTGCTTCTAGGTACAGCCTTCTTCCCGCATAAACCCGGTCCAGAAGGGATAAGAACATCACGTAAAGTACCACGGCATTTCGACACAAATCGCGACTGCTCTACACGTCTAAATGCTGCGAGGGGGGCAAACATTCGTCACATGTAATAAGCCATGGCAGCAGTTGAGAAAACTATCCAGTACGATTTGCTAGCTAAGGATGCACCTAGTTAGGCTTTTCCAGCTCCCGCAGCATCGCCTCATTGACACCAGCGCCAATGTATTTCCTTTTCCTCAATAGTGATAGAAGAACTTGCTTTGTGAATTCAAACTCCTTCTCGCCCGACTTTGTGACTGGTGGCTGCTAAAACTATGCATGACAAGACTAACGCAACACGAATGCACAATGATTGTAAATATGATGTGGCATAGATCTGTCCATGCCTAGAAGGATTGATATATTGCATCTACTGCAGGGCGCTGTTGGCTAATTGCAAAAGACGCTCGCCCGCGCGGAGATTGGCGTACTCGTAAGCCTTGGACTCGGGTGGAAAGGTGCCGTTGGCTGCCCAAAGGTCGATAAGAGGCTGCATGGGTTCCAGCTCGTTAGGGCCAAGCAGGTCAAGAGCTGTGGCGGTAAGGATAAAGTGAGAGAAACAACTGTTCAGCTGTTTCTCCAGGTTCAAGTGGTAGAATGGCTCCGTGAAATGTGACCAGTATAAATGCGAGTATACACGGAACATTTGACGAAAGATCATTTGGGACACCTCCAGAAACTTGTCGGGGAATCCAGATCGCTTGCCGAGCCACTCCTTTTCGCCAGGGTTGGACAGCTGTGACAACGGCGTTGTGGTAATCGCGGGATTGTGAGCGTACGAGACGCCAGATGGGTCGGTAGGGAAAATGGCCGGGTCATCGTTCTTGCCGGAAATCCATCGCTGCATCAGAGTCATGTATTCGTATGCGGGTAGCTCTACTGGTTCCCGGTCTCTGTTGAGCCATGTAAAGGAGTGGTTACTTCAACTTGATTAGTGACGGCCTTCAAACGCGCAGTAGGTGGTGTTATTCTTACGCTCCAGCAGAAGTACGCGGGCAAGTTGTGGAGTTGCAGATTGAGAGGCCAGTCTCTTCCTTCTCGTGAACGACGCGGACGAAATTCCACAGGTTTCGATAGTGCTCAACGACTACAAGACCCGTTAGTTCTGCTCGCTTCTTCTTGCACAAAACACATCTTACCCTGGTGAGCAATCCATTCTCCTTGCTCGACCGTTTTTGGTCTAGCACTCAGTGTCATAAAGTTGCCCTTGACAATGTGTTTGGTGCAGTTGGCGTTGAGCCATAGCGGCAGCGGCCTGGGGAGGTGGTAGGAGTTTATGATCTCATCACCGCTCGGGATGCTGCCGTTTTTCTCGTCCATGCCGATGGTCTGGGCAAGCGAGGGCGAGTTTGGCAGCGGAGGGACCTTCGGGGCGAGGCTGGCTGATGATTGGCTTCCTTGCGACTGAGAATCGGAGACTGGCAGTTGACCGGTCGAGGTAGTTGGGCTTTTCTGGGGTCCGGGGGATTTGTTTGATCCGCCTCGGAAACGGGCGTTACTAGAGATGACCAATTAGTGTTCGGTTCCACAGGTGTAACAGTGACCAAGGCAGCAGCCGATGGATTGGGATGCGCAGCGACGATAAGGCATAGTACACTATTGGTACTTAGTGCAGCATGCTATGATCTCAACAAGCTTTTGCAGCATTGGAGCGCGCTGCAGGGCATTGTCAAGACTGACTGGCAGTGTAGCAAGCTGCTGTGCAAACGGTGCATGATAGCATTCAATTGAGCAGAAGCTTTGCCAGTGGTACCAACATAGCCCATCACCACAAGCTGAGGGGCAGCGACGGTGGAACAAGGCAAATCTTGCGCGGCCGGCCTCGTCCAAATTCCCCTCGGCGAGTTCGATCACAATAGCATCACCGAATAACAGAGCGGCAGCCCCTCACACACCGCGGGCGAGATGGTGGCTTCGGCTCCATCCTTGAGACTGGGACAGGGGCAAAACAGCATCAATGCCAGCAAGCCGAGGTCGGGCAAGAGAGGCCAAGCAAGCCAGGAAGAAGTTCATTATGACAGGCAGAGATACTTACATGCCGGAAAATAGATTGGACATGATGAACAGGAGAAACGGTTGGTGGAGCGGAATGCAGGTGCTCAGATGCTGCCCAAAGGAGGGGCAGATGAGTGTTGCTTTGTCACGGGATTTGGAGGCCGGCACAAGTCTGAAAGTGAATGCTAGTGAGCAGGCTTGCTGGGGGGGTTGGCTAAGAGAAGAGCGCGATGATGCCCCGATGATGAGCAGCAGGGGCGAGGCAAAGCGAGGTGAAAGCGACTGGCGGTTGTGATGGTTTGAGCAAAAGAGGTGAGGCGAGGGGCTGAGATGTACTGGTAGCGTTTGTGGTTCAGGCGCGGGAAGGTTCTTGTCAGGCAGGGTCCAGGAGTTATGGGAGTCTGGGATAAGTGGGCTACCGGTTATTGTTAGGGACGCCCCTGAACGGGAACAAGATGGACGACACCCACCCAGATTGCGGCCCAGCAAGCAAGGACACATTATTACGGGGGAAACGATTTGAAAATCAATATAACAAGCCCTCAAGCCAAATTATCGTAACTACACAAAGTTAGGACTCTGCTGTTCGATGCTTGTTGCTGGATACTTTTTTTAAAAGCCCTCTTCTGACGGGCAATCATCCCGTACCTGAGAGGCTGTCAATGAAGGCTGGCCTCTGGTGGCTGTTTTAGCGATTTGCTGCCCTGTTGCGCCTGAAGCAGCCGCTTTGCCATTGTGTGGTTGAACCGTTGAAGCGCCAGGTCGTCTCAGTGCAGCGGTCTGTATCCTGTGCTCTTAAAGAGGTATAGCGTCTGTCCCTTCTTACCTTGATATGTACCGTCACTATGTCATAAGATTTCGAACAGCTAGATTTAAACGCAAATACTATATTCATCGTATTACAAACTCGAATGTGCTTTTGCTTGTTCCAATGTTTTCGTATGATCTTTTGTTCTGCATAGGCTGATTGTCGGACTACCTAGTACCTACACCAGGATGGGTTGTTGTCCAATCGAGCCCTGCCTCCATCGAAATGAATTACCTCTTGAGATTTTAATCCCAATTTGTGCACTTGATATTCTGCTCAATTTTCTTCATCTTTCATCAACTTATAACTAGCATCCACCGACTCTCCCGAGGACTCGTTGTCTGAGGCCCCAGCGCAACCCCAGCAAATTAGTCGCCCCTGTTGCTCCGCCCCATAAAAAGGGCCAGCCTCGTTTGGTACCGTGGATTCAGCCAGGCTTTGCGACCAGTACCTCTAGTTACTTGCGAAGCTGTCAACACATTCTTTTCTGACATCTGTGACTCCATCTCCGCGGTCAGGGTTAAGCCTCACTGTTGCACACCGTCTGTGCTCTCGCTCGTTCATTCAGACCAAGACAGGCTTTGCGGGCTTTTGCAGGCTTTCGCAAGCTTTGCTCCGCGTCATCGCCCTGTCCCCCCCTGCGCCTTGACATCGGTCTAAAGACACGTCGTGCATCTGCTCCCATGACATCGCGAGATCTGCAACACAGCGATTGACGCTTCCGCAACTCCCCCCGCGCCGCCTAGTGTCAAGTGCAACCATGACAATGCCATGGTCCGACCGAGGTCGTGCAGACGATCACCCGCTGCTGCCAACCTCGGCAACACCAACCATCACTGGCCCAGGCGCTGATTCCCCCGACTATGATCAAGCTCAATCGCGGCCGCGGCATACCAGAACAACGTCAGCGCATGCTCGTGTGCGTATCAAGTCATGGCTGTTCTTTTTCAATCGACTAATATTCCATCCCAGAGTGTCGCGGACGAATTCTCCTTTATGACGCCAAGCGAAGCCGCCGCCCGCCTGCGAACGTCGTTGATTCACGGCCTTACCCCCAACGAAGGTCTTACCAGGCTGGGCAGTTATGGTCCCAACGAGATTCCCCACGAAGACCCAGAGCCTCTCTGGCTGCGTTTCTTGAAGCAGTTCCAGGAGCCGCTAATCGTGATGCTACTGGTGTCCGCTGGCGCGTCGCTGCTCCTGGGCAATGCTGATGATGCAATCAGCATTACAGTCGCCGTTACTATCGTTGTCAGCGTCGGCTTTATACAAGAATACAGATCCGAGAAATCTATTGAGGCCCTCAATCATCTAGTCCCAAACCACGCTCATCTTCTGCGCACCTCGCCTCACAAGCCGTCAAGCCCGAGAGGCCCTGCGCTGCCCTCCAATATCACCGACGCTCAAGACATTGGCGACCCCGGCACCGAAACCCCCGAAGACGCCGTTCTGGATGCCACATCTTCCAAAGTTATGGCCTCACAACTAGTGCCCGGCGACTTGGTTTTGTTTACTACTGGCGATCGTATCCCCGCCGACATCCGCGTCACCAAGGCTGCCGATCTCACAATCGATGTGTCCAACCTCACTGGCGAAACGGATCCTGTTCGGCTCGGTACTGAAGCGAAGCGTATCCACGGCATACCCCAATTTAGCAACGAAGCGCCCAATTCCTCGCTTGCGCCAAACGCTAGCGCAAGCCCGGAGAATATTGCCTACATGGGAACACTAGTCAAGTCGGGTCACGGTCAGGGCATCGTTTTCGCGACTGGAGGAGCTACGCAATTCGGCGCTATTGCCACAAGTGTGTCTGGAACTGAGAGTCCTCGCTCGCCCCTGCAGCTTTCTATGGATGATCTAGGCTCTCAGCTCAGCAAGGCGTCCTTCGTCGTCATCGGCCTAATCTCTCTGGTTGGCTTCCTGCAGGGCAAGAAGTTATTGGAGATTTTTACCATTTCCATTTCCTTGGCTGTCGCTGCCATTCCTGAAGGCCTCCCCATTATTGTCACTGTCACTCTTGCTCTCGGTGTGCACCGCATGGCAAAACACAATGCCATCGTACGTCGCATGCCCAAAGTCGAGACCCTCGGGTCTGTCAATGTGGTCTGCACGGACAAGACGGGTACTCTCACAACCAACCATATGACCACAGCTGAGATGTGGCATTTTGGTAGAGATGTTATCAATGTCGAGCAAGAAGCCGAAGCCATCGAATCGAGCCCCTCTCAGGCCGCGTCTAGAATTCTGCGGATTGGCAATCTCGCAAACAATGCACGACTTTCTCATAGCCACACAGAAGGCGCAGTGCCATCGCTGGCTGTCATGACATCGACTTTGGGCCGGGGGGATTCTCCCTCGTTCACAAGATGGGCGGGTCAGCCGACTGACGTAGCCATGATGGACCTCCTCGACAAATTCAAGGAACATGACGCTCGCGAATCTGTTGGGGCTCGTGCAACCGATATTCCATTCAATTCTGATAGGAAATGGATGGGTGTCACTATTGGTAACGACAAGGAATACGCGTACATGAAGGGCTCCATCGAAAAGGTTCTCGCAGCGTGCGATACGTACCTCGACAAGGATGGCAGAGAAATCGTTCTCGACTCAGCTCGTAAGCAAGAAGCACTGCAGGCCGCTGAATCAATGGCTTCAAAGGGTCTGCGTGTTCTTGCTTTTGCAAGTGGTGCGGTTTCACGTCATGGCAAATCTAACACTCGAAGCAACACGCCAAGAATCGAAGCGTCTTCTATTCTTCCCGGAGAAGACGCGTTTAAGGGACTGACATTCGCTGGACTTGTTGGCATGAGCGACCCCCCAAGACCCGGCGTCGGCAGCTCTATTCGACGACTGATGCGGGGGGGGGTCAGGGTGATTATGATTACTGGCGATGCTGAAACGACAGCTCTCGCTATTGGACGGCAGCTGGGCATGACCATCGCTCCTGCCAGCTCCTATGCCGCTGGACAAACTACCGTGAAGCCGGTGCTACGAGGCGACGAGATTGATAAAATGACCGATGAAGCTCTGGCGGATGCCATGCAGCACACCACCATTGTTGCTAGAACGACCCCCGATCACAAGCTAAAAATTATCCGGGCTCTGCAATCTCGGGGCGACATTGTCGCTATGACTGGCGATGGTGTCAATGATGCACCCGCACTGAAGAAGGCCGATATCGGTATTTCCATGGGCCGCCAGGGCACCGATGTTGCCAAAGAAGCCTCCGACATGATTCTCACTGATGATGACTTTTCGACCATTCTGCGCGCTATTGAGGAGGGCAAAGGTATCTTTAGCAACATTCAAAATTTTCTACGATTCCAGCTCTCCACTAGTGCTGCTGGTCTGTCACTGGTATTCCTCTGCACCTTGCTCGGCTTCAAGAATCCCCTGAACCCGATGCAGATTCTCTGGATCAGTAAGTTCCAAACAGTCCACCGTGAATCTGGCCCAGCCTACTAACGACGCTCCTAGATATCATCATGGATGGTCCTCCCGCGCAGTCTCTTGGCGTGGAATCCGTTGACCCGGACGTCATGAACAAACCCCCTAGGAAACGAAATGATCCCGTGCTGACACGCGGCGTCATAACACGCGTCTTAACGTCCGCATTCATCATCATGGTGGGCACTATGCTTATCTACAGCCATGAGATGCTTGCTGACGGCGAGGTCACGCGACGCGACACGACCATGACCTTTACCTGCTTTGTCCTGTTTGACATGTTCAACGCATTGAGCTGTCGGTCCGAGAGCAAGTCCATTCTGCGTGGTGAAGTCGGCCTCTTCTCCAACAACCTGTTCAACTGGGCCGTGTCTCTGAGCATTGTCGGCCAGATTCTTGTGATTTACCTGCCAGCGCTCCAAGAGGTGTTCCAGACGGTGCCGCTGACGTTCGGTGACCTCTTTCGTCTCACAATTTTGTGCAGCACAGTCTTTTGGGTAGACGAGCTGAGGAAATATTTGAAGTACGGCCAACGGAGTTTAGTGAGTGGTTATAGCCAAGCTGTATAGATGGGTAGATAGACGGCTGCTTGAACTTTATCGCATAATTGGATGGCGCAAAAACGGTGGTAGTAATCTAACTGGTTTAAATTTAAAATCATTTGCCTTTGTTCCTTGACTTGCCGTTTCTAACACTTGGCGGTAGTAAGTCTGCGGGCGAAACCTGCGTTCTCGTCTACTAGGTTCTTGTTTTCTCTCATACTGTTGCTAATTTACATGGAATGTTACCAAAGTCTTATAAGCAACAGAGCTGGCTAATCCAATTGGTAAATATGCACCGACATGAGTTTTGAGGGAACGCCTTTGAACCAGCGTAGTTCAGGGTATTATTGGAGCCCCAGCCAGGGACGGGCCCGCTGGTGATGTGGCAGCGACACCAGCAACCAACGTCCTCGGCTTTCCTCAGCCAAACTCCCGCCCCCTCCAGCACGACGCAAAACGGGCCAGCTCGACAGCGATGCACGGTTCAGACCAATCGCCTCTGCGTCAATGTCCGCCCTAATACACAGCGGCACCAGTCGCACCCACAGCGACGATGCGACGACCCCCTCCGCGAAACCCAACCACAACCAGCACGCCGCCGTAGCAGCAGCGGGGCTCGAGACAGCGGCCACGCTGGCCGAAGTGCGCGCCGCCCTCGATGCGCTGCACACCCGCGAGGCGGGCATCACCCGGCGCCTCGACGCTCTCATGGCCTCGCAGTCGGAGCTCTCGCGGGACCTGGGCCGGCTGGACATGCTGCGCGCGGGGCTGGGCTCCCAAGTCATAGCCACGCGCGCCATCGGCAACGAGATGCTGGCCACGGCTGCCGAGACGGCGGGCGACCTGAGCGGCAAGGTTCGGAAGCTGGACCTCGAAAAAAATCGAGTCGAAGATACGCTGCGCGTGGTGGAGCAGGTGGCGGAGCTCAAGGCCTGCGTCCACGGCGTCGTGGGCTCAATGGGCGCTCCGCAGGACTGGGAAGCCGCGGCTGGGTACTTGGCCAGGGTGAGCCATGTGCCGGAAGACATCATCAAGGGTCCGTTTGCCGCCGGTATTGTGCCCAGCGTCGAGGTCCCCGATGCGCCGTGGACGACGCTCGAAAACGCCAAGGAGAGCCTCTGCGTCCTGTTTCTCCGCGAGTTTGAAAAGGCAGCCGCGGATGGCGACGGGGCCAAAGTCACTCGATTTTTCAAAGTATTCCCTCTAATTGATCGAACAGAAGTCGGCCTCGACGTTTACGGACGATATGTCTGCCAGGGTGTCGCCGGGACCGCCAGAACAACGCTCAAGGATGGCATCGGCGGCCAGACGCGCAAGGACGGCTTCTTCTACGCCAACGCCATCACAAAGCTGTTTGAGCACATTGCGCAGATTGTCGAAGGCCACGGCGGCTTGGTCGAGAGACACTACGGCGCAGGCAAAATGGTTCGCGTGATTGAGAGGCTCCAGATGGAAGCAGACGTCCAGGGTGGCATTATCCTTGACACGTGGACCGACGAGCGTACTTTGGACAGGAAGCTCACCGATGTGAAGAGCTACCCGTTCTCGTTCCTGGTGCAGAGCTTTCTGCCGCCGCAATCACGAAGCAACACACCGCGCATCAATTCGCCGGCAGTCGGTGCAGGAACCAACGGCCGCACGAGCGAAGACGAGGGTGTGAATATGAAAGAAGTGGACGCTTTATTGAGCGAGATCGCGGTCATGCTCGGTCGCTGGTCCCTATATACGAGATTTATTTCCGGCAAATGCGTGGTAAGTACTTGCAATTTCAAAACAAGCTGCAGCAAGCTAGCTGGACATTTAATTAATACTCGTAAAGGTTCCTGACTCGGATCAATCCCCACTGTCAACAGCGGACGTGATAACGAAGTCGAATTTATACAAAAAAATTATGGGAAAGCTCGTGACACCATACAACATCATGACGGGCTTCTTGTTTCGCCGATCGGTGGAAAAGTCGTTCCAGCTGGACGAATACCCTCCTGGACTGTCGTTGAGAATGAACAAGAGTATTGACGGCGAAGCGCCATATATCATCATGGCCGTGGATGATGTCATGTACATCATGAACTCGACGATACAAAAGTCCATTTCAACGTCCCAGAGGGACGTAGTGTCAAGCGTTATCCCCTCGATTGAGCGAATCCTGTCGGCTGATTTTATTGGAATGATACAACGCAAGATGCGTGATGAAACATATCCCAAGCCCGTCATGCAAGGTGGATTCCCACCAGAAGACAAAATTGTTCAATTCATTGTTCTCATCAACAGTTTGGATACGGCGAATCAATATCTCAACAGGATCATTGACGGTCGCATATCACATTCCGAAGAACAGTCTGATGTTGCCATTCCTGGCGAGGGATTGAAAGAGTCTTTTCCCTTTGAAAAAGACGCCGTCATGGTCGCCAACCAGCTGCACAGGCTACAGAAGACGTTTTTGGCAAAGTCTACCGAATTGCTCAGTGAAGGAATCAATGTCCTGTTTGAGCGCGTCGTCAAGTTGCGCCTGCGGCCGGTTCTCGGCGATACGTTCCGCGACGCCGATTACACCATGACGGAGCAAGAGCTGGCCGAGTATGCCGAGCAAAATGAGGAGGACCCGGAGCAGGTCATGGAGATGGTGACACGCCGGTTCGAGCGCGGCTGGGACATGCTGATGAAGCCCATCGGCCGCATCATGACGCCGGCCACCTTTAGCGTCTTGTCGGACACGACGGCCAGGTACTTGTCTCGGGTCCTGGAAAAGCGTATCCTGAGCTACTCGGGCAAGACGAGCGAGTATGGTGCGATCCGCATCGAGCGCGACTTCTCCGCCATTGTGAGCATTGTGGCCAAGGGACACTACGGTATCCGGGAGGTGTTTGGCAAGGTGACGCAGCTGATGATGGTGGCCAACATGGAAGAGGAGGAATGGGAGGAGCTGGTGGCGCTCGACGGCGATGATGGCATCGAGTGGACGCTGACGGAGGATGAGAGGAAAAAGGCGCGGGCCCTGGTACGTCGACCTTGAAAGGCCGATGGCTGGCAGATAGATAATAGACAAAAGGAGCGTAAAACTGTTTTATAAAATAAAATTGCATGGTTACTCTCGCCGTTGGTTCCGACCATGTTTTGGAAGGACATCCAGCACTTGGATACTTGACTTTACCGCAACGTGACACACTCAGTGTAAACCGCGGTTGGTGGTGGACCGACTAAACAAGTTATTTGGAAACATAGAAACAACTTCAAGTAGATTTACTAGATTTACGTCAGTTTTAGACGAAGTAACAACATAAACTCCTTCAAGCGGGCAGGCAGATAATCGAAAGCTCGGGAAAGCCCCACTAAAAAGTGAAAGCGGATCAAAGCACTTCGTGATTTTTTTTCTTTGAGTCACGACCAACTTATAACTCATCTACATCTCGGTATTGGAGTAGGATTTTCAAAGTGTATTCATGCAGACTTGGAGTTGACTGTTTAATATCTGCGCCGACAAGACAGAAACGGCAACAAGAACAAAGAGCAACGCAAGACGGGGAAGGTTCACACTGGGCGTTCAACACTGTGGCCCGACGACTTATATCAACTGCTCTGCGATCGCGCCCAGCTCCGACGCCACTCGCCATGCAGACGCGAGTGATCAAAGTCCCCGCCCGGGGATCTGAGCTGGGCCACTTCCGCGACTCTCAAGGTCCCAACCGGTTGGAGGAGTGGTGCGTGAGCGACGCCCCGGCCTCGCGCGACTCGATTGCGGCGCTCACCGAAGCCGGCGCCCACCTCCGAGACAAGGACACGCCGGTGGCCTTTCCGACCGAGACGGTGTACGGCCTCGGCGCGGACGCGACCCGCAGCGCGGCCGTCAAGGGCATCTACGCGGCCAAGGGCCGCCCGTCGGACAACCCGCTCATCGTGCACGTCTGCGACCTGCGCATGCTGCGGCAGCTGCTGGGCACTACTCCCGACGGGCAGGCCAACCCGCTCCCGGAGCGGTACGCGGCTCTGATTGAGCGCTTCTGGCCCGGCCCGCTGACGATCCTGCTGCCCAACGCGCAGCCGTCGCGGCTGGCGCCCGAGGTGACGGCCGGGCTGGGCACGTTTGGCGTGCGCATGCCGTCGGCGGCGCTCGCGCTGTCGCTGATCCAGCTCGCGGGCGTGCCGCTGGCCGCGCCGTCGGCCAACGCCTCGACCAAGCCGTCGCCGACGGCCGCGCACCACGTCCGCACCGACCTCGACGGCCGCATCGAGCACATCCTCGACGGCGGGCCCAGCCAGGTCGGCGTCGAGAGCACCGTCGTCGACGGGCTGTGCGAGCCGCCCGTCGTGCTGCGCCCCGGCGGCGTCGGCATCGACGCCCTGCGCGCCTGCCCCGGCTGGGAGCACGTCGTCAAGGCGTATCAGGACCACAGCGAGGAGGGCAGCAAGGCGGCGCCGCGCGCGCCGGGCATGAAGTATAAGCACTACAGCCCCAGGGCGCGCGTTGTCCTGTACGAGGCGTCGTGCCAGGCGGCGGCGGACGGTCTTGCGGCGGCGGATTTGGAGGAGGCTGCTGCACAGGTGGTGGAGAATGGGCAGGGAGTGAATGGCGCGGCGCGGCCGACGAGAACGGTGGGCATCATTCGGACGCAGCGGTGGAAGGCGGCGGCTGGCCTGCACGTGCAGAACTGGCGAGAGGCAGCGCCAGTGGCCATGGAAATCGACAAATCTGCGTATGAGGTATACCGGGGTGATCTTGTCGGCGCCAGTGGCCAGCTCATCGGCGAGCTGTTTGATGTGAACCTGGGCAAAGACACGAGCGGAATTGCGCAAGGGCTTTTTGCAGCGCTACGGGAGCTGGATAGCAGAGGTGCTGACACGATTTTCGTTGATGGTATAGACGGGGAATTAGACATTGCCGCGGCAGTCATGAATCGTTTACGCAAAGCAGCATCGGAACTCAGGTCATGATGCATCCCATATAGACGAAAAATATAAATTTATACCCTCCTAAATATTGCGTATTGCGCTTCGCGTGATTCGTCGTCATTCTACTGGATATTCCTCTTTTGGTCTTAGTTGATTAACTTGTTCAACCCCCGTCCCATAATGCTTTGATATTCGTTTCCTGGTGTCTGCCCGTTGTCGCAAAAGGTCTTCACCTCTGGCGTGTACTTTTATAATCCAAATTTTTACAGGCCTTGACGCAACCAGTCGGCAATCTTGGACTTGCCGAGTTGTGCCAGGTTATTGACACCTTGTTCGCTCAAATCAATGCGGCCGACCGCGAGGTCCTGAGTAGGCGCGCGGCTGACTCGCTGGACGACAATCGTGGGGTCAGTCTCGAGGATGATGCCGTCATCGACAATTTCGTCAATGGCGAGCGAAACGAGATCGTAGTTTTCGACAATGGTGCGCTTGTCGACGGATTGCCTAGCAGATATTAGCAAATGCGCGTTCAGGCGCAAGCTCGCTAGGTACTGAATGTGCGCGTACTTGAACAGCAGGTGCAGAGAGTCTCTGAAAGCCAGCAGGGTATTATATAGCAGAACTTCGTTCTCGTCCGCAGCACCAACGAGGTAGATCATGACGTCGGATTCAAGCTTGTATAGAACGATGCGATTATCGTAGAGGATGATGTCGCCCGTCTGCTTGGCCGTCTTCTCGACGAGACCCTTCTCAAAGGACTTTTGTGACTTGGTATCGGGGTAGGGGTTCGTAGAGCCACCTGCGACAGAAGAAGCTCGAGTTAGTCGACTGTGCGGTGAAGAGCACTTGGAATCCGGGCAAGGGGCACAAGAGGCAGCGCATTGTTACCTGTGGGAGCGGCATGGGGAGGAGAAAAGTATTTGGCAAATATTCTGGAGCCATCTTCGGTACTCAGGACCAGGATGGCCTGGACCGAGAAAAGGGTCATTCCAGGAGACATGTTGAAAGGGCTTGACGTGGTCAATCTCAACGAAGCTATTGCCTGCGACACAATGCATCGGCGCACTAGTAAGTTAACCAGGTGTCCCTGTGCCCCTCCAGCCCGCCATTTGCGGCATAACCTTTTACCGCTCCGGCTGTCACCGTCGCGTGCGCACGGGCCATGGTCCTGTTACCCGTTAATCGAAACGCGTCTTGGAAACCACTTTACGCGTGGTACCTGACGCGACCCGCCCCGATTTGCTTTGCTCCCTTGCCCCTCGCCGCTGCACAAACACTTGTGACAAGCTTCATCTCCCTCTAGAAACCCGGCCTCGACGCATTTCTACTTTCACCCTTTCAGCATTCGCATTCGCAAAGATGTCGTCGCCGTCGGACCGCAGACAACGAAATTCGCAGTCGGCGACTCCTCGTCGCTCTGCACGTCAGTCCTCTGCCAATTTGCCGAGTGATCCCCCACAGCGAGCTTCCAGCCCTATTTTCTTCCAGTCCTCGTCGCCTGGCCACGGCGATGCTCAGCGCGACCCCGGCGGCGATGTCTCTTCTCCTCTGCGCCAGATGTCAGACAGTCAAAGCACGCATGCTGATAATGGCGTGATTCCGAGCTCACCGCTCCGCCAGATGAGCGACACACAGTCTGTGGTGGACGACCAGGCAACACCACGAGCTAGCCACACCCTCGGTGGAGGTATGATGATTACAATCTCCCTTTTGAGCACTACCAGTACTGACACTTTTATTTATAGAATCATCTCCCATCAGATACGAGCCGAGCTCCAGCCCCGGACGCTCGTTACAACACCAATCTGAGCTGCGCAGTGAGGGCAGTGGCTTGTTCCTCAGCTCTGATGCCGGGAGCAGTGGTTTGCGCAGGCGTGGTGACATTAACTCTGACATTCACCGCACCCCTCGTGTGGCACGTCGCATTGTTCTCGATGACAGTGGCCGCGTTGTTCGCGAGGGCCCCGCTGACGGCTCCGATGCCCCTTCCTTCGCTAATCGCGACACCAATACTTCCGAAGCCGACATCCTTGGCGGACAGAATCAGAGCCTCATTTGGGGAACCACGATCTCCATTGACGACACATTCACAGCCTTCAAGGAGTTCCTGCGTAACTTCACTAAAAAATATCGCCTGTATCGTGATGGTCTCTCCGATGCGGAGGTGCGCGCCGATCCGGAAGCCGAGACCAAGCCCTACCAAGAAGCTCTCGAGAACATGCTTCTTCTTGGCACTATGCGACTTTACCTTGATGTTTCCGACCTCAATCTCTACCCTCCTACAAGAAAACTCTGGCATCAGATTCAGGCCTATCCCCAAGAAATTGTTCCCATCATGGATCAGTCCGTGCACGATTTGATGGTTGAAATTGCCCGCGCTGAGAGTTTGCGAAACCGACCAACACAAAGTAGCAATGGCCAGGGCGAGTCTCAACAAAACATACAGAGCTCAGAACCAAATTTCCCAAGCTCTGACAGACTTGATGAGCCCGCTACTCCCCGGCCGACGCAGGACGCTCAGCCCTCACTCGAAGACCAGGTCGCTGCTTCCATCTACGTTGTTCGTCCCTTTGGCTTGGATAAGACTACCAACTTGAGAGAACTCAACCCATCCGGTAATTATTCCTTCGCTGACAACGGTACTTTGAGATCTAACTAGTTTATAGACATGGACCGCCTCATCTCTATCAAGGGAATGGTTATTCGCACTACCCCCGTCATCCCCGATATGAAGGATGCTTTCTTCCGATGCAATATCTGTAATCACTCCGTCAACGTCGGCCTTGACCGTGGCAAAATTCGTGAACCCACTGAGTGTCCCCGCCCGATCTGCGGCTCCAAGAACTCGATGCAAATCGTTCACAATCGCTGCTCCTTTGAAGACAAGCAGGTCATCAAGCTGCAGGAGACGCCAGATGCGGTGCCTGCCGGTCAAACACCCCACTCGGTCTCTGTCTGCGTCTACAATGAGTTGGTTGACTTTTGCAAGGCCGGTGACCGTGTTGAGCTCACGGGTATTTTCCGTGTCAGCCCAGTTCGCGTAAATCCCCGCCAGCGCGCTGTCAAGAGTGTGTACAAGACCTATGTCGACGTCCTCCACGTGCAAAAAGTGGATAAGAAACGTATGGGTCTTGATGCCTCGACCCTTGGCGTTGAGGGCGAGGAAGACGCCGATAGAGGTGCCGATCAACTTCAGGAGACGCGCACCATCTCCCCAGAGAATGAGCAGAAAATCCGCGAGACTGCCGCAAGAGAAGATATTTATGATCTCCTCTCAAGGTCCCTGGCTCCATCCGTCTACGAGTTGGACGATGTCAAGAAAGGTATTCTTCTTCAGCTCTTCGGTGGCACAAACAAGACGTTCGAAAAGGGTGGCAGTCCCAAATACAGAGGCGACATCAACGTTCTTCTCTGTGGTGACCCTTCCACTTCCAAGTCTCAAATTCTCTCGTATGTCCACAGGATCGCCCCGCGTGGAGTCTTTACCAGTGGTAAAGGTTCTTCGGCTGTCGGTTTGACTGCGTACGTCACTCGCGACCCCGAAACCAGGCAGCTCGTCCTTGAATCGGGTGCCCTTGTCCTGTCTGATGGTGGTGTTTGCTGCATTGACGAGTTCGACAAGATGTCCGACGCCACCCGATCCGTGCTTCACGAAGTGATGGAGCAGCAGACTGTTTCCGTTGCCAAAGCTGGCATCATTACGACTCTCAATGCCAGAACCAGCATTCTCGCTTCTGCCAACCCCATCGGCAGCAGATACAACCCTGACATGTCGGTGCCTCAAAATATTGACTTGCCGCCTACGCTTCTTTCTCGTTTTGATCTCGTCTACCTGATGCTAGATCGTGTCGATGAGAAGATGGACCGACGATTGGCCAAGCACTTGCTGTCTCTCTACATTGAAGACAAGCCCCAGTCTGCCCCCTCCGCTGCGGACATTCTTCCCGTCGAGTTTCTCACCATGTACATTTCCTACGCGCGCGCCAACATCCAGCCCACCATCTCTGAAGAGGCCGGCAAGGAGCTTGTGGAGTGCTACATTGCCATGCGTGCTCTTGGCCAGGATGTGCGTGCGGCCGAGAAGCGCATCACAGCCACCACCAGACAACTTGAGTCGATGATTCGCCTCGCTGAGGCCCATGCCAAGATGCGCTTGGCCGACGTTGTCACCCGCGCTGACGTGCAGGAAGCGAACCGTCTGATCCAGAGCGCGCTCAAGACGGCGGCCACTGATTCCCAGGGCCGCATCGACATGAGTCTTCTGACGGAGGGCACCAGCGCCGTCGACCGCAAGCGCAAGGCGGAGCTCAAGGAGGCCCTTCTTCGACTGCTTGACGAGATGACATCGTCAGGCAATGCTGTTCGCTGGAGCGACGTCGCTCGCCGCCTAAGCGAGAATGCGAGTGTGCCGGTCGAGCAGGCCGAGTTTACGGAAAGCATGAGGGCACTGGAAGCGGAGAACTCCATCTCCATTACTGGTGACGGCGCCAGAAGAAGTGTGCGACGAGTCACTGCGGTGGTCTAAGGGGTTATGACCAAGGGCATTTAAACGCGTTGAAGATATACCATGGATGGTGTTATGAAGGGGGCGGAAATAAGGTGGTAAATGATTTATGGTGAATGGTTTTGTACGTATTGGGATCACGAGGGGTATTGGGTTTGTTGGTTTCGGCTTGGGTTAATACTATGTCACGGCGTTTAATGTATTGTTGCTATCGGTCGTGGTAAGGGCCAATTCTATGTTGATTGATTCTCTCAAATCTTAAAATTACGACAAAGGCAACATGTCACTGGTATGCGTTGAACGTTGTAAAATGTTGTTGAATCTTTCTTATTTAATTCTCCTCCACATTAAGCTTTCCTGTACATTGTCGATTTAATAGTAAAAACACTCGCTATTTGCTCTGTCGTATTCCTCGTTGGGATGGTGCCATGGGAGGCGCCTTGACTGTTTTTCTGTTTTTCTTCTTTTTTTGTGTGTTTTTCATTTTGTTGTCTTTAGATTCGCAATACAATACTGATCCAAAAAAAGTCTCACATCATGGCATCCTACAAGATGTCCACCTTGCGGACCTCTGTCCACTCCTTCTCCATCTTGGGCACCATGATGACCAAGACACCGTCGTCGAGCTTGGCGGCGATGCCCTCGGCATCAATCTCCTCGCGCGGCCCCCCCTCCTGCTGCTCGCCGGCGTCCCTGGGCGGGAGCGCGACGGACCGCGCAAAGACGCCGACGCGGCGCTCCGACGAGTGCATCGTCTGCAGAAAGGCTTCGTCGCCCGGGCGGTGCACGACGCCCGACACGGACAGCGCGCCGCGCTCCGGGTCCCAGTGCACGCCCACGTCGTCGCGCTTGGCGCCCGGCAGCGCGACGTGCAGCACGTACGCGGCGGGCGTGTTGAAGATGTCGACGGGGGGCGAGAAGGTGGACTCGTCCAAGGAGGGGGAGTCGGGGTTCTGGAAGCTCCGCGCGGCGGCACCCATGTGCTGCAAAAAAGGGTGGCTCATGAATCCGCGCATCATGTCCGGGAGGCTGAATCCGCCGGGAGGAGCCGCCGGGTTGGGGAAGTGGCTGCCGCTGCGGTCGTGGTTGTGGTGGTGGCGGCGGCCGTAACCACGGCCACAGCCGCCGCGGCCTCCGCGGCCTCCTCGGCCTCCCCAGCCGTAGCCGTGACCGAAGCCGCCAAGGGCACCGGTGAAGGTCTCGTTGTTGTTGGGGCGGGCCTCTTCGTACTCGGGCACCATTTCCTCGGGGTCAGGGACGTCTGCTTTCATGGTGTCGGGAGAGCCATGCCTGTCGTCTCCAGAAGCAGTCGCCTGGTTCTCATCCGCAGACTTGTCGGGCTTCTCGTCGTTCGAGACGCCGAGGGGTCTCTCGCGGGTGGCCTCCTCCTCGTCGTTGTCGTGGTGGTGGTGACGGCGTCCACGTCCGTGGCGTCCGTGGCCGCGGTCCGAAAAGTCAAAGTCGGCCTCGTCCCAGCCGCCGCCGTGACGGTCGCCCCAGCCGCCCCAACCCCACTGCTGGTCGGGGCGATGGGGATGGTGAGGGTGATGGCGGCCGTGGTGGCCGGGTGGTGCGGGAGGGCTGGGGGGACGAAAGTGGTCGTGGCCGGGCGGGCCGGGAGGAGGAGGAGGAGGGTGAGGGGGCCGGCCGAATGGGAAGCCGGGCCAGTGGGAAGGGTGGCTGCTGGGGCCGCTGTGGTCGATGCCACGGCCGGTCGTGGAGTTGCCCATGAATTGCTCAAGAAAGTCGGCGTACGGAAACTCGTTTGGCTGCTGTGCGGGAGCCATGGCTGCGGTACAAGTAGGTTGTTGTTTAGGCGTTGGGGTTTGGGGGGGAGGACTGGGGTTTGTTGTATGGGCGAGATGGGGTAGAGTGATACTCTAAAGATGAAGAAAAAAAACTACAAGAAAGAGATTTGGAAAGCCAGCACCGGATGGATACAAGATTATATATACGTGGGTGTGAGTGTTGTTGCTACGTAGGCAGCCGTGTAAGTCGACGCAACAAAACTAGGCTGGCAGCCAACGCTGCCTAGGCGGCTGAAACGGGAGGGGGGCGACGTTGGCGGCGCACGTCATCGAACAAACTAGAAGGAAACGACTGGCCATCAGCCAAAGAAACGCCCGTTTTCCACGTGCAAATTGTTGAGAGAGTTGCTGCTGCTGGCGGTTCGTGTGAGTCGTACTAGGTTGGCCAAAGCCGCGCGGCCAAGCCCTATGGGGGGGGGCCTACGCAAGCCAACATGTCAAGAGGCAAATAGTTCTTGGGGTGTCGGGACCGAAGGAAACGGGAAATGCAAAGCGATAAATTCTACGGTAGTTTTTTCGAATGAGATTTTTGAAGCTGCGTTCTCGAATCTTCTCCTGAGATGCGCGTCTTGAAGAAATGACTGTTGCGCATGGACGGCCCCGGGGAGGCGGCCATCGTCTCGGGCCCGAGTCCACGGTGGGGTGCCGTATCCGGTGGCGAACTTGCACTCTTTAACCAGTCGTCAAACTAACGCGAGACTATTCAGAGGGAAGAAATTTGGTATGCAGAGTTTGAATTTTGTTTTTTGTTTTTTATTCATTTGTTTGCCAAGGCGGTAGGTAATCCCGAGGACAATCGGCCGAGCTTAAACTCCTGCAAGAGAACTCCATACAACGACTTGCCCTCTTCCCCTCCCCCGAAATATCTACCGGCAGCAACCGCAACGATCATCACCGTCCAAGCAGCAGCTCCTCCCCCCAAAGCGGCACGTGAGACCGCCGCAGCAGTCCCGCGAGCTGTAGCACCCGAGGCCGGGGACCGCGCAGGTCTGGCGCTGGGCGAGGCTGGCTGGCACGGCCGCGACGGCTGCGATGGCGAGGCCGGCGGCTGCGAGCGTTGTGAGAAGAATGGCGGTTAGGTTCATGTTTTTTTTTTTCGTTTGGTGGAGAAGGAAGGATGATGGGATGTAAGTCTGGGAGATGGGATGTAAGTCTGGGAGATGAGATGTAAGTCTGAGAGAGATGAGTCGGCAAACCGAGGCTTTTATATTGGTGAGATTGGCTACGAGTCAACACGTCAAAAACGTGTATCAGACCAGCTCGCGGTCGTCGTCACGGTCAGGCTGGCTCCTGAGACATGCTGGCAGCGGTCGGGCTGTCGCCGATGGAGTTCTGGTCAATATGCAGAGAACGAGGAAGGTGATAACCTGATCAACATAGCGAGCCGAGAATTAGGCCAATGAGCGCGTGATGCACAAATGTAGATTTCAGGTCATGTCTTGTCGCAGCTGGTTCGCCAAAGCCGGTGTCTCACAAGTTCTACAAGCCAGCCAGCCACCTAGGCAGATGGCTTGCTGAAATGGCAGCAAGACAGGAAGGCAATCAAGCCCGTTTCTCCGTATCATATACTACACGCTAATTTGTAGAGTGTAGTAGTTGGTCGAGGCTCAGCTGTTGCCGCGACAGCAAGTAACTCGAGCTGTATAAATATACCGGCGCTCAAAAGGACTTTGAGGGCTGACGTTTACTTGTAGCCATCCTTGCTAGGAATACTGTAGTTTCTTCAGACAGGATGAAAATGACATGTAATAACCCGCGCGAACAACCACCTTGAGCGATTGCTAGCACTCCTTAATTTGGGGCTTGGCCCAAGTTCTTGCGCATTTCTGCGCCAGGAGCAGATGAGGCTTGGAGCGCAGAACGACAAGGCCACGTTTTCGTAGCGGCCTTGGAATATGCTGCAGGGTACGCAGACCAGACGGATGGGAGTACTCCAAGACCGGGTGCAAAATAACGGTCCTGCAAGTAGTTGGGTTCCCAAAATCGAGAAAGGAGACGTGTGGAAATATAATGTATAACATTGAGACGTCGGTGTCGAAGCAAAGTCATTTCGCAGAGATGCGCCGGTGGTGTGGCTTGAGTATGGTCATGGTGAGTGAGTGGCTGCGTGTGGCTTTTGCTCCCAGGTATGAATTGCAAACATTTATATTTTTGGCAACCATGTAGAGCCAGAACAGGGTCTGTCGCATTTTCTCACCGTAGCGTTTGCCTTGCTTGTTACAGTCTTGCGACCACCACCTACTCTCACCTTGTGCAACAATACTGGCAACCCCCCCTCCTTCTCTCAGTCCTGCTCATTCTTCTTTTCTTCTTCTTTTTTTGCGTCAGACGTTGGGTGAGTGGAACCCAAAATTATCCGAACTCGGGCCCGTCGGAGGACCGTCCCGTCCGCCACCACATTCCGTCTTGTCGTTAGTTACAAGGGCTTCAACTTGGGCTTCGTAATGGCTTCCTGAACCAAGCCTCGGGGATGATGACTAGGAAGCAACTCCTCCAAAGACAGCTGCGACGACCAGTTATCAATTTAATGTCCGTACTGATTAGCTTCTACGCCTGATGCTAGACAGGTGGCAATGCTGCAACGTGCTATATTAATAGCCCCCTCATCTGTCCGCGACGGCAGCTTGCATCTGCGATGCCAGTTGTCGGCTTTGCTTGCACAACTCGGCACCAGCCTGGTTGCCGTGTACTTTTTTTTCTCTCTCTCACGCCATCCTGTGCTCTAAGCGCCCACGTTGTGATGCGGCCCGCCCTTTCTTTGTTCAAAGCTTCTTTGCTTCGATCGCTCTCCACCTCAGCCTCCTCCGCTGTGCGACCTATTCCCACGGCTGTCACGTCCTGCCATCTCTCAACTTGGCCCAAGTTCTGGTCCTCGCCATGCATCCGGGTTGATCATCCGCCCGACCCCTACAAGACCAACGACCAGTGAAGGCGGCTGCTGCACTTGCGACAAATCCTGCCTGGTTCACAACAACAACATGACGTCTGGCACTTCATAAACCCCACGAACCGTTTTTCAAGACGCCAAATCAACGTCTTTACCTGGGGTGCATCTCTCCAACGTAACCTTTTTTTCGCTCTTGTTCCCATCGTGGGTAGACGGGCAGCGAGTTGCGCGGACAGCAATGGCATCCTACAACACCAGGGCGGAGCTTCATGTCCCCGACACGGCCGACACGAAAGAGGGCTGGTCCTATCTCTACGCTAATATCCCGCTGCTGGTCGTCTGCGCCGCCGTCGTCGCCTTTCGCGTCTGGTGGCGCTGCATCAAGCACCATGCCCGACGGCTCACCTGCGCAGACGTTTGCTGCGTCGTCGGCCTCGTCCTGAACGTGATCCAGGTAGCCTGTGTCTCAATAGGTACCGTTCTACATATACGCACCTTGTAGACTGCTGCTAACAAACAGTCCTCTAGCGATTGTGCAATGGGGGCTTGGGCATCACGCGCCGCACCTCACGCCGGAGCAGCGCTACAACTCGCTCCTCTACTTGTTCGTCTTTCAGTGCCTTGTTCAGAACACGGTCGGACTGTCCAAGCTGTCCCTTCTCTTTCTCTATCTCGACGTTTTCCCGCAGCACAGCTTCCGGCTCATTTGCTGGGGCTTGATTATACACATGAGTCTGGGGCTCTTTGCGCTCAATATGACGACGATGCTGCAATGCCAGCCCGTTTCCTTCTCTTGGGACAAGACTCTTGACGGGCAGTGGTTCGTGTCTCTAGTCGCCCATCGCGATGACGACGTACTAACTCGGTAGTGCAGCATCAATATCAAAGCCTTTTGGTACGCCCAATCGGGGTGGAACACGTTGATGGATGTCGTCGTCTTGCTGCTGCCGGTTCCGCTCGTGGCGATGCTGCCCATGAACCGCCGCAGCAGAATCGGCCTCTTGGTCGTCTACCTCCTCGGAGCCTTGTAAGCAGCCGCCATACAGCCTGATCTTTTTCTTCGCGCCCACTAACCTTCCTCCTCCCTGTGCAGCGTTTGCATCGCGAGCATCGAGCGCCTCATCAGCCTCGACTTCAATGGCACGTTCGCCCAGGATCTGACCTGGGCAACGGGCACCTCGGTCCTCTGGGCCCAGGTCGAGTCCACCGTCGGCATCATCTGTGCCTGCGCGCCCGCTCTCCGCCAGCCCCTCGCCAGCGTCCTGCCGGGGCTCTTTGGCGCCGACAGCGACGGCCCGTACCGGCTGAGCGACACGCCGCGCCCGGCTGCGCTCGCCGGCCACGCCAAGGGTGCCGAGACGAGCGCCGGCCTGGTCGAGACAAGCTGCAGAAGCGAGGGCTGCAGCGCCGAGGACATTGTCGGCATCAAGAGGACCGTCAGCGTCGACGTTTCGTACATTTCGCGACACGGTGAGCCCGGTCTAGACGGCACCACCACTTACCCGGAGCATCAGTTTGAGCGCCACATCGTGTAAGCAGGACACTTTGGTTCATAAGAGAAAGTATGTAAATATTAGAAGGAGTTTATTTCTGCATGATTTCCTCGGAGTTCTTTTTGTATATTTAAGGGAGCTGTCAGCGCCGCAAAGAGGCAACTGTGTTGCCCGGCATAAGCTGTGCCTTTTCTCGGCCGAGGACATGGCTTTAGATGAGTTGGCGTGCTCACCACGGTATACAAGGGATGCTGTCTATCCATCTCCGGAGCGCAAATTTTCGACCGAATGATGTTTGTCGTTGCCATTATTTTAACAGTTGTACCATCTTGGCTTGTATTACTTACATGTACTTCAAAGCCTCCCGCCCACAACCCCACCACACAAGTGCCAGGCCAGTGGAGGGTGAGTAGACGTGAGCTTTTATAATTTCTGGTTTATATCAAGAGTGACGCTAGTTACCTACATCATCCGTATCTCTCAGCCTGGAGCGACGACAACACATCTAGCCTCCCATATAATGCCTGGTATCTGGCGAGGGCATCACTCTATTCTCGACATCTCACGTTGAGAACCAAGCCGCAAATCTTTCCACATGTATCACGATGGGATCTGTATCAAAAGACAAGACGCCCATCAACGTCGCCATCATTGGCGGCGGTATCGGCGGCCTGGCGCTGTCCATAGGGTTGCAGCAATACAGCCACATCAATGTGCGCATCTTTGAAGCCGCGCCGCGATTCTTTGAGCTTGGAGGTAAGCCCAACAACCCAAAAGATCCTGCCCACCAAAACAACCCCGCCATTGACCTTGACCCCCCAGCCGGCGTCCTCTTCGGCGCCAACGCCATCCGGGCCATGTCCCTCATCCACCCGGCCATCGGCGAGGCCTACGCCCGCATCTCCACCACCGCCGGCTGGCCGTCCAAGGAGAGCACCTACTTCGACTTCATCCTCGGCCAGGACCTCGACGGGCAGCCGGCCGGCACGCCCGTCGCCTCGCCGCCGCTCAGCGCCGCCGAGCGGCACAGCGCCGCCCACCGCGCGCGCCTGATTGACGAGCTGGCGCGGCTCGTGCCCGAGGCGAGCGCCGAGTTTAGCAAGCGTCTGGTCGGCCTCGCGCGGGACGAGGCGCCGGGTGCGCGCACGCGCATGGCGTTTGCTGATGGCGTCACGTACGAGGCCGACGCCGTCATTGGCTGCGACGGCCTGCGCTCCGTGTGCAGGGACTTTGTCCTCGGCGGCGACGATCCGCTCGCGCGGCCCGTGTTCACCGGCAAGTACGCGTACAGGGGCCTCGTCCCGATGCACAAGGCTGTCGCGGCGATTGGGCCCGAAAAGGCGCGCAACAGGTACGTGTTTCTGGGTAGCGGGGGCCATGTGCTCGTCTTTCCGGTTGCGGGCGGCGCAGTCATGAATGTCGTCGCCGTTGGGACGGCAAAGGATGGCACGTGGCAGGGCAGCTGGATCAAGCCGATGAAGAGGGAGGACATTGAAGCGGACTTTAAAGACTTTGGGGAGGACTGCCAGAAGATCCTTTCGGTAAGCTGAGGCGCTGTAGTCTGAGGGAGGGTATGGCTTGCTAATGCTCATATATGAAGCTCATGGAAAACACCTCCCACTGGGGTATATATGACCTCTCGCCTGACATTCCCACCTTTACGTCGGCGCCGCTGCGTCTGCTTCTCCTCGGCGACAGCGCCCACGCGTGCGCGCCGCACCTGGGCGCCGGCGCCGGGCAGGCTCTCGAGGACGCACACGTTCTGTCCCACCTCCTCGGTGCCTGCCGGTCTGCTGATGACGTGCTGGCCGCCTTTGCGGCGTACGAGTCGGTGCGGCGCCCGCGGACGCGCTTCGTCCAGTGTCACAGCCGCCGCCAGGGCGAGCTGCTGGACCTGCACGCGGACGGCGTGGGCGAGGACCTGCACGCTCTCCGGGCCGTGCTCTCCGGGCCGATCCGGGAGATTTGGAACTGCGACTTGGAGGCCGAGCTGGCCAAGGCGCAGGCAAAGATGGCCGAGCTGCTCGCCGAGGGGGGCGAGGCTGAAAGATCGTGACGTGTACTGGGCGAGAGTGTACGCACGAAGACCGAAATGCGAATATTTTTTCATGTTTGTTGCTAGCACAATGCGGTGGCAAGCTTCAGATACCAGCGCCAGTCTCTTTCTTTACACGGCGCTTAATAGACGGAAGATTAGGCTTTAAAAATGGTGTATTATCTTAAGATATGTACATGTATATGTATGCCGAAACCTATGCAGGCCAAGAGTCGGAACCCTGCAATATAACACTCCCATACAAGGTCAAACTCTCGATCCGTCGTATAAATTAACAAATATTAGAAACAAGTATCCTACCATGACGCTACTTCAAAAGGTTAATAATCTTGGCGACGCTCGGCACGCCGTTGCTGTTCATGACAAACAGCATCCAGTAGCCCGGAAGCAAGATACCCGGGTCCGACGGCACGACGGCCGAGTACTTTGTGTCGGAGAGGCGCTTGAGCGTCAGCGGCACGCGGCGCTGGTCCGTGTTGATGGTGTGCGTCGACGTGCCGACCCGCATGAGCGCGGCCGACGCCACGGCGCCGTCGGTGCCAATAATGAGCCGCCCGTAGCTGAAGGTGGCCGAGGCGATGGCCGGGCGCGCCGCGGGCGACCCGTCGGCCTTGAGCAGGTAGCTGGGCGTGTAGATCTGGCCGTCAAAGTGGTTCGTGGCGCAGTCGCCGCACAGCCCGCCGCCGGCGTTGAAGACGCGGGCGTCGGGCATGAGCAGCGAGATGCTGTGGTAGTTGCGGGGGATGGAGTTGGGCGCCATGGCGGTGAAGGTGTCGCGGGCCGGGTCGTACATCTCGGGCGTCAGCTGCGAGGTGGAGTCCTCGAACGGGATGGCGTACGCCTGGCCGCCGGTGATGAAGGTCTGGCCGTCGGGCAGCACGGTGGCGGTGCCAAAGGCGCGCGGGAAGCGCATGCCGGTGCTCGCAAACTTGACCGTCGGCTTCTGGCCGGCGCCGGCGAGCGTGATGATGTGCGCGTTGGTGTGCGCGTCGCTGTTCTGGTACGACGGCGAGCCGCCCGCCGTCAGGATCTTGCCCTGCGTCGCGTCGTACATGACGGCGATGCCGCACATCGAGTCCGGGTCGTCGCCGCGCCCGGCCGTCGTGCGCTTGCCGGCCGCCGACACGGCGCCCGTGCCCGCCGTCGTGTACCAGTTCATGGCCGTGCTGGGCCCCGCCTGGAACACGGAGCCGTCCTTCCAGCCAAAGAGCCAGGCGTGGTTGTCGGAGCGGTACACGCCCTGGGCGTCCTGCGTGAGCAGGTTGGCGACCTTGGCGCCGGGCAGCATGGTCCACGTCTTGGCCTGCGGGTCGTAGATCTCGCCGTCCTTGGGCTCGACCTCGCCGCCGCTCCAGGAGCCGCCAATGGTGAAGACGCGCCCGTCGGAGCACGTCGCCGACGACTGGTACCCGCGCGGGATCTTCATGTCCGGGCCGGCGATCCACTGCTGCGAGGGGAAGTCGTACAGCGTCGTCTTGGACTTGGAGTTGCCGCCGGTGACAATGACCTGGCCGCGGCCGTCGATGGAGATGCCCGGGCAGAACATGTCGTGGTCCGTGTTGTCCACCACCTTGGGCTGCACGTCGTTGGTGGCCGGGTCCCAGATGGAGGTGAAGACGCGGTCCCAGCTGGAGCCGTAATAGTTGTTGTACGCGTACGCCGACCAGATGGTGATCTTGCTCGTCAGCGGGTCCACCATGCCGGCGACGGGCACGGTGGGAAAGTTGATTGTCGGGCCCCATTTCCCGAGGCCGGCGTACGGCGCCGGGTCCGCGCCGGCGGCAAACACCTGCAGGTCGGTGATGCTCGTCCACGGGTTGCCGGCGACCTCGGTCAGTGCGCGGACGCGCGCGTAGCGAACCTTTCGCGTCTCAAAGTTGGCGTACTTGGGCAGCGCGTCCTTTGGCCAGTGGCCGAAGGCGACCACCTCCCAGTTGGTGTTGTCGGTGCTGACGGCGATCTCGTGGCGCGCGATCCAGCCATTCTGGTTGCCGTCCTGCCGCGGCAGCACCGACAGGCCGTTGACGTTGTATGTCGATCCCATGTCGAGGGTGATGGTGTGCGGCGGTGGCGGTGCCGAGCCGGACCACGCCGTGTGCCAGAACGTGGTGTTGTCGCCGTCAATGGCCTTCCAGCACTCGTTGCCGGCCGCGAAGCTGTCGCAAGTGACGCCCCAGCCCGTGCGGTCGATAATCCGGCCGTTGGTCGGCGGCGCGGCAAAGAGCTGGTTCGCATTCGGGTTCTCGCCGTAGTGTTCCTTGATCCCGGGGACACGGGGGCCGATACTGGCTCCGTGGACGAGAGCGCCGCCGAGGCCGCAGAGGAGCCATGTATACAACTGGGTCGTCTTCATTTTCTTCTTCTTCCCTTGAACTATGAACGAGTGTGTGGGCTCCTCAGAACAGGAACCGAATAGCAGATAATGATCGGTACATCTGTCTAAGCCATCAACCCAAGGGGGCAAGGAAAGAACTTATAATGCCGGTCAGGTACCGTCCAGGAAGAGCGGAGGGATGGGTTGGTCTCCGGCCTCAATTCGGCAGCACAGGGCAAGTAGGTGCAAGAGGACGGCCGCGTTCAAGAGTGGACTGGGGTCGTTGTTTGTTCAATTATGTATCCGTAGCCAGAAATACAATTAGATTAAAAAATTAAAGAAAAAAAGAGCCCATTGCTCTCTGGGCATGGGCGGGCTGAAAGTCATGCGCGGAGCGTGGCGCTCCTGTGTCTCCCGCAGGAGCTGCGGCTGCATGATGAGGCTGGCCTTGACACCTTCTGGTACTCCATACAGAAGTACATGGATCGCAATTGGGCTTGGCTGGTTCAACTACCGGGCCGGGGGTGCACAGAGAGGATCGCGTGATAGGGCCATTCGTGCTTGTCGGGTATCCGTAGCTTGGGCCGGTCTTGTCCGGCTCGTATGCTGCTGGTGCTTTTGCATTGTTTGGTGTTTGGGTGGTCTCACGGGATTTCATCTGATCGATGGGGCACCTATCGCCCCTCTCTGTGGTAAGAGTTTGACGTCTGACGTATTGAAATGAAGAGGAAGAAGAAAATATGGACAAAGGGGGGCCAGGACCACAAGCCGTGCATTGAGCTGTATGCACAGTTCTGTCTGGTCTGGGTTGTGTCATTCCTGGCAGAGACGGAACTGCGGCACCGTTGACCTACCAGGCTACTTTGGGCTCGGGCAATCCATGCCTACCTGGTCCAAACGACGATTTGTTAATCAAAAGCCCAGTTGATAACTAGACAATACATACGATACATGTCCAGCACACGAGCATCGTGGTGGGCCAAGTCGACAGGACTAGCAAGGGTCCAACCGCGACGAGATTCGGGGCGCTGACCTCTCGGTGATTAGAGATAGATGACTAGTTACAAAGAGCGCGCTTTCTTTTTAGACGAATAGGAAAGTCAACAATGTCAATTCGGTATTCAAGGTCCCAGTCTGGTGCATAAGCTTGACCCCCCCTCGCCTACGGAGTACAGTGTCAGGGGTTTCAAGCACCATGGAAGAAAAATACGCGCAAGATGCGGAAAACCGGGAAAGCTCCATGAAACTACGTACAAAGTGCAGTCAGTCAGTCGACTCTTGCTTCAGAGCTGGCCTATGCATGTCTCTGAAGCAGAAGAAAAAGCGCAAAGGGACTTGGCACTGCAACCCTCCTTGCTGGTGTGTCATTGTGCAAAAAGAGGCCTAACCAGCAAGCTACTTTTGACTAGTTCCCTTGACGTTGCCCTTTGTATCCGTAGTACGTATGTATCACGGACAATGGAAGCCGCATCAATGTCACCCACACCGGCCCGGCTGGTACACTTGGTCGTCCCGTGCAAATTTCCCGCCCGGCTTCGCAACTGTTATTAGTTCGTTTTTTTCTTTCTAACTAGGTAATTAGTGACTTTTGGGATTAGCGAACCCGGCGGCGCGATCTAGCCAAGGCTGGAATACGAACCGTCCACACGGAATCCAATGAGTTATTAATAGTCTAAGCTGAAGATGGTCTAGCAACTATAAGAAGCTAACTACAGAACAATCAGCCCAGGCGGGGAAGCCCTGTTGACTACTGAAATGACTCTCTGGCTGCAGCTCAGCCAGCTTAGCAAAGTGTAACATATAGCCAAGGTACCCGATATGTTGTGCGACAAGGAGGGCCAGATGCCGTGGGCGCCCGCGCGCCGCACGACGCAGCCTTGCGATTTCTGGACAAGAAAGGCCAAGCTCACCTGAAGCCAGACGCCACGCACACGCCACCTGGCAATTTGTTCTGAGCAGGAAGCCGAGCGAATGGAAATAGAAGAGGGAACACGGCCATGGTCCATCCAGGGGTCTCGTCCTTGACAAGTGAGCGTGATTTTTTTGTCGCCATTGTACTCGGGTCCGCACATTCCGACGTGATGGGGTAAGACAGGGGGGGAAGGACGAAGAAAAAAAACCGCGTGTGAGGATTTGTGTGTACATACATGCTGGCCGACAACGGTGCAAGACAACTTCAAAGACAAGACACTTCAACTGAACTGAGCTATTCTGAGACTTTGAGAGACGAACTAGCGTCGGAGCGAAACCAAGGTGACACAGTCTCGAGGGTCCGTCTGATGATGAAATTCATTGCTTGGTCGGACGACGACTGACTGTGCGCACAATGAGCATGGAAACTTAAAAAAATGCCATGACCAAGAACGACTTGGCCATGATTCGATCATGACCCATTGGGGGAGAACTGGTAAGCACTGCAGCTGCATGATGGCGCCAGCCAATGGCGGAAAGTCATTCTCTCATTTGTAATTGTTCCTTCATGACGGCCGCTGTTGGTGCCATCGATGCATACGTGGCGGGTATTTCATGTAGTAATTCGCAAACTGCCCCTTGTGTACAACAGTATGGACCGCAGCTTGAGTCGAGCCCCTCGCAAAAGTAAAACAGTTTGCAATCAATTGATTGTCCGATATGATTCATCTTGACATTTCGACAAACTGCCCATCTTTCGCCAAGCAACAACCCAATCTTCCATGCACGCACGGTTCTCGAGCCAAGAAGCTTTGCCCCCATCAACTCCAGTAACACGCAAAAGTTCTCCTCATGGGGCCGAGAGAAACTTTGTCATCGGGATTTGCAACCAAGATGCCTCATCAGGGCAATGTACTCTGTCCATTTCAACGACGGGTCGTGTTGGCACGCTTTGCATTGACGAACCCGGCCACACCGCCCGGGTTCATCGAGGCTGGTTCGGTCATAACCTGGGCCAGCTATACGAGATCGGCGTCATTCCCATGGAGCTGTTGAAACCGACCTTGGCTAACTATTCGGCGAACCCTTTCCCCGGGCTGGCCCGTCTCCGCGAAGGCGTTTCAGGGCTATCAGCCTCTTCATTTATTTTTATTTTGGTCGCTATTGGGGGCCAGGAGAGGAAGTGTTTATATGTAACGAGTGATCCTCCCACCGACGGGTAAACGGAGCAAAGGACCGCTGCAGCATGCGGAATGCAGATCTTTCGGAGACATAATTGGTACTGGAACGAAATTTGGGGATTTGAAGGAGCATCCCCCGTAAGCAGCTGCACGGCCATGATTCAGCAATGGAGTGATTGCGCGACTACCAGGGTCACAGCTATCAGAAACCGACGGGCCTTCCTTTCCGAATCCCGTATCCGGCAATTGCCCAAGGTAAATCTACCCTGAGTAGAACAATTCGTTTATTGAGATGCAGCACATCTATCAGGGTCAGGAGTTACTGTGCTGCCTTGATCAATGACTGCTATAGGGTAGGGATCCAAATAAGTAGAATCCTAGTCATCGAAGTTACTAGGCACCGAGTGTTCAAATATACTATATTATTCTTAAATTACATGTTTTAAAGTAAAGCTCAATGCAAAATGTAGCTTTTTTTTCTCTAGTCTAATCGAAACAAAGGAAACTATTGTGTTCTAGTCTAATCAAAACAACGGAAACACATGCATCACTTACATAGCTTCGATAGCAGATCACCACACTCTTCACTCTCCCTATACCCCAAACCATCGCATCACCTTGAAATCAGTCCAAAACAAGTATATCAAGCTGCTCTGTTTCCCCTTTCTGAAGCAGCATTCTCCTTCACCGCACCCGACGGAGCTGGCCCGCTACTTTCCTCGCCGCTCCCTTGCGACTCACGCGCCATGTCGTCTCGCAACTTGGCCATGAAGTCGGCAGACTCTGCCGCAAACTTGCATCTGGCGCGAATTTTGTAACCGTACTTGTAAAAGACTATGGGAAACGGCAGACAGGCCAGCGCGAGGAATGCCGGGATCGAGGAAGCCCAGTGGATGCCGAGCGCGCGGTACATGTAGCTCGTGAAGAGCGGAAAGGCCGCGCCCAGACAGGATCGCAGAACGGAGCTGGCCGCCAAGACCGAGGCCGCGTAGAGCGTGTAGGCGTCGATGAGGTAGTTCATGCTGCCCAGGAAGACGAGTATCATGCCGAACCCAAACGGCGCGCCCGCCATGATGCTCACGATCCAGTGAATGTCGCTGCCGTTGGTCCACGCGAACCAGAACAGGCCAATCGGCAGCGCAATCGATCCCACAATGGCCATGGGCAGGCGGGCTTCGGGCGGAGCAACGCCGTCGTTCTGCTCCTGCACGCGAATGTACTTGGAATTCGCCGGGATGATGACCCCCAGCGCAGCCAGCATGCCGACCAGCAGGCCGAGGAACGCGAGCCCGCCGACGCCCTGGCTCCAGCCGCGGTTGACCTGGTAGACGATTGGAAAGGCCGCAAACAGCATGTACAGGATGCCGTACACAATGGCCATGTAGATGGAGAGAAGCAGGACGATTGGCTCGCGGAACAGCAGCGTCCACGGCCGCAGCAGCGCCACCCGGACCGACTGCGCCAGGCTCGTCGGGCCCCGCGCGGCGTCCATGCTGCTCACGTACACCCGTCCCGTCGCCTTGGACAAGGCGGCCGCGCGCGCGCGCAGCAGCACGGGCGCATACGTCTCCGGCACGACGGCGCAGCCGACGATCCAAAGCAGGCCGGAGAAGGCGGCGAGGAAGCCGAGCACCCAGCGCCAGCCGGCGCGCATGCCAAGGAAGCCGCCGATGATGGGGCCGAGCACGGGCCCGAGAAAGGGCGCCATGGAAAAGGCGGCCATGACGAGCCCGCGCTGCGCGGCGGGGAACATGTCGGCAATGGTGCCGCCGGCGTTGGTCAGGGGCGAGGAGCCAAAGGCGCCGGCGAGGAAGCGCAGGACGAGCAGCGGGGCGATGCTGCGCGCGCCGCACGCGCCGGCGTTGAGCGCCGTCAGCGCCGCGTAGCTCCCGGCAAACAGCCGCTGGCGGCCAAACAGCTCGCTGAGCGGCGCCCACAGCAGCGGCCCGACGGCGAAGCCGAGCACGAACAGCGACACGCCGAGCAGCGCCACCTCTTGGCTGACGCGGAACTCGTCGGCGATTTGGGACACGCCGCTCGCGTACGCCGAGGAGACGAGCGTCACGGCGAGCGTCGCGACGGCGGCGACGGCCGTGATGCCGGATTTTTTGCACAGGCTAAAGTTCATCGGGTCCCGCGGGTCGCACGGCAGCCACCGCACCAGGTACGGGTCGCTGGCGGTGCCGGAGCCCGCGTACGGGAAGCTGGCCACGGCGGGCGTGATGCCGGCCTGGTCGATGACTAGTCGCCAGTGCGGTATGGTTTCTGCCGTCGATCGATGCGCAGTGCTGGGCTGCTTTTCGGCATCAGATGGCGGCGCGCCCTCGAGGGCTGGGTTCTTTGGTATGGGTGCCATGGTGCGTTGGAAAGTCTACACTCGCCTTGCTTTCCTGTAGGAAGCACCTTGAGTAGCAAGCGAAACCTTGCGATACGTGCAAGAGACTGGCTATGTTGCTTCTCCTTGTCGTCGGCGCAGTGTAAGTGGCAAGCAAAGCATCCACAGACGTACCAGGCAGCGTTCTTGGGTGAGACTGGGGTAGAAAGAAACGATGGAAGTAATGACAGAGAGAAAGCAAAGTATCGCAGATGAAATGAAAGTAGGGCAGTAATGGGCGTTCTCGGATAAAAGACATCAAAGTGCACCGAGACAACAAGCCGCTGTCGCTGGAAGAAACGGAAATCGGAGATCAACTCCGCAGTTCCTACGCATGGACATTGTTTCATCGCCCCAAATCTGAAAGTAAAATTGGGCCATTTTCAGCCTGCCAATACTAATCTCGGCTCCGGCTGTGAATGTCGGCGTCGGCGGCATCAACTCCGTACCGGGGATCTGCGGTGCCCGGGACTGCACCGTAACTGCGCTCTCAGGGGCAGCATGACGTAACAGTTTCATGAGTCCGGCTTTAAGCAAAGAATATTTATAACTCCGGGCACGCGCAGATATTTTCGCTATCACATTGTTGAGTGTTTGTTCCGCTGCGAAGCCATTCAGCCTTTGCCCTGATCGTGCTCCAAAGGCAAGTTGTGCATGCTAGTTCACTCAAGTACCGCCGAGGGAAAGACACCAGAACAAAGTATGAATACCAAAATGTTCAGGACTTTACGTTTTAGATCCTTTATGGAGCCCAACAATTTCCATTATCAATGAATTCTTTATCAATGAAAGGTAAGCCGATCGAACGTCCAGCACAGGTCTGACATCTATATCTGCCAAAGACCAAGTATCTCCGCTATCCACGACCTTTCCGACATCTGAAGGCCTGTTCCTCCCGGAAACATCAGAGCATGCGCCATCTCCGTTGCGCTCGACGGCCCATGCCCGGTGCCCTGATGCGAGCCCTGCACCAGATGCCCAGGCGCCTCCCCTTCCAGCGTCGACTGCCAGGCACAGCGCAGGTTGTGCAGGTACCTGGCGCCGCTCCGAAACACGTTGCCGTACAGGTCCTCGTCCGTCATGACGTACACCCTGGAGACGTCGCCCACGAGCGCAATCGAGCGGTCCAGCACGTCCAGGATGTCGACCTGCTTGCGGACCGCCTCGCTCCGCCACACGCGCGGGTTCGCCAGCGTGAGGCGGTACACGACCAGCTGCACGCTGGCTTGGACGAAGTGGACGTAAAAGGGCAGCCCGGCAAAGTCGGCGGCGGGAATCGCGAAGAAGGCGTCGAAGAAGGCCTTTGCGTGCGCGGCGCAGGACCACATGGACTCGACGCTCTGCAGGGGGGACGGTTTGTCGGCCTGGAACACGCCCATCGCTTGGATGTGAACCGCGGCCGCGCTGAGCTGCAGCTGAAGAAGATCTGTCGTTTCGGACGTTATCGTTGGCTGTAGCAGCCCACGTACGAGACTTTGAACATACTGTGTGTTGGCCTTTTCTGTTTCATTTCAGCCCGAATATATTCAAGGCGTTGAAGCAGAGCAGCTTGGTGTAGAGAACTTGACGGTCTATCATCACTTCTGCCACCACACGTCATGCCAGACCGTAGAGATTGATTCGCTTCGTCTAGGACCCTCTGTATCTTGACGAGCGTAATGAGCACGTCGCCTCCTTCTTGGTCGTCCGAGCGTTCAATGGACTCTACACATTCGTCGAGGTAGGGAGTCCACGGCAGTGTATCTATTCGCGTGGTAAAGGAATTGCCACTCGGTCAATCAGCCCTTGCCCTTTGTCCTTGCACTGGCACAAGACTCACAGAGAGGTCAAGAACCAGGTAGCCAGCGCTGCTTTGATATCCTGCATGGTCCGTATCGTGGGCACGTATTGGCTGGGGTCCCACGACTTCCATCGCATTGATGTAAAGTGCTCGTCGTTGTCCGGCCGTAACAAACCTAGCTCATTCGCCATGAGCGAAGTCAAGTGCGTATACAAGACAATAAAAGGCTTGAATTCCGGTCTGATATTAAGACATGACCTGGTACAAAGTCAGCAAGGGGGGCGGGGGGTTATTAGCTGTCAAGCGGCGTACCAGCCCAGGTAGGCAATCAGGCCCAGCAACAGGTCAATGTTTCGCTCATGATTGATAATGATTCTCTCGGATAACTCGCGACGGACAACATCCCGTAATTTTCGATGTTGCGAGTTGGACATGCAGGTCAATGTCGTGATGCAAAGCCATAGGAACGGCTTGTCTGCGCATAGCGTGGCGGCTGTCGTAGAGGCCGGGAGATGCATAAACGGAAAGTTGGGCAACCAGGCACGAAACTTGGCTAAGAGATCTTGGGCTTCTTTCCCAGTCGGCAGCAGATTAGCCCAAGGGCTGCCCTTTGCCGTGCATCTCGCGTCCTGTTCTAGCTCCATCTCAACCGATTCGCTTCCCCGCCCTGGCACATTGTCGGACAAGGCCTCCTGTTCCATCGTACTCGGACAAATCGGCCGGAATGGCGACGCGCTCCCACTCTCCTGCCGCCCTTGCTGCGATCCCTCCTCTGGCGTGGCCTGGAGCAAGGCCTCGAGGCTGGCCAGCTGCTGCTCCAGCTCCGCCGTCCTGGCGACGGTGAGCCTCGCTGCCACGTCCCTCCGGCCGCGGCGGATTGGTTTGCATTCTCTTCCTAGCCGGCCGCAGCGCTCACACGGACCGTCCGCCGAGACCAGGATGCATTTGCACTTGGCGCGGAAACAATTGCTGCACGCTTTTCCGTAGCCCGCAGGACGTGGCTGGCAAGGTGGCGTGTCGGGGGGCATGGGTGTGTGTCGCTTTTCTGCGCGAGCTGAAATTATGATATGGGATAGAATATATGCGACCAAAGAAATGACATCCAGGAGCCTTGTAGAGCTGTTGTTGAAAAACCCGCGGAGACGGGCGGCCGAAATCCGTACGGAACCCACGGAGATCGGATGTCGGAAGTTGGCTCGCCGCGGACTGACGTGGCTCAGCTAATAAACATAATAATCCGTTTCAAAAAGCTGTGCATAGAAAAAAAAAGTAGTATCATTTGCTGCGTTATGACTTTGAATTAGTAAGTACATGTCATCATCAAGTACGGTAATTCTATACTGTGTGTTCAATACCGTCATTAAACATAACCTCCAAGCTTGAGTATTCGTTCTACTGGGGCTCCCTCGCTGCGCTTCTTCGTCTTGTTTCAATAACCCGCAATGTTTCCCATCAGCGTCTTGTTGCTAAACACGGTCGAAATCGCGTCAATCAACGAAGCGCCCTGGTTGGCGTTCATTTGCGGCGCGATCAAACCACCGACAACATCCACCAGCACCGTCGCCACCGAGCCGCGAATGATGAGGCTGCGGTGGTTCAGCACCTGCTCAACGTACATCGACCGCTGTCCGTTGATGTAGCATTCCTTCCCTGTCACCGTCAATTCCAGCATGCCGTCCGCGAGGGACTGTGCCTGGCTTTTGAGAATGGGGCCGAGGTTCGCCGTCAGCCCCGCGAGGTCGAGAACCCCGGTAAACGACTTTGTGTTGTTCCCTGGATGCAACACTGTGTCGACAATGGTAATGTGGCCAATGTTGATGCCTCCTGCAAATACGTCCAGCGTGTAGTCGCCAATGCCAAACGAAATCGGCGACTTGTTGGGAATTGTCAGCGCGCCCTTGAGGTTCACGCCATCCGCCATGGGCAGGACGAGCTGCGCATGATCCAGGCGAATGCCGCGGTGCAAATTCAGCCCCTTGATCGTAATCGACTTATCCAGCACCGGCCGTGACTCCAACACACCGAGATGGATCGACGTATTCTCGGCGCGCACGTCCAGCGTCACCTCCTCCTGGTCGACAAACCTGCCGAACCACTTGACAAACTCGGTCCCGTTTGTAACGTTTTGGATCTGATCAAAGACATGGATCTGAGTCTTGCCATTGATGCTCGTTTTCGGCAGCCGCATCGAAAGCCAGGGCGAAAACGTGGGGGAGTCTCTGTTGTACAGCTGCAGCGTGAACGGCTCGATGGACGCAGGCAGTGGCGAAGTAAAGGAGGAGTTGAGATTGACGAGCATGGTGTCGGGGGTTTGGAACAGGAAATCGCCGCCGAGAACGGGCAGAGGCTGCTGGTTGACGATGAGCTGGACGATGGCGGGGAGAATGACTTTGAAGCTGCGAATCGTCAGCGGAGATTCCTGCTTCACTCCGCGATGACGGTCGACTTACAGAATGGGCAGCAAAATAGCCAGGAAGATGAGCAGCCCGAGTGCCCACCATTTCCAGTTGGTCTTGAAGCTCTTCGTCGAGCTTGTTTGTGCGTTTTTGACCGTCTGCCTTATACTCCTTTCGGAGGCTCTGGTCTGCTGCTTGGTAATTTGGTCGTTGGCCGCCTCCGAGCCGCGCCGACTGTGGCTGGCGCCATCATCGAGTGCGCCGGACGCGGCTGGTTCTGTGGACGTTTGTACATCCATCACGAGCAGTAACAACAAAGCCTTGCATCAAGATAGGTACCGACCCTATGAGCACATTAATAGTGAGTACTTGCTATTTCCTCGGGCCGAGAAGCCCTGTCGCTATTGCGACCGGACAGTCAAACTGTCGCCATTGAAATGACACGGGGCTACACTGAAGCCGCCCGGACGGACTCCGATATGCTCGCTTATGGACTAACAGCTGGAGCTGCCTATAATATATGCGCTAATAGATCTACATGAAGTCTTTATCTCACAACTAGAGCAGAGTTTGTGGGTAAGGTACGAATGAACGAAAACGTCAAGGGCTTGATGCGCCATGTGGGTGTAGCCAACAAGGAAGGACCCTGACACCAAGTGCAGGAATTCATTTCGCCTGACTAACTAGCAAAACCTCTGCATTCTTCGTTTCAGTGTCTTGTATTCACCTCGAGACGGAAACGTACGACAAAACCTCTACAAGGCGCTCGTCATGCCGCCATTATTATGCCTGGTTACCCCTCGCTGGTCGAGCTGTTGGGCTTAATTGTGTCATTCAGAGAAGTTTCAGCTGCTGTCTCGGACATGGGCCACGAAGCCGGGCCCGGCGTAAACCCCGCCGGACATGCCTCGTGATCGTGAAAAAAAAAATTATTTACATCGCACTGCCCGGCACGTTAGGCCGAAGGACCGGTTTCGCGTGATCGGCGGGCTGGGGTGAATTGTGAATTGACAGGGCTCTATCTTGCCAGGCTGAGAGACCAAGATATGTAAGTACTGGAACCCGGCAATTTTCTCTGAAAGTAGAAAATTTGAAACCGCCTTGAAGCCCTCGCCAATGCATTCATTCAGGAATGGGCAACAGCAGCATTGATCACTGACTAACACGGCGACGATTTCCCAGGACATAATCACTGCAAACTAGTACTTGCTACAGGTGCAGGCTTTCTGTTTACAAGAATCGACGTATTCGACAGCCCAGCAGTACCATGTCGACGCCGGCTAACTATTGAGCCTCATGACAAGGGCCCGACGGGATAGACAATACATAGACAGACTAGCGAGTACGGATCGACATAGCCGACATGTCCTATGCCTTATCAAGGCTTTTATCCCCTGTTCAAAATTATATTAGTTGAGCCGCAACGCGCCACAGTGGACCAGAGCAAAGTCCGCAAGTCTGTCCGTACTGCCATAGCCGGCGGATGGACAGCCCTCAGCGCCGTCGAGGACACCATTCTAGTTACGATGGTTGATACAGTACGTCTCCAACCACACACAAAAAAACAAAAACAAAAAAAACGCGTAAAATTGAAGCCACATCGTCGTGTTTCTTTAAACATGCACCAACAACCTTGGGAGTGGCTGCGGCGGAAGCCACACGGTCTGGCCGCCGTGGCCCGGGGGCTTCAAGTGCCGAGATCAGGCCAACAAGAAATTTTGACATGATAATCCGGGAATTTGATGCGCACTCCGACCGCAGCAGGAAAGACGGAGGAACCTTGTGTTCCATCTGTTACCCGTCGGAGCCAGCACTGCGGTGTGGGGTGCCGACCCTGTCTTTTTTCCAGAGACTTGCTGGATAATTTGCAGACGATCGGCTGAGAGAGACGAAGGAGGGAGAGGTTGTGGCTGGTTGGTCAGTAGCCCCAAATTGTCATTGCTAGTTAACTACAGGGTAACCACCTTTGTTGTTTTAGATCTCACTACCGCTTCAGGCAAGCTTCTGGTTTTCGTTTCGGGATATTGGGACCACCAGGGCTGGGATGAAACTCTAACTATTATTATATGATTTATTGACTGAACGTTTGCGTGGGGGTGCAGATATACAGTGGTTGACGGGGATCGTTCCTCCACAAATTGGTCCCCTGTGGCTCAGATGGCTAGAGCGAGCGTTGCACTCTTAATGCGTAGGTTGGAAGTTCGAGCCTTCCTGGGCGAGATTCCTCCTCAGTCCCCGCAGGTGCCATTTGCCCTTTTCAGGGATCTCCCGGCGTTAAATAGCAATACATGCATACAGCATACATACTGTGGTAGACGGGGGATCGTTCCTCTCATCATGGGGAACCCTATCGTTCCTACACGACACTGATGTATGTGTGTATGGATATATGCATGTATTACTATTTAACGCCGGGAAATCCCTGAAAAGGGCAAATGGTGCCTGCGCGGACCCTTTCAAAGTTAATTTTTGCCAACCCTCATTTTTACAAATAATTCTGATTTTTATCTGTCCAATAGGACTCGCATCCTTCCATGATGAAGAAGTAATCATTGAATGCATTTGCGGGACTGGCAAAATACTATTTTTTTATAATTCGTTGCATAATTTTCATCAGTATGGCACTGCGGATGTATTTTTAACTATTATTGGCTGGCTACCGTCTGTCTCGGCCAGGTTCCCTTCCGTGCTTGTAGCACCTACAATCTATTGTATTGCCGAATACAATATCAGAGTGGGTGGTTGAGTCTGCGGTGCCATGCTGGGCATGAACCCCCTTCGAGCCTACTAGGTGGCTTGGAGGTATTTTTGAAGGGCATGAAGGAGCGGAAGGCTCATTTACCCTAGTTGAGGGGGATGTTTGGCCTGGATACGGGCCTGGTTTGACTTGTCAAGCTAAGCAACACCACATTTACATACCTGTATATGCAAATTTGTCAAGCGAATAAGACGCATGGTTGCCCGCCTTGCTGCCACTGTGTCACCTTTCTGTGTCCTACATGGCGCGCCAGAATTCTTCGTCAGGATCGACAGGAAACTGTAACGCATCTCGAAACGCAGGTTGGCCTATCTGCATTGTCTGCCCAGAAGGTGCTTCAGCCACAACTGACGACGTTGACCATGCACAATTTTCAGTAGCTGCCTGCCTCGGCTGCGGTGGTGCGGTTGCTGAGATCTTTACCAGTGACGAATCCATATGTGAACTGGCCTGGTGCTGGCTTCAATATCTTGAAGGAGACGAGGCTACAGTCCCGCCGCGTCCGCCGTGAAATCATCCATGACAGAGGTATATGGCCCAGAAGTGCTTATACAGTCTTACTACGAAGCACTGCAGCCCGTCTGGATCGTTGCAGTAGTGCTTGGAGCCCTGAGTCTTGTTGGTGCTGTATTCACCGAGTAGATCAGAGTAAAGAAGGACAAGTAAAATAACCAAGACAATTTTGGGAAGGAATTGAAGAGTTCCCCTGTTGATGAAGAAAAACATCCTGTCCAATTTGTCTAGATTGTGTGTTGACTTGCTGTTTGTTTACAAATTGGAGACCCCACGTGTTATAACATTCTTTTTTTTGCCAGTTCTTCACTCTAGCCTTGCCGATAATTACCCGTATTAAAAAAAACATTTTCTACAAACTGTGAGACTCAAAAAGACAATGTTATTTATATCAAGCAGTGGGCAGTCTAGAAAGTGCGCATAATGTTATAGGTGCTTACAGCTGATCCTCGCCACAGCTCAAAGAACAAAAGTAAAAGAGGGGGGAAAAAACACGTATAAAGAGAACAGTCACCGTCTGTAGTTCATTTACTAAAGACCCGCCCAAAAACATTTAATCGCTTATTCGCCGCTTATTCGGGCTGCATCTGGTGACAGTGAGGTCTTCGTCGCGCAGTGTCTTGGTGATAGTTGACCTTCTCGATCTGAGTGGCTCGTAGCGAGGCTCTTTTAGACGGCCAAGTTTGAGCAAATAGACACTTATTTTCGCCTTCGAAGAATTGCAACAAAATCAAGACAAAACAATATATTCTTGAATTGAATTACAAAAACGAAATCGTCCTCGAAAGGTCACTGACATGCACCCCGACTTGGGTATCCACTTGCACCCGTCTAGCCGAGTTCAACGACAGCCGTGGTGTGATTGGTTGCGCAAAGCTTAGAAATCGAAAGCAGCCAATTCTGTCGTCACTGCCAAAATCAAACTTCACCACGAAACGACCAATCCTTTCCATCCCCTTTTCACCACAACCCCCCCAATCGCGGCCCGCAATAGACACAATGGACGCCAAAATGCCATCACTTTGTACGCCTTGCGCACCCGCCCGCCGCCTCCGAGACTTTCCTTGCGCTGACCTCTCTCTAGCTTCCGCAGCGCCAGCCGCCGCCACGACAAACGACAGCGCCTCGCGGCCCAAGGTACGCCTCTACATGCTGCTCAAGCACAGGAAACCCCTCCGGACGCCTATACTGACGCTTTCCCAATTGTGCTAGCCTTGCTGCGTGTGCAAGGACGAAAAGGCCAAGCGCGACGAGTGCATGCTCTTCTCCAACGCAAAGGACCCCCAGGCCGACTGCCAGTCGTTTGTGCAGCAGTACAAGAGCTGCATGCTCGGCTTCGGATACAAGGTTTAGAGAACATACAAAATACAAAGGAAAAAGCGGCGATACGATTTGCGAGACGACCAGCGCTGTCGAATAGCTGTCCTCCCCCGTCGGATGGATGCAATAGTCGAAGTTCGGATCATCGGCGAAGGGGGCGCAGGGGAAAAGTTACAAAAACGTTCAGTCGTCGGGATCGTCCGGCGCTGTGTACAACAATGATACAATACGAATAGACCGGTCACCGATGTTGCGGGAAAATCAATCTCCTCTTTTGGTATGGAAGCATCAGTACTAGCAAAATAGCCTGGCAAGGCAGAACCAGTACCTGGATAATAGAAGAACAACAGAAAACTTTGTACATTACCCTGCAAAACCCTCTCCTTGACATTTATCCTTCCGATTTCCGTCAATCTTGATCATCTCGGAGCAAGTGCTGCACCTCGCGCTCCTTTGCGTCGTAGACCTCCAGCATGTTATTCTCTAGCTGCGTCATGACCATGTGGAGGCCTGACACCACTGCCATCATGTCCTCTTCAATCGTGTTTCGTTTCTGCATCGATTTTGCAATATCGGACAAAAGCTTGGCTTTTCTCTGCTTCCTGTCAAAACGGCGTCAGCACCCGTCCTTGGCAACTCCCAGGTTGCTGGAGCCGTACCTCCTCCGTTCGTGATCCTCTCGCTCCTGCGAGACTTGGTGCTTAATGTCGTCCAAATCTGCGAGCACTTTGGCGACAACATCTTTCATCCTCACGTCTCGTTCTTTCTTGAGCTTCAAAGGGGCCGTTAGTAGTTCGACTGCCGGCAAACATCTTGCTTGGGTGGCTGCAGTGGCCGAATACCTTGAAGATGCGTTGCTGCGCTGCAATCGCGCTTGAAGCCCCGTCGGAATCCGCAGCACTTCTAGAAGTAGTACGTCGTGCCATTGAAGCTGAGAATCACTGCAGAAACGTATTTCGGACCGGCAATTTCGTGTAATGGCTTGTATGTATCAGGAGAGCTATAACTTGCAAACGAACCATGTTAGTGGGCCAACCGTCTGCCAGCTGGCGGCCTCGACGCCTTTTATTCACGGACAACTTAGTTTCTTAAGTGAGATTGTGAATTAAAGTCATATTTTTTCCACTCTAACTGTAGTTTTGATCCCTTTTATGTTCAGAAACACCTCTTTTTGGTATTAACATGCATCCTCATCAAAGGTTGATACTCTATCTCGTAAGGGCAATGTCGTCTATTCTCAAAATCATCTTCACCGTCTCTGCTGCCAGCTCAATGGCGCTCGTGCTGACCAGCAGCGGCTGAAGAACATTCTCCTTGGAAATGTTGGAGTTGACGCCACCAGACTTGATGCTGACGCCGGCGCTCTTCTCGCCCATTTCGTGGCGATGTCTTAGGTCAGTGACAACCTTGATGCTGTTGAGGCCGGCGTTCTCGGCCAGAGTGGTGGGAATGACCTCCATGGCGTCAGCAAAGGCCTTCCAGCAGATGGCCTCGGTGCCAGTTAGGCTGCGCGCCTGTTTCGCCAGTTGTGCAGCAATCTCAATCTCGGGTGCGCCACCACCGGCGATGAGGGCCTTCTTCTTGACGAGGCAGCGGACAACGCAGAGCGCGTCGTGCAAGCTGCGCTCGGCCTCTTCCAGGATCAGGGAGTTGGCACCACGAACAACGATAGACACGGTCTTGCCGGTCGCCTTGGCACCCATTACCTTGACCATACGCGCTCCAGAAGACGTAACCTCCTCGACCAGGTCAGCACTTCCTAGCTTATCCTCGGTGAACGAGTCGATATCGGCAACGGGCTTGCAACCAGTCGACTTGCAGATGAACTCGACCTCATCGCGTTCAATTTCCTTGATGGCCATGATTCCGAGCTTGGCGAGGAAGTGGAGTGACAGGTCGTTGACGGCATCTCTGAGGATCGACTTTTGGATGAGAAGAACGTTGCACTTGGCTTTCTTGATCTTCTTGGCGAGGTTGAGTAGATATAAGCGCTCCTCCTTGACAATCTTGTCCATCTGGCGGTAGTCGTTGACCTGGATAGTGTTTTCCATCTGCATGATAAGAGTTAGTATGTACAAATCAACCAGATCGAGCATGGGACACATACGTCAGGCTTGGGAGGGCTCAGTTGGAACTGGATGAGACCAATCTTGGCCTTTTCCATTCGAGTCGGCCCACCAGCGTTCTTGAGGACAGACTGGTTGAGCACAAGGCCGTCCACCAGCTCGCTGTCCTCGATTGTGCCTCCGACTTTTCGGATAATGCGAATGTTGTTAAGATCGACATTCTCGGCCGTCTTAAGATCGATCGTCTTCGTTACAGCATTGACAGCCATCGGCCCGAGAAGGTTGGAGTACTGAGAAACAATTTTGGAGGAGAGCGAGGTGTTGGCAGCTTGCAGAAGCGATGCAGTGTCAGTCAAAGAGATGGGCTGTGACATATCGTGAAGGACTTCGACGGCGGCGGCGGCGGCGCGCTGGAACGATTCGGAAATGACAGAGGGGTGGATGCCCTTGGACAAGAGGCGGTCGGCAGCACCAAGCAAGCTGCCGCAGATGACGACAACAGAGGTGGTGCCGTCACCAGCCTCGACATCCTGAGCACCGGAGAGATTGACCAGCATCTTTGCGGTGGGATGCATGACTGACATGCTCTTGAGCATGGTGTTGCCATCGTTTGTGATGATGGTCTTCCCCTTTCCACTGCGAATCATCTTGTCCATACCGCGCGGACCGAGAGATGTGCGTACGGCATCGGCAACAGCTGTCGATAGCAGTTAGTAAGTATTCGAGCACGCCTCGTGCGTAAGCTACACGTCCGTACCTCTAGCAGCGACAATGTTCGACGAGCGAACTGCCATGGGCTTTTCCTTATCCTACGCAACTGTTAGTGGGGGAGCTCTGGGAGCTTGCAGTGAGCGTGTACTGACTCTGAAGGTGGCATTACCACCCGGACCACCGCTTGAAACCTCAGCCGCAGACATTTTCAAGAGATTTCCTTGACCTGGTTTGGCAGAAATATCCTGTTGGGAGCGCGATTGTTGATTGAAAACGGAAGCACTGGTCCACAGGCAACATTCAATCGAAATATCCCACCTTGTCCCTACTCCGCCATTAGCACCACCGCCTGGAAATTTTGGGCTTCGGAAGTGGGGATTATCCATCTTCCGCCACCTTCCATCCTGCCCTTTGCCTGCGCGGCGTGTACACAGTCCCGAAATGGCCTAGCGAGTTTTGTAGCCACTCAGCAACCTGGCGCACTGGAGCTCTCAGGCAGCTGAGATTACGGAATGCTTTGCTCCAGCCAATCCATCACCAAACACACCAAGTTGCGCCTTCACCGTCCTCACACTTTCAGTCTAAACAACAATTCAGACTGTATCGCTCTTTCACCACTTCATTAACGAGCCACACACCACGAGATCAGCGGCGCGTCTATCGTGCGCGTTTCACCATGGTGAGCAACCCATAGCCGCCTGCTGACCTCCAAGGAATCCCATGTCACTGACCACTTCAGCCTTCCGCCACCGGACAAAATTGGGAGAAGTACCAGAAGACCTTCGCCGACGAGGAAGTAGAAGAGAAGAAGATCACACCTCTCAGCGATGAGTATGCGCTCTCGCCGTCGCAGCTTCGCCGTGGCCCTGCTAATCTGCCACCAGGGACATCCAAGTCCTAAAGACCTATGGCGCCGCGCCGTACGGAGCCGCCCTCAAGAAGCTCGAGAAACAGATCAAGGAGAAGCAACAAAGCGTCAACGAGAAGATTGGCGTCAAGGTAGGCTGCAAACTTTCTGGGGCCGCGGCAACACCGAACGCTGACAAGTGCAGGAATCCGACACTGGTCTTGCACCACCACATCTCTGGGACACGGCGGCTGACCGCCAACGAATGCAAGAAGAACAGCCTTTCCAGGTCGCTCGATGCACCAAAATCATCTCGGACGAAAAAGGAGATGAATCCAAGAGCAAATATGTGATTAATGTCAAGCAGATCGCTAAATTTGTCGTCCAGCTTGGCGACAGAGTCAGCCCTACCGACATTGAGGAGGGTATGCGGGTTGGCGTTGATAGAACCAAGTACCAGATCATGCTTCCCTTGCCTCCAAAAATCGATGCCAGCGTCACCATGATGACCGTCGAGGAGAAGCCCGACGTCACCTACGGAGATGTCGGTGGATGCAAGGAACAGGTCGAGAAGCTCAGAGAAGTCGTCGAGATGCCACTGCTATCACCGGAGCGCTTCGTCAACCTTGGTATCGACCCTCCCAAGGGCGCTCTGCTCTACGGCCCCCCCGGTACCGGAAAGACTCTTTGCGCCAGAGCCGTCGCCAACAGAACAGACGCTACCTTTATCCGTGTCATTGGAAGTGAACTGGTGCAAAAGTACGTTGGCGAAGGTGCCCGAATGGTCCGAGAGCTCTTTGAGATGGCTCGCACGAAGAAGGCCTGCATCATCTTCTTCGATGAAATTGATGCTGTTGGTGGTGCGCGTTTTGACGACGGTGCTGGCGGCGACAACGAAGTCCAAAGAACTATGCTGGAATTGATTACACAACTCGACGGTTTCGATTCGCGTGGCAACATCAAGGTGATGTTTGCCACCAACAGACCCTCGACTCTTGACCCTGCGCTCATGCGTCCCGGCCGTATCGACCGCAAGATTGAGTTCTCGCTACCTGACCTCGAGGGTCGCGCCAACATTCTGCGAATCCACGCCAAGAGCATGTCCGTCGAAAGAGATATCCGATGGGAACTCATTTCGCGCCTGTGCCCCAATGCTACCGGTGCCGAACTTCGCAGCGTGTGCACGGAAGCTGGCATGTTTGCCATTCGAGCCCGGAGAAAGGTTGCTACGGAGAAGGACTTTTTGAGCGCTGTCGACAAAGTCATCAAAGGCAACCTCAAGTTTAACTCGACTGCTACATACATGCAGTACAACTAATGTAGTGCATGAAATACAGTCATAATGTACAAATACAAGAAGTTTTGGTGCCTTGGAATTCTGTCAAGAGTCCGCTAGTTTGTTATCTTTTACTGGGAATAAATATGGCATTTATCTAGTAATCATGCAATGGTTACGTGCATGCGTTTTTGTTGCTAAAGAGCTAAAGAAATGTATTTGTTTTCGCCATGTAATAATTACAGTCATAAGGTCCTTTGTACAACCAAGCTCGTTAATGATGACCGCCAGACAGAAATCGTAATCCAACCACTATCACCCAAAACGCCGTCCATGTAATGTGTAAAACTCGCCGGAAATCTGGCAATGCATGCAATGAGGTATATATCTTAAAGGTCCGCTTGAGAATCAGAATGTCATAATATCCTCAGGTGCATTATCCCCTAACAGGCACCCGAGGCAGACGACCTCGCCTTCCGGTCCCTTTTCCACGCAGCAGCGACTGCACACCACCGATCGGTGTCCGCAGGCCGCCCATTCCGGCTGTTTTTGCCTCGTCTGTGCCTGGGTCGGCAGCTCTGGTGGTGGCTCGGTCGGGGGCCGGCCATCAGGGTCGGCCGGGGCAGGCCCGTCGTCGGCGTCCTCCATACAAAACGAGCGTGACAGGGCCGATTGCTCGGACAGCACCGACGCCAAGTCCCCACGTCCATGGCACTGGCGGATGCAGACAAAGCACGTCTGCGCGCAGCAACCCTCGCACGGCGCAAACGAGTCCAGGTCCGACTTCTTAGTTGGCCGGCGAAGGCAGATGTGGCAGGGCGCGAGAACGACGCTCCTCGCCGGCCGGTGCTGGTAGGCTGAGGTAGAGGAGATTTGCGGTGTCTTTTTGTTCTGTGCTTGCTGCGAGGGTCGACAGCGGTGGCGAGGCGTCAGTTCGGAGGAGGTGATATTGCTGGTGGCATCTGCTGGGTCGTCGTGGTCGAGCCGCGTGCGTTTGGACGTGGGCGCGGCCATTCTCCGCGCTGAGAGGCCAAAAGGGGGGTGGTGGCTGCCACCAAAGGAGCAGGATTCGTCGACGTTGTAGCTGTAGAGCGCAAAGATGTTGTTGCTGTCGTCATCATTGTCGTAGTCCTGCCATCGCCGCTTGCTACGAGCGGGAGGCGGAGAGTCGCCGCCAACAAACGGCATGGCGCTTCATCGGCCACGGCCCTGGTAGGCGTGCCACAAGAAAGATGGATGCGTCTTTGTACGACGATGAACGAAAGCAAAGGGTAAAGCGGACGGAAGATTGGCTAGTTAGCAACGTGTTTGGCCTGCTGGAGAAAGACGAGAGGCGCCAGCAGGTTAATATCGAATCGGGGAGGATAATGATTAGGCCGACAAAGAGGAGCCTGTTCTGCTTCGAGGTGGAGAGGCTGGAAGTCCAGGCACCTTGAGGCACTAACTGGGTAACCCGTATTAGACCTCCGAGGAGGTAGGTAGAGCCAGAACTTGCATGATTGAATCGCACATAAAGCTCGCTTATGAACATGCCAACCCATTTGATTCAAGCTTCATCCTCTTCTACAAGAATGCACAATTTAGGCTCGGCACATCGTGCTGCAGTAGAGCAAGAACAGGCCGACCACGAGTAATAAAGTAAAACACCTGATAGTACTCAGGTACAGATGCTTGGTATCACTATTCTCTTCTTAATCACAATATTATTTTTTAAATAATTCGCTGAGGTCATGCCACAACTCTCAGGATGGTGTTGATAGGACAGGCACAGAATGATTCTCGGCGGCGATTCTGGCCTTTATAGGTAGTACTCAATACACTATCAAGACGAATCAAGAACGCCAATCGAATAGTTCGGAGGTCCCAGCTCCTGTACAACACGCAACAACGTTGCTCTCCGGTGAGTACGACTTTTGTCACATTGCAGTATACGTATACAAGTCTAGTAGCTTTTGTTAGCCATGGGTGTGCGGTTCGTGGCATCGCAATTGGCACTAATAAGGAACATACGCACATGTGCGAAATACAGTGCTCGATAGCCAATGCACTGTGCTCTTCTGCGCGTCTGCTTGTGTGGCACAGTGCTTGTCGTAGAATCTCATCTTCAAACATGACCCACTTGCTTCAACAGTTTGCCGCCAGCCTCCTTCCACCTGAACTCTGCACACTCCAAACAGCTTCACTCCGAGCGCGGGCCGCATCATTGCTGTCTTATTCAAGCGGCGCACATTATTTCTGTTCGTTTCCCGTCTATTTCTTCTTCATTATCCCTCGTATCTCGTCCCATCATCTTCAATCCCCCCCTGCCCTTGCCCGTCTCCTCCCGTTTTGTTCAGGGCGTTCATTGCGTTCGCATTTAGCCTCTCGAACCAATTCCGGCGTCCATTGCATCCAACCATCCCCCTTTCTCCACGCGACTCTCTGCGGCGCTCTTTCGCTGCCATTCGATTTCTGCTTCTCGTTTTATTCTCTCCCGCCGGCCGGCCGCCTGTCTACTCTAGAACCACCACCGTCATGTCCACAGGTCTAACATGGCGCTCCAGCCAATCAATAGGCCGCTTCGCGATTCGATTCGAGCTCTGATCTAGCACGTCCTCTAAATATTCGACGAGACTTGGTGGACAGTGTTGTATTGTGTGTCGATCTACAGCGGCACAAATCTACAGCAACCACTCAGCGCGCTGCTCACAATGGACTCGTACTCGTCGTCATTCAGGGACTCCAGGGATTCGGGTCGCTCCCCGAACATGGATCGGCCTCCTCGCGCCCGCGAGGAATCCCGGGGCAGAGACGAGCGCTCCGATATTTTCTACCGCAATAGATCTCCTGGTAAGGCGCTCCTTCTCGCAGTAAACCCTCCTGTATTTTGTGCTGACCTTGTTATCCAGGCAACGAACGACGAGATCGCCGTCGATCTCGCTCTCCTATCGACAGATATGAACCTCGTACCCGCCGAGACGACCGCGATGATAGGAGACGCGGAATCTCTCCTCCTTCGAGCATTGACCGTTATATTCCCAACCAAGACCACACCCCAGCTGGGACTCTTGTCAATCCCGTGCCGAATCCTGCTCAACTTCAGTATCAAGTTGGCTTCTCCTTCTTCAGCGAATGGTGGCGCATGAATGAAAAAGTGAAAGAAGATAAAGAGCGCGCGCGCACCGGACGCCGCCGAGAGCCTGAGCGGCCGCGCGGTGCCCGTGAATCGCAAGAAGAACGAGACAAGGAAAAGGCGCAAATTCAGGCTGCCTATGACTTATATAAGGAAGAACTCCAGGCCAAGATGGCTCGCGCCTTCGTCAATGAGCATAATAAGGAGCAATGGTTTAAGGAGCGATATGTGCCCGAGATCCGAGATGGCTTCAGAGCCAAGCTTAATGAAGTGAGACGAGGAGCTTACAGTCAATGGGAGCAAGACTTGGAATCTGGCACCTTTGATGAATTTTCCTTGGAGGGTATTCCTAAAAGCGAGAGCAATGGAACAGGTGGCATCATCGAAAAAGAGGAGGGCGAAGCTACCGCTACCAACGAAATTCTTGGCGTCAGTGATCTTGTTCCAGCTCATGGCGCAGACATTCGCGATGAAAACCAATTCCAGCCAACTCTTCTCATCAAGACCATTGCGCCTCATGTCAGCCGTCAAAACTTGGAGGAGTTCTGCAAAGAGCACCTTGGGGAGGAAGAGGGTGGTTTCAGGTGGTTGTCGCTGTCGGATCCGAACCCGAGCAAGAGGTATCATCGCATCGGTTGGGTAATGCTTCATCCGTCTTCTGAGTCGATAATGCATGTTGATCGAGCTGATCCCAAAGATGTTGACGATGGTGAGGCCGCTACTACACCTCCCCCTGCCTCCACAGCTGAGAAGGCCTTGGAAGCTGTCAATGGCAAAACTGTGAAGGACGAGGCCCGAGGGGACTTTGTGTGCCATGTTGGTGTACACAACCCGCCTGGAAACCTAAGAAAGAAGGCTCTTTGGGATTTATTCTCTGCCCCTGAGCGCATCGATAAGGACTTGCTCCTCGTGCAAAGGCTTGTCAACAAGTACGAGGAGGATTTTGGCTCAGACTTCCAGGCCATCATCAAAATCGAGGAAAAGGTTGAGAGTCTCAGGAATTCAAACCAGTTGAAGCCTGCGGTTCCTCCTGCGCCACGCAAGAAGGCCACCAAGAGGAAAGTACTGTCGATGGATGAGGCAATGGATGAAGAGGGGGGGGAAGACGGCATGGCTGTGGACGATGAAGACGATGAGGGTGCCGTGGATGAAGATGAAGTTGACGATGAAGACATGCTGGTCAAGAAGAAGCAGCTTGATCTTCTCATCGAGTACCTGCGACGTGTCTTCAACTTCTGCTTCTTCTGCGTATTCGAGAGTGACTCCATTCACGAGCTCACACGCAAGTGTCCCGGTGGTCACTTGCGTCGCCCTCGTAGCACCCTTTCTAGCTCGGCTAGAGAGGTTGCAAAGGCTAGCGCTAATGGCAGTCCTTTCCCTGAGAGGAAGCGTGCTGAGGGAGAAGAGGATTTCGATTTGGAAGGTCCAGACACTGAGAAGAAATTCCGCAATACGTTTAACAAAACCGAACAACAGCTCATGCGGGCTTTCAATTGGGTCAGAACATTTGAGGACAAGCTTCAACAGATCTTGGATCCTCAATCGTCAGACACTCGCAAGCTGGGCGGACGTCCGGTGGATGAGGCCGTCGAGGCTGAGCTCGCAAAGCACGTTAAGCAGGAAGATGAGCACAAATGGCGGTGCAAAGTTCCAGAATGTAGCAAGTTGTTCAAGGAGGAGCATTTCTGGAAGAAGCATGTCGAGAAGAGACACGCAGAATGGGTTGATGGGCTGAAGGAAGAGTTTGAACTGATCAACTCGTATGTCCTTGACCCATCACACATTGCGCCGTCTCGCACCGACGCAAACTCGAACGGACATTTCCCCCAGCCTAATGGCAACTCTGCAGCGGGTACCCCTCGCGGTTTCAACCTGCAGAATTTCTCTACAAACCCGATGATGGTGCCAAGCTTCGCGGCTGGCGGAGTCCCACATGGCTTCCCAGGCGTGCACGGCAACGGGTGGAATGGAGGGGATCATGAGCGCTCCAGTGGCCCCATTCGACGCGGAGGCATGGCCAACCGGGGCCAGTACCGCACCGGCCCCTATGACCGACGTGGTGGTGGTCGTTTCGACGGCGGCCGAAACAGGATCGGCGGTTCTCGCTGGGGTGACGGCGCCGGTGCTGGTGCTGGTGGGCCACGTGAGGCTGTACAGGGACGAAGCTTGAAGAGCTATGAGGACCTTGATCAAGTCTCTGGAAATGGCGGCGGTGAGCTCAACTATTAAACGATGGTTCACCACGTTGGGCGCAGGGTTTGGTGATTGGCATCTCAAGCTGGAGTACCACTAAAAGCAGTCAAACGGTTGGTCGCGGATGGCGTTAGTTGTATCACTGGAAGTGCGATTGATTTGGATCAAAGTTTGCAATCTGAAAGGCCCCAATGAGCCATGTATTTTTAACTAGCTTTCTTCAGGTATGGCCTGGAATTTATCCCTTTGCTTTAAAAAGATGCTGTTTAACCTTTTTTGAACGATCACATCCGTCCGAAGCGTCCGAGGGATCTGGTTGGTGGATCTGCAAGTATCCGGCTCGGCCCAATCACAGCAGCCGATAGGCCGTCCAGCCACTTTTGACCCCACGCCTCCAGACTTTTTTTCTTTACCAGCTACGTTTCGGTGTCTGCGATTTCCATTCATCAGCACAACCTGGGACGTTCTGCATATTCTACCAAGATGGGGTTGCTCCAGGACAACAAGAGGTATTCAATGTCCCTGCCCTATCCGCATTTTTTGCAAAAATATTTTCTCTAACCTAAGTGTTTTCCCCTCCCAACAGTCGCAACAAAATCTCCAACGACCCAAACAATACGAAATGGATGCGCGACACCACGACCTTTGGCCAAAAGATTCTGCGCGCGCAAGGATGGGAGCCGGGCCAGTTTCTCGGCGCCCAGGACGCGCCGCACGCAGCGCTGCACTCGGCCGCGAGCGCCTCGTACATTCGCGTCGTGCTCAAGGACGACATGAAGGGGTTAGGCTTTGACCGGGCCAAGGCCAACGAGGTGACGGGGCTGGACGTCTTCTCGGACGTGCTGAGCCGCCTCAACGGCAAGTCGGATGCCGCGGTGCAAGAGGACAAGGACGCGCGTCTGGCGGTCAAGACGCATCGCTATGTCGAGATGCGCTGGGGCCCGATGCGCTTCGTGCGCGGCGGGCTGCTGGTTGGCGACAAGCTGCAGGAGGCGGAAGAGAGTGCGGAGAGCGAGTCGGCCGGGGATCGAGGGGTGGAAGAGGCCAAGGCCAAGAAGGAGAAGAAGAGCAAGAAGCGCAAGGCTGAAGCCGAGGCCGAGGACGCCGACACCGAGGTAACAGAAGAGACGGAGAAGAAGCGCCGCCGCAAGGACGGCGAGGGGGACAAGGCAGACAAGAAGAAGCGCAGCAAGGACGAGAAGAAGGAAAAGAAAAAGTCGTCAAAACCCAAGGTCGAATCCGACGACTCCGACGACACCGGATCCGACGAAAAGGCCGCCAGGAAAAAGGCCAGAAAGGAAAGAAAAGCCATGAAGAAGGAGAGGCGCGAGAAGAAGGAGGAGAAGAGGCGCCGCAAAGTCGCCAAGGCCGCCGCGGCTGGCAGCCCCGACAGCAGCGACTCTGATTCCGACTCTGGCGCCACCGCCTCGGCCACGCCCGCGACGACATCGGGGACGTCGACGCCCCTAGGCAACCGCAACTTTTCGCGGTCGCGCATCATTGCGCAGAAGCGGCGGGCGATCATGGACACCAAGGCCCTGGCCCAAATCTTCATGATCAAGGCGTGAGTGTGCGTGCGCGTCTCTGTTTCTGGCGTTGGGGTTTTTCGGGGAGCATCGTATACATTACATCGGCAATGGCGTTATTCTTTTCTTGTTTTTATGGGGGTATATTGAACAAAAGTCTGCTTCAATTGGAGGCACATCTGCATTGCGCGGCAGTTTCTAGATCCAAATTTCGTCGTTGAATAGAACGAGGCGAACCTTTGTTTGGGTATGCAAATCTTTGATCAAAGCTATCTTCATGATTTCTATTCTTTCAATCTCGTGTAAATGAGCATTTCCCAATGTTTTTGGTATTCATTATCCTTTATACATTTTTGTTTCCTTTTTATTTCTTCTACCAAATCTACTCCTTGTCTAGTCTGACGGCCGGGTTCCTCTCGATAAAGTTGAGGTCAACCTTGTGGCCGAGCAGCTCGCGAATGTTGGAAATCTTGTACTTGATCATGGTCGGGCGCTCCAAGCTCAGACCCCAGCCAAAGACGCGCATGTCCTTGGGCAGGCCCATGGCCTCGAGCATCTCCGGGCGGAACATGCCGCTGTTGCCAATCTCGACGAGCTTGCCGAGGCCCTTGTGGTAGCTAAAGATTTCCATGCTGGGTTCGGTGTAGGGGTTGTAGGCGGGCTTGAACTTTAGGTCGGTAATGCCCATCTTGCCAAAGAAGATTTCCATGAATTCCATCAGGCCGCCGAGGGTCAGGCCGTAGTCGGCAATGACGCCCTCGACTTGGTGGAACTCGGCCAAGTGGGTGGCATCGACCGTCTCGTTGCGGAAGACGCGGTCAATGGAAAAGTAGCGAGCGGGGGGTGGCCGGCCATCGGGGCCCTTTTGCGAGGCGAGCTTATGGAGGAGCGCGGCCGAGATGGACGTGGTGTGGGTGCGCAGGACCAGGCGCAGCGACTCGTCGGCGGCCCAGGGGTATCTGTATCCGATCGAGCCGTACTTGCCGTCCTGGTGCACCTCCTTGACATTGTTCCAGTAGGCATCGGTGTCCTGGCCGGGCTCCTGGGGCCGGGGCCGGTCGGCGACCTTGGGGTCCGAGATGTAGAAGGTGTCTTGGAGGTCGCGAGCGGGGTGCTGCTGGGGCACGAAGAGGGCGTCAAAGTTCCAGAATCCCGTCTCAACAAACTTGTTGGCGGGCATCTCCTCGAAGCCCATCTCGAAGAAGATTTGGCGAAACTCGTGGCGAACCTTGTTGAGAGGGTGCAGGGCGCCGGCATGTTGGTCGGCACCGAGGGCCTTGAAGTTGTAGGGCTTGAAGTTGGCCGTCTTCCAGGCGCCCGAGGTGATCATTTCCGAGGTCAGGTCGGTCTCTTCTTTTTGGATCTCGAGGGCAAACTTGGGGCCCTTGTCAGCCTTGAAGCTGGTGATCTTTTGCATTTTAATGAGCTTGCGCTTCTTAAGGTCGGTGATGGTCTTGGCATCGCCAGTGCGGTCCTCCTTGATCTTTTGGAGCTGTGTCCGGGTAACGTCTTGGATCGAGTCGGCCTGCGCAGGGGATTCATTTAGCATACAGTGGTTTGGTACTGCCGGGCAGAATGGCTTACAGTAGCAACGAGCTTGCCGTCCTTGTTCTTCCCAATCCACTTTTCTCTGAAAGCCTTGCCCTGGCCCAGCTTGGTGACATTCTTGTCGCCAATGGCGGCCTCGAGCTCCTGAACAGACAGGCCATCCAGGGCCTTGCGCAGGGCCTCGAAGACGCGGGCCTCGTGGCTGCCGTGCTCGGCAATCTGCTCCGCCTCGGGCTCAAGGACGGCCTCCTCGCGCTCAATGGTCTCGTAGGTGATCATGGAGCGGGAGGCGAGTCTGTCGAGCGCGGCCTTGACATCCTGCGATGCTAGCGCGGGGAACGCTTCAGCGGTCAAAATTGGGCTCTGTGTGGACAGAGCCAGCAGGATCTGCGTGGCGAGGTCGCCAGAGGTGGCCATTTTTTTCTCGGGCAATCGGTCAATCGGGCAGGGTGCAATATATCGGTGGCAGCTCGTACGAGGCCCGTTTCGAGGGGAGGTGGTGATGTTGGGCCGGCTTGTCGAAAATGTTCTGAGTCACCTTAACAAAGTGGTGGGCTACCCAAAATGCATGCCACCTCGCAGCCCATGGCTCCCCAAGCAAATGGCGGGGCTTGGCGGGCAGGACCAGCAAGCCGGAATTAGTGTTGATCCAGTTCAAGAAGGCAACCTTTCCTCCCGTAGCTATGTATGATCTTGAAACCAACCTGCTTGTTTCTCAAAAAGTATTACATTAGAAATTAATGATACATTATTGAAAGTATGCTAGACTCATTTCGTTTGTTTGTTTACTTGCTCATCTATCTTCATCTTCGCGGCTGTATTTGTGCCTTTTACGAAGGAAGTTATACCTCTCTACCTGTAGGTACACCTGGACAGATGACAGAAAGGGTCATACTAGGGAACATTGCTACCTCAAGTGCATGTGTCAAAAACGTGACAGGATTACAATATGTTCGTGTTGAGAAATACTTTGCCCAGAACTCGACCAAAGTTCCTAAACTTTTAACATTTTCTCATTCAACCTACTCTCTTTTTTTCCAAGAGCGCGCTGTCCATTTAGGCCCTCTGCCGAATCCGCCACTTTACGTCCTTGTGGCTCCCATTCCATTGCTCCAGTAATCAGCCGAAGCTTGAGCTTCGCCGCCACAGTCTTCAACTGCAACTCGCAACACAACGACGCCGCTCTTCCATCGCCAGCTTCATGGAACCGGCACGCTGACGTCCACCTCTTCTGTTCTCCTACACAGTACGCGCCCGAATCCCTGCACAAATGAATACTCGCGACTATGAACGATGATGCGTCGCCCAGCTCCTCGGCGCGAGATGAGCTCTGGGACGATGACGACGGCGTCGCAGGTCCAGCGCAGCCGCAACACGCCGCCAGCCCTGCGCGACAAGCTGAGCCCCGCGCGCAACCTACGCCGCAGCAGCGACAACGGCGTTTGAAGAAGGATGTGAAGAAAAACTGCCCGGGTCTCAAGAAGAAGCTCGTCTTCCTTACGCACCTGCTCAAGTCGCTCGATCTCCTCGTCTTTGCCGAGCTGAGCGCCCTATACTATATGGAGTACGCCATCTCACTGTCCACCTAGAGCTTCTCAAGCTAACAACGTCTTTCAGATGCTCCATGTTTCGATTCCTCCTCCGAGCATTTGGCCAATACCTATACTTGAGCCCCAAGCATGAATCCTTTCCAGTCGCCTTGACCGCAACACGCCTACACGTCCTTCTTGTCATTGCGCCGAATCTCATATGCATACTCTTACATATTTTCACTTCACTCCCAGTCGGACTAGACGACCAACGCGGATATCAACACGGCGGTCTTGTCATTGACTTTGTTGGGCAGAAACCATCCACGTCGAGAATCTACTATGTGCTCTGCGATATCATCCTACTAGTCTTGCAGTGCGTCATGTTGACGATACATTCCGAGCGAGAACAGATGCGCGTCACGCTCAAAACATTCCGTCCCATGGCCGCGGACCTGGCAGAACAAGCTGCTGCTGGCCGCACCATACGAGAATTGGACGAAGAAGAGCGAGGTGTTTCCGCCCTTCTGGACGAAGAGGCAGGAGATGAGGCGGTAGAAGTCGAGATGAGGCTCCTCAACCAAGATTCTAACGACGTGGTAGAGGAGGCTGGTCCCAGTAACGGCAACAGCAACGGAAATGATAATGCTGACACCACGACACACTTATTCAGCGTCATGAACTCTGGCAATGCCGTCTTGGGCCCTTATCATGTACTTCATACAATGCGTCATACAGCCATGGACGCGAGAAGAACAGCCGCTCACTCACTAACGAGCATCGGTTACAATGCAACATTTGCGGCGATTCGGGCAAATGCTCAGCGACGAGCAGTGTCCGAACTTACTGCCACACCTGTAAATGTATAAAAATATAGAACAAGCGATCTTTTTTGGCGTTGGATACCATGAATATACAAAGAAACAAACGCTAATTGAGTTTGAATATGGCACGATACCTATGCTATCTTTCTGCCAACATTGCCAACCCCACTTCCCTTTACAGATACAATGATATCTCCCGAATCGTCCTCTGTTACGTCACGCAGACCCCAGCTGCTGGCACCAAATGCCTTCAGGTCTCTTGCCAACATGACCATGTCTTCCGTTCCGAGTACCCTCTTGCCAATTCGTATACGGCCAACATCCTCAGAGCCCATGGCCATGAGTATCATCATGCTACTTGCTGTGCTCTGAGACACACAGCCGCCTTGTGAGATGGTCTCGAGCAATTGATATGCGCATTGCTGACCAATATCCTCAGGCACCTGACCACCAGAAGGCGGTACAACAACATCAGCAGAGTAAATCACGCCGACCGAGTTGGACTCGGCCACCAAGCTCAAGCCATAGCCAATGCCCAGACGGCGCTTGCTGCCGGCCTTGTCGCCAATCGGGACCAGCGGCGCTTGATCGTACTGCGCGGCAATGTGGATGTCGCTGACAAGAGGGTTCAGTATTTCTCGCGCCGAGTGAATCATGCGAGCGTTGTTCGAGGCCGAAACACCAGTGCTGTACGCAACACCGCGGATTCTCTTGACCCGACCAGGGTTTCTGTTCAAGTGCAGCGTCTTTGGCAGACGGACTTGGCTCGCAAATCGCAACTCGACGACGCCGCCACCACCCTTGCCTCCAGGGCCGGCGCAAGACCTTTGCAAAACTCTGAGTTCGATTCGTGCCGGCGGGATGCCAAAGAGGCCAAAGAGCGGCAGAATGGCTGTTCGGAAGCTATCGACGGACACGTCGCCCGTCTCGGTCGAGGATGTGATGACACCGGCGCCTGATAAGCGCACATTCATGTGCGCCTTGGAGAATGGAGCGAGGAGACAGAGCGGGAGGAGGAAGTAGGTGATCCCGCGGGTCATGGTGGGGGGCAGGCTGTGTTCGATGATGCCATCTTCAGTGGCACCCTGTCCGGCGATTGTGCCGGTGATGAGGCCAGGATGGTATGTTATTGCTGTACCGGTGTATGATATTTGCATGGAGCTGCCATTGGTAATCGCTTCGAGTAGTCGCAGAAAGGAAATTTCATGGTGCGCTAGACCCGGATTCGTTGGCGACGAGCTGCGGATTTTAGATATGTGGATTGGACGGCCGGTCAGAGTTGAGAGGATTAATCGCCGCGTGAAGGAACGGTGCCCTGTAAAGCGCAAGAAATCCGGCGACGAATCAGTCATTTTGCTGGCGAGCGTGGGATATGATTGGAGTTGTTGTCCTTGGAAGCCCGGCTTGCTATGGTGGTGGTTTACCTGCCTGAGAAAAAAAAATAGATTCTGCCAAGTCGATCACGCTGGTTCCACCAAATAGGAAGGCGGTAGAGCCGGCAGCTTAACGAATCGCAGCAATAGCTTCGATTGGTTACGGTAGGAGATAATGAAAAAGTAGTCTAAATAAAACTCTGTATACTAAATTAGCAATCGATTTATGTTTCTGTTACTGATGAAGAAAATACAGCGCTGTTGAGTCTGTGAGGATGCTGCCTCAGGAAACTTATCGATAACGATTTGGTAGTGGCACCCGACCATAGGTTATCGACTGGCAGAAGACTCGACCAAACAGGGGAAGCAGAACACGACAAACCTCGAGGATGTCTGGCAGACCGCTGCTTTTCAAATTGCGCGGTCCGAAGGAAACTATCTGTAGGGCCTGCTTGTCAAATCTCTCCAAAGGACCTCCGCAGGCATGGACGGCAGCCTACAGCAGTGCCGCGAATCGCCGACGAGCACCGCGCGCCCAGGGCAGAAGACCGTCTCCATTGCGCGAGGCACGCAGGCAGGCAGCACCGCGCGAGATTGATGACGCCGCGATAGAGGAATATATGGCGGCGGCGAGAAATGCGACCACAATCAACAGCAATGTCTCAGTACCAGACGGCGGAATCCGATTCTTTGAGCAAAGCGGGCAGACACGGCAGCAGCTCCCAGACGAGACGGCTTTTCAGAAATCAATAGACGCGTTCGACACAAACGAGCTCAAAGGAGCCCTCGAAGATATGAAGAACACCATCAAGGGTGCCGACGAGAAGAAGGCCTTTAGTGAAGTCATGGGTCAGCTTGAGAAGGTCTTGGGCCAAATCGAGGGTGGCAAGGACCTGGAAAGGTTCACAGAGCAGATGAAGGCGTATTCAAAATCAATCGACCGCGAAATTGAAGAAGCGACCTCCGATATACCACAAGACGCGCGCAAGACGATGGATTTCGACCTACCTGAGCTGTCAGAAGACCTCCCACTTCCGATCCAAGGCATGAAGAGCTCGAGCCCACAAGTTGTAGAAGGACCGTGGACGCTCAACCAGCGGCGCAAAATTGTTCGTCTCAACGATGCTATTTCTCGGGTCCATAAAAGTATGCAGGTGGTGCCCGGGCCAGCAAAGAAGGAGATCGTGGCTATATATAAAGCATACCATGCCGCAAGGCTCGCTCTAGCTCATAGCTGGCGTCATGTGCCGCTCGAAGTCTGGGATTTTCTCTGGAGAGTGTTTTCTTTCGATGAGAGCATCAATATGCACCGGTTGGCGCACATTTCCATGCTGGCCAGAGACATGAGCGAAGCCAAGGTCCCATTCAGCCCGCCCCAGCAACTCCTGGCCATCGAGGCCATGTTTATGGAAGGTTGGGAGGACAAGGCGGTGGATAGCTGGAAACGATGCATTGGAACGCTGGGCCAGGAGCGCGCCGAGACGTACAAAGACTTTTGGGAGCTTGGCGTGCGAATGCACTGTCGGGCCGGAAACCTGGAGCAGGCGCGCCGCGCGGCAAGTAAGCTTGTCGAGAAGCGTATGGACGCCCGTATCCTCCTACCGCTTATCCGCTCGCTGTCGGAGCAAAACACGGAAGAGAGCCGGCAACAGGCGTGGGACACGTACCGGCAAATGCGAGACTTGCTCGGCAAGTCCATGAAGCTCGCCGACTACGATGCGGTCGTGGCCTGCTTCCTGACGACGGGCCAGACAGAGCACGCGCTGTACGCATTTGTCGACATGATGAGCGACGGCGAGATTGATCTGAGCGTGCAAAAGTACATGCCGTCCGTCGTCGCCAACAAGTTCTTTGTCGGCAAGTGGCTGAAGCGCCTGATTGGCGCCGGCGATGTCGACGGCGCGCACAACGTCGTCGAGTTTATGCGCGCCAAGGGCGTCGAGGCCTCGCCCATCCAGGTCAACGGCCTCATTGGCGCCTGGCAGCGCTCCGGTGGCGCGCGGGACCTCGAGACTTCGGAGCGCGTTGCGTGGGAGATGATTCAGAATCGAATCCAGTTTGTGCAGGCGCGCAAGGTCTCGTCGAACAAGGACCTCAAAAAGATGAGCAGCAGGGCGGTGCACGCGCCGCTGCCCCGCGCCACGCTCGAGACGTTTTGCATCCTCGCGGAAAACTACCGCCTGCGAGCGCGCCACGACCAGCTCGCAGCGTTGTGGGACGCATTTCGCGAGGCGGATATCAGCCCCGACGCCTTTATGATGAACCAGCTCCTCGAGTCCCACATCCAGGTCGGTCAGCACACGCAGGCCCTCGACCTGTACGAGTTTCTGGTCACGGAGCGCGGCGTCAAGCCCGACCCCTACACATTTAGCGCTCTGTGGAAGACGCTCGCTGTGAACCGGCTGCACATTCTGTCCCCTGACATGACCGCCGAGGCCGTCGCTGGGACCCGGCAGCTCTTTGCGCAGACAGTCGCCCGCCGGGCCGTATTCAGCAGCGGCGGCATGGACGGGCAGCTGGCGCGCAAGATTCTGCACTCGTTTCGGCGCAGCAAGGACGCGGCGGGCTTCCTCGTCGCGCTGACCGCGCTCCGCGACGTCTTCCGCTTCGTGCCCACCGAGATGCTCGTCCTCGAGCTCGTCCTCGGCACCACCAAGCTCGCGTGGGACGCGCCCGCGCAGCGCCGCAAGCTGCTGCACGCCAAGCGCGACATGGAGCGTGACCTGATGGCCTGGTGCGCCGGCGACCTGGAGCAGCTCGAGGGGGATAAACGCGGGGCGGCGCTGTGCGCGTATCTACAGAGGACGGCCCTGGCGCAGCTCGGTGGTGAGGAGGCCGCGCGGGAGGCGCTCGCGGCGGCGGCAAAGGATATGGGCGTGGATGAGCTGCTCGGGCAAGAGACGCCGGCGGCTATCTAAGCCTTTCTGTGTACCAATACTGTGTTATTACTTCTTTTGCATAGAGCTTACCGCTTGTATATCACATCTAAATGCGGAGTCTTGTACTATATCACCCATTTCCCACTTGAAGCGACATTTTACAATACATTTTCTATTTATCAAACCTTGAAAACATCAAAAGATACAGACTGGCAGGTATATAATTCTAAACTCGAGCGAGTACGTTTTGTGTATCTATTGCTTTGCAATATCCAGCTACTCTGTCTGTCTATGCACTCGAATCTTGCTGTTTATCCCGCCGCACAAAGAAAGTGGATAACTAATAGAATGTAATCGTCCCTTTTATAAACGAACCAAGAACTCCAGCGCTATGCAAGAAACCCCAAACTTGAAGGGGGCAAATATGTAATCTCGTGCTCACTTCCTGCTACGACAGGTCCATGGAGTCGCCATGTCCCGTCATGTCGCGCATGTCGCTATCGACCGAGCTCAAGCCAGAGCTGCTGCTTCCCGACGCCGATCCTGGCCGCTGCTGCCCGTTGACGCCCTCATCGTCAGCGCGGCAGCGCATCAGCTCCGGGCTGCGCTGCGCGATCCACTCCTCAATCGTGGTGACAGGTCCGCCTTCGACGAGCACCTGCGAGCCCTCGCCGGGCCGCCCGAGTATGGTGTCCTGAAACTTGGCGTCACCGGCCGCCTGGTTGTGCTTCTTTTTCAGTACTGTGTTGCCGCATTAGCATTTTCTCCATCCTCGCTGTTTGCCGAGGGCAAAGCTTACCGGCTAGGTAATCCGTCGCGTCCGACTCGCCGTCGGCGTTGCCAAACTCCATCAGCTCCTTCATGCGCTGCCCGGCAAACCAGGCAATAAACTCGTCCACGCCGCGCAGGTCCTCGGCGTCGCGCCACACCTCCTCCGTGACGGTGCGCTCGGCGCCGAGCGCGCCGACGTCCTGCAGCGCGAGGCGCACGTCCGTCACGGTGAAGTCGTCGGCCTGCGACGTGGCCGCGTGGTTGCTGGCTGCGTGGTGCGCCGTGTGCTGGCACAGCAGCAGCATGTAGCGCGCGGCAAGGTCCGTGAGGGCGTCGAGCACGGCCGGCCGCGTGGCGTGGTAGCCGGTCGCGCGCAGAATCTGCAGCATGGCAGGCCGCAGCAGCGCGTGGAAGAAAGCGGGTGGTGTGGCCATGCCGCGGGGGGGGAGGGAGAGCACGCTCGTCTCGTGTGGCGTTGCCTTGAGAGAGAGGTCAAACGACGATGGGCCGGACTGTCGTTTCGCTTGGCGGTTGTGTGGCTTCGCAGGGGCGGGGTGGGTGTTACTCGCTGAAAAGTATTCGGGGGTCGTCGTGGAGCATGTTAGAGCGCTCCGTGCAGGCAAGCGTGGCGAGGGATGCTTGGGGTTGAAGCTGTTCGAAATGGAGCTCTGCTTGGTTGTGCTCGTTGTGGAACGGCGCAAAACCAACTGGCATGGAAGTTGACACCGTGTCAACGACGGATTAGGCACACTCCGCACTGTGCACTTACAAGATGGGCAGCACCGTTTTTCTCTTTTTCCTGTATCAATTACGATCGATTATCTAAAAGATATATTTTTACGTAAATACTGATGCTCAATCAACCGTCCACTTCCATCAGGTAAAGTTGAGAGGCAAGTTCGGCTATTGACGGAGTTCAACCTTATTGGACGAGCTTCCTTGAATGTATGGCTAGTGACATTGGTCACTTTAAGAAAAAGTCCCTTTGAGATTAGCAACATGAAGGTTGTACATTGAGTGCTTTAGCCATGTTACACACACTTTGATAAGTGAGCACCAGGGAGATAAAACAAGCCGCTACAAAGTGGTTGGGAATACTGCGATGTTCCATATTCTTACTATTTTTCTGACTCTTCGTATTTTTTTAACTACAACACCCCTTCTTCCTTTTACCAAAAACTCTTTCTAATTAGATGTAGACTTATCTGTCGGCCCCTTTACGTTTTCAATCCCCCGTATGATGGATGAGGTACCTGTAGCAGAGCGGGGAGGATGAGGGGTTCCTGTAATCGCAGTGATGATGGAGGCTCAGGCTCCCGGTTTGATGCGGGGTTCCCATCATCCACCCATCCACCATCCAACTAGGGTAGGTAGGTCCCTCCTACCTTGCTGGATTCCGCTTTGATAACTGACTAGGCTGCAACCACTTATGCCTTCCTTTACCTCATGAGATCCGCTTCATGTCGTGACCGTCTCTTCTTTCCTGTCTTCCCCTCTTCTTCCTCCCTACTAGCCCTTTCTCTGCACGACACCGACGGCGACTGCGCCTCGCGTCTACACAACCGCTGTCCGAATCTGCTTACACGACACTCTCCCTCAACATGACGGTCCAGGCTTCCGCATTCACACCCGAGGTGCTCATCTCCGCGCCGCGCCGCTCTCCTGGTGTGCCCAATGCTACAGGAGACCTCGTTCTATACACGGTGAGTTTGCTGTGCCGGTCCAATTGGCTGCTGGAGACAGTCAATGGCCCCCTACGATCCCCAACCCACAGGGCTGACAATATCTACTACAGGTGTCGACGTACTCCTTTGAAACTCACTCCAAATCTGCCCAGATCCGTGTTCTCAGTCTCAAGGATGGCGCCTCGCACCTCATCTCCGAAGATACTGGCGCTAGCAACCCCATCTGGCTAAGCGACACTGAAGTTGCCTTCTTCAAGGGTACCGAACGGGGCACATATCTCTATTACCAGAGCATCGAAGCGCCGACAGCTGAGTAAGTTGTCGTACAATGGTTTTGCCGCTCAACTGACCACCATCAAAAGACCCAACTGGATTACCACTTTCCGTGGCTCTCTGTCCAGCGCCAAGGCCAAACCACTGTCTCACGGCAAGGTTGCCCTGGTCGCTGCTGCCATCACCCAGCCCAGTGGCGCCATATTCTTCGCCGGCGACGAAAAGGAACCATTTTCAAGCGGCAAGATTTATGACTCCCTCTTTGTCCGCCACTGGGATACCTGGAAGACCAAGACAGAGAATGCGCTCTGGTACGGCCAGCTGGCCAAGCGCGACGGCCAGTGGACGCTCGAGTGCAACAGCTGGAATCTGCTCGCCGGCATCGAGCTGGCATCTCCCGTTGGGCCCTTTGGAGGCGCCACCGACTTTGACATTCACGAGACAGGCGTCGCTTTCGTCGCCAAAGACCCCACGCTCAACCTCGCCCGCTACACCAAGACTGATCTGTACTTTGTGCCGCTCCAGTCCTATCTTATGCGCCCGGGCTACCCGCAGATTGTCAACACAGGCAACCTGGTCGGCTACACCCACAACCCTACCTTTTCGCGCGATGGCAAGTCTCTTGCCTTCCTTCGAATGAAAGAGAAGCAGAACGAGGCCGACAAGCACCAGCTGCTCGTCATTCCCGATATCAACAATCTTCAAGACTTTAAAATCTTCTACCCAACCAGCGACGACAGAGGAAGCTGGGATCGTAGCCCCGGCTCCATTCTGTGGACCGCTGACAACAAACACCTGATACTCACTGCTGAGCAGCACGGCAGAGTTCTTCTCTGGAAGGTCCCCGCGTCTTCCTCAGAGGCCAAGGACCTTCCCACACCCATCTTCGAGGATGGTACTGTCGTTGACGTCTATCTATTGGGGAACAGCACCGAGCTCTTCGTCTCCTCACGAACTCTCGTTGAGAGCAGTAGATACCTGACTCTGGACCATGAGAGCAAGCACATTACAGATATTTCCTCGAGTGCCAAGAATGGTAAGACCTTTGGCTTGACACGGGAACAATGTTTCGATATTTGGTACCCCGGCTCTGCTGGATACGACAACCATGCCCTATGCATGGTCCCCTCCAACTTTGACAAGAAGAAAAAGTATCCGCTCGCTTTCGTTATTCACGGCGGCCCGCAAAGTGCCTGGCTAGACGACTGGAGCACTCGATGGAACCCGGCCATCCTTGCTGAGCAGGGATATGTAGTTGTCTGCCCCAACCCAACCGGCAGCACTGGTTATGGTCAGGCTCACACGGACGCCATTGTATGCAACTGGGGCGGTGCACCGTACCAGGATCTTGTCAAGGCTTTTGAGTATATTGAGAAGGATATGCCCTTTGTTGATATTGACCGCTCCGTAGCCCTCGGCGCATCATACGGCGGCTACATGATGAGTAAGTCGTTCGGCCAACTCCGCAAGCTATACACCGCTAACGTGTACGTAGATTGGATTCAGGGCCACCCTCTTGGCCGGCGATTCAAGGCCATTGTTTGCCACGACGGCGTCTTTTCTACTCTAAGCCAGTGGTCCACCGAGGAGCTCTTCTTCCCCGAGCACGACTTTGGCGGCACTCTGTGGGACAATCGTGAAAATTATGAGAAGTGGGATCCTGCTCGTCACACTGGTAACTGGGAGACGCCCATGTTGGTTATCCACAACGAACTCGACTACCGCCTCAGCATCGCCGAGGGCTTGGCCATGTTCAATGTGCTCCAGGCGCGCAGCATCCCAAGCAAGCTCTTGGTGTTTCCCGATGAGAACCACGTAAGCAGCCGAAATTCGATTCACTTGTATTATTGTTGTTTTACTAATGCGAGGATAGTGGGTGCTGAAGCCAGAGAACTCTCTTGTGTGGCATAGAGAGGTGCTAAACTGGATCAACAAGTTCAGCGGTGTATCGTCGTAGTGTTGAGCAGTTAAAAATAAGTGAGAAGAATACTGTTTGGGGGTTTCAGAGTTAATAGAAGCAATAACCGAAACTAAACCGAAATTATGGCTCATCTACTTGAGGAGGTATATGTGAAGCAAACAAAGTATATTGGTATGTCCGTTCAACGCCTTCATAATCCATGCCCGCATTATAATAGAGTACAATAAAAACGCGAGAAAGCCAAAGTCGGCACGCTCTACTTTCTCGACGCCCCAAAAGCAGTGCGCTTCTTTGACGTTGACGTGTCATTCTCGCTGTCTTCCGTCTCCTGCTGCTGCAGCTGCTGCTTCTTCTTCTTTGGGTTCTTGCTGCCGCCCCCGCCCCCGCCGTTGGCCGTCGACGCGGAGAAGGAAGCCGACACGGGTGTGGGAGCGAGCGAGCCCGGTGTTGACCCTGGCGTTGTCGATTCCTACAGGCCCCCCAAGAAACAACCACGAATGTTAGCACATCAACGAATGCAGAAATCGAAAAAGAAAAGAAAAAGCCTTTCATACACTGACGTTGGGCCGGTAGGAAATAGACGACCGCGAAAAGACGCGGTTCAGGTCCATGGGCCCCGTCTTGCGCCGCTGGGCCGCCGCACCGCTGATGCCCTTCATGTAGTTGTCGAAACCAGTAATGATGTTGCCGCTCGGTGTATTTTCCAGATACGCAGACTCTTTTTGCGCGATACCGTCCTCGACCTGGCTCTGTTAAAACCGCAGCGTCAGCAAAATGTGTCTGTTGCGTATGCCATCCTCGTTGGGGGGGGGGTTCCGTTACCAGACGTCGTTCTAGGAGTCGGCGCTTCTCAACCAGCTCCCGCACGCGCGCTTGCGACTTTTTGTATTCCGTCGTGGTGGGCTGCGGGCCGCTCTCGCCAGCAGCGGCGGCGGCAGCGGCGGCGTGCTGTTGCTTTTCTGCCATTTTACGGTCCAGCGCAGCGCCGCGCGTCGCGGGGTTTCTGCGTGTTGGGGGCTTCGTGCGGTGAGGCGTTTTGCGATGGTGCGCGCGGCTGGCACTTTGCAGGGTTTCGCGGAGGGGGGGGGGGATTGTTGCGTCTTTGATGTCTGGTTGTGATGAAGGAGAACACGGAAGCTGGCGGCTCGCATTCTCTCTCTGGGTTCGTCAACTTCAAGGTGGGGCGACCCCACGATGGTCGAATGACACGACACAACAGATGGTAACAGACGCAAAGAATGAAGCATGTGTGTATTGGGTTGAAGATTAATTCAAGTATATTTTGATCGTAATAGCAATCTAAACAGGTTGTGGTCCGAGAGCGATTCAAGCACAGGCTCTACGCAGCAATGGTATCCCAACGCCCAGCTACCTTGTATACTCCGTCCAGGCAGTTACAGAAAGATGAAGAAAGATGAAGAATGATACAAAACGGGTCTATGCGACTGTTATAGCTTAGCCACGGTAGGAATGTGCTTACTTCGTATCCTGCAATCTGCCCAACGACAGCTCATGATATTTGCGGCTCATATATGTTGAACGGATGCTGCGCTAAGATACGCGTTAGCAAGGGTTATAGTTCCAATCTTGGCCATTCCCCTCATTCTCTTATCCAAAGGCAGTTTCAAGTTTGATCACAAATGCGTCACCATCCCAATGTGGCGGTAGAGCTATCAGCTCAGCTGCGGCGCCGCGGTGCAGATGCCGAGGAGCTGTTGCGTCTACGAGCTGGCGATTTCCGGCTTCCTCGTCGCTCGTCCGACTCATTTGACGAGCTCCTACTCTTCCGCGCCCTGGTCCGGCTTCGACTTCGGCTCCGGCTCCGGCTCCGGCTCCGGCTGCCGCTGCGGCTTGACGAAGAGTAGCTTCGGGAACGGCTAGAAGCGGCTGATGAGGACGAGGATCGACCTCTACTCCGGGACCTGCTTCTTGGGTCCTGCCGCGCCCTTTTGGCAGCAGGTGATTTGCTTCCGTCTCCAAGTCGGCGAGAACGATCCGTGTCGCGTTGGGGTGAGCGGGATCGAGACCTTGATCGCTTTCGTAGCGTAGTACCACGTCGGGGTGAGTCTCGGCGTCGGGTCGAGTCTCGGCGTCGGGGTGGAGAGCGCGAGCGGCTGCGCGACGAAGAGCTAGATCTAGAAGACGAAGCGGATGGGGAGCGCTGCGATCGGCGGTCTCGTCCCCGCTGTGGTCCATCTCGACCACGCTGTGGTCCATCTCTTCCACGCTGTGGTCCATCTCGTCCACGCTGTGGTCCATCCCGTCCTCGTGGTACATAGCTGTCGCCGTTGTATGAGCTCCGTTGTCCGCGGTTTCCCCGCGCCTCAGGAGAACGCGATCTCTGCGCAGGTCTAGGGCCTCCACGACTTTCGACTGGGCGACTGTCGGCTCCGCGATGGTTGGCTCCGCGATTGTCGACGCCACGGTCACCCCAGCGTCCCGGTCGATTATCCGCCCGATCTCTCGGTCCGTCTCTTCTGTCCCGATCGTTGGAAGGCAGTATGTTGCGGTCGCGTCGCTCGGGTTCGTCTCGGCGCTTTCTAGCATCATCAGACGCTTTTCCCTGTTCCAACTTGACTGTGTTAGTATGTTGGCGTATCACACGTAATTACTCACCCACCTTTTCTTGCATGAGCTCGAGCTTCTTTGCCTCTAGCAGCTCTTTCGGGACGCCTTGTGGGCTGTCTTGGGCGCTGAGGAATAGCTTCCATAATTCTTTGCAGAATGACGCCGTGTCTTTATCGAGGAACCCGGTAAGTTGGATCTGGAGGGCTTTGATATCGGGCTGGGTTGCGATACGAGGTCAGCAGAGAAGGATAGACGGGTTCAAGTACGTACGTTTCTAGGTCCGTCGACCAGGTTGAAGCACATTTCGATGACAACATCATCCTCGTTGCCAAGAATCTCGGAAATGCGGCTGGCAATCCATCTGCTGAGGTGTTAGCTCACGCGACGAGCTGGTCGGCCAGTTCGCGGATCGACGAACTTCTTCATGACGCCTAGGTTCACTTTTTGCATATCCACCTTCTTGTTAAACTCCGGTGGGAATTTAGTTGCCTTCAACAGCCGCGCATCAGTTCTCGACGCCATGATTGCTGCTTTTTTCGATGTAGGTGATGTTAAGAACAAAATTCTAGCCGCGACTGCGTCCCAGACTGCTTTAGGTACAGCGTCAAAAAGTGGAGGTACCGCTACAGCATGTGGTCTGAGCTGCCGGGGGCGATGGAAACAGACAGAAAATACCAAAAGGCAGGCAAAAAAAGAAAAAGTGTTACTTATATTGGCGTGTTACGTTAATCTATCGAAAGGGCTCCAGAGGCTGCGTCATGCCACTTTGGCAGGCGCTCGTTCAGGCCGGAGTGACTGCGTACCTCTCTAGGTACAAACACCCCGCAGCGCTCCCTCCACATCTGACGGCAGCAACCAAACTTGCTGCTATCATCCTCCTCGACTTCCAGTTCAACTTGCATGTAGTAAAGAATTGACTTTATCGATGGAGAACTTACACGCTCCAACAATCCCTGCGGGACCTACGAGCACGCCTACGACCAACGGGACCAGCAGCCACCTGAGCTTCGCCGAGCTCCAGCAAAAGAAGGACAATGTTGAAGCAGAGCTGAAAGCCCTCGGTGGCGTTCTCGTCTCTGTCAGTAGATCCCTTGGATTTTTGATATTGTTGAGAGAATAGTTCACTGATGGATAGCAGCATGGCGTTGACATGAGCACGCCTCTTCTTACGAGAGATGGATTTCCGCGCTCTGACCTTGATGTTGCCCAGAGTATGTGATAACCCATGACCAACGCGTTGCTTCTAACACATGCGGCCAGTTCGGACCACAAGAGCGCGCATAATCCGTCTAAAGAATGACTACAAGGAGATTATGGCCAATGCTGAAAAATTCTTGCACGAGCATTTTGCAAATGCAGCAGAGAGCGGAGAGTCCGGAACACCAACAGCCAGCACATCGACCATATTGCCCGACAGCGATACGCAGTCTCTTGAGGCGCCATTTGCCAAGGTTAACGCCGTTTCTGCCAATAGCCCGGCTGAGCTCTCGGGCCTCAAGGCGGGCGATGAGATCCGCAACTTTGGCTATGTCAACTGGGCAAATCACGACGGCCTAAAGAAGGTTGCGGAATGTGTCCAGGGCAACGAAGGGGTGAGGCCTTTTTTCCTTACTCGAGCTGAAACCAAGTCTTGCTAACGATACACAACAGAGCAACATATTCATTCGGGTGTCACGAACCTCTGGTGTTGCGTCGCGGGAAGAGCTGCGGTTAACACTCACGCCGCAGCGGAACTGGGGAGGGCGAGGCATGTTAGGCTGCCACATTACGCCAATGTGATGATAGCTCGTGCGACCGTGTATGATAATGTGAAGGCGCTATGGCTTAATAGCTCAGCGTCTTGAGATGATAGGAGAGGGACTGCTTGCAGCCTGAGAAGAGCCCGTCCTAGGTTGTGGGAGCATCTTATGGCTGTTTCAGCCCGGACAGCAAGAAATAGGAAGATCAATACACGGTTAGTCAGCAGGGCTGAGCGGCGCCAGGATAAAATCGGCGCGCGAGCGCGAATGTACGTTATCATTTATGTGTTTCCAGAATGCGCAAGCTATAGCGGCCTACAATGGACACGACAAATCCTACAAAACGCATGCGAGCTGCGTGTTCGGAATTAGTTGAGGATGAACCTTCTGAAAGGCCTACCAGTGCCATTCATTCTACTCCAATTAGGCGACTGCCTCCGTTACACCCAACCACTGTCAACTCCATGCAACAACAACAACCACAACCCTCAGCGCTAGCCATGATGCCTCATGAAATTTTGGGCATGATACTTGGTAATTTACTTATCGGACAAAATCCCGTCGAGCTGCATTCCAAGCGTCGGTTCAGCAGGGTCAAGACGTCCACCGACGCAAAGTCGAGGACGCCACTGATCAGCGTGTTGCTATCCTGCCGCGCCATGTACTTTGCCGGCTTGGAGGTCTTTTACGAGAGGAACGTGCTGAAATTCCATCAGGCGCTGCACCTACGCAGGTTTGTTTCCGGACTCAGCGACGACCAGAGGTGATCATGATGAGTCCCGGTTGACTGCTGCTACTCTAGCCACCGATATGTCTGTAAGTAGAATTGTTTTCTCATTCATTCTCTTCGACATGTATTAACAAAATCCTAGTCTGTTCCTTTCCACGTCGAGTTCTGCACTTACAATGCAGTGCAGCTTCTCATCGACTTCAAAATACTGAGCCGAGAGAGTCTGCCGATTGAGGGAGAGCAAGAGAATTTCGACCAGCTTCAAAAAAGGGTCCAAACCGCGCTAGATATTCTCGAGAATATTACCCACGAGTCATTTGACGGAAAGGATGGCGCTACGGTCGACGTGTTTCTGGGCTCATTTACCACCAGTAGAGGTGCGCTGCAATACGTGCACGAGATTTCTCTCCCGAGTTTGTAAGTATCATCATCTCTATTCTTTTTATGTGTATATACGGATATATATATTATATTTTGCGAAACAGAGCTAACATTATGCTTAGTTGCTTCCACCACTCCATGATCTATAGTATCCTGCGTAGCCAGGGTGTCCCTCTCAACAAGCAATTATTTCTTTCCGCCTGGTAATTAGGTACTTTATGTAAGAGTCTGAAGTAATCACCAGGCTTTGTGTTGAGGAGCGGGAGAAACCGTTTTACGTCTACTGCCCATGGCGCCCCAAAAGGTGAACCAGGATGCCCAACGGCTATTGGTAATCAGGCTTGGCTCAGGCAGGATGGCTGCCTACAGCTAGCTAGGATTTGATCATTCGGACGCTTAAACTATCGGTAAGGCAGCCCAAGGCGATGATTCTGGGCCCATGTGTATGTTTCGATCACCCACGTAGTTGAGTGGTACAGATGGGCTCGCAAATACAGAGCGGCTGTACAGGGAGGTACTCGGCTGGGTAGACTCCCAGGTTGGTACGGGGCCGAGGCTTGTGTAAGAGGTAGCTTGGTATTTGGCAGCAATCTAAGCGACAACAATGAATGAACGGAAGGGCCTAATAAATCAGACAACTTTTTCATCGGGCGCTACGGAAAGGCCGGTTCTTTGTGCAATGAGAGAAAAAAGGTACCAAAAAGGTAGGCCCAACTTCGCTCGTCAGGCAAGGTAGTGGTGTTCTGCAGGCACTTTAGTGGGCAATTTCGCAATTTACAGTGGGCAGGGGACCGGTCGCTGGTGCAGGTACCTGGTACAGTACCTGTTAAATGATGTCACGTGCACGAACCCGCCCCCAGCGACTGAATTTTTTCGTTTGATAATCACTCCCTCGCCCGTCCCTCCCCGCCGCCTGCAAAAACACCAAGGTTGACCGATTTGTGCATTTTCAACCCTCCAGCCACAACCGTCTTTCTTCGATACCCCCAGGTAAATTCTCCTCCCTCCGGCTCAGCCACGCTCCTCGAATCCCGATTCGAACCGAACGAAGTGCTCAAGGCCTGCTGTCCTGCTGTCCCGCGAGATATTAACCCCCTCCAGACCCCGCCTTGTTTACATCTTTCACAACCGCTCCTCCACCACCCGGCTTAAAATCTCAAGATGGCTGAGCAGCAAACTCCTACCTTCAAGCTTGTGCTTGTCGGTGATGGTGGTACCGGCAAGGTGCGTTCTTACCCCGGCCATGGCCTTTTTTTTTCGGTCGCAAACGAAAGCTGCCCCGCGAAGATGGATGCCAGCATGATGTCACCGCTTTGTGCCGCCACTTTGCCTGCAGCTCGTTGGACCGCATTGCCCGCACCATGCATTGCTGTTACTAACAGAAATCTCTCGTCAGACCACCTTTGTCAAGCGTCACTTGACTGGTGAATTCGAAAAGAAGTACCTTGCTACCCTCGGTGTCGAGGTTCATCCCCTCGGCTTCTCTACCGTAAGTCGTCAACCACGAACCGAGCAGACACGTCGCAGCAGCTAACAAATAGCAGAACTTCGGTCAGATCCAGTTCGATGTCTGGGATACCGCTGGTCAGGAGAAGTTCGGTGGTCTCCGTGACGGTTACTACATCAACGGCCAGTGCGGCATCATCATGTTCGACGTTACCTCGCGCATCACCTACAAGAACGTTCCCAACTGGCACCGTAAGCGCCCATCATTTCTCGAATATCGGACCCCAATTATACTGACTCGTAGTAGGTGACCTGGTTCGTGTCTGCGAGAACATCCCCATTGTTCTCTGCGGTAACAAGGTCGACGTCAAGGAGCGCAAGGTCAAGGCCAAGACTATCACTTTCCACCGCAAGAAGAACCTCCAGTACTACGATATCTCGGCCAAGTCCAACTACAACTTCGAGAAGCCCTTCCTGTGGCTCGCCCGCAAGCTCGTTGGCAACCCCCAGCTTGTTCGTTTACCCGTCAATGTCGGTATTCACGAAGCGCGATGAAGCTAATGACAGATTACAGGAGTTCGTTGCCGCCCCCGCTCTGGCTCCTCCCACTGCCCAGGTCGACAAGGATCTCCTTGCCAAGTATGAGGAGGAGATGAACCAGGCCGCCACCACTGCGCTGCCTGACGAGGGCTCCGATGACGATCTGTAAACGACTCGACATACCCCGAGCCGTACTATGCGCCAATTTCGGCGTGTATCACAGGGAATGGCTCCTCCCTCTGCTGTGAGACATGTCGGTGGCCGGAATGACCACTTTACGATACAGGATGGGAGAATGTTCAGAATATGAGTACATTGAGCATGGTAATGCCGTTCGAGTTCCAGTTGGGACAAGGAAATAAAATGAGAAGGGAAGCATAAATTGCTACCACCGTGGCGATACATCTAGTTAGACTCATCATAAAATTCAACGCGCCAGGCGCATTTGCTTTGGCTGAAACCCTTTGGCGCTTACCGTGGTGCGCTTGCGACGTTGACTTGGGTCGGATCACGCGGCTACCCTGGATAGATAGACTGGAGCTGTCAGGTGTGATGGCTGCGTGTCTATCTGCTTTTGGGATCTCGAGCAGAACCTGAACGTTGTGTCTTGAAAACTTATAAAAATTTAATTATTACTCTGAATCTTTAAGGAAAAATATCCACATGTCTATAATAGCATCATCCGGGGCCGTCAGCACGCAGCCTTTTGGCAGAAAGCAGGCATCTCCAGGCTCCCAATTAAACGCTATCATACTAGGATCGGCACTTAGATCTCGCACTTTAACCACTATACCGGTCTCGTCGTCTGGTAATTGGATCGCGACTGTTGTGTGGCCGTGATTCACTGAAAGCGGCTGATTTTTATTAAGATAGGTAGTTATCTTAATTACTTCGTTAAAGTTTGGATTGCGGTTTTGGAGGTTTTCAAGCTTTTCTAGTTTGTTAGTAGATGTTATTATAGGCTTGTTAGGATACTAACAACCACCCTGAGTAGAGACCGATAAAGTTGCTCGCTAGTATTTAAAAAGACATACTTGCTCTTCTTACTACTATCAAGGGTGAGCCACTTTCTTGACTTTTTTGCTAGGTCGCGCTGTTCAGCCGACAAGGCAATCGTGTCATAAGTCGCCATGTCAACGGTTGGTTCAAATTGTGATAGTGGCGTGAAGGTCTGATATGTCCGCCCCCGCCGGAATAATAAAAAGCCGTGGCCCTGGTGCCCAGGTCGGATGCCCCCGAGCTAAAGGAGAACATGACGCATTCCCTAATTCGGCTCGAGTTAATTCAGCGGTCTATTACGAAGACGGCGAAGACGGTGGAAAGAATCCAATACAAGAACGAGATTGAGCGCCAGACGGGTGGCTGGCAGGGTAATTCATGACGGCGCTCCCTCACTAGCAAAAAGACGACCGGGTACGGAGTATTACGGAGTATTACGGAGTACAACAATATACCTATCTAAGGTAACTATGAACTAACTACCTAGGGAAAGAGAAAGATGGCTGGAGTTGTTGAGCAACGGAGGACGAACGCGTCTCGCGTGTACTTGCGGGGATCGGCTCTATTTTCTTTTCAAAAGCATCGGTGTGAGCGTGACCCCTGTTCGACCTCCACAAACCCCGGTCCAATTAAGCGGCTAATTACAAAGAGGGAAAAAATCAATTAAAGAAAACGTGAGGCTGGGGTTTCGGGTGTTTTTTTTCTTTTTCGTTTCTTTCTCAAACTCGTTTGGGTCTGGCGCAGGACAATCGCAAGTCAGGTTTTTTTGTTTTTTTTTTTTTGGACAAGTACAATACGAGAACCCACTCAGTATATTGAGAGTTGATGGCAAGGAAGAAATTATTTACAAAATTTGAAAAAAAGCGTTTACAACCTAACTCTGGCCGTAAGGGTCACGGCCACTTCAGCGTCGGTGGGCGGGATTTCTCGAGAGGGGAGGGGCTCAGGTCGCTTCTTGACTCCAGTGTATCCAGCTTTGTCCAGCATATCGAAGATGAACTGGGCACCCTCGGTCGAGCGTCTGTTGTAGTCGGTGTGTGCCTTGTTGAGGGTGATCATGCGGCCGTTCCCGCAGGGTATATCGCCTTCGTTGCAGACACTGAGCATCTTGTCCAGGGGAAAGTTTGGAATCCTGCCTTTGTTCTTCTTGATCCTATTTTGACGGGTTAATATACATTGGTAAGACGCGGTGCTGGTGTTTTTCTCTCTCAATTTCTTTCTTTTTTTTTTTTCCTCTTTTTCTCGTTTTTCTCTGTTTTCCTTTTTTTCCCTCTCCTCACTTTTTTCATTTCTTCATTTAATACGTACATGGTGTCGCCAAACGTCACGGCGGCAGCGATCTTGGCATGGATGTCCTCGCCGAGCCGGGACAACGCGGCGTGGACGACGGCGCTGCCCTGGCTATAGCCGGCCACGACAATATGGGAGTTGTCACACTGCAGAACGGCGTCGGTGACGAGATTCTGCAGCGTCTTGATGGCTTTGTTGTCGGTGCGGAGGCCCTTGAGGTTGGCGAGCAGATCGGCGGCATACTTGACGCCCTGCACGTGGACGTTTTCCCAACCGTAGCGATCCTTGATACGCGTGGAGAATCCGGGGCCAGGACGGTGTCCCTATTTATTTTTTTTGCCTTGTCAGAATTTCGGCGGTCTCCTTTTTCCTTCTTTTCTTTCGTGCAAGGTGATTGTGAGAGAGACAGGGGGAAAACATACAATGTTGCCTTTCTGCCAAGTGCCACGGGCGAAAAAGACAATGACGTCGGCGCAGCCTCGTTCGAGAAAGTCGTTGGAGACATGTTCCACCTTCTGTCTCCGGGCCGAGATCTTGGGACTTTCTTCAAAGATGGATAGTGCGCGGTGCTCGCTTACGGGCAGGCTGACGTCGAGAGTTGGCTGATGGCGCTCGACGGGCCAGCCGGAGGCGGCGACGGCGAGGAACAACACGGCAACGGACTTCATGATGGCAACAACAGCGGCCTTCATGATGGCGACAACAACAAGTAACAGTTGGATAGTTAGGTTGGTGGAGAGCCAGGAGACGGGGGGCTCTGTACTTATATAATTATAGACGACCATGGTGAGTTTTTTCTGGACAAGACTAAGAAGATAGGGTTCAACACCAAAGGGCTGGGCCGGCGCTATGAAAATTTATCTTGATGTAGAAGACCCTTGAGGATGGGGGTTTGAGTTGTGTAGTGCGCTTGTCGTGTTGTCGTGCATCGATAAAGTTTCACCAGTGTGTGTTGGCCAGCCATTTGTTGATGTTGACTGAAGGACCCCATCTCCCACGTGCTGAGTAGGGCAAAGTAAATGAGCTGATATACACGCTTGGATAGGTAGTTGTTGATCACGCGCCTCATTTAGTTTTATTTTTATTTTTGCAAAACGTAGAAGGGGGGAGTGAGGGTTATGGTAAGGATGCTTGGCCCAGCGACATGGTTGGGGAGAGGTGGTGTAAAGATGCTACTCCCTAGAATTGAACTGGGGAGGGTTTCAATTGTTGACCGAGTACTTTGAACAATGCAAATATGGATAATATAGGAATAATAAAGAAAATAATAAGAGCAATAAGAGCAAGGAAGATAATAGTATAGTGAACTGTAATGGAATGTAGTTGGGTGGTGAGGCTCGGCCAAAGAGGGTCAGTGTGGCAGTGGATCCAATTTATACGGCATAAAGCGACTCAGATCGATCTGCAGATGATGTATGGCCGATTGTGCGCTTGACTGGACAGGCAAACGGCAAGAAGCCGCGGCGAAAGACATTTGCTGTGGGAGGAGTCTGTTGGGGTTCGCTGCTGTACGAGGCGGGATGCATGTGTCGCCTGGTTGCTGGGTAGAGATGCTGGAGGCGCGGCGCGTGGGCGATGGCGATGCAATTTTTTATTTGATTCTTCTTCTTCTTCTTTCTTTTAATTGATGTTTTTCTCATTGTTGATGCGGAACAAGATGGGAATAAGATGCAGCGGAGAAGAGTGCATTCCGCGTTGAAAATAACAATAAGCCAATGTACATACGGAGTCGTTCTTCCACCTACAGTGAGCGGTGCGGCCCAACGCGTGTTGATGGGGGTGGGCAAAAGATGCTTGTTTTGGGCCGAGCCACAGGCGGTACGGTACGGCGCGCGCTGATTCGGTGCGTCGGGGGCAAAATCCACCGACGCGGGTAAAGAGAGCCCAAGCAGCGAGGCAGGGGCTGGCTGGGTCATGGCTCACAAAGCACTTTAAAAAAAAAAAAGAGGGCAGCGAAAACGACTGGGATTGTGCCTTTTTTTTTTTAGACGACGCCAACAGGGCCTGACGTGTCTGCAGTGGACGAACTGACCAGTAATGGGTACCAACTTGGTGACTGCAAGGTGTAAGCTGCAGGGCGCCATCTCACCGAAAGAGGACGGTGCTGCTTGAGCCTGTCTGCACGTTATTTATAAATGAATCGTGAAAAAAAAAAGTAGAAAAAAAAAAGTCAAGATGCATGTTGAATGTAAATAAAAATACATGCTTGGCCCCCAGTAACCATCCATTCATTCCTCCTGTACGCCTCACGCCTCACCCCCATGTCCATGCCATGCCCATGCCCAAATTCACCCCCTCCACACGTCCACGTCCACGTCCAACGACCCACCTCTGCTACACGTCCAGTGGAACTCTCGAACCTCGTCCATGCTTCTCTTGTTTCTTTCCTTACTCGATAATTCCGACTCTTTTTCCCCCCTCTTCTCTTCTCAATCAACTTCATCCTGCCTTGTTTTCCTTCCTCGACAATCCGCCTCCCCGTCGACATCCAGCCGTGTAAAGCCCTCAACCGTCCTTCCCCTCCCTCGCGTATAGAAATGCTTGGCGGCCTATAAGCAACAACACGTTTTCGACCGCTTCTTCCCGCCTCAACCTTCGGCCATGTCCAACTCGTCCCCAGACTCTTCCCTGGCCGCCGCCGCCGCGCAAACGCCGCTGCACGATCCGCCCTCGCCGACGTGTCATGATGCCTCGCTGCCGTCACTAGACGGGACGCCTGCCTCGGCCAATGACTCGTTTGATTCGGAGCTGGCCATGGAGAAGCACCCCAAGGGCAAGCGGAAGCGTACCGCGTATGTTCGCCTCTGTTCATCAGCCCGCCCTGTATTGTCTGGTACATGTAGAAACTGACACGGGTGGACTTGCCGTTTAGTGCCAAGGACAAGATGGTCCTCGAAGACGCCTACAAGTCCAACCCTAAACCCGACAAGCAGGCGCGTCTCGATATTGTGAACCGCGTTTCCCTCAACGAAAAGGAAGTTCAAGTATGTATACGCCAAAAAGCTCTCTACAAGCAATATGTTACATACGCGTGCCAAAATCGCGCTACTGGACAATTGTTGACATGGTTTTGCAGATATGGTTCCAGAACCGCCGCCAAAACGACAGACGAAAGTCGCGTCCGCTCTCACCACAAGAACTGGCCGCGCTCCGATTCAATGGCCTGCACGGCGTCCCGACCGAGCCCATGGCCGTTGCTGCCACCGTCTCCCATGCCGAGGTCCCGGCCCCCATGTCCGCCCACGCCCCGGCCGAACCCCAGGCCCTCTCGCCGCCACACGCCTCTCCTCCGCCCGTGCCCACCGCCGTGCAATTGCTCACAGCAACTCCCAGAGCGTCTGCGCCCGCACAGCCTCCATTGCCAGAGACGACGCCGCAAAATCGAGACATCTCCTCCTCCCAGAGCAGCCAGGACGGGCCGCCATCCGTGGCGCACTCCTTCTCCAGCTCCGTCGGCTATCTCGCCAACAGATGGAACATTGGCAGCTCATTTTCCACTCCTGCTGGCCCAATCCGTGACGCTGATGATTCTCCGAGGTGCGTACCGCGGTATACACAAACGCGTGTATGCACACACTAACCAGATTCATAACAGAATCTATACCCCATCCTCTTGCATCTCCGACACGACGCACAATGCCAGCCAACGGCAGAGCCAATCCACCGTCCGACTCTCCTTATCGTTGGAAGGAAAGGCTGAGCTCGTCGATAGCGCGTCGTCCCCCACGCGTCCGCCTCCGCAAAAATACTCGTTGGGGCCGGAAATCCCCCGTCAGCGCGGTCTGAAGCGAAGCTACAGTGCTCTGCCGACCGTCACGCTGCCGCCCATTTCCACGCTTACCAGCTTCCTGCCGCCGCGTCTGACGCGCGGCCGCTCGCGCGACGTGCAAGCCTGGCAATCGTGCGCCGACGCGGAGACGCGCGACGAGTTGACGACGCACGCCGAGCACGAGTCGAGTGGCTCGGCCGTGGCTGCCATTAGTCTCTTACGCTCCACCAGCGGCGTGCTGCAGCCGAGCAGCTCCAAACGCAACACGCCCGTGTCGACGCCCCGGGAGGGCCACTATGCCAAAAAGGCCAAGTTCAGCCGCGCCATTTCGAGCGTCGGCCGTCTGGAGCACACGGGCAAGGAGAATGACGAGCTGTTTGGCAAGGGCGAGGGAAAAGGAACTTTTAGCATCCTGGCGTCACCGACCGACTCGGACAAGGAAAACTGGAGCCCCGACGAGGACGGCAACACAGCCGATGTGGGTTCCCGTCGGCCGCTACCCGCGGCGGCCCTGGCGCCGACCAAACTCAAAAATACTCGACGCGTGCTTGGCCGTGGTGTGCTGCAGAGTCGCAGTCCGGGGAAGCTTGGCAGCCGCGCCAACACGGCCCCGTCGTCGCGTCCGCGCGGCATGAAGGACAGCGTGGATATTTTCGAGGACGAGGCCACGCGCGTCTCCCGCGACGCTGATGTCGAAAAGTTTATGCGCGGCCAGGTGAGCCCCAGCAAGAAGCCCGACATGGACTGCGTCGCCGGCCTGTTGTCTCTCAGCCAGGGTGCTTGGAGGTAACATGTGCACTTTCCGCAAAGGCTCGCATCTTTTTATGGATACAAAAAACAAAGTCACTGGTTGACACCCATCTTGGGGAGACAGGAAGGCTCCTTCCTTTACCCCCAGGACACGAAGAAATGAAACAAGTACAGAATCTTTTCCTTTGTATCGACTTGAAATTCGAACTTGTTCAAGGCGCGGTTCAGCGAAGCATTTTTTTTGTTTCTTTGGTACACAAAAAAAAGGGGACATGACGGCGGTGTTATTTTGAACGACAACATTTCTTTCATTTCCAACGCCCAGCGCTCCTATGAAAAGGCGCAGAGTTGCGACACCCAGACTTGAAGATGAATTGACCATGTCATTTTAGTTGTTGAACGGTTTTGTTTTATTTTGTTTTGCTCTTTTGTTTCGTTTTCGAATTCTGTTTGGGGAGGTTTTTGTTTCTCCTTTTTGCTCTACTCTTGGGCTATGGCATAGAACCAGGAACGAGACACGTCTTTGGCGCATAAAAAACACATGGTTTTGTGTTGGGGGATTGTATTCTTTTTTTGCATTTTTTTTTGGGCGGTGGGCACATGCATCAAAGTGTGTACTTTTATTGATCTTGCACCAGAACACCTCCATCTTTTCTTTGTCTGTGGTGGTCATGTTTGGAAAGGTTTCAACTAGGTTTTCTTTCAATCTGCGGCATGCACAATGGCATGAGACAATATATTGTGCGATTTGGACACGCGTTGAACTTGTTCTATTGCTTTGGTGACTTGATCATCTCTCCCATGTATATTTAGGCTTACCCCATGTTGTGCGGATGTCATCACGGTGCTCCATGGTACACATATTCCGTTTTAATTTCCCTCTCTGGCACCATGTCCAGAAAATGAAGAGCTTCGTTTGGATAGTTGGCTGACAACTACGAAATCATTGTTTGCTTATTGGTGCGCAGGCTCTCCAAGGTGAACAGCCTTTGAATGGTAGAACAGTTGTAGAACAGGGAGCCCAAGGCCTTCCTTCTCATGATACAAGGTCAACTTTGATAGGTTTGTAAGACCCAGAGCCGACAACGACCTGGCCGGTGGCGGCCATATCCGACAGCTGATTTTGTCCAACCCTTCTAGAAGTGATGTTAATAGGTGAATGTGCAGCGTAGCCCACTGTGGTCGCTCCATTCTACCTCACCACCCTCACCACTGGCCAAGCCTATGCTGCCAGGGTGCATAACTTCCATTCTCTCGGCAGCCAGCCCCAGCATAGCAATCTTGTCCAGTCTGCTGGGCTCATATCTTGGGTCCCTTCTTCTGCCTACGCTCCATGTAGGCGCGTTGGGCTCTTTGTCTCCATGCAAACTCAGCCATGCATCCTGTAGTCCGTTTGCCTCGATCAGGCTGTCATCCTTCTCTGTTGTAGCATTAAAATCACCTGCGATCAGTCCTCCACTACAGCCGGGCTCATGTAGGCTGTTGGTGAGTTGATGGAGCTGCTGAGCGCGGTACGAGTATGCGTCACGCGACTCCAGATGCACATTTATTATGCCAAAGAATGTATCCAGAGCATAGGGAGGGATAAGACACACGTAAAGCCCATCCCGACCTGTTGCGCTCGGGAGACTTTGTCGAAAGACAGGTCCAATACTGAACTTGGCTCTGTCCCCTGGTTTGTCTGTGCTTGTGTTATAGGTGAAGCGCTTCTTGAGTAGTAGAGTCATGGTCGAAAATCGTCTCTCCTCCAAGTCGGGTTCGGCATCAGTTACGAGAAAAGACTCGCGGATTTCTGCGTTGCCTAGTAATGAGGCGCGGACGTCCAACCTGACTTCCTGAAGGCAGATGATGTCGGGAGTCCCGCTGTTGAGAATGTGGTCGACGAGGCCGAGACATCGCTTCGAGGGTTGGCTACTCGCAAAGTCAATATTCCAAGACACGAGCTCGAAGTGAGATTTCGGGTGGCCTGCACGAGTATGCCTTGAACTTTGTGCCCTGGGCACCTGAATGGCTCGAGAGAGCGCCGGCACCCAGCTCCGAGCAGCGCGACTGAAGTACGAGAACGAATGGAGAATCATGTTAAATTTGTTTTTCTGCCTTTATGCCCAGATGCTAAGTTTTTAAACTCTGGCTGTGACTCAGTCACGATCAGTGGATACAGTGGGTTGGTTGTGGCGAGGGTTGAAGGATAAAGCTGGGATTAACTGCACTGTAGGCAGCCATCCTGCCTAAGCGAAGCCTGATTACTAATAGCTATTGGGCATCCTGGTTCACCTTTTAATAATTTAGGGCGCCATGGGCAGCAGACGTAAAACGGTTTCTCTTGCTCCTTAACATGAAGCCTGGTGATTACTTTAGACTCTTATATAAAGTAATTACCAGGCGGAAAGAAATAATTGCTTGTTGAGAGGGACACCCTGTATCTGGGTGCGTTGGAGCGCAAGGGGGCCATGTCGCTGTGGGTAGACCATGACGCTGAAAACTCAGGCTGTCGGCCATTGGCAGTTTCGACCTGGGTGCTGACCGGCTTCAGAATGAGTCTTGCCGGGATCAACAACCGGGCCATTGATTGCGGACGTCGACTTGAACGGGAAATCTTCGTTTCCGATAGACGAGGACAAGGATGGTTCATGGAAATCCCCTGGCGCATCAGCAACAAAAGTGTCCTTTTCACTGAATGAGGAGTATGGAGATGATGCCGTGGAGCAGGAATGGATCAAAGGCGGGGGCATGTTGTCTGGAAATTTCAGTTCGGGGTAAGTGAATTTCTGGGACAGCTCGAGCATGTGAATGGCGATGCAGTCTTCAGCAGTGAGTAGCCGACGTTCGCTGTGCAGTGCTTGGTGGTGATGCTTGTCGTCCTGTGAGCTGCCAGGCTGCTCCGGATAACACGTTCCGCAAATCGGGCAAGTGTCTTGGGGTCGAGGACAAGACGTGCGACTTAGCCGCGCTAGGCTTGCTGTCTCTTCGTCATCATTCCTGCCGTGATAGTGTTGCAGATGATGAACCAAATCTCGAGCCATCAATTCTTCCGACTCGAACTCGACTGGGGAGACACCTTTGCACGTTGGACACATCCACTGCACATTCTTTTGGAAATGACTGACCCAATCCGACCCATGGCGACATCGCATGTGATCTTTCCACTCTTGAGCGGTTTCGAACGATGGTGGGTAGGCTCGACTGCAGTCCCAGGCCAAGCAGACATATGGCTTAGTTGTGTGTAGGAAATGGCACCTGTTTCATTTAGTGGGATGTTTTGTCATCGGAAGATTAAAAGGGAATGTGTCTCACATTTTTGGATCCTGGTTGGCTGAGGCGTCGGAACAAGCCTCTCCGCAGATTGGACACGGAGGCTGGTTCCCTGATGCCATGGTACTTTCTTCAACGGGCAACCTTAATGCCGCAATTCTGGGAGTTCTGGCATGGATGCGCTCTTTCTCACCACAGTCTCTTTCGTAGAGTGTCTTGTAGTGAGTGAAGAGAACCGCATCTGCCAAGGCCTTGAACAGACCGGCAGGTTTGTCGACGGGATCCCATGCCGCTGGCAGCACACGTTTTTCTGCATTGAACCATTTCATCCCCAACCTTTCCCACCAAGGAGACGACATCTGGTCTGGAACTTTGGGCTCCAGGTATGGAAACTGATGGCGGAGATATTCCATCACTCCTTTGTTGAAGCCATGGTGCTCGTATCTCTTTCGGTACTGCGCCACTCGACACCCAAGCCCAGCCTTGGTGTGCAGTAATAAAAGTTTGGTGAAATTTTCGAGTGTTGTGAGCTCATTTTCTATTTCGGTGAATTGAGTATCAAAATGATTTTCGGTCGTTGATGCGTGGTCTTTCATCGTGCCCGATTGCAGAACTACAGCACTCTCATGTTAGCTTTATTATCATGACCGCGGGGCGTTCTCTTACCAAGCACAAGGTGTTTTCTTATCGAGTCTAGGTAGGCTTCTATAAAGAAGCGAAGCTTTCCTCTGGATGCATCTAGCAACGAGTCCAGATTTGGGCCGTTTTCGGCCCAAACATCGAGCGAGTCAGCCCAGTCGCGAAACCTACGACACGCCCTCTCGCTCCTGCGCCTGTCCCGCGGCTCGATCCGCAGAGTAGCAGTTGCACGGAGGAAACTAACGCAGACATCTGCCCTTGCGGATATGGGATACGCGACGTCGTGAGGGTAATGCCTCGTGGGTGCAAAGTCGAAAGGCATGGTGTGCATGTGGCTGGGCAACATTTGCCAGTATGGACCAGAGTAAGGGGGAATCTAGTTTTAACCTTCAACTACGTAAGTCAACTTGAAGGACAGAGGTAACACACACAGTCATTCAGCCTCCCACATCCCACATTTGTGGAAGGATGCATGCGGTGACACACCAATCACACCGGCTGACTACGAGTTCTTACCCTGGGGGTGGTGGGTGCGTGGCGAGAGACAACAAGGGCCTGTTTCTTGTGTTGAATATAAATTAGTGAACAACAAACAAACAGGAGATATTGAGCCTTGGCCCCATGCCAGCGGCCCTCCTCAACCCTTCCCTACCCGTGCTTGCGTGGCGCAGACTATCCTGTGCTTCCTACCAGTGGTTGGTGCGTGTAGCGAAAGAATAACCTCGGTGTTTTCTTGCCTCGCAACCTCCCGGCCTGTCACACACAGCCAGCCTGTTGCCTGCCCAGTCACTGCAGCTGAGCTGAAGCGCCCTGCAAGTTGCAACCTGGACCGTCGCCGTCATGCGGACGCGCCGGCCTAGAACACGGGTGCTTGCCACTATGCCCTTGACTATTTAAACCAGCATCGACGTACCAGTAGTAGCCTGTGGCCAGGCATGCTGCAGGCTACTGCAGCACGGCGCGCCTAACCAGGCAGCCAAGCAAGGAAACTACATAACTAGGCACGGATAATACTCCCAAATTATTATACAGGCTCTACTATTAGCCCTCTCTTCCACACGTGTCCTGACAAGGAATGCCTGCCAAGTGTATCATATCAGGCAGGCTATCATCTCCCTGCCGCAGCCTGAGCAGCCTGACCAGCCTGCGAGGACACCTCTTTTTTTACTTGTCAGCTTACCGAGTACTTCTCATTACTGAATGCGCACGTACATGACACGTTCGAAATTCAACGACAGCTACGGATCAGCTGTACAGCCTGCGATAGAGTACCTACAACTCGGCCGTTCCCTGCACCATCCATTTCACCGTAGACCCATCCCCCAGCAGCGCTTCGTCACCATCCCCTTCGCCCGAGTCCTCCTCAATCTCAATGTCAAAATCGTCTGCCTTTTTCAATATCGCGTCTTCCTTTCCAACGAGTTCTGCCCTGTGACGGTGTCCCTTGGCAACGAGACGTTTTTCCCCAGCAACGACGTATTTCCTCTTGTACGTGAGCTTCGTGACTCTGATTGCAAAAATTAGATCTGCAGTCCGGGTCATTTGCAGGCTCGAGGTGGTTGCGCGAGCGCCTTCCACGCGCGCACCTGCGCTCAACGGGCCGCCTTGAAGGCCGAGCTGCCCCTGGACTTTGGTGGTTTCGTGGCCGCGATGAATAGCAATACACTTTTCATCGCAATACTTTAAGCCTGTGACCATGTAGGCGTAGCCACTAAAGCAGGACAGACGCTTCTGAACCTCTGGGGAGCACTCGACCGCTTTCCGGTAAGCCGATGGTGTAAAATCCACATGTTGCCCCTGCAATTCACGGATGAAGAGACTGTTTGAGTACTGGCTGTTGCGACCAAACTCCATCTTGCCAGAAAAAGCAGCTGAAGCTGCGTCGGTAAGTAAAGCAGCGCTACAAGAGCGTGCGGCTTTTGCACTGATGCTAACGTCGGTGTCGCATACCAACTTGACAAGACGCTCATCATACTTCAACATCTCGCCATCACCATCGTTAAGAATCATCAAGTCTTCAAGGCTATTGATGACATGGCCGATGACCAGGTCCCCTCTAGAGACTAGAGTGGGCAGAATATGGTAAACAAAGGCTTTCTGAATCTTTCGATTGTCCATTGCGGCTTCGACTCGCTGGAGAGTGCTCGAATTGACAGTTGTATTACCGTGAGAGCTGCAGATGAGGCCCCCAGAACATATACTTCCTAGCGTCCGATGCCGCTCGGTAGCTATTTGAGATGCTGATATGCAGAAAGCGGAAGAGAGAGAGCACAATGATCGCCCGCATAGCACCGCAGATTTTTGACAAGATGGAATTTCAGCTTGGGGTAGCACAACCTGCAGCTGAAGGAGTTTTCAGAGCCCGGTCGGGACAGCATAGCAGTGCACCGTCTGGACTAAAATGGCATTGTGCTAGCCTGTCAAAGTGAGGATAACTACATGCGGTCAAGATTGTCTATCAGGAAAAAGAAGGCCGTTTTCTTGCCTCTTGTGGTCTCGATTCGATGACAACGCCAAAGTTGAATAAATGTACAAGGCAGGTGTCCTCCTCAATCACCGCAAGACAACATGGCACAGAGGGGCATGAGCTATTTATTGAGACATGTTATGCAGTATCGCTGCAAGCCACAAGGCAGCGGCCAGCAAGCAGCGACGGTTCGCACGCAGCGTAGCCAGGAATCGGCATGGGGGAGGATGCAGGCTCCTGAACTGCAGTTGGGCTTGGATGACTGGCTACGCCTGACATCTAGGAGATCGTTCCAACTTTCAAATGGTATCTGCTGGAGTAACTTGTCAAGCTATTACTCTATCAAACTCCATCAAAACACATTTCAACGGTAGCCGGCCGAAATGAGGCAAGACATCCACCAACCGGCGTCCATGTTAGCCATGCCCGATCAAACAGAACCAGGAGGAGCGAGCGCCGCTATATTCGCACAGCCATGTATGGACTGTATTCCAGGAGGAGATGCCAGCTGTGGGCATAAACATCTCCCGCATCTACCCACCCAGGAGACAGCGTGGGTACCGAGTGAGCTAACGGCAACGGGAGACGCAACCGGGGAGATATATAGTGAACTTGAAGACTCCAGCCACATCAGTTGCGATAACACCTTCGAGCCAATAGGAAACGTTGACGTTGACGTTGACGTCGGCGGTCTATCAGCTACTAGTGAGTGCCTGTTTATCGAACTCGCAGAAAAGAAGTCTAAGAAACGAGCTGGAAATGTCGAAAACCTTCAAAAATTGAGAGACGAATTGAGCGCTTTCGTGAAACTGGGTATTCGGGAGGACTTGACTACACTCTACTTTGCCCTGCAGCGGCAGCTACCCAATTGCTCAGCTGACCACTTGCTGCGCCTGCGACTGACTGGTTTCTGCCACAAAAACCTCGCCTCGTCAAAGACAATGTTTCAATTCTACATCAGCCCACGTCATTATGGCCCTGAATATGCCTGGGTGCACTGCACGGCAGACTTTGCAAGGTATGTCTCTTCCGCCTCTGTGCTTGCCTGTTGTATATTCGGACGACCCCTTCACCACTTGGTGAGCAAGCCAGGCACACCTTCCGTATCCGAGGTTTCGGGTTTCATATCCATACAAGCTACTATGGAGTCTAATTTATTAGCAGGAGCTCGCTCATATCTACATCACAGCCGACGCTCTGCCATCATCTTACAAGCGCAGAGCAAGGTCGTAAATCATTGCTCATCTCCATCAACCGCCAAAAGCAAATCCGACTAAGACGCGATAGCAACATGATGAGTCCAAGTGAATCAAGGCAGCCAGAGAGTTTCCAAACCGCCTTGAAGTACGGAAAGCCCACCAGAACGCTACCAATGCATAGTTTGTCTCAGCTCGTGGAACTTCCCTGCATAGCAATGACAGACCCGGGAAATGCCATCGAAGCAGATAACAGAGACCGTTTATGCTTCAATATGGCCCTCTCTGCTTTTTTCCTCTTCCGTACGCCTTGGAAACAGGTTCGGTGGTGCGGTCGGCGGAACTTTGATGCGAACATACACTTTTGCCGAGACCCAGCAACTCGTATCATACATCACCAGACGGAAGCCTTACTCTCCTGTCCGATTGGTCCTGATTCGTCACACCCCGAGTATGACAAGGATTTGAATGGTGACTTGAATCTTTTGGAACTGGCCAAACTTCTAGTTGAGGTAAGGTTCTGGGAAACTCCAGACTTCCTAAGGGACCCTACTGGGCTTTTATCAAACGAAGATATTCGAAAGAATCTCGATTACTTCATAAACAACCACAGAGAGTTAGGTCGACGCGAGGGCGACTTTCTCTACGCTGTCAAGGCATGTATTAGGCCTGAAGGACAGAAGTTCGAGCCGACGGACGACGGCTTCTTCCAGTATTTTTCAGCCGAAATACTTCGCCCTCTTGCCTCATATGCTGGGATCAACTGCCTTGCGGTTGAGGACTTGAAAGAGTACAGTGTGTCTGTCATCGAGGAACAGCGCAAGCCACTCGAAAAGCTACCACATAAAAGAGTAAAGGGGCCAGGCAGGTTTGTGACTTCTATCTCTTCTTTACCCCCTTACGAAGAGGCGTTAAGCACCACAATGGAAAAGCTAACAAGCACCACAGTTCGACTGCCGAGGACTTCATGCACAGAATGCGCATGTTTACAAATGCATATGTCAAGGTGCGGAGGAATCCGTTGAGAACACCGTTGTCAAAGAACCGGGACAGGAAAATTCGCATAGCCATCATTGATAGCGGCGTTTGTAGCAGGGACGAGTATATTCGAGAGAACAGGCGAAATGGGAGGATCAAAGGGCAGCGCAACTTTTCAGATTCCAATGTTGACGATCTCGAAGACTTCCATGGTCATGGAACGACCGTTGCCAAGATACTCTTGGAAGTGGCACCTGAGACCGAGGTTTATATTGCCAAGGTGACATCCTCGCAGAGCCTCTCAGACCAGGAGCTGGGCAACATATACGAGGTGAGCTGATGGCTTTTCATGTCGGATCACATCGCAACGAACTGGGCAAAGGACAATTTACCACTATGATGGCGGCTGACAGGTCATGACAAAAACAAGGCAATCAATTGGGCAGTTCAGGTTTGGCAAGTGGACATGATTAATATCTCAATAGCGATTGAGGAAAAGTCGGTCGATATCGATCGGGCCCTGGCCCGCGCCCTCATCCCGGCGTCGACCATCATCTTCGCCGCAGCGCACAGAAATGTTGGGCAGCACGAGGGTCCAACTTGGCCAGGTACTAGATCCGGTGTCATTGCCATCCACTCCACGGACGGGGAGGGGAGGCCGCAGGGACATGCGAGCGTTGGCATGGACAAGTATTTTGCCACCTTGGGCTGCGACATCGCCACGACGGAAAGTTTTTGCACGCCGGGTACGTTTTGCAGGCCCAAGAGAACAGAGGTCTACGCCACGGGCGTTTCGTATGCGACACCAATCGCGGCTGGGATTGCCGCCAACGTGCTGGAAATTATCCGGCACGACGCGGCGCCAGACTACGATGACGTGAGGCGATGGTTCTATAATGGCCAGTACGTGAAGCGCCTGTTCGAAGCCATGTCGCAGGAAGACAACAGGTGCCGTTTTGTGCAGCCATGGAAGTTTTGGCAAGAAGTCATCAAGGGAGAAACGAAGCAAGGGGACGTTGAACTGAGGCGAGGAGATGGAGGTAATGTGATGAAGGTCCTACAGATGTTGGTCTCAAAATAGAAATACATCCCGTTACCCACAAATGGTTAGTTATAGTGGACGAATTTCCAAGTACATGCTGGAAAGATGCATCTCACAACGAAAGAAGCTCCAAGAAAGAGCACGGGAAAAGACCAAACGGAGAAGAAAACATGTGTAATGACCGGACCTTACCAGTCTATCCATGCTCTGTCTATGTTCACCAGGAACAGTCGAAACTATGTGACTCCTTTATCCAACTACCCTCTACCTAAAACGCCTGGATTTCAACAAACCCCGAAGAAAAAAAACTGTTCGAATGGGCCCATGCTAATATATTGTTTGATCGCTCTCATATGCCAGTGTGTCATGTCGTTAGGCCCCGGCCGCTTCTTTACAGCCCGAGCATGCTCATTTGTCTGCGAATAGGACTTGTGCTGACGCTGCCTTCTTCGCTCGCATAGTATGCGCTGTCCGTATCAATATCGATATCCCACGTCTCCTCCTGTCCCATGGCGCCACCCTCGTAGCCGGCGCCCTCAAACGGCTTCTGCGCCGCGGCGCGCGTGTTCCAGCGTAGCGTGCTGCTAACGCTCTTGAACCATTCCGTCGAGTTGGACGTGACGGTGGGGAAAGGGTACCGAGAGGCCGAAATTTTGACCCTATCACCCTGGCGCAGCTCGACGCGGCCTTTGCCATCAAAGGCACAATAGGCAGTGGCGCGGGAGGTCCGCGGCACCTCGACTTGCAGGTCCATGGTGTCGGAGAGCACCATGGGACGAAAGGACAGCGTGTGTGGGCAGATGGGCGTCAGCAGGATGGCGGGAATATCTGGGTGCACGAGCGAGCCGCCGGCGGACAGCGAGTAGGCTGTCGAGCCCGTGGGGGTCGAGAAGATGCAGCCGTCGGCCTGCACAACGGTGAGTAGATGGCCGTCGCCATAGAGCTCAAGGTTGGAAACATAGGGCGACGGGCCGCGATCAATGACGAGCTCGTTCAGCACCTCAAATTGCTCGCTGGCGGACTCGGCCCCGTCGCGCCACACAGAGCAGGTGAAGCGCATGCGGAGGTTGATGGTCATACCTTCGTCGCCCATGATTCTGTCAAGGTCCTGGCGGTACTTTTCAAACTCAAACGTCGTCATGAAGCCAAGGCTGCCGAGGGAAAAGGACAGCACAGGCGGAACGATGCCCTGGAAGAGCCACGAGGTAAAGAGTACGGTGCCGTCGCCACCGAGGGTCAGGACGAGATCAAACGTCTCGGGACGGCTCCAGCACAGGCCCCCATCCCAGTAGCGCAACATGTCGTCAAAGGCCGGGTTCTCGGCCACGAGGCCAGGGGCGTCGAAGCGATGAGAATTGCGGAGTTTCACGTCGACGTAGACGTTGACGCCAACATGGGAGCCGTAGCGTGGGGTGCGCAGCAGCCAGCCAGCGAGCTCGCGCGTGAGGTGCACTAGCTGGTTATCGCGGGCTTTGGTAACAATCATGACGTTGCGTACGGCGCGCCGGATGGGCCGGCGCTGCAATTGCTTGGAGACCTCGCGAACCGAGGTGGCGGTTTGGACGAGGTGCGAGTGCGACATGGATTCGCCATTCTTGATTTCCTCGAGCACCTTGTCAATGTCGACGGCGTCGTCGAAGCGCTGGTGGTAAAAGCAGGGCGACTTGAGGGCCGCGAGCGCCGTCGTCGTCGTGGCCGAGGAGCGTCGGCGGCGGGCGAGGCTGTTGAGCGCGTCGGCAAGCTTGAGCGAGGCCTCGGACAGTGGTGGATTGGGCAGGGTGTCGTGCATGCTGGCGGCGGTCGCGGACGACGACGAGAGCATGCCGTCAAGAGAGAGGGCGTCCTCGGGCTTGGGGCTGAGCACCGAGACGTCCTCGGCGGGCAGGTGCGGCTGGCGAAGCATGAGAGGCTCGGGGGTGAAGCGAGCGCTGGAAAGCTTCTCGCCGTGGGGGATGCCGCTGCTGCAATGGATGGCAGGTGGAAAGGCGTTGCTGCGCGGGGAGATGGATTCGGTTGTATCTGCTTGGGCGGCTTGGGCGGCGTCGGAGATGGTGGCGGCGGCGGCGTCGACGGGGATGGTGGTGGTGGTGGTGGTTGATCCGGCGCCCCACGTTGAAGATGGAGATGGAGATGACGATGGTGTAAGAGCGGCCGTTTCAGTCGTGGCCATGGCACCTCCTAAAGCGGGCACTGCGGACAAGGGCGTAGTGGCCCGCGGCTCGTAGTCAAAAGCTTTGAAGGTGTTGATGAAGGAGGGATGATTTGCCGACGAAGATTTGGGCCGGCGGTCCAAGATGGCGCTGGCTCGGGTGGTGCCGCCCGCCACAGGTGAGGGTGAGGGCGAGGGCGAGGGCGAGACGTTGCGCAGCGTAGGATGGAAAAAGGTGGGCGAGTCGAGGTTTCTGCTGGACAAGGCCGGAGACGCCATTGGAGGAGCCATTTTACTTTTTTTTTCTTTGATCAAAAAGGCGGCGTTTGCTTGTACCTGTTATTGCAGGCGATTCGATTGTGCTGGCTTTGCCCGTCGGACTTGGTAGCGTAAGGTAAGCCCGCTTGGTGGGTGGTGGATGACTGAATGCGGCTTGGATCGAAACAACCCGTCCCGGTTAGTAGATAATAGTTAGATGTGCTGGCAGCTTGTCAACCTATCGCTTCCCTGTTAGTAGTCGGAACCCAGGACGATTGAATTGCATCGCTTACAGTTGGAGAGACTGGTGAATGGGAGACCTAATCAGAGCTGGTCTGAGGGATGCGGAGGAGTAGCTGCCGGCGTAGGTACCAAGTCTGTCGTTTGCTCTGTAACTGGCCGGAGAACAATCCCACGGGATTTTGATGTCGTTTTGACCAGAGATTAATTGAAATGTGTTGAACCAAACAAGAGGAGAAATCGAGGCGAGGAAATAAAATGTAGAGTAAAAATGCCGGATAATACTGGCTAGTCTTGATTAGCTTGGACATGTCAGAAACCTTGACAAATATGTACCAATAAAAAAATTGAGAAAAAAGAAGCGAAATAAGAATTATGAAAGACGGTGGAGTTGTATGCCCTCGACCAGCGAATGAGTAATGATGAGGCAAGAAGAAGAGAGTATAATAACCAGTAAAATGCAGGATAAGCTCAGAGCAAAAACGAAAGCGAAGCTACACAGAGATCAACTCTGGCATGACTGAACGCAAAAGCACAAATCTCAATTCGGTCGGGACCTAGGCACGGGAATAGATCGACGACAGAGGAGGAACAAAGAGAGGCAACAGCACAGAAGTGGGCAGGCGCCTGCGTATTAAATCGACTCTCGACCCTATTCTTCCTTGCCTAACCCAGGAGAGGAGAGGAGGGAATCCCAATGTTGTTGTTCTTTCCAAAACACTTGCATGGCGTTTTGTCGGCCCGTCGTGGAAACAAAGGCTAAGCTGGACTAGTATCACCGACTCGTATCTCTCATACACGCAATCTCTCGTCCTCTCCTTCTCTCTCTCTCTTGCTCGCTCGCGCGCGGCCGGCCGCTGACGCAAGTGTCACGACTGGAGCGCCAGGCACCCCCCTCTTTCCACCTATATAACATAGGGACCTGAGACGCTCAAGACGGAGCAAAATTACCCTTTTCTGTCCATGAGCGCTCCTACTCGCCCTGTCTCGAGGGACCAATAGGCAGCAAACGACCACCGGACCTAGTCCAAGGGGCCAACATCAGACGGACCCGGCAATGGGCTCTTACACGGCCTGTGACAGGAGCCCAGCTGGGCAGGCGAAGAGGAGCCAAGGTAACAGATGGGCGCCCGCGGCAAAGCTCCGCCGACCGTGGGCAAAACGGCGACGTGCTATAGGCTGGGTGGTGGGCGCGCGCGGCGTCTGTAACGACTTGAACTTGTCTGGCTGGGCAAGGGATGAACAACGTGTTGGTTGGCTCGTTATGGCTTGGCGAGAAGTGTGTGCTATGTCATGGGAAAGGGCTGAATTCAGCCCGCTGATACGAGGGCGCTTTGCAGGCTTGTCCCCTGCGCGTTGCTCGGTTGGTGCAGGCTTTGGCGGATCAGGGTATAGTTGGGATCTTTTTAATAGCCGAAAGCCCCTGCTTTGCCGCATGTGAGTTTGGATTTGCATTTTACCTTCTACAATGGGAATTGTGCATACTGTCCCCTGTTCTCCAGCATCTCCCCTGCGTTGGCGGGGTTGCATTGCTGTGAGGCGTTGTTAAGCATGCACAGACTTGGTGGTGGTAACCACCACCAAGTGACTACAAAGAGACATCAAGCATGACTGTTGTTTTTTTTCTCGATTTCGTCAATTTTTCTGCTCTTGTTATCAATTATCCCCCTTGATCTCGCGGCAACCCCAAAGCCGACAGCAACAAGGAAGGGCAAAATCCTGACGGCGAGGTGAAACGCCTCCATGTGGGCGGACAAAGGGACAATGCGAAACGCCCGCCCAGTTGTCTGCGACTCTCCCAAGACTGCAACGTCGGTCAAAGAAGGTGCGTCAGATCAGACCAAGGATATCAATCGCGCGGCGAGGCGGGGAAATAAGCAAGGGTAAAGAAAGAAGAGGGAATGTATTGCAGGAGCATGGGTCTTGGCAGCAACGTAGGTACATAGTTGTGCGGCGAGGCTCCAAGGCTGGTTCATGTATGTATCCAGCCGCATTGTTGTTATTGCTCTTCTCTACATGTGACGGCGTTTCACCCACATGGCCGTATTTCATGTTCCAAATGACTAGTAAAAGGACGACGAGAAGAAGAAAGAAGTCATGAATGGATTTGCCAACGCCTCTACACCCGATGAATTCCCGTTTGGCAATGTTGGAGCCTCTCGGCCAGCATTGCTGCTCCGTCGCATAACGAAACGACGTGAAGCACGACATCCCTTGCCATGAATCGAACGCGCCGCACCAGGGCGCGTCCACTGTCCCTTGCCTAGTGCTCCTCCCCTCTGCCTCTGTCTCTGTCTCTCTCTCTCTGGTCACTTCTTCCACGACATGTCGGCCGCAATCTTGGTCTCCATCACTGAGCGGATAAACGCGCGCACGCTCGCCGCCTCGCCGCCGTCGGCCATGGCCGCGTCCTCGTCGATGCCCTGCGGCGCCGCCCTCCCGCACGCCTCCTGCCCGGCGGCGAGCACCGCCGCCCACTCGTCCACCGTGAACGTGCCCTGGCTCTCCGCCAGCAGCAGCTCGTCGTCGGCCGTGAAGCCGAGGACGTGCAGCGATCGCGCCGTGTCGGCCTCGCGCGCGCTGGGGTCCGCCACGATGCCGCCGCCGTCGGCGCCGCGCACGGCGAGCGTCACGGCCGTGGCAATCGTCTTGAGCGGGATGGCACCGGTCAGGAGGCTGAGAATGGCCGCGTGCAGCAGCACGGGGATGATGGCGAGGTTCTTGTCACGGAAACAAACGTCAGCGGGGGGGGTCATAGAGGGGGAAATAGAAGACCTTAAGACATACGAGTTGCGCTTGCACCACTTTGGTGTTTGCGTAGGCGTTTTCCGGCGTCTCGGTGACTTGCAGCGTGATCTGAATCATGGACCGTGGAAAGTTTCTGATGGGGATGAGCTGCCGCAGCGCTCGCTGCAGGATGGACTCGAGCACTCTCTCTGCCGTGCCTGCAATCCGCCTCGTTAGCCCTAGCCTAAATCTCAAAAAAAAAAGATGAGAATCAGCCACATGTTGGCTTCGTACCTCCTACACCGGCCGCAGGGCGGATGTTGACGTCGATGATGGCCTCGAACGGGTTCTCATCGCGTCGTTGAGCCTCGATCGGCCCGTTGACGGCGCTCGTCACCGTGTAGCCATTGTATGAGTATGTTGCTGAGCCGTCCGCCTTGGGCAGCGGTGCCAAGTCGGCTTGTGGTTCGGCAATTGGTGCCATCTCTGTGCGTATTCTGATGAGGTTTGCCTGACGTGCCTCCGACCTGGTGAATTTTCAAGTGACGGCAGTTTGCATTTTTCAGGTGGGTATGGCCTGTGACAAGCAAGTATCTGCAAGTAGCATCTAGCATGCATAGGTACATTTAGGAAAGGCAGTGGCAGCTGTTAAGCGATGCTCGCAGAGCAGAAGAGAAAAGAAATTTTTGAATCATGGTAGCTCACTTATTTAACATATAATTTGTATGATTTTATTTTTCTCACTTCCGAGGCCGATGTAGCTCGATTGCTGCCTACCTACCTAGGTACCTTACCAGAACGTTCGGGGTTAACAGTGGGACGATCAAAGGGATCAAAGAGAGACAGAACCTCATGTGTCTTGGGAGCTGGCTTACGGAAACGCTCCCTAATAGAATTTATTCCGATGGAAAGGTAACTGCAATATGAAAAAGGAAGCTGCTTTTGTTTGCTCTTGGATAGTTCGCAATTTGAGGCGAACTTGGTTGGAGCTTGCTGTGTTAATTGGAAGATGATGAAATCTGATAGCCTAGCAACACTCAGAGCCTGTAATGGTAGCGCATAGTGCTCCTAAGACTAAGGTTGAGGTGAGGGTTCGAGTCCCTCGTACATCGAGGTCTTAGTACCCTGAACCTTTTTTATTTTGCCAGTCGCTGCTATCCTTTCTTATCACAGTAGTAGTACAGTAGTAGTCCGGCGAAAAAATTTGCGCTTATTGCTTTAGTACCTAGCTACTAATATAAGCCTGGCTGGTAGGTATGGGACCGACAACAGGGAGGCTATTGCGAGCAACAGAACAGAAATCGGTGGCTCAGACTACCACGGGTGAATAGGTAGCTCCATTGGAAACTCGCCGAGTCCAGTAACCTGAGTTCCCGTACTGCTTTTCAGGATATTAGCCAGGAGAAACAATGGTTTCAGGACGCTGACTGACACGATGTTTGATGTTTAGTTCGGGCAGGCATAGCCTAGCGCGCCGATGGTAGCCCTCCCGCCGTTTACCTACCTAAGATAGTTTGTCTATTATTAGTAGTGCCTGCATCTACACCAGAGACAGCCAGGTCGGTAACTTTGGCTGCCCGTTCATATCTGACAACAGAGCGGTTTGAAACAAAAATTTGTTTCCTCAGGGTAAAACTCCCTCTTATCATCTTTCATGCTGCTGGTGCGCATTTGATTCGTCGGCTTGCCACTTTGCCACAACCCCTTCGGGAAAAAGCTCTGGTGGGGCAAGATCGCTAATCCGATCCCCCCCCTCGCCTCTCAAGGTGGGAAGCCGCAACTTCCGTCCTGCACATCGATTTCACACAAACCCCAAACATGGCCTCCCACGGACCGTTGCAGAGCCAAGCCGCTCCATCCGGCGCGCACGCATCATCCCCGATACCGAGCCTGCCCAAGCTCGAGCCGCGCAAGCGGCGCGCCACCCCCTCCAACCCGACGCCCGTCCCCGCGACGCCCGCGCTGCCCAGCCAGCTCGACGACGGCGCCCTCGCCACCTGGTCCTTTGCGGTCCCCGCGCGCCGCATCCTCTCGAAACGCGACCACGAGCTGTTCCTGGCCTCGCCGTCGTACGATGCCGTCGTCGGGTGGGTGTTTGGCCTCGCCGAGGCCGTCGTCGACACGCCGTGCTCGGCCGCCGCCGTCAGCGACGCCCGTCTGAGCGAGCCCTGCGCGACGCTGCTGCGCATCCTCGACGAGGTCGCCGCGCTGACCGCGCTCTCGCCGCCCGACGAGCAGGGCGGCTCGCGCTTCGGCAACAAGGCCTTTCAGGGCTTCGTCGACCTGGTGCGCGCCCGCGCCGACGCCTGGCACCGGCAGCTCGGCCTGGACGACCCCGCCGCCATTGCCGAGGCGTCGGCGTACCTCACGCAGTCGTTTGGCAACCGCGACCGCATCGACTACGGCTCCGGCCACGAACTCAACTTTGCCGTGTGGCTGCTGTGTCTGTACCGGCTGCGGGTGCTGGGCGCCGCCGACCTGCCCGCGCTCGCGCTGCGCGTCTTTGCCCGCTACCTCGACGCCATGCGCGCCGTGCAGATGCTCTACTATCTCGAGCCCGCCGGCTCCCACGGCGTCTGGGGCCTCGACGACTACCAGTTCCTGCCGTTTCTCTGGGGCGCCGCCCAGCTCCTCCACCATCCGTACATAACCCCGCGCGCCATCCACCACGACCTCACCCTCGAAGAGGCCGCCGGGGACTACCTCTACCTCGGCCAGGTCGCCTTTGTCAACAGCACCAAGACGGTCAAGGGACTGCGCTGGCACAGCCCCATGCTCGATGACATTTCCTCGGCCCGGTCGTGGACCAAGATTGACGGCGGCATGCGGCGCATGTTTGTCGCCGAGATTCTCGGCAAGCTCCCTGTCATGCAGCATTTCTTGTTTGGGTCGCTGGTGCCGGCCGCGGACGGCATGAGCGCAGCGGACCCGGACGCGACGGCCGGCGGCGAGCACGAGGGGCACGGTCACAGCCACGATGGAAAAACCTGGGACGATTGCTGCGGTATCAAGGTGCCCAGTAGCATAGCGGCCGCGCAGGAGATGAAGAAGATGGGAGGGAGCGATTCGCTACGTAGGATTCCGTTTGACTAATCCGGACAGAGTGGTGCCTCAATACAAATAGTAAAATAGTAAAATAGACCCTGCAGTCATGTACAGCTTCGTCACTGGCATTATTTGAAAAGGCGAAACATGTCACCAAAGTACTGTGTTGTGAAAAGTAAATTCAGCTCGTCTCCTTTCACGCTAGAAACAAACTGCGGTTTTTAAATGTACTGTTAACCTTTTTGCTCTGTAAGTGCCAACCAAGAAATACACGTGAAATCGTCAACATAGCTCCGACGCCCTTCCATGACAATTGCCGCCTTGTCGTTTCGTTTTTTTAACAAGTGCTTTTTTTCGGGGTTCCCTCCCAAACCGTTCCGACAGAGAAATAAAACTTCAAAGATGTAGTGCGAGAAAAGAAATGTGCAGCGACGTCTCTCGAGTCCGATCAACAACTGACCATGTACATACTCGCGACATGTAAACAAATTATGTGAGAGAAGAAGAAAGAAACAACGCGCGTCTAGGTCATAATCATATTTCGTTGCGTTTGGGTAAGGGAATATGCCAGATCCCAAAGTGGTATCATCGGATGTGAAGACAAAGAAAAACAGCAGCTGCGCGGTGCTGCAGAGACGCAGGCGCCAGGCCTGAGTGATATCGGCTTGTCATGCCGATCTATGCCGCGACAATTGGCTGTAGAGGCATAGGACCAGTCTCCTCGCTGGTGCGCGAGCTGATGCGTGGCTGGCGGAGGCGGCTGGTGACGTGGATGTCAATGAGCATCTCCACCAGGCTCTCGGCCTCACGGTGAAGGTCGCCAAGCTCCTTGTCATCAAAAGAATGGCCGAGGCGGTCCCCGCCTTGGCGAGGCTTGCGGTAGGCAGCAAAGACAATGCCGCGGTCAATCTGCTCAGACAGACGAACGCCAGAAACAGGAGTTGATGTATTTCCAGACAAACTCCTCGCGTACTGGCCCGTGTAGAAGGCACTGGCGTAGCCGCGAGCGAGATCGTGGGGTCGAGCATCGGCATTACGGTACTCGATCCAACCGTCAGATCGCAGAATGGTGGTGTGAACCAGGGAGGAGATTTGGAGAGGGGAAGGAACGTGGTGTAGGCCGTGGGCGGCGAGAAGACGTCCAATCAACGGGCGTTCGCCGTTGGACTCCACCGGGCCGGGCCAAAGGTTGACAATATAAACCAGATCAAAGTCGTAACTTTTGGCGATTCTGGCTGCCACGTATGCTGCAGCTGTGGCAGGCTGACTTGCGCGAGGCGGGGTGAGAGTTAGTAAAGTGGTAGCGAGCGGCTTCGTTGCAGGTGCAGATTTAGGTTCAGCGTCGATACCAGCGAGCTCCTCCTCGGCAATGTCGTCATCGCTAAGAGTGAGGAACTCAGTAACATCTGGTTCGCGAAGAACAGAGCTGGAAGTCGACGGGGTTTCCGATGGTGCGAGGCTATGTTCGCTGTTGGATCTGCGCATGGGCACACCCTCCATTTTGTCGCCAAGGTCCAATGTAATATCACTGAACATCATCTTCTCCAAAGCACCTGTCGACTGAGAATGACGAAGCTGAGGCAGCCTCGGTGGGTCGGGTAACGGCCCCAGCTGGGGAGACTCGTCAGGTGTAGGCGGAGCGCGATGGGGTAGTTCAGGGAGCTTCTTTGTCCGCCAGGGTTCTGAAGGGCTGGTGTTGTCCTCAGGATCCGAAGAGGGTGGCGTGTCAGTTCTGCAGGGGGGAATATCCATGTGAAGAGGTGAGCGGGATCGTGGGCTCGGAATGCGAGGAGCTATGGTCGACTTGTCGCTAAAGGTGGACGATTGGGGGGAAACTTGGCCGTTCTGAAAGGTGGGCTTGGGAAACTGAAACTCGCGGAGGCCGGTGACTAGGTGATGTTGTCTTCTGCTATTAAGAGAAGGCGAACGCGCCGAGCCTTTGCGCGAGTACGAGCTTCCTGTCGAGCCGCTGTCGCGAGAGTGGCCGCGGATGGAGCCCTGCGAAGTAAAGATGTCAGGGACGGATGGCGAGCGGCCGGAGGCTTCTCTGAGGCGAATCTCGTCACGCGCACACATCCGGAGTTTCTTAGGGCGGATGAAGGACGGCGAGGGAAATTGCTGATCCAGCTCTGAGGGTCGAACGGTTGGGCTTAGAGGCTCAGGGTCGCAAGTGACTGTAGGGAGCGAGTGCTTGCGCTTGTAAGCAAAGAGCCTCTCGAAGCGATCAAATCGATTAGACATGGCTGCGGGTGTAACGAAGCGGTTTCAGGATTCGATATTGAGATAAAGTTCCAAGAGCGGCAATTTAGTGGTAGCCAAGAAGCAGGGGCGTTTGCAACATGAGGTTGCGCCAATGTCTTGAGATGAGGCACAAGTGAGTCGCAAGATGAGGCGGCCACGAACGAAATCTGTAAGCCGAGGCACTGAAGCAGATTGATGTGCAGACGAGAACCGATCAAAGCATCTCCAGGACCAGTCTCCGATAAATAAAGGAGCTCTAATCGCGGATGCAGCTTCAGACGTGGAGCGACATGCGATGAAGCGCCAAGAGGTGAGCGACCCAAGTACGGAGCCCAAGAGTGGAAGGGCTGAGGCTTGAGGATGTCGTGGACTCGTAGAGGTAGTGGGTAGTGGAGAGACCGTGCTTTTCGTTGATATGCCGAACTGGAAACCAGGATGCTGGAAGTCGTTGACTCGTGAGTCGTTGGTAAAGGCGAAGTTGTTGCGGCGACGGCGGAGGTTGTAAGTAATAGGTGCGGCGTAGTAATGCTGCTAGACCGTAGGGAACTGCCAGTAAAGTGTGTACCTGAACGGGCGGGACAGGGGAGCGTGAGCGGCAGATGGAGTTGCCAATTCCGGAAGACGTTTGGCGGAGAGGCAGCTAACCGGGGAGTTGACAGCTGGCAGGTGTAAATCGTACTGGTTGGCAGCTGGCAAGAAACAGCCGACAGCTGTAAGCGAGATGCAAACGAAATGTCGTCGTCCGATTCCTGGGTCTACATAAAACTATGCAGAGATTCGCATCGTTAAGAAAGCATTCCTCCCAAACCCCATCCTGGAGGGTCTACCATTCTTTTAAGAGCGAGGCAAGGGCACATTGCACCACACCCCAAAGGAAACGCGAGTGGGGGGGAAAAGCCACAGCACAAGGGTGGAAGCAGTACCATGGAGTGGATGCCTGCGTGGTGCAGCAAAAAAGCAGCGTCTCGGCCAAAGAAACAAGGACTGCGAAAATAAGCAAAAACACCAGCCCAAAAAAAGAAGACACTAACAATATGACAGGGGGATATTGACTCTCAGACCAAGACCTAGACTGACGCGCCATTGGCACCACCGGTTGAGATGGCGGCACACCTCCACCACCTCTCCACCCGTTGTCTCTCCTCCCACGCCGCTGGTGGTGGCGACATGGGCTGCTCGAATGCTCTGCCCGCGATAACAATCCAACAACTTGCACGGGAAGTTGAATCTGTCCGTGGCCATACCAGTGCCAACCTGCCCAATCGCTCTGATGCGGAAATGCCCCAGACCACAGACACAGTGACTCTGAATAGCCATTGAGCCACCAACGCCACATCTTGCGACTCAGACTCCTCTCATACTGGCACGACGGCCCATGGCTGTACCTGCCGTCACCCCTGTAGCAATACTAACCCAAATCGGTGGGCTGATGGCTTGGAGGCTCAATAGAATTGCCCTTGCTAATTACCTGCGCACTTCAAAATGCAATCTGCTGCCGCAGAGCCGTATTCTACACATCGCTCTCATCATCAAACATGTCCCCGAAGGTCGAGGCTCGAGTCAGAAACGAATGATATTCCAGCCCTCATGGCACTGCAAGCTTTCTTTTTCGTAACCAGCAGACTGGTTTGTCGTGGGCCGCTCGCGCCACAATAGGTTAGACCACACCACCAGCATAACAGTCGCGATCACTTGCCCCCCTTGCCATCACCTCTCACTTTTATTTTCTTGTTATTCTCGTGGGTTATGGGGCCCCAGAAGTTCTTTTCTAACCAGGGAGCAGCTCGTGTCCCCAGCCAGGGGACAAGGGCACCTGCAAGCCGCTGCAGAGGGCAGCCTAGCGCCCTACGGCTCAGGCGATGCATCTCAACCATCAGGCGCTACTGGTTGAAAGGAAATGCGTCTGTATGCAAGAGCGTATGCTTTTACGATCTCGCATCTTTGTCTGCAATTGGCCTGTCGACTTGGAATCTCGTGGGGACTGATACGAAGAAGAGATGCGCTGATGCTCTCTTCGACTGGGCTCGGCCAGCAAAAGACAACGCCCGAAGTTCCGCACGAGGCATCTATTAATAACCAGATATTACAGAACTTTTCGAGTCCAAGTCTCGTCTCGCTTCTCTCAATGAACCCACAGGGATGCGGTCTATGAATGAACAAAAAAAACGGTGATGACGATACTGATGTGATGAGCGTAGTCTAGAATGTGCTCCGTACTTCAACGGCAAAGAAGTGAAGCTTGACGAGGCGCACCGCGTACCACGAGCCTGGTTCCGCAACGACTTAGAAGAGCCTGGTCTAACGGCCCACCCGCAGAGAATGAACCAGGGTATGTGCAAAAATGACGCGAGAGACGACCCGGCTAGCGGACAGAGTCTTTCGTGGGTGGAGGTGGTCGTGCCAAAAGCAAGTCCTCCCTGCGCGCGAGCTATCACTTTCCCAGCTAGCTGGAGAGAGCCCCTCTCGGTGTCCTGCACCTTGGCGACGATGAGCCGAAAATCCGGGTTGCTGTCGGCCAGATTGCAGGGCCGGCGTTTATTGTGAGTGCTATTCAGACGTTGGCGACTTGGAAGCTTGCGATTCAAGGGCAAGTCGACTAATGCAAAAGGCAGTCTACAACCGCGGGCGCGGCGGCACGAGCACGGGCTTAAGGGGCGCCACGGGCCAACGTGCGTGCCGGGCGGTGCGATCCTCAACTCTATCACGTCGGCATAATAATGAGCGACAGGCTTCTCGCTCTGCCCCACACGGAACGCCTGCCAGTATTCCCGCCACAATACGGTTGTGATTCCGGCAGGCTTGAGCAGTACTGTGGTGGACCAGCCCGTACCAAGCCGTCCAGCCCCGGGGGGCTCAGACGCTTTGGGGCTTTTCCCAGTGACAAGTTACAACTCAGTTTGGTCAGCCCTCGCCGCGCACGGTCGTGGCTGTTTCTTTTTGGGTGGGATGCCTGTAACACGCCTGCAATATCTGTTCAATTTAATTGTCACAGACTGGGCTTGCAGTGGCATCCGGCAAGGAGTCCCCTTGTCCTTCCGGTGGCCTAGATTTCTCACAAAGGTCCGCCGAGGCTTACGTGACGCCCGCAAAACCAACGGTGAGCGCAGTTGCGCACAATGGCTATTGACCCTGTGTCTCATCTGAACGTGTAGGACACCGCTAATAGAATCCAGCACTGGTGGAAAAAGCAAGAGGGCAAAATTGGATCCGTGGGTCTGCCTCGATGAATTTTTCCCAGATGGCGTTTCGGCTGAGCAATGTCGAACGGTCAACAGTGTAACGGCATATCAGTTGGCTTTCGTGGCATACTTTCTTTTGTTGCGATGCCGCACTAAATACCCCATAGTTACGGATGACTGCGTTGCTAACATTATTACAGTCTAGTAGCTTCCTTCTCCCCGCTGAGGCTTGGCTTCCCGCCCTTGCCTGCATCATCAGAAGCAAAATTGGCCAATACTGAGGGCTGGTGGAAGCTGCAGTGTGTCCTCGGACAGGAAAGGGAAAGGGACGCTGTGTGTGTGTTTGGTCGGCAATGTAGTATGCGTGATACTTTTGTACAGAGTGTGTGGTGCGACTACGCAATCTTGGGATCATCGGGCACGCCATGATTTCGCCATGATTTCCTCAGGGTACATGGTTCAATGATCCTCTGCTGCGAGATTGATTTCGCCTCCTGGACCCTGTATTGCTCAATCCGAATCGTTTTTCTCCTCATCGCCGCCAACAGAGAGACCCGACGTCGATCCCAGCGGTTGCATGATTTGCAAGGCCGATTGCCTTATGGCACTTTGCGATGAGCCGGGCGATTGAGTTTTTTTTTTGGTTTTGGGAACCCGGTACTTGGTGCTTTTCCCAGGGCCGGTTGTTTTCGATAGAGAGGACCGCCCGCTGTTCTGACTTTTTTCTTCTTCCAGGGTTTGTAATTTATCTGGAGAGGCTTTTCCCAGGAACTTCTACGACGGACAAGGAGACGGTTTCTGGACATGGGGATCCCTAGGCGCAAGCCAACTTTTGTCTTCAGATGAACGTGGCAGACCTAGCAAGACCGAAAAGAAAATCTACTAACAACTATAGCATCGAGTAGCATATATTTTGCTTTGTCCCAGCTCTCGTCGCGCCCTCGTGCCCATCTAGCGCGAGGCAAAAGTCACAGGCTCACAGCTCCTCCCTCTCCCGCGATCACACCACCACCACCACCACCACGATTTTAGCTCCGCCCCAGTTGAAGGGACCACCCGTCATACTGTATTCTTTCGACTTCCCTTTTGGCCAACTATTTCTTTTTTTTCTTGTTTTTTTTTCCTTTTCCTGGTTGCCAAGGTGGCGTCCACCATCGCTTACAAGGCCCCAAAATGCCACCATGACCATTCGCCCAACGGCCTCTCTCTCATGGCTGCTCGGCCGGTTGTCGTGTGCCTGCATAACAAAAAAAGAAATAAAAACAAGCGTGTTTTATCCGTACATGGGCAGAGTCCACAACATCATCACTGAACAAACACAGTTACGTGTCCCCCCCGTTCACACGGCAGACGGCATACTGGAACGTCGGAGCAACATCTCGGGGCAAGGGAGGGGGGGAAGTCGGCGATCTGTATGCTGTCGTAATGCAATGCCTGCCCCGCATCATCGACTTCGCCCTCCTTACATAGGCAATAGTAGAGAGAGGGATGTTGTGATCGCCTGGGGCGGAGAATTATCAAGCAGGCAAGGGAGGAGAGGAAAACCTTAAATAAATTCTGGTCAGCAAGGGATTTTCCTTATCAGCCTAGACCAGTGGGCACATTCCGCCAGTCAACGCTAGAGGGCCGAAAAAGCCGTTCTCGTTCGATGCCAGTTTGGGTTGCATTCGAGTGCGATTGATAGGTATGGGCTTGTTCATCAGTATGCATTGCTCCGTAACTAGTGAGTAACATGCCCGTAAAGCCATTTTCCTTTTTTGCCTGCCGCTCCATATGAGACCTGCACTTGAGAAAATTTCCCAAAACGGACCACTCTCCAAGCTGGTCTTGAAAGCAGGGCGAGAGAATCCCAGCCTCACCATGCAACACGACGGTTTCTCCGTCTGTTGGCAGTTTGATTACCACCGGTCGCGTTTGTTTTTTCCAAACGGATAGCTGCACAAGACCAGTAAGATCGTGCAATATCCAGCCAGAGCCCCTTCGCCAAGCTATTTACTTCCGCCGCTAGGTGGCGCTTCCCGTCTCTGTATGTGATATCATGACCTCTTGGTTACCGCCGTATATTTTCGGGCCAGGCCGAAGGCCTTGAAGACAGGGCTGGGGAGGAAATGGGCCAGGTCAAAAAGCGGGAAACCTGCTCACGTCGTCCCTGGTACATCTTCATTTGGAACACACGCCAAGCAGCCGAGAATCGGTGTTTAAGGCTGTTCTTCTACCCGACATCAACTGCGTCACCGTGTTGCCTTGTCATGGACCAAAGAGGAGGCAGAGCCGACAACAGTCTGATCCAACTTATCGCGGCGGCACGCACAGGCACCCGAGGACCGGGCGGGCGGTTTGAGACCAAATCTTGATTCTCTTCAAGAACAGGCATTGTCCTCTATCCGGGGTTTGGGTCCACTGGCCGTCTGTGCTTTTCAATTTTCAACCTCCTTCTCGAGACTTGTACAACGTCCGAGACCGTGGACTACAGTCTTGGGGGCGGAGCGCGTGTTCACGTCGTGCCGTACCACCATCCGGGCAGGCACCGCTTCGCACAAGATCCAGTTCTTGGTGGCGGGAGGCCATCGTGCCGCGTCGTAAGTGGCTGCTCTGTGCTTCGCAAACTGGCCCGGCGCCAAGAAGTTTGTCAATTGCGGAGAAATACTTTGATAGTCAGGCACATTGGCGGCGAGCCGCATCGCCCTCCGGACCGGCTCATAAAAAATAAGACTACACGTGTACTCCCCAAGGGAAAAGCAACTACCAGCAATATTTCTCCTTCACCGCTTGGCAGTCAACAGGCGCGTCACTGATTTGCCGATACAGCTTACCGAAGTGTGCTTTTTTTGGTCTTGTCCTGTCATGCCAGCGTATAGCCTATCCGTTGAGAAAGAGTTCTGCATGATCAAAGAGACCTTTTCGGCTATGATATCCGACGCCTCATCATCCCAAACAACAGCCGGTGAGCATGCACTTGTGGCTCCTGCGCAGATGCGTGTGACATACCAGTAGGCTGATATGTGCCCGACATGCATAGACAGGGTTGTCCAATCCAGTCATAAACGAAGCGAAGAAATTTCGTCAGAGGGACAGAAAGAATATAGCACATGAAAGCAATTCGATGCAAGTTTCAGTTCCATTACAAGGCCTTGGTACCCTGCCGAGCTGCGCACCTTCCCTCCAGCTTCTCTCGTTGGCCGAGGACCTGCATAATGCCTGATCCAGCACGGCAGAGCGGGAGAGGCTTGCATTCAGCGCTGCACAACCCATGCAGGAAGGCGCGTCATCGCCGCCCAGCCGGCATCCTTGCTCAGGTACCGCTTCGCCATCCTGTTGGTGAATTCTTCCTGCAAGCCTCGCCTTTTGTCTTGGACCTCTGATGCAGAGTGCTTAACATGCCGGTAATTGAGTCTGTCTTGTGGTATGAATACTGTTTTCCAATAATAACGCTCAGCTGCGGGGGAAATGACTCTTTTTCTGCACCGGTGAGGCTGAATCACAAGAGAAAGTGGCGTCCGTAATACTGTCACCGTCTTCAATGGTCTTGGACCTGCATGTCGCCAGACTCACCCAGCTACGGACCACTTCGGTATTTGGAAAAGAGTTGGCCGCGGATCATGCTTGCATGACACCATATGCACGTCAGTCGCAATTCGGTTATGCAGGTAGGTTAATGTCTCGAATGGTATGGTGGTCTGATCGTAAGACCATCGTAGACAACCCAATTGAAAATTGAAGAGCCGACAATGAATAGATTAATCCAGTATACCATACAGATTGATGCTTGCCGTCACAACACGCGGCAGACAAATCTTTGCCTTGCAGGCGTGAGAAGGCGAGTCATTGCTTTGCATAACACGAAGAAGGTGTATGAAGTGTTATCCAGATGAAATGGTTCGAACACTGTTGCATACTGAGCCAATACCACAAGATTGGCGAACCTTGTAGACTTAAAGCTTGGAAGAGCCGTCATCTCCATCGACCTCGCCAAAAAGACTCATGAAGGCGTTGTGAATCTCGTCCGTAAGATCGCTCGCTTGGAGACTCCTCCCACGTTTCAAAAATGCAATTCGAGAGCATTCCTATACAGTCAGCAAGATGACTGTCCCAGGCTTTAGTATGGCGGTTTAGCTACTCACTCTTGTGATTGCACTTCCTCCAAATGCGGCCAGCCCAATCATTTCCTCCTCTCCCAGTCGAGGTGTCTCTGGATCCCTCCAAAGCTGGTCAATATATGCTCTTCTCCATGCAAGAAACGTTGCAACGCTCCCCGTAAGCGTATCACCTTGGCCACCACTCCTCTTCTTGCCACCCTCCAGATCAACTGTCGACGTGACCCTTCCGTTCGATATATAGTCGTTTTTGCCCTTCTGTATAATCGTGACGCCTCCAAGAGCCCTGGCTAGAGCCTCCACTCGCTTCGTCTCACTCTCGCCTCCGCTTTCATTGATGCCTACTGCCTTCCATAGCCGATCGAACTCGACCACATTAGGCGTCAGTACTGCTTCCGTGTAGCCTTTAATGAGGTTCACATCTTTTTGAACAAGCTGCAGGGCATCGGCATCAAGGACGATTGGAAATTTCTTCTCTTTTGCCGCACGAATAACATGTGCCACAATATCGTGCATGAGCGGATCGCGACCGAGACCGGGGCCGATGACGAGAACATGGAGGCGAGCAAGCATATCAATGATCGGTCTTGCAAGCTTTTCCGCACTGGCAGCCCATTCAGATGCATCTAATTCGGATATTTCGGGGGGCATCTGTCGCATCAAAGGGTGAACCATCAAGTTGGGAGAATATGTCTTGATCACAGCTCCAGCGTCTGGCGTGCATATCACATGCGACTATATGTGCGCCGGTTTTAGCAAACAGTCAAACTAGCTCAACTTTCCTTCAAGAAGAATGCATACCATGTCACATCCAAGCCTTGCGCTGGCCATGGCCGAGAAGTATGGCGCACCTGTATAGTCCTGGCTGCCACCAAGGACAGCAACTCGGCCGAGCTGACCTAGAAAATGACACCCGGGTCCATCAGCGAAAGCTGCCATGCAAACTAATACTCGAGGCATTCCATCAAGTCCTCACCTTTATGGAAGCTTTCTAGCATTGGCGGAATCATCCGCCTCACTTTTGAGAGCGCAGCAGTCGTAGTGGCGGACATGTTCAGAGTCAAAATGGCATCCGGCATATCTTCCTTTGTCAGCGGTGCGGAATGCAGGTTCCGGGCTCAGTCTTAAGTTTGGGGTCGTATTTTCAAAATAGAGCGGGTGCCTTTTCGGGTATTCAGCGATGCTTTCCAACGATCGTGGCGGTTTCTCGGCTTTCGCGATGGTGTTTGTTGGAGAAGGGTGTGCTCCCCGCCCCCAGCCACTTGCCACCAAAAGTACCGTATGAGTGGCACGCCTAATTAAGGCAATCGCCACAAAAGACTCCGCAACCAAGGTAATTTTAGGTAGAGTATTTAGTAAGAACAAAAGGAATCGAGGGCGTTAATTGAGTTATGGGCTCTATTTTACAAGTGGTGGCACGTCTGGCGAATTCCCTCTTTTCACCTACATCGCTCCGTCAGGCGCAACCCCTCGGTTATTCCTCCGCTAGAGAGAAACAAAGACTACAAAGATTTCGGTATAGACAGCAACATCCCAACAGCCCTATCTCTAATCTGCACAAAAACATCTCCGGATTATGGCTTAGTTAAGGAAGCTCTGGATGAAGGACTTGGTGACATCCTTCAACTTGGCCTCGAGCTCCTTGCTGATGGCACCCTCCTTGTCAATGGTGGCGAGGATCTCAGACTCGTTGGTCTTCAGGTGAGTAAGGTAGTCGGCCTCCCACTCCAGAATGCGGTTGACGGGGACGGTATCGAGGTAACCGTTGACACCGGCAAAGATGAGAGGAACCATCTCGTTGACGGCCATGGGCGAGTACTGCTTCTGCTTGAGAAGCTCGGTGAGACGCTCACCACGGGCCAGGACCTGCTTGGTGGCGGCATCCAGATCGGAACCGAACTGGGCGAAAGCAGCAACCTCACGGTATTGGGCCAGGTACAGCTTCAGGGAACCAGCGACCTGCTTCATGGCCTTGAGCTGGGCAGCGGAACCGACACGAGAGACAGAGAGACCGACGTTGATGGCGGGGCGGATACCCTTGTAGAAGAGCTCGGACTCCAGGAAGATCTGGCCGTCGGTAATGGAAATGACGTTGGTAGGAATATAGGCCGAGACATCACCACCCTGGGTCTCAATGATGGGCAGGGCAGTCATGGAACCGCCACCGTGCTTGTCGTTGAGCTTGGCAGCACGCTCGAGCAGACGAGAGTGCAGGTAGAAAACGTCACCGGGGTAAGCCTCACGTCCGGGAGGACGACGGAGGAGCAGGGACATCTGACGGTAAGCAACAGCCTGCTTCGACAGATCGTCGAAGATCACAAGGGAGTGCTTTCCATTCTGAAGGAACCATTCGCCAATCGAAGCACCTTGGTATTGTGCATTAGTATGAGTGTTAAATAGTCAAACAGAAACGTAGGTGCATGTGCGTAGGAGATGTAACAAGCTTACCAGTGAAAGGCGCAATGTACTGAAGCGGAGCAGCTTCGGAGGCAGTTGCGGCGACGACGACGGAGTACTTCATAGCGTCGTTCTCCTCAAGAGTCTTGACGAACTGGGCAACGGTAGAACGCTTCTGGCCGATAGCGACGTAGACACAGTAGAGCTTCTTCTTCTCATCAGCGCCGTCGTTCCAGCGCTTCTGGTTGAGAATGGTGTCCAGGCCGACGGCGGTCTTGCCAGTCTGGCGATCGCCGATAATCAGCTCACGCTGACCACGGCCAATGGGGACCATGGCGTCAATCGACTTCATGCCGGTCTGGACGGGCTCGTGGACGGACTTGCGAGGCAGAATACCGGGGGCCTTGACCTGAGCACGACGTCTTTCCTTGGTGTTGATGGGACCCTTGCCGTCAATTGGGTTGCCGAGAGCGTCGACAACACGACCCAGCATTTCGGGACCGACAGGAACATCCACCTGGCAAATTCATCAGCATTTATAATTCTCATCTTTGTCTTGGTAAAAGGTTCTCACAATCTCGCCGGTACGCTTGACAGTCTCGCCCTCCTTGACAAGACGGTCGGAACCGAACAAAACAACACCGACATGGCCGGCCTCGAGGTTCATGCACATACCCTTGACGCCAGACGCGAACCTTTTGATTGTTTGGTTAGTTTTCATCAGCGTAGCATTTAGGGGTTTAACGATGTCGCTTACTCAACAAGCTCCTCAGCCTGGACGTTGGCCAAACCGTGGACACGGGCGATACCATCACTGTTGAAAACCGGTTAGTATACGTTGTGGCCACTTGCTGTCGTTGTTACCAGTGCCGTGCAGCTGGAGCTGGTCGGGCCTCTCGCGACTCCTTGGTGCACTGGGCTTAATTTCCTCTACATACCCGATAGACAGAACACGGCCGGTCTCAGCGAGGCTAGCCTCCTCCTGAACACCACGAATACGTTGCTCGAGAATAGACGAGACCTCGCTGGAAGAGGCCTTGGCTTCGGCGTAGGTACGGGCCTGGATAGAGGTGATGGCGGGTGCGGCATTTCGCTAGTAGGGAAAAAAACAAATTAGCCGAAGGTCCAGCTCAGTGATCTCGTAGAAGCTCGAAACCCGGCGAAGCAGTTCGAAAAAATGTTTCGCACGAGTATCCCGGTGGTCTAGCGACCCAATTGGGTCCCTGAAGCATTTTTCTGATGAAGTGTGCGGTTTCGGGTCGGATTCGATGGCTTGCTCGGTCGAGTCGGGGGTTGAGGAGGTACTCACGATGGAGACTCGGCTGGCGGCACTGACGGCGCCGACAGCACGCGTCGACTGACGGAGGGCGTTGCGGAACATGCTGATGCAGGTGATTTGGGTATGAAATGCAGAAGAAGCAATTGCAGCAATGTGCAATTGGGGGGAGGGGAGATTGTGAGATGCAGTGCTGCCTTTGCGAGAGAGCGAATGGAGTTTTTCGGGAGGACAGAACAGAGTCTGTGAGGGAGGCTGTGGAGCGCTGTTGGCAAGCCACCCAATCAGGGGAAACTGCGCGGTTTTGCCCGACAAAGCCGCTGCCGCGACAACGATAATCCTCCTCCGGTCTCATTTTACCACTCAACAGATAGCGGAACCACCGCCTGACAATCCTGAGGCAACATTCTTACCACACAGACATCCTTGGCCAAGATCCTGGCCAGCCGACTACAAAGTCATACAAGTCAGGACCCAGCCTGGAAATTGTCCACCATGGAAGTACGCTCGCTTAAGCTGATAGTATTGCTTTCTTTCGGGAAAAAAAAAAGAAAAACATGTAAAGCTTCGATGAAGCTCAAAAACGGCCCCTACTGTTGCTCATTCATCTGGTGTAGCCCACTACGTTCTCTAACGTTAGGCATTCCTCTTTTACACATATATAACCAAGGAATAGAAGCACGAGCCAGATAAACGGCAATTGCACCTGAAAACATAATGAAGTTTAGACGCTACACTGTGATGCTCGTGGCTGCGCCGGCACGGGATTTCTTTTGGTTCCACTGTAATCTTTACTACATACAACAGTCGCTAATTTGAATCTCGTTTCTCGGTGCCTTTTTGCATCGCTATCGCTTTATTAAACACAACACACTCCATACACCACAAACTCTATGGACCATCACACCACACTTTCCATATTACACCACGGTGCTTACAGGTACCTATGTACCTACGCAAAACTTAAGCTACACGTGTGCTACCCACCTAGGTACCTTGCTCACAAGGAAGCAAGGAAGAGTAAGTATAAAATAGAGGGGTCAAGAGCATGAAGATGGTAAGGTGGTAAAGATAGCCATACGCAGAAGGAGGATTGTAGCACTGATTCGTACGGATCGGCGGTTTATTCTATCGCCCTGGCATTTCCGTTAATAGCAGTCAGGTGTCTCAGTCGGCGGAATGGCAAACTTTTACATGATCAATCCATCTGGGTTTAAATAAGGTTTTTCATATTCGCAAATTGACTACTTCTTCTCTGCACGCCGCACATCTCTGCCCATATGTTATGATCCAGAGTGGGAGAGCTGCAATTCCGGGGGATGACCCGCATGGACAGAGTCATGCCGATTCGCTGCGACGAGGGAGCGACTCAGAGCGGAGTGGATGCAATTGGAGACTCGCTTGTGATATTCGATGAAGCTGCACAGAATTGATTGGCAGCGAATGTGCGTTGATTGATTGGCCTTTGTTTCCTATCCTGAAGCTTGTTGAACTTGGCAGGCTCCCATTCACTTTGACCAAACTAACAGATACTGCGAATAATAGTCTCTAGGTAGAGTATCAAGGATGTAGAAGTACGTTACGGTTCGACAGAACATGGGTTCATTTGAGTCCCGGGGGAAGCCGATTGCTTACGCTCGTTTCCAAGCACAATCGTGACATTGTAGTCGCTTACAACCACAATGAGGAAGCAGAGAAAAGAAGATAGGCCAAGGGAAATGTGTTCATCACATTCGCAAGCAGATATAAAGCCGGCAGGGACGCCGGTCGGTCTCTAAGGCCGAGCTCGACTCAGATTGCTGGTCGAGCTGATGCGTAGGTAGCTTAAATACATTATCGCCTGTTCCGTTCCGTTTTCATTGAATCCCTGAAAAAAGCATTCGCCATGACAATCCGTAAAAGAATCCTTCCCCGAGAATTTTTGCTGCGTCTATCGGACAATGCCGTCGAAGCGGGTCTTGAACCAGCGGACAGTCTCGTCGCGCTTGATGCGGTGAGAAGAACCGATGGTAGACTTCATGCGGCGGCGGCGGGTGACGCGCTCACCAGGGCGGGTCATGCAGCAGTAGAAGTCCATGCCGTAGATACCAATGGAGGGGTCGTACTTGATGCCGAGATCAATGTGCTCGGAGATACCGAATCCAAAGTTGCCAGTCTCGGAGAAGTTGCGCTTGCGGAGCTCGTATTCCTTGACCTTGAGGCCACGCTCGAGAATCTCCTCGGCCTTGGGGCCACGGACGGTGACGTGGACCGAGATCTTTTCGTTACGGCGGATACCAAAGGTACGGACGGTGTAGCGGGCCTTGCCTGTAGTTCGCGAGGTTAGACTCAATTTCACTCTTGCGCCGCGCGCGCGGGAGACGGGATTGGAATCGTACTGTAGACAGGAGTCTGACCAGACAACTGCTCGAGCACCTTGGCGGCACGGGTCAGTCTGTCACCAGACTCGCCGACGCAAATGTTCAGAACAAGCTTCTGAATCTTGAGCTCCCGCATGGGGTTGCCAGTCTTCTCGGACGCCATTGCTGCGGTATTTGGGGGGATTGTCGACGGGTTGTTGAGTGTGTTTTGTCGTGAGGTTGAAAGTGGGCGTGGAGAAGGCCAAAAGATTTTGTGAGGCCAGGAAAATTCGAGGGTTTGTCTGCCCTCATCTGTGGCCGAGAAATGTGGGGGTGCGCTATGCCTAAATCGGCTGGACGGGTACAAGGTACATGCCGGATGTATCGTTTTTGCAGCCTCTCCAATCAGGCTCCGCAAATTCTGGACCATACCTAAACTTCAGAAGCTTGAAAGTGTTGAAGTTTGCCCGCGGTCGCGTATCAGCTCCGCGAAATATACCAATTTTTTGACACTCTTGAGACGCTGCATTTGCAAGCTCTCGCCAAACTCCTTCAAGATGTCGAACAAGCAAGGCAAGATGGTATGTCGAGACCTCCCCCCACCTCTCCACCGCTCGTGAGCAGCTGCTAACTTCACGTCTGCCTAGGCCGGTTATGTACGTTCTCTTCCCAGCAGGCGCAACGTGATTCTGCTGCGTGACCCGATGACCAGAGGCCGTGTACGAGGACGAAGCTAATATCAGAGCTTAGATTAACTGGCGCATGCGGGTGACCTTGAACGACGGCCGAGCAATGACGGGTCAGATGCTCGCTTTCGACAAGGTATTTGCAGGCACATTGGAACTCTGGTGGTCCCTCTACTAACTTTTTCTGCAGCACATGAACCTTGTTCTCGCAGATACAGAAGAGTTCCGACGCGTAAAGCGACGCCAAGATAGATCCGCGCCTGGCGCCGGCGGCAGCCTCGTCGAGTCCGAAGAGAAGCGCACACTCGGTCTCACCATTGTCCGCGGCGCCTACATTGTGTCGCTTTCCGTCGAATCCCCTCCTCCCGCAGACCCCAGCGCAAGACTAGGAAAGAGCGCACCCGGCGGCATCGCCTCGGCTCTGAGCGCCGGTCCTGGTGTTGCCAAGCCCGCCGGCAGAGGCGCGCCCGCTCCCTCCCTCGCTGTAAGAAATCAGCCGCATTCCCAGACCGCAAATCGAGTCGCCGTTGCTAACTTTCTGCAGGGTCCCGCCCTCGGTATGGGTGGCGGTGCTCCTCCAGGTCTTCCTGGATTTCCTGGCCCTCCTGGGTTTGCTGGTCGCGGCGGTACGTATTCGAAGCGCCTACACGCTGTTTACCGCATGTCTAACAACTACGCAGGGCCCTCTCCGTTCCCCGGTGGATTTCCCCCGCCTGCCGGTTTCCCGGGCGCCCCTCCTGGTGGCTTCCCTCCTCATGGCTTCCAGCCTCCTCCCGGTGGCGCCCCTCCTGGCTTCAACCCCGGTCCGCGACGATAGGAAATATAATTGCATGGGCACAAGGCAGGATCAGAGGTCCGCGATTGGATTTATGATACCTTTACTACGAGCAACATGGTTACGCTGTAGATCAGGAGACATGGGTCTGGGAGTTTTATGAGATTTCAATATGGTGTCAGGGGTAAAATACACTTTGTTTCTTTTCACGTCATGGTGCTCGACTCCATACGTTCCTGGTATTATTTCCTCCGAGTGAGCACGTTCTATGGCTCGTCTTCCCATTCTGGTTCACGGTATGAATGATGCGATTAAAGATATCGTGGGTTTGAATTCTATATAACTAAGCTACTGAGACAGGACAAGTTGTATGATGTCGGTGCGGTCTACCAAACCACGGGAAGTTCTGATATGTGACATTTTCAAATTCCAGTCGCGTGGCTAAACACCTTGGCTGCAAGCTGGCTGAGCAGCCTTGTTCGGTCGTCCTGCGGAAGGTCCTGAAACACGGCAAAGACGCTCTTCCCCTTTGCATCCCGCACCGCGCCGAGTCGGTTGCCCGCCACGGCGCCGGCCACCAAACCAGGCACGTTGGCGACAATGAATCCCAGCGCGCCGCCGCTGACGCCTCCCACGATGCTCCAAAACTTGTTCGTGGGGCGGTTCGACCCGTCCTCGGCCATGCCCTGCTCGCGCATCATCTCCTCAAACACGTCGCGGAACTGGGCATTCTCCGTTCTCTCGCGCTCGCCGCCGCCGTTGCCCTTGGTGAAGAAGTTCCACGCCCACGAGTACGGGCCGGTGCCGGCCGAGTAGCCGGGCGGGGCGTCGTCGTCGGCCTCGGCAAAGGGATCGCTCGACGGCGCGCGGTTGAAGATTTTGCGCTGCGCATCGTACTCGCGCCGGCGCAAAGGGTCCGACAGCGTGTAGTAGGCGTCGTTGACGAGCTGGAACTTGCGCGTGCGCTCGGCCCGGTCCGGCGAGCCGTCGGGGACGCGATCGGGGTGCGTCTTGAGCGCGGCTCTGAAGCGGATTCGCGTCAGCAGCTGATCTTGGTCTTGGAGTGGTGCTCGTGGGGGCCGGGAGGGAGGGGGGGCTTACCTTTTATATGCGTCTCGGATTCGATCCAGTGGTGCATTTTCGGGGACTTCTAGAATCGCATCTGGATAGTCTCGTGTCAGTCTTGCGGACTGTGGCGCGCGGGACGACCACTACACTTACAATAATCGGGGGGCGGAGTCGTCATTTTGGCAAGTATAGGTCGTGATTTCTAGTCTCGTGTGCGATGTGATAGAGAGAAATTGCGCTGGTCGTTGATTTCCAAGAGTTCTTTGTGACTTGAAGGGAAGGGTGTTTGGTGGACGTCACTGTGGCGCAAGCTGTGACGGCATGTGGCTAGTATCTAGCCGCAGGCTGCCTAGTGCTGCCCAGCACGTCTAAGTGGTTACGGTGAATGAAGGATGAAACTATGAAAGGCTGCTACGTCCGAGGTAAGTTTAACTCTAGTATGCCCCTTTTGTCGCTTTTCATGCCTTCATCTCTTGTTGTTCCTGTCATTCTATCCGTACCATTTATCACACTTTTGAGGCTGGATTATTGTGGAAGCAGGACCCAAGCAATGAAGGCTCAACGCGACATCCAGCTTACATACCTGTCAGCATTATAAAGTCTACCAGTAAAAACAAGAAGAATACCATAACGAAGCTGTGCCAAACAGAACCCCCGAAAATCAAAGGCCCGCACACGCACGAGGATGCAAGTTGAAGCTCCTTGCGCGGTCTTGCTACCCTGTATCACAATGGATGACTAAGCAGGATGTGGGCTAACACCCACCCATAAAAATCTTCTGGGCGCGTCGAAACTGCGTTTCCTTTTCTTCTTTTTCTCTTCGTGCGGCTGGCATAACATGAAAATATTCTCCGTGTTGCTCGAATCCCATTCCATGGATAAATTGAGCGTCAGTTATGCCCCAGAGAAAATATAATTGCAGCCCGCCACTCTACCAAACTGGTGTCTTGTGCTATTCCACAGATGTCGCGGTAGAGAGGCAGGACATATCTAAACCCCCGTCCTCTTTCATTCCGTCGTGATAAGCCCCGGATGAAGGACTTTACCCATTATACCGTCACGATGCACTACGGACAAGTCATGGCCATACATGTGTAATTTTGGACCAACTCGTAGCAACCGCTCTCGCGACAGGCTAGCCCCGTCACATGCACGCATCATGTAATATTTCCATAACGCCGTTAGCTGGCAGACAGTCGGTTCTCGAACAATCGAAAAAGCCTGCACAAAACTTCACTCGTCGTCCCCAGCCTTCTGCAGGTTGCCCATTTCCCGTTTGGCGCCAGGCTCGCCGATCAGCTTGACCCTGTCCAAGCGAACAGCCTCTGCCTCCCCATCGCCCTGTTGCACGTATATAATGACGGTCGAGGTCTTTTGGAACTTGACAAAGCGCAAGGGGATGTTGACAGTACCTTGGTCATTCCAGTCGCTGGGGCTGAGGTTGATGACCTGAGTCGGTTCAGTGTCGTCGGCTTCGGCGAAGTCCATGTTCTGAGGGCGGTTGATAAACAGGTGAACAACGTGGGGTCTCGAAACCTCACCCTCATCATCGGCCGAGGGCAATGAGGTCAACTGCGCACAATATCAGTACAACGGCTCTAGCCATGGGCTGCTGGGGGTGACTCCTCACCTGGATTGTATGCAGCTTAATGGTAGATTGAAAGGGGATATAGAGAAGTAGTTGGTCATCCGAACCGCTCTGCACCCAGTCCTTGGTGTCTGCGCTGGCCGTGTCTTTGCCTTTTTGAAGGGTGCTGGGCTCGTGAGTATCAAACAGAGTGCGGACAGTGCCGGCCTCGTCATCGGCATTCAGGACCTCGCAGTCTCTGATTTCAACCTGATCCGTGACGTCGTTGTACCCACGAGGCAGCGGTGCTCCCCTCCAGCCAGACGTGGCAGCGTTGCCAGACGATTCCTCGAGCGCTATGCTCTCCTCGGCAATCTTTTCAGCAAATTTTCTCAGCTCAAGGGGGTTTGTGCCGAGGGTCCTATCCTTGAGCCTGCCGTCGCGGAAGATGAGGAAGCCGGGGGGCTTGGTGACGCCGTGGCTCTGGACGAGCTCGCCATTTTCTTCAAAGTCGATCTTGACAAACGAGATCTTGCCGGCGCGCGAAAGAGAGTTGGAGAGGGATTCGTATATTTTGGAGAATTGCATGCTGCTAACGGACGACTTGGAAAATACTAGAGACGGCAGACGGCACGGTTAGCATTGGCAAAATTACGTTGGTGGTGGTCGCTGGCCAGCGCGGTACACAACCAAGAGCGGTTCTGGCGGGGTGACAGCGGCGGGCGGCTTACTGTTGGCGATGACGATCGGGGTCGACTGCAATACTGTGCCGAGCTGCTCCGAAGAGCTGATAGATATCGTTTTGCTCATTGTGAGGGCCTTGTGAGAGTGCAGGCAGAGTGTATGATGATTAGGGAGGATGGTGGCGGGGTGATGGCGTTGAAAGAGGTGCCTGGGAGAAGAGGCAGCTAGCGACGTTAGTTTTGTTGGAGCCGTTCCTGGCTTGCCTCATGCAAAGGAAATCGCAGCGTCCGAAATTACAACACCCCTAACTCCAACCTCGCAGGTCTACTTGCAAATCCGTTTCTGCAAGCTAACTTCAACCTGTCCGGTCACGCCGCCTCGGGTGCCTGTACCTTCGTTTTCTCGCTGCGCGGAAGCACCATTTGTGAAGCTCCACACGACAAAAATGTAAGCTCAAAGTGCCACGGCGGCCAGCCTACGGAACCTGGCCTTTACTAATTAATGGGGAGCACTCTCGTCTTACTCTGTGACAGTCGATCGCCTTAGCACCTGCACGATTCTCTGCTGCTTGCTGAGGACGGTGCATGATGCAAAGAAGGAACGGGCTGACCAGGCGTCTCCAGATCTCTACAGCAGAGCCACATCAGTGCAGACGACCCGGGGAATGGGAGGACTGCTTTGCCCCAGACTGCATTCGTAGTTATGTCATCCGATTGTTTTTTTGAGTATATGTACGATGCACTCCAGAACGGGTTTGCGACTTGTTCTTTGGATCGCGACTTGCAAAAGGTCAACGACGGCAAGCAGGACAGTATCAGGTGGTAGCTAGTGAACCAACTCTAGCGAGGCCACAGCGCTCGCCGTAGCGATTGCATCGCCGCCCAACGCATCAACAGCAGCAGCACAGCAACCGCAACCTTGAGTAGAGAGCAGTCTGTTTGTCGACAATACCCATGACCCGTATCGAATACTCTTGTATCTTTTGTATCTTTGGAAGAGTCACTGGCAAAGTAAATATGAAAATAATTTTACAAATTGGCTGGATGTCAAATCAACTCAAATCTTACTGGATCGTCCGACTTGGCACCGACAACGGTCCTCGGATAGGAAGCCGAAATGTGCAAACTTGAGCATGAGGAGCTCCGAAGATCTATCGATTACAAAACAAAAGCATGACTTCGAAGTCGACGGCTTTTCACTAAACCGAAGTAGCCTACCGCTGCCCTGGAAAGTCCTTGCAAGTGGTTCATTCGTGTTCCGTTAGCCACGGGCGCGTAGTCGGGACACCTCATTCAGCAAAGATTGGCTGCCCAAGACGTTGGTGATGACGGCGCGGGTTCGTTTCAGCGAACATGGGCTTCCTGGTTTGGCCTGATGGTGGCAAGGCGGCGATCATCACCGTGATCACAACTTGTGCGACTTGAGACGCCAGAAGTTAGCAAACAAAGTAGTTATATGGTATGAATGACGTCCATTATCTGGATGACTTCCCTCAGGAGACCTCAAATAGCCTAGAGTCCCTGTGTTAGAGCCCATCTCGATTCAACATGCCCTCTTGCCCGTCCCACCTCCATTCAACTGTTGAAAGAGCCTGTATTGCCGAACGCCTGTTGAATTCCAACGATTACGAAGTCCACCATTCTCGCCCCGGTCCTGGCGGCTGCTTGCTTATTACGCAGGCAGTCGTCACGCCAGATGCCAGGTAAGATAGAATCGTGCCCTGTTCGCCAATGGCCAGGGCGATGCGTACAGCGCCAACGACATCACCAACACAATCTCGCTGACCACAAACTCACTCCCTGTGAGCTACACGCTTCAACGTCAGCGATACCTTCTCGCGGAGCAACAGCTCCACGGGATTCCAGAATGGGCTGGATGATTTTAACTGACAACGGCCAACGCGGCAACGGCATCGCCTATCTCCTCGCAAACGCCAACTACAGTCGTGTCTGGTATGCACAGGCCAACGCGTCCAAAATTGAGCCAGGCAAGGCCGCATCGTGGATGTCCTTTACGTATGCTCTGCCCGGCTGCCAGGTCGCGAATGAGAAATGATTCAGGCCGGAATTGCACCCGTGGTACAAGACGAGCTGCCAGACGGGCAAGGACGGGCAGTGCAGATCGACGCGCCCGGCGCGCCATTGTCAGCTTTGCCATCAGAACAGCCAATGACGAGGACTGCGCCGCCTGGGCCAAGCTGCATCAACGCACGGCGCTGGCATTTTGGCGCGGTCGCTGTCGCTGCCGCCGCAGCGATATGGCTCTCGGGTTAAACTGGGTGTAATAGTTTTGCATCTTACTTTGCCATTATAGATGTCAGTTGGCATTGAGCCATCCCCCGATGTACTTTCTATAGAGCGAATTGAACCATTACCTATTTCTGAACAACATGGTTGCTTCTAATGTAGTCACTCGTCATATGATGTACTAATTCCATAAATAAAAGTAAAAAATAAATAAATGAACTTGTATGAATTAGTAGTACTAATATTAGACACAAGGGAAAAACCATAGTTAGTTAGCCTTTGTCAACCGTCGTGCCACTGCGGCTGAGCCACTAGTACCTTAAATAAGCCTAGCCGCAGGTATGTACAGAACAGAACCTCGCAGCCTTTCTTCCAACGGCCCGGCCCTCGCTCCCGCTCACACTTTGGGGCCACCAGGACACAACTGAGCCTTTGCCCAAATTCCAGCCCCTTTTCAGACATTGAGGCCATCACTGGCAATGGATCCGTACTACAGTAGTGAAGAAGACCGTAGGGTTCCGCCCCCGCGCCGCAGGTCCTACCGTGCTGAGCCAGTATGCGATTCGTTGCCATCTCCTCGTAAAAAAAATACTAATCGACGCTTTTAGAGACGAAGCAGCTACTACGGAGGAGAGCCAAGTAGGCAAAATGTACCGCTGCCGTCTAGATACAATGTCTATCCTCGTCCCCAGCGTCGGAGCTCACGTCCACGCCAGCATCGCCCTGCCGTTGCCCATCATCGCTATATGCCCATGCAAGAGGAACGCCTGGCCCAGGCTATTCCAATCATAGGGAACCCAGAGTCGCGCACTGCTGTTTTCACCGGACAAGTCCCTCTATATGCCTCTAGGTACCGGGCGAGCCCCTCGCCGCCTGGCATCCAGCCACCCCGCCCAATATTCATGGAGCGTGCAAGCAGAGAGGACCGAATCCGCCCAGAAAAAGAAAGGGAGCGTCAAGAAGAGGAAACGCGATACGCGTTTGGACCTCCAGAGTCGGACGGAAGCGAAGTCGATATTCGTGCCCATACCCGCGCCCGCCGGTCTCCCAGTCCTCCGATCCGTGTCAGAGAAAGAACTCGCTCGTATAGCAGATCACCATCGGCGCGGGTCATCTACCCCGTCGCGTATGATGTTATAGACTGGGAAAACTACGAAGACTTTAGCTTTGACTGCGATAAGTCTGAGGCGTTGAAGAATAGCGACTCATTGAGTTTTGATACCTCGTCCGCAGACCCAGACACCGCGCCGGTGGGCGCGAACCAATTGACAGACGACGCAAAAGTCAAGCAAATTTTTTACTCCCGCTACACAGGCGATGCAGAGACGGGAGGGAATCACACAGCGCAGCTCATCGAGATCCACAATGGAAGTGGTGAACTCTTCAAGTGGCTGTATGTTGGCTGAAACTCGTCTTGGTGATGCGACTGACGTAACTGACGTGCCTACAGGCATATTCAGCAGGAAGTGATGAGCTTTGACGAATTTTGGGTGAGCGAAAATATCAGCTACATTGCACAATAATCCGCTGACACCTCTCAGAATGAAACCACCCGCCGAGTCCATGTGTCAGACACTGAGAGGCGAGCCATGAATCGACTTCGTGCTGATGTGACCCGACTCTGTATCAAAACACGGTCCAATCCGAAAGGTGTCAATGTAGGATACCTCGAGCCACAGTTTTTGCAGACCCCACTAGAGCAGGCCAAAAAGAAAACCGAACTGGATCGAGAAGAGCCCATATCTACCATGGTCCGATGGTTTTGCATGCCGTTCTTTATACTGAAGCAGTATTCTGGACTCTTGGCAGGCTCGAGTCTGGCTTCATTTCCTTCTCAGACCTTGCTACAATCCCAGTACTCTAGAACCACACAGCAGAGGGACATGGGACAAGCAGTCTGCGAACTGGGAATTGCAAACAAGGGAGAATGCTTTCACATCGAGCAGTTGTGGTGCTTGGTGGTTGGAGATGGTGAGCGCTGGTTTGTCTCCTCCATGCTTCAGTGTTGCTAATCATCATGGCTAGGTCTGCTTGTAACATGTGGTAGCATGCCGCGATCGAAACTCGAGGGTGATGTTATCAAACTTACTTCTGAGCCATCTCGTGGCCTATCAGGCGCCGCAGCTCCAGGGCGAATTCTCGTCAAGTACGGAAACTCCTTGACCTGGAACTTCAGCCCGGAACAGTGCCCTACGTGGTTTGTAAGTAGGACGCCGTCACTTCCCATGCCCTCTCTAACTAGATTAGGATTTCATTACCCAATTTTCCGCCTTTTGGCCAATGGTGCTGGAGTTTAAAAAAGAAGAAACTATCTTGACCGCCCGAGATTGGCCCAAGCTTCTCAAATTCCTGAGTGTCAAGCGAAACAGGAATGTGGTATTGACGTTGAATATTGAGTGAGTGCAAATTGCCCGTCTCCTATCAAACTTATACTGCTCGAACCCATCTTCTTGCGCGAGCTTATTTCGCTTCTTCAACTAGTCTAACAGAATACAGTCGCAATGTATCTGCTGCCTCTCGGGCTCTTCCGACGCCCGAGGAGCAGGCGGCCGCGGCGAAGGCAAGCACCAATACAAGCGACACGCCGCTGCACACCTTGGCCCTCATTATACAGAGCAGCGAAAAGGGAGACAAGCCACCGGTTGCTTCTGAGCTGAAGCTGCAGCTCGATGCTGCCGACAAATTCTTGATGGAACAGCCAGCCTACGCCACTCAAGCCGCTTATACCGACTGTACAGACATCTCGCATGGCGCCGCGTTGGAGAAGCTGAAGTTGGAAGGTGCTGAAGTAGAGGGCGAGAAGAATGATATCCGGAAGCGGGAGTATGAGGACGGCATCGAGTTGTTCAGCATTGCAGAGTCTCTGTTCCAGGTATTCCTCCCGCTGACCTGCGATGGGCCCACGACAGGCAAGTTCTGGGGCGCTGTACTGGACTTGGCCTGCGGTACTAGAAGCGTACGAGGTAAGACGCCTGAAGTGGCGATCTCTCGACGCAGAGTGCGTGATTTACGGATGAACCAGGAAGCTGTCCTGAGATCGCTGCGTGTAATGTATCCCAAGCTGAGAGCTTTCCAAGCCATCATGTCGCATGTGCCGAATGAGTATCGCCTTAAATTAGAGGCGCCGCGTCAGTTTGTCACAGCCTGGCTGCACGTCATCAGCGGCCTGGTTCTGTGTCGCGCTGGAGACAGCTCGTGGGAGTCCCACCTTTCCATTGCCCAGAGAAGGCTCTTGAGCGACGGCATGGATAGGATGATCCAGGGTCTTCCCGCACATGATTTGCTTGACAGCGTCGTTTTGCAGCCTTTTGAGATTGCTTCTCTGGCTGTGCTCAAGCTGATGCAGGACCGCGCATCACAACCGGATGACATCAATGAGACGTACTCACAGTACCTGGCATCTTTGGTAGGATACAACATGTTCAATGTCGAAGCACACCAGTGGCTAATATGTCGCAGGACAATGATATTACTACAAAGCCTTCGGATAGATCATACCAGCATCGAATTGATCTTGTTAGACGAGAGCTCTCAGCCGTTCGAAGAACGGTCACTCGTCAGCGACAGATTATCGCCACTATGAGGCAAACCATGTATCCAAATGCAATGACAGATTTCTTTCGAGGTGGGGACGAGGATGTGTATATGCATCGGGGACGGTACGGCAACCATCCTAGAGGCACACGCGAATACTACACGGACGTCCGAAGAGAAGAGGACCCTGCCAGCTTTGATTACACGTTGAAAGTTTCTCCTACGGACAAGAATGGCTTTCGAGGCCTCCTTCTGACGGAAAACTCGAAACAGCTCGACCAGCGCGACTTTGAGTTTCGACGATACGTGGAGTACGTCGATGACCTGGAACGGACCATTGCCTTTAAAATGAACTGGACCAAGGATCGACAGGAGAATGCCGTGTACGCCTTCACCATTGTGACGATTATTTTCCTGCCGCTGAGCGCGGTGGCGAGCATCTTTGGCATGAACACGTCCGACGTTCGCGACATGGACTTTAGCCAGTGGCTGTTTTGGGTCGTGGCGCTGCCCGTCACCATCCTGGTGATTGTGGTTGGGCTCTGGTGGATGAATGAGCTGGGCAGCGTGATGCGGTGGCTCACCGGGCAGCAGCCGAGTGCCGCCGCCGCGGGTAGCACGGGATACGGAGGTGTGACGGCCGAGCAGGCCGAGTTTCGGTACTACTCGGATGTGGAGGACGACAAGCCGCGGCGGTACAGCGCGAGACGGACCTTGACGGAGAGCCCGTTGGGATACAACAGTAGGCGACGGGAATTGCGACAACGGCGAGTGTGAGCGTAAATTGTGTGGTGATTGGTTTTCGTTCTTTCTTCACATACACATAGTATGTAGACAAAATACAAACGAACATGTGGAAGCGAATTGTGTGGGTAGTACGTTTTCGTTCTTTCTTCACATAGTATATAGACAAAATACAAATAAATTTGTGTGAACGAATTGTGTAGGTAATTCGTTGCCTTCTTTTTTCATATAGTATGTAGATAAAATAGAAACAAATATGTGTGAGCGTAAACTGTACGGGTTACTTTCCTCCTTCACATAATATAAAGACAAAATGCAAACAAACATGATCGATCGCGCCTTCGCCAAAACACATATGAAGCTGACCCTTGTGGGCAATTACACTCTCATTCATCATTAGAACTCGTACACGAGACGATCTTAGTACCGGTACGTCGGGCGCTCGCTGCGGCGGCGCGTGTCATACTGCACCTCGTCATAGTAGCTCTCTGGCTGTTCCCTGAGGCGGTGCTGATGGCGATGGCGATCCTCAATGTTAATGCGGATGCGCTCCAAGTCGTCAGACTCGCACGAGGTGCTGGGAGGCGAGGGCGAGCGGCGCCGCGGGGCATCAATGTAGCGAAACTGCGGGGGCGGGGGCGGCGAGGGGGTTTTGGCAGCCTCCGTAGTAGAAACGTGCACGTGGACCGGCGGGGCCGGCTCGTAGACGGGATACGGCACGGGCTCGCGGACGGGATATGGCACGGGGACGCGGACGGGCACGGGGATGTAGCGGTCGCGCTCAATGATGCGCTCGCGGATTCGGCGCGGGCGGTGGTGGTGGTGGCGCGCCGGGGGGTCCTCTTCGACGTCGACGGCGATGACACTGATGGGCTCCGGCTCTGGCAGGCACGGCGGTGGCGGCGGCGGTGCTGGTGGGAGGCATGGCTCTGGTTGCGGGACGGGGCAGATGACGACGGGCGCGGGGCAGGGCGGCGGAGGAGGAGGTGGTGAGGGCGGCGCGATGCGGGTGACGCGGGTGCGCTTGCGGATCTCGTCGGGCAGAGGACGCTCGAGGTAGAGCTTCTTCTTCTTGTGGTGGTGGTGACCTGCTGGTAACGTGTTGGAGGATGTGTATCTTGATGCGGTGGGCCGTTACGAAAAGATTCACTTACCCATAGTGTACTGTGAGGCCACGGACCGTTGGGGACGATGATGTCACGAGGCACAGCGACCAGCTGAGAAGGGGTGAGTCAGGCGGCAGCGGCCCGCGATGGGATGAGAACTGGAGACGGGTAGGAAGGTTGAAGAAGACGGAGAGGAAGATCTGGAGAGTCGGCCAGATTTAAGCTCACAGACTCGAAGAAGAAAAGAAGGCGGGACATGCACGCGCTGGGTGGAATCGGGTTATTTGGGGTTGCGCAAAAAGCAAGGCAGCTTGGAATATTGACCACGCGGTACGTGTATCGAGGCGCTGCCATCTGCCAAGTTTTTTTGCGGGCATCTTCTTTCGAGGGGGGCTGTGACTCTGTCTGTGAGGTCTTCAGCTGGTACCTTGCTACCTACCCAACTACCCTCATGACAATGACGTTGGCTTGGCCCCCAAGTCTTGCGGGCGGGAACACATGCCGAGGGCCCAAACTCGATGCCCAAATGTGGGAAAACAAACAGTCACTGCCTCCATCCCGGAACGTGCAGGTAGGTTAGGCACCGAGGCGCAAGGCAACCATGACGCGCATAAAGCACTGACTGGGGGAGAAATAATAATCTCCATCTCCGTGCGCTTGATCGGCCCTCATCGCCAACTGGGTTCGGCACTCTTGCTAATCGTCTTGAAAGGTATCATCTTCTGTGTCCGTCGTCGGGGCTTGTCCACGTGGGTGTGTGAGACAAAAACCAAGTTAGGCCAGCAACGGCTACACGCGGGGCTTACTGCCATGAGGACCAGATGTCTGCTGAACTCGGGGAAGAAAGATTGGGCGGGCGCGCCGTCGTTATCTCCAAGCCACCACGAGATTCTGACAGCCCATGCAAGCCCGACGATTTGCCAAATTTTTTGTTACTCCCGCTGGCGAGGCCCGTATCGTGTCCGTGCGCGGCAACTTCCTTCGATTGCCTTGCCCAACCGTGGGCCGGGCTCTCCGGTGCTCCGCCTCCGGGCATCTGTATTTAGTGGGGCCATCTCGGAGTCCGCCGCACCCGGCGCTTGGGTGACAGATACTTTGCTGCACTGGAATACCTGCAGAGGTATTCCAGCCATTGTAACTATTCATGGCATTGTTCTTCTCTACTCTATTGACTTTATCTTTTATTTCATCACTATCTAGTCAAAGTGCCTACTTGCCCATTCTTCATCCACATGCTTTGCAGAAACCAAGTGACAACGAATACAAGAAGAAGGATAGAATGAAATACAAGGAAGTTAAGGGCCAGTGAGAATTTTATCATAATTTATCAGGGTGACGACAAAAAAAAAACAGCGCATGCTTGTCCAGGGCAGGGGAGTGACACAGATGAAACATGTTGAAACTCGATGACCTGTCTTCGGACGACTCACGAGCCCTGCGGCTAAATCAGGCACGGAAATCTTCCGCCAGAGTATAGGTCAGCAGATACATACAGGAAAATATAGGCTGCGTAGCCAAAAAAACAACAAAACAACGAAAAACCCACTGGACGGCCAAAGCAAAGTTAAGGAGGGCATACATCATCAGCTCCCAGGGGCGGCGGATGTCCATGGAGAACGGGGCAGCTCTGAAACGAAGGTATCGTCTCCGACAAACTGCAGTGGCGCCCGGCGAAAATAGTCAGTTGACTATTTAACTAGGGCTCTATAACCGGAAATAGCCAATAAAATGGCAGGGGATGCTATAATGACCGGTGACATTGACGGATGCGACTCGTCCCGACTGTACTCGGCTTTATTACTTACTACAACAACGTGATGTAGGAAACCTCGTTTGTATGCGAAGACTGTCTTCATCAAGTCGCTAGCCAGTCTTTACTCAACAATATTTTGGAAATTCAGGGTTTAGAGTTGGACCGTACTGAAGAATGCGGCTTCCTTTTCAGTCCACCACTTTTTGTTTCACGAAACGGTCTGGGCACTTGGGCACGCGAGCTGATCTAAAACGAATCATGGCAAGACTCATGGCAGAGCTGAGATTTTCTGTGCGGCATCTATTCGTAAACCCCTACAAAGATGAGCTGGCGCAGAAATAGCAAAGCGGATCGGGCTCGATAGCACACGCTTGACGTGGATGAAACTTGGGATACCGAGGCGTTGGTTCATGAAACAGCATTGGACCTGGGACGGCAGGCGGCGCGCCGAGACGCCAAGCCTTGTTCATGGTAATAATGGATAGTTTGTGAGAAGCGAATTTTCATAATGAGAGGGAGATATAATAGATAAAAAAAACCACAGTGATGGAGCCGCTTTTGGAATGTCCTTTTTGCTATTTTCGCATTATGATGCTTCGAAGGTTCCATGTGGCGCCGTAATGCTTGGCGTGTTGTGCAAGCGCCTGCCATCACTTTTGTACACTATTGACTAGTTGGCGCTTTATGCTTTGTGATCTAACTGCCGTCAAAGTCGAGTCCACACATTCTTGTCGCCCTTTGTCATTAGGCGCTCTCGGGTATTTGGACATGGCTCGTCCCGCGACCTGCGACTTGTCTCACCGGCCTAACTAGTTCCTGGCCCCCCGTGGCGCCCTGAGCGCGCGCCTTTGACATTGACAGCTTTGGGACGAAAATGGGAGGGCATTCCGGGTTGATATAAGGGGAAGAAGATTATGCGCCTGAGTGCAGACGCGCAAAATAACGCCCTCTGGGAGGGAATGCTGGGCTAACGAGGCAGGTCTGACTCTGAATCAATGTAATATCCACCAGGTGGAACGGGCATCAGGGGTCAACGGTAAGTACTGATAGTAGTCCAAGGAACTGTGTTTGGTACCTCGAAAATAAACATTTGAATAACAAACAGCAGATATGGCTCGGACAGTCCGGGTAAAGGAGACGGCTCATGGATTGTTGCGAGTCACACTTCAAGGCGACTGGGATGAGCATGCTTGCACGTTATGCTAAAGAACTACCATGACGAATATACACATGGACAAGTTGAATGCTGTTCAAACTGTTGCAGCAGGGACCAAAAATAACAAGCAGTTGTGGCTTTTTTTTTTTGGTGACCCCTCGCGCGCCACGAAAGAAGGCTCCCACCACGAGGCATATGTCACACTGGCTATCTATATACGTTGAAGACGACTGACAAATTGGCTTAACTATGATCAGACGCAGGGAATGCCATTGACTGGGTGAAACGCATTGTCTGGTCATGCGGGGGACAAGACGTGGCCTGATGTCGACTATGCACAGGAAAAATGTCGTGCATAGCGATGAAGTGGAAACAGGTTAGTGGGAAAATGTTTATACAAAGGGCATGCCGTCATCGGGTGAAGTTGAATGTAGGGTCGACAATGGCGTATGAGAAGCGTCTGAGGTGTGCGGTAGTGCATTGACGGGCGATGCATACACTGGCTGGATGGGGCGCGAGCTATTTTGGGGTAAGAAGACGTGAAGATGGGAGATGTGAGGCGAGTATGAACGATAATTTAGAGAGGGGTGTAATGTCATGAGTAGGTCAGAGTGAGGCGAATTGGCGGATTGATGGTTCCTTGCTCGACTTTTGACCACCTGGGTATATCAGGAGTGATGTGTACGGATACGGATACTCGGTATTCCGGAGTTGCTGGTGACAAAAGGGTTGAACAAAAGAGCGTCTGAGCGAGCGATGCGATTGGAGAGGCTTGGCACTGTCCGGTTCCTGATCTTGGGACTAGGAAGTTGGGGTGAGGGTGACTCGGCACGACGCACGCCCCCCTTCGGTTGAGCAGTTGCTAATTTAAAAGTATGGAGAAGGCGGCGAGCGCGTGTGCCGTTTTTTGGCGGGGGAAGGTTCTTTGGTGCGGCGTGGGATGAGATTATTTACACGCCCAGAGCCCCGTGAAACCGGGCTTGCTGATCCTGGAACGCAAGGCGGGCGGTGTGAGGAGCCACGCTAGCGACGCAGAGCAAGTTAATAATAATATCAGGATTATCATCAGTAATTGGAAGAATGGATGAATAGAGTGTGGCTGATCTGGGGGAGTGCCGGCGTGTACGGATATTACAGGTGAGGAGGTTGGTTGTGCAGACTGGACAGGTTTGGCCATACTGGTGCTCCGTACAACAAGGAACATTGCCGATTGAACAAAGAGATTGAACAAGATAATAATACCGAGTAGGACAAGAAGCTTTTCTTCTTTGCGCTTGGCGGGAGAGACAGCGCGTGTGAGAGTTGTCACCAATAGGAATGTGGACTTGTCAAGGACCAGGTACCACGACGGAAACAGCCGGGGCTGTGGTGGATTGGGTAGACCGCTGTGGGCTAGAGGTGCATGGGAAGATGCAAAAAAATGGGCGATTTACGTTGCAGTGCCTGTATCAGTCTTTCTGTGCATGTTGGGGATATGAGGTGAAATGAGCAGCGTCTGTGAGCGTTGCATTGGGCTCCACGGCGGGACTCGGGAGGTTGAGGAGAGGGCGACTTTTGTTTTCTCAGCCGACTATTTTCCATGGTTTGAGTATGTAGTCAAAAGGGATGCAGAGACATTGTGTCCAAAGACAAGGAGTTGGCAGGGCCGGGGATACGGGATCTGGGGAGCCTTGCATGTTGTGATGATGCAAGTACTTGATTAACTTATGGACAAGGCAAATAGATGAAAATTGTGATGTGTATGCTTGTTGAGGTGTAAACTCTGCAGGCCGAGTAGCAGATAGATGGATATTGGACGTGTAAAATGAGAGGAACGCCTAAGGGTAGGGAAAAATTGAGGGCCGGTCCAGGGATGTTGCTGCAAGTGCATCACGGGCACCGAGGTTGAGAGAATGTCAGCCTTGTAGTTACCTGGACTGCGTGCTTTTCCTGCTGCATCCGTACGAAAAACGACCTACCTACTAGAAAAGACTACCAGTAATAATAGGTACTCTGTACAATTAGAGAAATTAGATACTCGCTCTCGAGAAACGTGCCCCTTGATGTGGTCGTACCAAGTACATGGAGCGCGCCCCCCACAAGGCCGCTGGAAAACCCCGACAGGCCCGCCGCAGCCGCTAGCACACACGCCACTTGGAGCAAGTGTTGTACAGTACAAGTATGAGTAGGGAGGGCAGTTGCCGCCATTTTGCCTTGAGCGGGGAGCGATTTTTCTCGCGTAAATACCTGACGGTACCTGGATTGACAAGGAACTTGCCTTTACTTTTTATCTGTGCTTTGAAAATGCAAAGCCGCTGTGGTGACTGTACCAGTAAACGCTCGTGGTACCTATCAGTAGAATGACAAGGCCCCAGCTTTCTGCCTTGTGCTCGCCGCCACCGGGTTGCAGCCGTTGTAACTTAGTGCACTTAGTGCCTAACAACTGGTACTGGTACATTGGTTCAGCCAGGCGTTCCAACAAGTTCAACAATTAATTAAGCTGAGAAAGGGGTTTGTACAGAGTACCAGCAGTGGCATCCTCCTGTAACTAGTTTGCTGTCCAAGTACTCCGGAATTACAACAGAAAATATTTGCAAATAATGACGTTTGTTTCCTTCTCTAACGACATGGACTGGCATATATCCATCCATCTATTCCTTACTCCGTATTATCCAGTACAAACACTTTTGTTGGACTGCCAAAATCTAGGTGTTTCCTTTGCACCCCCCTCCTCTTAGTAGTAACCTTGCCTGCCAGCTGCCCACCTTTCTTTTTGCACCCCCCCTGCCCCTCCTCCGACCCCCCCCGTCCGGCTTCCATCTCCCCTTGGGCCTCTTTTTTGCTGCGGCTGCTCCTCCACACCACCAAACACCGCGATACTATCAGTATCACGGCTGCTTCTCTTCGCTGTCCTGCCGTCTTTCGGTCTCTTCTCTCTCCCTCTTTCCTCCTCTACTGGCCGACACCTCCGAACGCTCCCTTTGCCGCCTCGGGCCGTGCTTGTGTGCCGCCTCTCTCCGCATTGCATGCACGCTGCCCTCAAACACAGCCCAGCCCATCGCCTCCACTGGGTAGCAAAGGAGATATACCTTTCTCGTCATCATCCTCTGACCTCTCTACAAAACGGCGAACTAGTAACTTAGCGACACTCATGTCTGTAGGCATCACCCCTACTAGCTTCCACCGCAACCCGCAACCACCCCCATCCCATCATCGGTCCCCTGCCGCCTCCGCCGACCTGGCTGCACCCTTCCACTCGCCTCCGTTCATGCGCCGTTGATCAGGGTGAGGGGACAGCCATCTCGAAACCCTCTCTTTGCGAGAGTGGCCCTGCCCAACCTTTGCCTTCTCTCACACTAGACCCCCCCTCCAATTGGACTGGCCCTGACAGATACCACTACGCTCGTCAGTCGGGCAGTCACCATCATGTCGCAGCCTGCGTCTAGCCGTCGTCGGCCTCCTGCCGACGCTTCTCCTGCGCCCGTCACCACCACCACCACATCTCTTCCTCCTCTAGATGCCGATGCCGACCCCAATCTGCCTGCACATTTCTATTCCCAATACGCATCCTCGCCGCCCAGAAGCCCTCGACGACGCCCGCCGCCTCCTCCCACCTCGCGTCGCCCCGACGTCGTCCTGCACGACGTCGCCACGGCCCAGTCGCACGATTCGCGTCCGCATCCCACCCATCACACCCTCTCGCAAGACGCCCACTCCTTCCATAACCTTCAAGACCTCCACGCGGCAGCACGTCACTCGCCACCATCTCTGAAGCCTTTGCTTCCCATACCATCAGCTCTTGGTCCCGGTCCCAGGTCAGTACATGCCCACGCGCCGCTCGGCTCCTATCCGTCCGACATCTTGTTCCTATTAGTAGCCGCAGACTCCAGTCTCGCTGCACTCTTATTACCCACCTTTCTTTGTCTTCTCTGACATCTATTTCTTTGTATTTTCCCTGCCCTCTCGTCGTTGGTTTTTGTCGCCTTCGAATCTCCCCGACGCTAGCTTCGACCCTAGTTTCTCGCATGCCTTCTCTCGCTGGCCCTCGTCGTGCTATACAAATTCAGCACAGCGTCTGCTGTTAGCCCGAGTTTTCCACCTGCTGACCTCGTCACTGCGCATCCAGATCCCCGCGGCCTACTGCACCCAGTCCACTGTCCACGAGCCAGCAATACGATACCCGAACCTCGAGCAATATAGGAGCGCCATTCGACGACACCCCTCCAAGGTCTGCTCCCCATAACCGGCTTGCTGCAAGGACCACCTTTTATTCAGATTCGTCGAACCCCTCTAGCCCGGAGCAAGAAATTGAAAGGTGTGTAGACAGAGCACACTCGCTGCCCGCGCTACTGACCATCTCGTGCCGCAGCCCGAGGTTTCCCAATGTGTCAAACGACAACCGCAGCTTCTCCGAGCCACTGACTTCCAAGAAATCTACCGCGGCCCCGGGACCGTCCAATCTGGCCATGAAGGGCCCCGTTGTAGCCGCCCCGACCGGCAGCACGAAGCCGAAGCCCCTGCCTCGGAATTCGTCCCTGGACACAGCCATCTCGGCCATGGCCGCCCACGAGCCGAGCGGAAACTCGCCCTCTAGCTCATCCTCACAGGCTCCCGACATTGCTCATCTCATCACCACTGCTGGTAGCCCAGAAGCTGTCATTAAGTACTTGTTAAAGGAGAAGCAGTCCCAGTCACAACAAAACAGCCAGCTATGGAGACTGGTCGATAAGCAGCGGGCCATGATCCTCGGCCTCAACAATGATCTTGAGGCTGCCCTCAAAGATAAGGAGCGCTATAGAAAGAAGCTCAAAGAACTCGTCAACAACTCCTCCCTTCTCCGCGCCGCTGCAGGCCGCCCGGCTGCAGGTGGTACTAGGGAATCTCGCCCTGCTCCTCGGGTCGATGTGAACAGGCATCATGGCATGAATCCTGACTCGCCTGTGCTCGAATCCGATAGCCAAAAAGATTCACCGGTTGACCTCACCATGGCACCCTATCCTATTACCCCACCAGCCGACCGCCCGCAACAAGTAATTGCTACCGGCGTAGCCGATGTGCTTGATCCTTCTCGTTCCATGCCAAAGCCTCAGGAGCACGCCCTCAATAACTACGACCACGAAGCTGAGGACAGAGCCGAAGAGCACGCTCGTAAGCAGCGCGGCGAAGAACAGCTGCGTGAGATTCCATTTAGCGTATCTCTCCCGCCATCGCGAACCTTTGCGAGTGAACCGCCCAAGGTACCGCCTCCGCAGCTCCCGCCTGGCTCAGAGTCCCCACCCCGCAAAGCTGAGGCGGCTGCTAAGCCCACGGCCACACCTCGCAAGGGCCCGCCTGCACCTCTCCAGCTGCCCAAGGGCCGTCGGTCATCACCGCTTCCTGTTGGTGAGGTTTCCGACTCTGAATCGGACTACGATGGCATCTTGGGCGTGGAACAAGCTGGCTCTGCTGAACGTGGTCGAAGTCGCACGAGAGGGGATGGTGGTGACTTGATTGCCAACCACCTTGGGAATCAAAGCACACTAGAATCTCAGCGCTCATCACCCGTTGTCGCCGTTGATGAACCCAGTTCAGTGGAGGCCACCGTAAAAGGAAATGGACCTGAAGCTGCCACAGCTTCCCTCGCAGCTGTCTTGAACGGCGACCGTCATGTACTGGTCCCGCCTATGATGAGCCCTGGTCTCCCACTGAGTCCTCGACCTACCAAGACTCCTGGTCAATCTCCGCCGCTGTCACCACGAACCAAAATGCCGCTGTCACCAAGACCGCCGCGCCAGCCTATCCCGCTGCCTCCAAACACTCCCCTAGCTGCTTCATCCAGCGCTTCTTCCGTTGGACATGCTAGGCCTATCGTCCCCAGCATTCGCACAGTCGATCTCGACGAGCCATCACCCAGAGACGAGGAGTCAAGCCCAACTGAAAATAACCAAGTTTTCAAGGGACTAGCCGCGGACGAATATCCCGACTTACTGTTACCGCCAAACGCGCTCCCGTCCATCGATGTCAAGGTTGCATCGTCCCGCATGAAGCCATCCCGTGCCAGCTTGCTCTCTCTCTCCCAGTTGGAAGAAGATCCCGTCTTCACGCTCGCCGTCATCTCTAGAGCCGATCGCGGTGAGCTGTGGCGAGTGGAAAAGGACACAACCTCTCTGTCCAAGCTGGATCAACGCATGAAGCAGTGTCAGCTCTTTACAGCAAAGACGCCCGAGAGGTCGCTGTTTAGTGGACATTCGCCCGCCAAGCTGGATGCCCGCCGGCAGGTTTTGGAGACTTACATGGACGAACTGCTCAACACGCAGCTCGATGAGGCTACGGCTCTCGAGCTGTGTAGATATCTCTCCACCAACACTCTCCCCCCTAATGCGGACGAAATTGGCGCTGTTGCCAAGTTGACGCCGGATCACAGCGCGCATCACATTGGGCCTGATGGACGAGCCGTGCGAACCGGTTACCTCACGAAGAAGGGCAAGAACTTTGGAGGCTGGAAGGTCAGATTTTTTGTTGTCAATGGTCCGAATCTGAAGTACTACGAGACTCCTGGCGGTCCCCATCTTGGAACGATCAAACTGCAAGGCGCGCAGATTGGAAAACAGTCGCATAGTAGCGACAACCAGTCGCCTGCTCCGAGCAGCACCGGAGAAGAATTCGATAATCAGTATAGACATGCCTTTTTGATTCTCGAACCGAAAAGGAAGGACTCATCGAGCCATGTCAAGCATGTGCTTTGCGCAGAAGATGACAAGGAGCGGGATGATTGGGTCGATGCCCTGCTCCAGTGGATTGATTTCCGGGAGACCGACGACACTGACGGCCGCCCGCCCAAGTCGGACGCTTCTGAACGACAGCATCAAGAACTGACTGGGGCTGCAAAGATGAGGAAGTCTCAGCAGGCACGAGCTATTTCCCATGCAGCCAGCGATTCTGGCTCGCTCATCGGTGTTCGATATGATTCAACCAATGCAGGGGATGCGCCGCAGCATGGGAATATTGGTCGCCCCAAGCCTGCTCCTGTTCTTTCTGAGCAGCCTAGTATGCAAAGCTTCGGAGCTGATGCACCCCCCACCATCTCTACCCCCAAGCTCATCTCTGCTCCCAAGGACTTGCAGTTGATCTCGGATGTCTCCACGTGGGGCAACAAGCTTGGACCTCCCCAACCCTCGGTTGAGGATAAGAAGCAGAGAAAGCGCAGCTTTTTCGGATTTGGACCGAAGACGAGATCATCGTCAGATGGCCAGGACTCATTGTTTGGCAGTGATAGTGGGACTATGCCACACGGCCTGGCATTCCACGGTGGACAGGTCTTTGGATCGTCGCTGGCTGAAGCGGTCCAATATCACCCTCCGAAAGATGTTGATCTGCCGTTGCCGTCAGTCATCTATCGTTGCATCCAATATCTGGAGGCCAGGAATGGTCTCAACGAAGAGGGAATCTTCCGCCTCAGTGGGTCAAATACCGTGATCAAGCAGCTCCGTGAACGATTCAACAACGAGTCGGACATTAACCTCATTACCGACGAGACTTACTACGATATTCATGCTGTGGCGTCGCTGCTGAAGCTGTACTTGCGTGAGCTGCCTTCGAGTATCCTCACACGCGATCTCAACGTCGACTTTTTCAACACGACGGAGATGTCCAACCGGGATGAGAAAATTGCTATGATGGCCCACCTCATTCAGCGACTACCGGAAGCGAACCTGACTCTCCTCAAATACCTCATCTCGTTCCTCATTCGAATAATCAACAACTGTGACGTGAATAAGATGAACGCACGCAATATTGGCATTGTCTTTTCGCCTACGCTCAATATTCCTGCGCCAGTTTTCGCAACGTTTTTGCATAATTTTGAGGGGATCTTTGGCATCGATCCTGAAGAGTATGAGCTTCCGACGGCAGCGGGGCCTATCAAACGTAGCTATACGGAAGGTTCATCGCGTTCCGACGGTCCATCGCGGCAAGAAGTAGCCCCTCGACCCTCGACATCTTCGGGAAGCGCCTCCTCACCCCATAGGCCAGCACGAGTGGAAGCTGTACGCGGGCCGTCGAGATCGACCCCCACGCCGCCACTTGCACAGAGCCGAGCTTCAGCCCGACAATCACCAACGCCATCTACAGCGTCCGGACGTCCGGCCTATGAGCCGTCTCACCTTGTTCAGCAAAATACAGGGGTCGTTGCCAACGTGGCGCCATTGAGACCTGGATACGAGCCCAACCGTGGCTTGGAGCAAGCAGGTGTTGCTACAGGCCCTCGACCTACCCCTGCCTACGAGAGAGCCGCATATCAGCTTCCCAACGGACCTGGTAGCAGTATGAGTCTGACCTCGGGCGAGCGAGGAAACAAACGACGCGAGAGTTCCATCTACGTGAGCAGTGGCACAGGCAACGGCCGCTCTCTGTACTAGGGTTTCCCTCTTATTCTAGCGGAAATTGGCGTTTTACATGATACCAGAATGATTTATTTGATTACATTTGCAGTTTTTCGTCACATGGCCACCCTCATACCCGACCTGGGACGGACCGCGATACCACTCTGTTCTGCGACTTTGTACTGGATTTGGATTTCGCGAAAGGAAAGAAATGCTATTTATGCGCACAAACTGGGAGGCTACATTGAATTTCTTCTGGGTCTAGGATGAGCGCGGCGTTTTGCACTGTCTAATGATGCTCGACTGGTCGAGTCTTCTCTTCTTGGCAGGTTTTTTTGGGTGTTTATTGGGCGACTCTCACTGTTTTCTCCTACTGCAAATATGCTTTTTTCGCATCTCTCTTGACCTGGACTGTTTTCTCCTATTGCAAATATGTTTTGCCCATTACTCTTTGCCTGGACGACGTGTTTCAGCTATTCTTTGGCATGGTACGATTGCATCCTATGGCGATTGTCTTTGGATTTTCAACTCTTTAATGGACCTGAGTTGTTATGTGGTCTTAAGATTTTGGGTCACAGCTATTCGCAGAATAATAACGATAATTTTGAAGAAGTGACAACTATACAAGTATGTGAAGCTAACATGCTCATGTACTGACGTATGTACCCATCACATGTTGATGGAGAGCCCCCCGCAAACGCACAAAGCTTACAAAGGAGGAAAGTCATCCGGCTATTACGTTTTATTTCTAGCGTTCTGGTTATAATTTGCATAGTTCGCGCTGCGTCGCGTTCCCTGTGCTCGTGTCCAACGGGACCGAGATAATCCTTCGGGCGCGAAACGCGTCCAGCTTCGAGCTTCCCCCTACGATTCCCCCGAGCGCAAATCGATGCCTTTTCCGAGCTGTCATGTTCTTTTTATATCCCACACACCATTTGTGCCAAGTTCCCGGAACGTTCTCTACAAAATTGGATGCTGACTAATCAGCCTTCAAATAAAGTCGGAACAGCCGGAGCCAAAAAAAAAAGCAAGTCGGTATTTCGGCGCTTCCAACCTCCGTGCTCCAACAAAAAAAGGTGCCACCGTCAATCCAGATCTGTATTAAAGCGTTTACAGGGGGGGCCAATCCACCAATTTATCGACTTACCTTTTTTTTGGTGGCAGCTTTTAGCCGCCCACTTCATCTGGCGGCGTCAACACACGAGGGGTGGACCGATCTTGACACCTCGAAATCGGCGGGCGGGCGTTTCATGTGGCGCCGAGACCCGGGGTGCGTCTCATCTGATTGACGACGACAAGGGGGGTTTTCTTATTAGAATGGAGGAGAGCAGCGGTTCCGGGGCGGGCTATGCGTCGAGCGGCGGGGACTCGCACACGCCCTCCCCATCAGCAGCCTCGCACGACGGCACGCCCGGCACCACCGTTGCCAGCCTTGCCGGCCCATCGTCTGGCTCCCCCGCCATGCAGACTTCTGCTGCAGCGGCGGACGGGACGGTGGATCCAAAGAAGCTCCGCGCGTGCGAGGCCTGCCGCGGGCTCAAGGTGCGGTGCGAGCCCAACCCCGTTGAGGGGCAGCCGTGCAAGCGCTGCAAAAAGGCCGGTCGGCGCTGCGTGGTGACGGCGCCGACGCGGAAGCGGCAGAAGAAGACGGACAGTCGCGTGTCGGAGCTGGAGAGGAAGATTGATGCTCTGACGGCCAGTTTGCAGGCCAGGGCAGGCGGTGTTGGGCAGCACCAGCAGCACCAGCAGCAGCAGGAGAGGCATGGGAGGGGCCAAGAACATCGGAATTGGGAGAACGACGTGGCGCCGTGGGAGAGTGGGCGGCCGGCGGACCAGGATAGTCATTTCCAGCAGCTGGTTAGCATGGCAGGGCGGAAGCGCAAAGCCGGGGAGGACGGCGACGCGGGAGATGGCGGGAGCAGCAACCAGGGCGCTCCTACCCCACGCCGGCACGCGCGGCCGGCAGTAGCAACAGCGACGGCACCAGCAGAAGACGACGATAGACGGCCATCGGCGGCGGCGGCGGCGGTCGGCTGGCCGGCTTACACGTCGCGCGCCACCGACGGCGACGTGGTGGACCGCGGGCTTGTGCCGCTCGAACTCGCGGCGCGGCTCTTTTCCCGCTACAAGGCGCACATGGTGCGGCACCTGCCCGGCATCGTGTTCCCGCCGAGCACGACGGTTGCGACGCTGCGCGCGACGCGGCCGGTGCTGTTCCTGGCGGTGCTGGCGGCGGCGGCTGGCGAGGACCACGCGCTGCAGCGGGTGCTGCAAAAGGAGCTGATGCGCATCTTTGCCGACAAGATCATCGTGACGGGCGAGAAGAGCCTGGAGCTGGTACAGGCACTCAACGTGGCCGTGATTTGGTACTGGCCGCCCGAGTACTTTGAGGAGCTCAAGTTTTACCAGCTCATCCACACAGCGGCCGTCATGGCGATTGACATTGGCCTCGGGCGCAAGACGAACGGCCGGGCGAGGCGCAACCAGACGACGACGACGCCGGTGGGCATGGGCTGGCGCGGCGACCCGTCGCGGCACAAGACGCCGCCGCCGGACCCGACGAGCCTGGAGGCGCGGCGCACGTGGCTGACGTGCTACTACCTGGCGAGCAACACGGCCATGTCGCTGCACCGGCCGAACCTGATCCGCTGGACGGCGTTTATGGCCGAGTCGATGGCGCTGCTGGAGACGTCGCCGGACGCGGCGCCGACGGACAAGTACTTTTGCCACCTGGTGTGGACGCACCAACTCGGTGAGCAGATTGGCGCCCAGCTGTCCATGGACGACCCGGACGCCGTCGTGGACATTACCGACGCGCGCACGCAGTACGCGCTGCGCGCCCTGGAGCGGGAGCTGGAGCGGTACCGCGCCGGCGTGCCGCCGGAGCGCATGCAGGCCACGCTCAAAATCGGCTTTGACCTGCTCAACCTGTACATGCACGAGACGGTGCTGCACGGCGACCACTTCACTGAGGTCGGGACCGGCGCGGGCTTCCACGCCGAGGCGCTGCAGGACGGGCTGCTGGCGCGCCACGACGACGACGATGCGCAGCAGCAGCAGCGGCGGCCGCTGTCGGCGCAGCACGTCAACGCGCTGACGTCGTGCCTCGCGGCCATTGACGGCATCCTGGCCACGTTTCTGGCCCTCGACGTGGACAGCATCCGGTGCCTGCCCGTGTTCAACTTTGTGCGTGTGGCGTACGCCGTCGTCGTGCTGATGAAGATGTACTTTTCGGCCGACGCGGCGACGGCGGCGGGCGCGGACTTTGGGGCCGTGTTTACGCGCGAGAGCATGGGCGTCCAGGTGCACCTCGACGCGCTGCTCGACAAGTTTCGCGAGACGGCGGCGGGAGATCGCTGCAGGCCCGCGAGCAAGTTTTTGGTGGTGCTGGCGATGCTGCGCAGCTGGTTCGTGAAGCAGGGCAGGACGACGACGACGGAGGCGGCGGCGGGGGGTGGTGGTGGTGGTGCGGCCGCTGCTGCGCAGACGCAGCAGCAGCCGCAGCAGTTTCAGCCGCAGACGGCCAATACGCCCCTGCAGATGCTCTCCGAAGTCGCCACCGGAAGCGCGGACCAACCCAACAACAACACGGGAGGCACCTCGTCGCCGTTTGGCTACTACCACCGCGCTGCTGGCTTCTTCCCCGATGCGCTGCCCCCGACGACGACGACGCCTGCCGGCGGCGGCGCGCCGTTTGACGCCGGGGGCCACATGTACCCGCCGTGGATCGCCGAGGCCTTGCTATGCAACGGTGGCGGTGGTTTTGACGGCGTGACGGGGACGGGGGCCGAGTTTCCGACGGTCATGGGGATGGGTGCTGGGATGCAGGGCGGCGGGTTTGACGGGGCGAGCGCGGCGACGAATGATGAGTTTTGGACGGACATGTTTCAGGGGATCCCGGATCCGAACATGTTTACGTTTTAGCGGATGAGTGGGAGAGGAGACTGGTCTTTCTTAGGAATAGGAAGGGGGGGGGAATGGACATGTACGATATGATGTTATGTGACGAGGGAGTTGATGGTCGACTGAGATATTGAGATACCACTCTGCAAATACAATGAAGCGTAATGAATGTCAACGGTTTTTGTCATTGCAGTTTCTTCTACAAAGTAATTTGCAACGCCCTCGCATGTAAGTAGTAATTCGTAGATGTGAGACGGGCCTGGCCAATCGGAAGCACCGCTGTCCGGATCCAGGGTTGTTTGTGACAGCGGCAGGCAATTTTTGCCATGTTGCATCCGGTTTTCACCAAACAATGCAACAAAGAGAAAATGCAGGGCGCGACAAGGTATATAGGTAACCTGCACGGACTTTGGATGCAACGGTGATCAAGCGCCGGGGGAAGGGTTTTACGAATTAACTACGGATACAGAATGTGTGAATGTAGATAATGCGCCACGTGCCTCGTTGTATAAAGAGGCAACTGGAATGGTAAAAGCAGCTAGGTTAATAATTGATTGGCGGAACATCTTTTAGTAATTTAGTTATTATTCTTTGATTTTGGAAGGGCGGATGGAATCGGGGGCCATGCGGGCGTGCGAGTCAACTGACATATTACTTATTAGTTATTCCGTTGCACTACCAGAAAAAGCACCAAGTTAATTACACCATCAACGCTCTGACGAGCAGGGTGCGCGTGCACGCCAAAAACGCTGGCGGATCAAGGTAAGATTTCATTCAGCTAGTCCCTGGAATAAAAAAGAATTAAAAAAGCTTAGCCCCCCCCTTCTTCCGATCAAACGGCGCATGATTGGTCAGACGTACGACACAACTCCGCCCCAAGCCGAAGAGTCACTAATTTGTACTGGTCGTTATTATGTGGGCTAAAAAGAAAACCTTGCTCCTAACTACTAAGTTATTAGGGTTATTGGGCTGACAAGAAAAGTCTCCGCCCAGTCATCATGCCAGCATCCAGCATCGCGCATTGCGAAGCGGGTGAAGGAGGATCCGAGTGAGTCAAGTTCAAGTTTGCTGTCTCGTCTGCTGAATACTCGTTCGTGGCACCCCCGCACAAGTCGACTCGTCTTCGCCGTCTTTGTTCCACGTCCACTCCCGCCAGTGAGCAACGTCAACGAAGCAACGTCCATCCCGAAAACATCCCCAGACCATCATCAGCCCTCGTTTCCCGTACGTGGGTCATGTCCGCCGAACCAGTCACAATAACGGAGAACCCACCACAAGGGGCATCAGCCATGTTCGGACCCGACTGCATCTAGACAGAGCGGGCCCTCCCTTCTTGCTTTGTTGGCCTTCAGCTGGCGCGGCCGCTCTGATCATGGGTTGGCTGGTTGGCTGGTTGGCTTGCTCGCTCTTCTGGAACAGGGCACCTCCGGGGCTAACTAGCGGCGGGAAGTCGAACAACAGCGGAGTGAGGCTCTCGTTTCGGAGACAAGCAGCAACCTTGGCGGAGTTCGGACTGCTGACGGACCCGACGACATTGTTCGGGGCTGCTCAGCTATGCGAGTACGATTGCGCATGTTTTTTTTTTCCTGCTCTTCTTTTTCTGCTCTTCTTTTTCTGTTTGCCCTTGTCTCAGTAGCATAATACTTGGCACAAGTATCCTTTTTTTTCCCTTGTTCCTTGTTCCTTTCTCTTACTGTTCTGTTCATACTATCTCTTTTATTTCATTTACCCTCCGTTTCTTCTTTCCCACACACGTCACCCTTGTCTCTGACTCCAAGACAACCGGGCGTCAGCTGAAAGCTGACAGACACTGGGAATAACCAAAAAAAAAAAAGAGCATCTCCTACGACCGACAATGGCCGCCGAAGACAGCGCCACAGAGGTCGGCTCAATTGGCTCGCGCCACAAGGCCACCGTCGACACCACCCCTGCGCCGGCCTCACTCTACGACGTCTCCGAGAAGAAGCCCGCCGCCGATGAGGCCGTCACCGAGCAGACGACCGGCGAAAAGGATGCCGCGCCGACAGCGACCCCCGACGAGGACGACGGTGTCGAGTACCCGGTCGCCTGGAAACTGGGTCTCATCACCATTGCCCTCTGCCTGTCCGTCTTTTGCGTCGCACTGGTACGTTTTCGTCGCGTCTCTTCTTCCAATTGATACTAAACCAACACGAACAGGACAACACCATCATCGCCACCGCCATCCCCCGCATCACCGACGAGTTCAAGGGCTCCGTCCAGGACATTGGCTGGTACGGCGCCGCCTACCTGCTCACCACCTGCGCTGTGCAGCTCATCTTCGGCAAGCTCTACACTTTTTACTCGGTCAAATGGGTGTACCTCGGCGCCATCCTGCTCTTTGAAGTCGGTTCCCTCGTGTGCGGCGCGACCCCGACCTCCGTCGGCCTCATCATCGGCCGCGCCATCGCCGGCCTCGGCTCCGCAGGCATCTTCTCCGGCGCGCTGCTCATCGTCAGCCGCTCCGTGCCGCTGCGCCAGCGGCCCGTCTACATGGGCCTCATCGGCGCCGTCTACGGCCTAGCCTCCGTCGCCGGCCCGCTCATGGGCGGCGCCTTCACCGACAAGGTCACCTGGCGCTGGTGCTTCTACATCAACCTCCCCTTTGGCGCCGTCACCGTCTTCTTCATCATTCTCTTCCTGCACCTGCCCGACGCCAAGACGCAGCTGAAAAACACCACCTGGAAGCAGCAGCTCATCTCCTTTGACCTCGAGGGCACCTTCTGCTTCATCCCGGGCATCGTCGCCCTGCTTCTTGCCCTGCAGTGGGGCGGCTCCAAGTACCCTTGGGCCAACGGCCGCATCATCGGCCTGTTTGTCGTCTTTGCCGTCCTCATCGCCGCTTTCGTCGCCATCCAGATCTGGAAGGGCGACCAGGCGACCGTGCCCCCGCGCATCTTCATGAACCGCACCGTCTGGGCATGCTCGACCTTTGTCATTTGCCTCGGCGCCGCCTTCTTCATCATGGTGTACTACCTGCCCATCTGGTTCCAGTCTATCCAGGGCAGCTCCGCCGTCAACTCGGGCATCAAGAGTCTGCCGCTGATTCTAGGGCTCGTCATCCTGTCCATGATTTCCGGCGGCTTCGTCAGCGCGCTCGGCTACTACACGCCCTTTATGATCGCGTCGGCTGTGCTCATGGCCGTCGGCGCCGGGCTGCTCTCGACGCTGCAGATTGACTCGGGCCGCAACGCGTGGATCGGTTACCAGTGCATCTTTGGCTTCGGCGTCGGCCTCGGCATGCAGCAGCCCATGGTGGCCATGCAGGCCTCGCTCGAGGCCGCCGAGATCGCCGTCGGCACCGCCATCATCATCTTCTCCCAGACCCTCGGTGGCGCCCTCTTCATCTGCGTCGCCCAAAACGTCTTCCAGAATAAGCTCAAGGAAATCATCGAGGCCGCCGGCATCCCCGGCCTGACCCTCGAGGCCGTCAACTACGTCGGCGCCACTGGCGTCCGCACGCATTTCCAGGGCGAGGCCCTCACCGTCGTCCTGGCCGCCTACAACACGGCCATTACCAACTGCTTTTACGTCGCCGTCGCACTCGCCACGCTGTCCATTGTTGGCGCCGTATTTACGCCCTGGAACTCGGTCAAGGGCAAGAAGATTGAGATGGCTGCCGCGTGAAAAGCCGCAGCCGGCATATACGCACGGGAAAAAAATTGATACCATATTCGTTTTTCTAATTTCTTGTTTACATGTACAGGTACATACATGGTAGGACGGCGCATTATTTCGGTATATGGGCGTGACTTTTTAGATAACTCACCACTACACTGGGGTTTTTTTCTTCTCCTCTACATTTTGATTCATGGTTCATAGACGGCTGGCAAGCGGTTAATAGATGACATGCGAAAAGAGCGTCTGTCCAACATGAGTGCATGTGAGATGAGCATCGGCCCAACTTCAGTGGATTTGACCCGTCAACCTGTGTAATGCTTTGGCATCAATGCTCAGCGCCACCAATATTCCACATCGTATCATCATCGTCGACTCACCTGATCTGGCCAACGATGCATCTTCATCCACTTCAGATCTTACTCAGCCTTACCTTACCCTTCGTTCCCGCTTGACCCTCTCTCCCCCCCCCGCAAACTGTAAAATATTGCCCACCTCCCGCCTTATCCGAAGACTTGGCAAAGCCAAGCTCACTTCCCGTGAACCATATCGTCTCAGCCTTCGGATGCCTCGGAATCCCCGGATCCCCGCCCCCCCACGCCAGTACTGCTCCAGACACTTTTTCTCCGACGTCTTTGTCCTCCATGAGCTGCCCGCTGATGCTCGCGTGCCTCGTCACGCCGGCCGGCGGCTGCCCCTCTACTTCTCCGACCAGTCTTTTTGCTGCGGCGGCGCGTTGGCCGTGAAAATTGGCCTGTCCTCTGCCTTTTGACACAGCCTGTGGTTTCCAGGAATCACAGCTGCAATGGACCTTTTGTAAAAATGGCATTCGCCACGCTGCTCAGAGGCAACTACTGCACGGTAGAGGCATAACTGAAGAGGTACATTGAGACGTGCGTTTTTTCGAGGGCTTGCGCGTCAACCATTTTGGACGGCTGCGGGAGGCGCTCAGATTCCTTGTACTCGATATTAATACGGGAGAACAAAGAGGCCTCAGGCTTGTTCCGTCCCCTCTTCCCGCCTCTTTTGCACACAATGGCCCTCGTCAAAGACCTTGTACTACCAATCGGCTCTGTCGGTAATTTGCTCCCCTGAGCATCCTCATGGCCACCTCACTCAATCTGGAGCTGCTGCGAAGCCCACAGGATAGCAGAACTGTTTCCTCATGGACGTGGTTCTTTGCTGGCTCTTCGCGGGCCACAGCTACTTGCTGTGTACCCGCCCTGTACCTCGCCCCATACCCCTGATGTTTGTTTTGGCTCGAGGTACACCAGGATGCCACGGCTAGCGGATGTTTTACCTCGAGGACAGACGCGAGTGGCATCGCTGAGGTGTTTGGTGTTTCCCGCTCTTGGAGCAACACCATGTGTGTTGCACTCGGCGCTTGTCAGGCGGTTACTAGATTACAAAAACCAACGCCCTCTCTTCATTGTAGAAGCGCCATGACGTGTTTAGCTCTAACAATCGACGAAGCTTGGAGAACATACTTGGGAACGCAGAAAATATGGCAGGCATAACTATGGAACTGCCAATGCGCCCGGCCCCCAACGCCGCCAGCGCCGCCGGCGTCGACGCCGCCGCCGAAGCCGCCAGAAAAATGCTCCAGGATATCAAATGCCGAATGCAAGAGTTCTTCAATGTACTCATCCGCATGCCGCACATTGAGCCTGATGCTCTCAGACTCCCTCCCGAAACAGGCTGGGAAAATGTCGGGGACACTAGGCTCCGTGCGCGAGGCAAGACCGAGGGCGCCATCAACTTTCTCAAGCAGCTACCCTGTCTCGTCCATGGCGCGGGCATGGAGCAGCCCTCTCTCACGCCGCGCATACAATCGGTCTACTTTAGCGAGGGTATAGCGTGCCGCATGCCGGAGCGACACGTCGCGGACGCGCCGGGCAACGTTGTATGGATAGGCGAGGCCAAGAGCGCAGACGGATGCTTCCTCCTCTTGGACACCAGCACTGGTCAGTCTTGAAACAACAGGGCATAACAAGCGAGACCCCCTTTCTGGGTCGTCTTTTGACACGCATTGCAACAGGCAGTTTGACAGAAGTCTCCCTTTCGAAAAACACCAGACTGAGGAAGCCTGGCAAGTACAAGGCTTTGCCGGTTACTTTGAAGTGGATGGCCCGCAAAACGATGCCAGCGACGGACTGGCTGGAGCAGGAGACGAGGAAGTTGCTGGAGCTGGCATATATCCCTGTCCCTGCGTTTTTCCCACATGGCGTTAGGTTCTTCCACCGCTGCTCGGACCCCCGGATGCTGCCTGCTTTTATCGCCGCCGACAACTATGAGGTAAACGGAGGTCGGAATTGGCGTGGTGAATTTAAGAAGAATGTTAAACCGGACGAAGATGACAAAGTGATTGAAGACGTCAAAATGGATGAAAACGTCAAAATGGATGAAGACGTCAAAATGGATGAAGACGCCAAAATGGATGAAGACGTCAAAATGGATGAAGACGCCAAAGTGGATGAACACGCCAAAGTGGATGAACACGCCAAAGTGGATGAACACGCCAAAGTGGATGAAGACGTCAAAATGGATGAGGATATCGGACTGACTGAAGATATCGTACCAAATAAGGATATCAGATCGGAGGTGGATAGTAAGCCGAATGAGGATGCTGCCATGAGCGATGGGAATGGGGGTGAAAATGGAGATGCTACGAGCGAATGGTGGGCACTCACAGAGGTGCGTGGTTCTCCATTTTGCCCTATATTCTATAAGGGTCCAATATATCTGTCTGAGAAAGGTCCTGTATATATGTCTAAGGGCGGTCCTGTAGATCTGGATGGGAATGGTCCTAAAGATCTACTTAAATGTCTATCTGAATATTTGGATGAAGATTCGGGGTTGGATGAGCCCGAGGCTGAGCCCGAGGCTGAGCCCGAGGCTGAGCCCGAGGCTGAGGATGAGGCTGAGGACGAGGACGAGGACGAGGATGAGGATGAGGATGAGGATGAGGATGAGGATGAGGATGAGGATCAGGATGAGGATGAGGATGAGGATGAGGATCAGGATGAGGATGAGGATGAGGATCAGGATCAGGATCAGGATCAGGATCAGGATCAGGATCAGGATCAGGATCAGGATCAGGATCAGGAT